TCTACGTGGTGATCTGTCTGCTCTGTGTGATCTGACAGCGCAGTGAGAGCAGTGGGAGCGTTCATGCAGGGTGCTCTGCGTGCTCTGTTGCTGTACGTCGGATTGTGAGATCAGTGAGAGCATATATGCAGTCTGACAGCCGGCCTTGTTCCCGTCCCAGTTTAACCGAGACTTGCTGCTGCTCTGTTGTTGCCTACATTAGCGTGAGAGCGATCCTTGTCAGTGCTACCTAGTGTACCACTGATCGTAACAGGTTGAAGGAGGCATGGTTAGCCATACCCAATTCATTGATAAAGAAGCTCATTCACTCAATGCCACACCGTATCTCTGCTGTACAGAGAGCTAGGGGGTACCAGACTAAATATTAAGACTACACGCTGTTATAAGCTGAAATCAGAACTACTTTTTTAGACACGTTTAGTATATAGCATGTAGGAACACAACCCTTATGGTTTGTGTTCAACCTCGTCAATTAAGTTTGTCATTGGATCTCAACCAACCTTTGAGCTGGACAGATTGCCTGTACTACTCATTGTTACCCCAAGTGTGAGAGGGGGCCAGCTAGGGATACCAACTGCTTTCTGAGATGGAAGGATTGGTGGAAGGATGGTTCAGGCGGGTGTGTATACTGCTGAGAGACCGAGTTCTTGAGGATTGGGTATAGCTGAAGTCAAGCCGGCTGATTCAATTGATTCAGAGTCAAATCAAAAGGTCATGAATCTGAGTCAAATCAATCAAATCAAATCAGATTTGATTTGATTTGGAATCAGAAATCAAAATCTATGCTGGGGACTACAAGTTTCCCTTCATCCAGTCCGAATCTGTCAGAGTTCAGTGAAAAACTGTACGCAAAGGAAGAAGTTGAAGATTGTACTGAGGTTGTATTGAGTGAAGCTACGAACAGTATATATAGGTGAGTAGCTGTAAACAACGCTAGTGTGACGTGGCAGTCACTCTCATGGAGGTGAGGTACGACAGGCAGGAGCACCCCAAACCGTGACAGAATCACTATGTTGTACAAAGAATGTGGCGTCCACTGGATATCAACATGGCTCAAGTATTCATGTTGTTTGCGCCCTCTACTGTGCTAAAGTAAACCCAAGCTCGTCCTCTGCTGCGCTTTTCTCAGTACGTTCCTCGTATTCGATTCAGTAGTGAGCCAAAGACTCGCTTCATCTCATCTATGTCACCTTCCTCTTCTCTTCGAAGTTCATTCCAGCAGGTTCGGCCATCGATGTTCACTTTAGCGATATTAATGTCTCCAAAGTCGGCATCTTCGAGAATGGCGATCGTCTTCGTGTCGTAGTGACTGGCTACAGCGTGAAGTACTGTGCATCCTCGCGAGTTGAGTACCGCTAAATTCACTTTTCGATGTACCAGTTCCGCTAGTATGTCGTAAGCGTAGTAATAGATAGCCATGTGTACTGCTGTTTCGCCAGCAACATTTGCGATGTTAGGGTCGGCACCTGCTTTCAGCAGATAAAAGGCATTCTCAGTACAACGGTGGCGAGTTGCTGAATTCAGGGCAGTGTCGCCGTCGAAGTCGATAGCGTTGATGTCAGTGTGGTTATCAATGAGGATCTTCAACATGGCCGTATCTTCGCTGGCTTTGCAAGCGAGCTGCAGAGCCGTTGCTCCGAATGCATTCATCGCACTAATGTCTGCTCCGTGATCGATCAATGTCGACACGCACCGGTGCTCGCCCGATTCGACTGCATAGATCAGCGGAGTGCTGCCTTCCATATCCGCAACTCTAGTGAGAGCGCCAGAATTCAGCAGTGCTTCCAGAGCATCGTGGTCTCCACGCGAAGCAGCCCATGATAGAGGGGTGCGCCCGTTCGCGTCAGGTACGTTCACATTGGCGGTGGAGTCCTCGAGCAGTGTAAAGATTGAAGTCCGAGATAACTCAAGTACCGACTTATGCAGTAGCGTGAATTGTCGTGTCTCGAGATATTCACCGTCACCGAACATCTGCATGAAAGCTTCTGTCACTGTTTTCGTAGCCTTCCTTGACAGCGCGATGTCCCATGGGCTATCGATAGGTTTCCTGGTCGTGTAAGCAGGTCAATCAATCGTATGCTGCTTTAAGACGTGGAAACTCACTTTCCGTTCTCGTCTTGTAGGTTGATATCGGCCCCTTCGCCAATCAAAAATCGACATAAAGTAATGTGACGATAGCCGACCGCATACTATGTTGTCGTGTCAGTCCTGACTCGTATGCTTGGTAGCATATAGCTTCGACTTACGTGAAGCGCAGATTGCCCATATGCATTAACGTCATAAGGAGACGCCTTCGCTGCCGAGAACAGCTTGCCAATCTGACCAAACTCACCTACTGTCGACAGTCGCCAAAGAGGTGTAGTCCAATTGACCATGCGCGGCATTCGTAAGTTCAATTCAGGTCCACCAAATGCGGTCAATGTGAGTGTCATCGAAAGCATCCTCGACAATAACCATGAAGGGAAGTAGTAGGTAACTTCAAGGGATGAGGACGAGCGCTGCTGACACGTTTTTTCGTTGCATGAAGGCGTCAGTCCAGGCATACCTGTATAACCCACGAAGAGGTTTCCGATAACGTTACGCAATAGTTTCGGGTAACGGAAGGTGGTCTTCTTGTGGCATGCACAACTGCACCAGGGCTTGCAGCTCCGACGAAATGCCTGCGCTTGTGCTTTGATCTGGATGGTACCAATGTTTCCGGTTTGTATTTCGTAGTGCCGAGTTGGACTGACCCGATGGTCAATGAACCGACTCATCGAGCTGTTGGGGAAAAGGCTGATAGGCGTATCGACTCCCCCAGGAGTGTGGCTCGCGGCAGTATTAGCTTGCGTCAATAAACGCTGCAGCATGTTGCAGTCACTTTGAACTCCCGGTAACGTTTGTGACATCATACTGCTTTGTTCAACGAGTTTCTGCAAGAGCTTCGAATCTGCAAGAGCTTCGAATCTGCATCTTGAGAGCTGATAATTTGCTGGATGCGAAGCTCCAGCCGATTCACTGTAGAGCTGCCAGAATGTTAGTAAGCCTGATGAATCAAGAATCTACAAGAGATGTGTCTTACTTTGTAACAATTCCGATGGCTGTGGCTAGGTTCAGACGAGTTGTTTTAATGCCTTGTTGGATCGTCGCAAGCTTTTCCTGATGCAAAGCCCAGCTCTTTCTCTTGACTTTGATCCCCCCTGGCTCATCAATGTCAGGCTTGCTCAGATCATACTGTATGTATTCCTCAAGCTCTTGTACCTGTTTCTCAGCCCGTTTCAGAAGACTGCGCAGCGCGAGCACGGGTCCATCATCTGGATTCTGTTCCAGTTGATGACCTTGCACTGCTACGTTAGCGAGGATCAAACGTAAGTCCTGAACCTCATTGATCAAGGCCGAGAATCCCGCAACCGCATGCTTGAACGATCGCAACTTCGCCAGTCCTTTGACTGTCTTCTCGCTCGCACCAATGATAGCCAAAACGCTCGTGGTGATGGAGAGTGGATCCATGATCACTGTTTCGACCAGATTAAGCGGTATCCCACAAGGCTGAAGATTGAAGAAGCGATTGGAAATGCTGTCAAAACCCTTCCGTGTATTAGTCTCGGTTCATATGACAGTCTGGGAATGCAGAAACCTGATATGTAGGAAAGGATTGAGCTTGAATGACCCCTTCACGATGGTGTGCGTGAGAAGTGTGAGCTCCGTGCACTGACATTTTGCCTCCGCATTCAGCCTTGTCGGGTGTGGTGGGAAGGCTGAGAATGCCAAGATTGTGACACTGCCACCGTAGCAGGGAACATGTTGGGGATCGTGAGTGATCAGTACGCTGTGGGAAGAATTGAAGGATTGAACTGAGGTTGTATTGGGTGAAGCTACGGACAGTACGTATAGGTGAGTAGCTGTAAACAACGCTAGTGTGACGTGGCAGTCACTCTCATGGCAGGTGAGGTTCGACAGGCAAGAGCACCCTGAACCATGACAGAACATGACCAATGTACAGTGGCAATCTCGACGCGGTGGAACTACATGCATACAGTGGCGAATGATGATGTCTTCAATACGTCCTTGTGTTCGTTGAGATGCGTATGGGCAATTTATAACATTAACACGCCCTGTTGCGGAAGAGCTGGCACTGTGTAGCTCAAAGACGCTCTCTGAGCTGGTCTGCCAAGATCTTTAGAATGAGCACGACCTGTATAATTGATCTCCGGCTTTGCAGTTAAGGCGTGTGTACCTTCCTTCACCATGCTTACTCCTTCTGTTTCGATGTGCACCTTCTCCGTCACGGGCCGTGTTCCTTCGACAGTGTCATCAGGGGGTGATGACGATCCCTCTGAGGGTAAAAAATACGAATTTAATACCTACTCACGATAACGATTGTCCAGTTCATAACCGTCTTCAGATCAACAGCCTCAGGTCGAACAAGAAAACTGTGAAAGTCCGACCCCGGTCCGAAGACGAGTTTTTGACACACATGATTACGACGACTCGAGTTTCTGCGCTTGTGCAAGATCTCGAGTACCTCCCCACTTCGTGCTCCATAAGTTGAGAAGCGCGTAAAGACGCACGACCAGATTCAGAACTGGCGAGACCATCCCGAATATGGGCAAAGGCGCAAGGCTCCTTCTACCTCGTATAGCAGGAAAGCAACAGAGTGAAGCGCCATTCAAGACCAGAGCCGCTATTACCAACCACGGTAGCCAATATTGCGCAGCCCAGCCTTGTACAATCACCAGCGTCGCAAGAAGGACAATCTGCTGCTCCGATACCTGGGCCCCAAGATAAACCAGTCTGTAAGCAAAGAGCTTTGGGCTCATTTTCCAATGTGCCGGGTCTGATAGTGCTGCAGCTTCGACCGCCATATGACCCAAGAACCACCGACGACGCTGATCGATCAGGGCCGGAAGAGAGCAAGCCGCTTGAGTATTGCATACTATGTCAGTATGAATGTCGGTCGACCAGGAACCAGCTTTTGAACTAATAACCTGCGTGAGGTATCGATCTTCTCCAAACTTGTATTTCCAGCAGTCGTTGAGACCTTGCAATTGGTTTGGTTGGTCGTTAAGGGCTGAGACCAGAGCTTCCCATCGTACATACATCACTGTTCCAGAGATGCATGTGACGTTGCTCAGACTTGCCATAACCAACTCACACATTACTCCTTGCTGTAGATATTCCGCTTCCTTTATCGCATGGAGAAAGGAGGAAGAAGGCAAATCAATACCCTGTACACACGCTAGAGCCGCAGGAGATGTCTGACTTGATTCCACAGAATACTGTTAGAGTTAGCGTGCATACATGTAAGAGAATTGACACGCACCATGCGATCTGCAAAAAGGCGCAAAGATTCAGTAGGAATGGTCGTGTCCGAGTCCATCATCAAGACTGCAACCTCATCTGGAGACTGCAACAAACGTGGCCGTGCATTCCTGATATATTCCAACGCGTTGCGTTGACATCTCGATTTACCTCCATGTTCGAAGAGACATAGAGTGACATCTATTCCTGTTGCTGTTCTGGAGATTGGATGTCTGCCACCAGGCTTTGCTTCTGCACTCAAGATGCTCGACACCCGGTTGTGGAGCTGCGAGTTCTCGAGGCCATCGAATGCGATCACAATGTGCAGCTGATCAGATGGATAGTCAGAGTTCATTAACGACCGAACCGAAGCCAAAAGAACGTCTTCAGGTTCACCGTGGCAGGGGATGATCGCCACAATTGTTGGTAAGAACGGAGGAAGAAGTGCTTCGGATTCGTCAGCCCCTCTGGGTGGAATTACAGAAATGGATCCTGGTCTTTGTTGGTGTAGCCTCTGAAGAGCGCAGGTCCAGCTGAGCAGGCGGTGAGGAAAGTAAAGGACCAGGTTCAATATGAGCAATGGGCTAACAAGTGCGTTCGGTAACCCGACCTCATAGAGAAAGATCGATGTAGCGAAGAGACAGATGCATCTGAATGTTTCTCTGACTCAGCTTCGATACACTATATTGATCGTCTATACTGACCTGAATATCAGATGCGAAAGGCTGATCGCGAAGCTCATGAGGAGCCTTGAGGCTGATCTGTGTTTTGAGCCTTCGCACGCAACGCAAAATAGGAAAATGCCATCTTGTATAATTTGGCTGACTTGGCTGCTCGCTACCATAGCCAACAGCATGTATCTACCAAATTCCTGGTGTGGTAGTCAGCAGGTGCTCTGTTTACAGTGAGCTTTTGTCGCGGTGGATCGTGAGTGATCAGTACGCGTGTGCGGAAATATTGAAGGATTGAACTGAGGTTGTATTTCACTATTCTGTGTGTTTAAATATGTTGTGGTCTCGGTTGAGACCCTATTACCCTGGTATATACTGTTCTGGGGTAGCGACTTCCAGGGCCAGTATATAGTCGGCTTCTCCTCACGTAGTCTAAACCGTGACAGCTTTCCACTTGCTCGACAGGATAAAGACATGATGTAACGATAAGGAACTTCAAACAATGCAGATTGTCGGTCCGCACTGAGGCTTAAGATTTCTTGACAAGTGGGAGAATGGAAAGAGTGCGAATTGGTTGTTGTGTTGCTCATGTGCAGTTGAGTCTCAGTCAGAGGACGGGCGGGTAGAACAAGAGCTTTCTAGTTGCTGAATAGATGTTCCAAACGCTGCTGGCCTTCGGAAGACGTTTAGAGGGCAAGTTGTCCGAGGACTTCCTGCCGTCTCTTTGTGCAGCCTGATGCTAGCATCATCATCGAGGCTACACCCCACGTCTGGCCACATCATAAACCTCCAGGCTGATACGAGGATTGACCGGAACTACGCCTCGTACTCACGCTCTCAGCAGGCATCGCGAAGTCCCCCAGTCCAGGCTCTACGGTATGAAGCCTCACTCGAAGCGGCGACAACTGTGAGTGGCTCTATCGATGGTCATCCTGTATGCTTTGAATGTGAGGCATAATGAAGCGAGGGTGTGGCTTGACCTTGGCGAGCTTGATATGAGCTGGTGATGTCGATATTTCCGCAGCTGTCATCTTACCGACGAGTTGACGCCTTTTCTTGGCAGCCTTGTCCCCTGTGTCGGATGTCATCGTGATCGCAAGCTCTGCCCGAGAACAATAAAGAGCTCACGCGCGCCCTTCAGCCTTCTTCATTTTAGTTAGCAAGTTGCTATCTTCTGTCAATTATATGACCTTACTGAGTGCTGACAATCCTACAATGGAGGACACTGGTGGACATCACACTTGGGCAATCGAGCGCAATGCAACTGCTATCGAGAAAGCAAAGAGGACGAATAGAGCACCATGGTGCGATGAATACAAAAAGATGATATCCAGTATGCTGTAAGTGTCTGAAGTCAGACCCTAAAAATCGAGATCAAGGTGCTGACTTTTGTGTGCATCAGGTACCGCTCCTGGATATCTAAGGAGCTCGAGACAAAACGCCCAGAAGCATCTAAGATCTGCCAGCAGATCAATGATTTGAACAATTTTGCGGATGGGGTAGACCGCGAGGAAGCCGTAAACAAGAAAGGCAATTTACTCAAGTCATTACTTGGAGAATGTGTTGGAAGCCCGACGATCGAGAGTCCGTTTTCTGTCCTGTATGGATGCAACACGTTCATCGGAGACAACTTTTTTGGTAATGTAGGGTAAGTAGGTGATCGCGCAATCTGCTTTGAAAATTGCTGAGATCCGTAGGCTTGCCATCGACGACAGCGCGTTTGTCACAATTGGCAAGAACGTGCTCATTGGACCCAACACCCATTTCATTACCGTCAATCATCCTACCGATGTTGCAGCGCGGAACAAAGGGGGCATGTTTGCTCTTCCAATCACGGTTGGGAATGATTGTTGGATCGGAGCGCGAGTGACCCTCCTTCCCGGAGCCCGGATTGGGGATGGCTGCACTATTGGAGCGGCTGCCGTAGTCTCTGGTGAAATTCCTGCGTACAGCGTAGCAGTTGGAGCGCCTGCTAGGGTAGTTCGTAAAGTGAAGGAGCCAGGCCAGTAACCCTTGTTATGCCGAAAGGCAATTCGAACGTTATGTATAATCCTGTCAAGTAGCATTTCATCAAGTTCACCCTTCGCAAGTGTCGTTGTGCTAACCTTCAACAAAACCGCTAAACCAAGGCAAGATATTGTCTCATGACAACATGGCCAGGATAAGGATTATCTCAGGATGATAAGTAACGGAGAAGGGTATAGCGGCTACGTACCCAGCGGACCGTGAACAGGCAGCGATGCTAGCGTAGCCAACAGCTGACAACCATGTCGGGTTGTCGGGCATGGTACACAGACAAGCTAAATGTACCTTTGAAGGGCATAGCGCTTCTTTGCCGGGCTTGCCAATTGGATGAGATGTAGAAGAATCACATCAAGAGCAAGGTCAAGATCTACCTTATCCTTATTGCTAAACATCAAGTCTATGGCAGACCTGCGTTCAGACTCGAACTTGAGTAGTGCCGTGAGATAACTGTCAGGACGCGAGTTCGCACACACCACGTCATGTAGCCAAAAAGATACATATGATCAATGAACATTGATCATCGTGTGCGGAACAGTATATATTGTACTCGCCTGATCACTTTATCATGGGCTTTGCCCTCGGTCTGACAGTAACGAGAAGGCTTTCGAAATATATCTGTCGACAATGGTACTGATTCCCTTTAGTTGTTCAGCACCTGGCCCGACACTAGCAAGCAGCATAAGCTGTATTGCAAAGACTATCTGATTGCGTGTGCGGTGATGCAAGTGTCTATCTTCGTCGCAGGTGTAGAGGAAGCGGATCAGGTCTTTAGCCACTCTAAGTGGTGCAAGCGGGTTCGGCCGGGCGGCGGTTGAAACATGCTCGTGAGGGACAAGATCTTTTGTGATGAATTCGTCCGTCTCTTTATTCTGGAGTTGTGTGTACTGTTATTGCGTACGAAGCTTGATGGCACACTTGAGGCTCGCGAGACAGTTGCAATTTGTGGTATCAGTAATGTTCTCCTCTAAAAGACCTTTTCTGTCCCCGCGAAATATTCAAGGAATATGTGATCTGATTAACGGTCGGCGCTTCGATGAAAGCTTCCTGAGCCATCACCTTTTCAAGCACGACTGTCGAAAATCTGCGGATAGCATGAGCACAAGCAGTTTGAGGAGCGTCTACACTTTCTTACTCCTTCCACAGCCTCATCGTGTACTTATAACTAGTGAATGCTGACGTATTGTTCAAAGGGTGTTTGATGTTGTCGATGCTCAAGGATTGTGGTGTCTTCACCTGATGGGCGCGTTCCTTGAGCAGTTCAAGACGGAACGGACAACTGCTCTTTTCCATGTTGACCACGTAAACTGGCGACAGAAAGGATGGTGCAAAACAAAAAGGAACAAAGGAGCTAAATCAGAGTGCAAAGAGAGTGAGAAATGTGTGTAGAGTGTCAGGAAGCTGGTTGGTAAAAACTAGTCCCGAAGGTTGCATGAATAGATACAATGCGTGACGGCGTCCGGAGGTCTGCAGACTGGTTCTGGTCTTGCGTTCTGCAAAGCAGACAATTTGACCTAAAAGGGTTAGTCAAATGTAGTGAGGGTGACAGGCTTGTGTATACCGAAAACACAAATGTGTGTAACTGGATTCTTAAAACGGCACCTCGACTAATGGCGGATAGGACAGGATGCACTGGGTGAGAGCAAAAAAAAAAGGAAAAAAAACATACAACAGCGGGTATTCGCTAGTGGTCACCCACCTAACTACTAATCCACCGGTACGTTGCTTAAATAGGGCTGAGCGAACGGGAAGCCTTGTTTTCAACGTCCTATGGTCGTATGTGAAAGAAGTGCTTCTTTTTATAAATATATTCGAGCAAACTCACAAGATGGCGTAACAGTATCATCAGCAGCAAAAAGGCGAAAACATACAACAGCAGGTATTCGCTAGTGGTCACCACCTAACTGAGCGAACGGGAAGCTTTGCTGTTTCCTGGCCGCTCACCACAAAAGTCCTTGATTTTACTGTATCTGGTTTCGCTGCTGCTGAAAACAGACTGCAAAGAACACAAATTTGTGTCTTCTTGCACGCGCTGGTGGTGTGGAAGATCCTGGATCCGATGGCAGTAATTGCTGGTCTGGCTATTTATAGTGATCATTGATCCTGATCTCCGACTATCACATGCTGACAGTTCTTCCTGCATGGTACGCAGGGAGAAGAATGATAAAGGGCCGAGCAATACCCTGTATCTGGAGCACTGCCCTCAATAATCCTATCAGTCATACTATTTGTTGTACCAACCGCTCAAGAGAACTTATAAGGCATTTTGTTACAATATATGCAGCCCTCCTTGTGCAGGTACTAGCTATACTACACCTGTGCATGCCTTTTGGCATAGGTTGGTGCATATAGTCGTGCATATTGTCTTTTGGACTCCACCCTTTACACTCGTAAGGTTGAGACGCTTGCAACAGCCACTATATCTGCTCAACACTGCAATCCTTCTTGGCATTAGCTTCCGCCGTGTCAATAAACGTTACATTTTCAAGGGTCTTCATAGCTTCCATAAGTCCCAAACGCAGAGCCTTGTTCAACTCCTCCCAGTCCCACACCATGTGATCTGCTTTCCTAGTGCATTTGCTTATAAAATGCACCGACTTCAAACCAGTGCGGGAAGACAATGGGCACTAGAACAGGTCTCGCATCGAGGATCTGATATAGCAAGCGGTATGACATCTGAGTTAAAGTAACTGAGTTCCAGATGTAGGGCGAGGTCATAATTAGTGGTTTGTTGTCAATACCTGCAGCGAGCTCCGCTTGCGTACGGGGTTTGTTGAATAGAAGCATCTTTGTCTCGCAACCACGCGGGGAAGTCTGTAACTGATGATTTGCCGTAGATCCATCCAAATGCCTGTTGATATGCCAAGACAATTAACAATGATCGACTTCCTGGTATTGAAGGCTGCGAAGAATGAGTCTTTGGATACAAGCGGTCATTTCCGCCCTGCATTAATCATTTTTTGGTAGCTGGTTTGAAACGTTTGGTAATCGAGTTTTTGCAAAACCATAGCCTGTTCTGTCTAAATGGATCAAGATTCTTTGACAGAGATCCTTTCCTTCCGAGAAGTTTTGGTCCTGAGTTTCCGCTAAAGGCGCCGCTTGATTCCTGTGTGAAGCAACGATCAGCCGATTCAGTATCAAAATTATGACACTACGATTTACTGCAGGGTAGTGAGAATAAGACGACAAATTTGACTTCTGTGACGCTCCAAGCCTCGACATAGCGTATCGATCTCGAACTGTTTCCATGCTGTGAGTAAAGCAGACTTAAAGCTCATGAACATCGTTTGCCTTTGTTTTGGTTACTTATGCGAGGGTATAGGTGCTTGTATTCGTCGCTTGCAAAGAGGAATCTGATGATGTCTTTGGCTACTGCGACAGGAGCAAGTGGTTTGGGGCGCGCACATATTGATACGAGACCTCGCAGGATGAGGTCCTTTGAGACGAAACTGATGAAGCATTTTTGGTGCAGGATCGCGGATATACTGACCTGTTCTCAGGCTCCAACCCTCCACCCCTGATCTGAAGCGAGCCTAGATCCCGAGCGCTAAGATTCACCCGCTGATTGGATCTGAGGCGTGGCTGTGCATGCACTCCTACGGCACGGGTCGCGGACCCCAACTCGCAGCAGCCTAGAGTGCCCCCGGGGTCAAGCCATACAAATAACAGTAGCTTAGGCTGGCGGTGCGCTGCACTTTCGTCTCTCGTTCCGCCATCAGGTCAAGATGACCGGCAAGAAATATCGCAATCTCAAAGCCGAGACCAAACGGCAGCGTATCTTTTTCAACAGCCAAAAGTTTAGCTCTCGATCTCTGAATCTCGTGCCGGAACCCCACCGAGAGAAGTTTTTCACCATCCAGGAATTAGGTCGCACGTTGTATAATACGTATGCATCTGTGCCTGGGTGTGAATCTCTGGAGCGACCTTGGCAACCCAAGAACAAGCAAAAAGCGTCAAGATTGGTTCGAAACGCAATAAGATGCCGAGAAGCGAATAAGAATGAAAGTGGGTGGCGGTACGAGCTCGAGCCCAAAGTTTTCGAGAGATTTGAGATCGAGGTGACATGGTTAGTATCTGACGAATTGAGTGTTGGTCCACCAGCTTTATTACTGATGCCTCATAGTAAGACCTGCCGCCAAAGGCTATGGAGATCCGAAATCGAAGTCAATCACGATTTTGCGAATAGTAAAGCCCCGTCCTTGAGGAAGCGACAAGCCCGGCGAAAGCCCTGCACATGCAACCCATTAACTCGCTTGGACTGGTACGTCCCGATATTCAACCCTGTTTCCATTCCTTTTCTAGTGCTGACTAGTCACAAGTCTAGATCCAGGAACTAGCGAGATATTTTCCAACAGAATCGAAGAATTCGCCGTCGAAGATGACTCGAAAAGTTTCGACAAAAAACCAGATCGCACATACGGTCTACAAGAGACCAAAAACTTAGCAACACGTCTTCGTAAAGAATATGCCCATGCATCACCACGTCTAGGTAGACAGCAACTAGTCTCAGACGTTATTAGAACTAGCACGAATCCTGACAACGGTGGTGTGCCCTTGCATTTTCCATTCCTCATCCATGAGGCGAAGAGCGAGAAAAGTGCGAACAATTTTGAAGAGATAGAGATACAGACGGCACTGCCGATCAAGCGAGCGCTGCACGTTCAGCAAACTCTCAAAGAAACTCGTGGCAACACAGTAGATGTCCCAGGCGGACCCTTGGTATGGTTCACGGCGAATCGGGGAGAGACGTGGCGCGTCTATGCAGGGACCGTCTACAAGGATGATGGCCGCGCAAATTACGTGAGTGAGAGCGAGACGTGCAATCGCACGTTGATATATTGGATGCTAATGTGTCCATAGCTTGTGTCTCATCTTTGGGAAGGAAGTATAAACAACCATGACGAAGCTCTTCAGCTTATCCTGATCATTGACTTTATCGTTGATTGGTCCAGAGATGTCTATCGACCAAGCATTCTCTCGCAGCTGAAAGCACTAGGTACTGCTGATACGACCCGGACAATGTCATTTTCACTCGACACTGATATAAACTCGCTTCGCTTCAACCTCAATCCTTGGATCGAGGGCCAAGATTCTGCACTTACCCAGATGGAAGAGTCCGAGGTAGTTGAGATCACCCGACATAATTTCGGCGAATCCTCCGATAACCATTGGAAGCAACTTCAGATGCCTTTGGGAATCGTACACAGTGCCAGGAACATCGAGTCTCGTTTCAGAGCACTTTACATATCACGCGACAATCTTGGGACACTCTTACAAAGCTTCAACGAACCAGCCGATGAGATTGAGTTCATCCGGAATCTTTTAGCCGTTGCACCTGTTCGTCTGGAGGCCGAAGATATTTTGAATTCGATTGAGGATATTTGGACGGGAAACTTGAGGACAAGCCCTCCGAGACCTGCGGGAAGCGAGAAGAAAGAAGTTTACGCCCAGCTTCGATTTTCTTACTTCATCGATTCTTCGTGGGGACTAGTTAGGGAGCTGACGCTGCTCGCGATACAGGAGGACATAGTCGACAACTTGCGCGAGATATCGAACTGGACTGAACAATATCCACCACATCATCCTACCTGTCATTGGCCCCAGAACCGGCTTCTCGAAGCATTGCAGACTGTGCTGCACTCGAATTTTCAAAATGACTTCAAAGATTGCCTAAAGCGACGGACTTTCGCTTTAACCAATTGGAATGAGCCACCAGGATTTGGGCCACACCATCCCAAGAACCATTCACGTTTGAGTCCAGATTGGGGCATAAACAGTCCCTCGTCTAGAGCTTACAGTATCGTGCATGCGATCTATGAAATGCACCGCGTAGGCCGTCGCACGCCGTCTGAGCCCTTCTTGCGAGTTTCTTCTCGCAGTCACCTTCATTCTCGCACTCGCGTTCCCAATTCCTGCGGATTTTTTCTAAGCACGAAAACGGGATGGCAGATGAGCCTACTCTATTCTCCCGTTCCTGATAGCACCAGCCTCCGCGAGGGAAACAAACAGACGCTCTGCCTTTACGTCCTTCCTAGGAGCAGCAGGACCAGTAATGAACAAAAACCGACCAGACAAGAGATTGCTAGCGGATTGATCCAATTTCTTTTCGATCGTCTCCTCGTCAAATCCTACCGAGGAGGCAAATCTCCACCAACCGATTCTCCTTGGCAGGATAACGACCCAAACCACTCGTTTTGGCTGGACACAGGCTCTCCCAGGTTAGGCATCAAGCACGAGGAGTTGATTATCTCTATCATTAATTGGATCCGCGACTTACGGCCAAAAACTAATCTCCTGCCGAGTTCCCACGCTTACATGGCAGGATATGAATTCGTGCCAGGAGCCAGGACTTCGATTGAAGTGTGGATGAACTCTCTCGACGCCGAGGTCGGCCCGGAAACCTCCACAATTGACGAGAACATGCGAGAAGTAGTGCTCACGGGCATAGCAAAGCGACCTACAGCAACTTACAAATGACCAAATCTGACTGAACGCCTCGATCATTTGGATGCACGAATCGCTAATCTGGACGTTGCTACATCCGCTTCTGCTGTTCCGTTACAGTTGGAGAGCGAATTGGAGGACTGAATTCGCAAAGATGTTTGTGCTGGTTTGCGCGTTTCAGGGGCTCCTCGGACTATTCGGCACAGCAACAAACCTCATGTTTACTTTTTATATGTTGAGTTGGGTAAAGATCTTATGTTGAGTGCGTAGACTTGCATTCTCGATTGCAACCATTATGTACGTAGCATGGTGAACAGTTCGACAGCGTGGCCGACATAGATTTGCGAGGCTCTATCGATCTGTGGTTTTTATTGTTCCTTTGAATAAATTTCGCTCATGCCTTATATGATCAGCATCCTAACTTGTGTCCTTTTGCAACTGGCTGGATCGTCGGGAGAAGGTCTCCACAAAGGAGGGAAAGATTTGCCCTCGTATTTAATGGGATTGGATATTTGATTGTATAAGTCGGCGGCGCTTGATAGTGTACTTGTCGTTCCGTTTCCCATGAAATAATGGATATACTCGGCATTCGACATTTGTGGTGCAGAACCACAGGCTCCAACGGCCAGATGTTAAGAGTGGAGTTTTCCAACAATACCTCAGCTTTGTACATTTCCATTTGATCAGCACTCAGTGTGGTCAGAATCGTTGCTGTTGTGTAGCTCCCGCTTGCTGGATCATTCTTAGGTTGTTCTAAACTGTGACGGTTTATGGAGTGAAGAGGTCATGTCTGCCACGTGTGCTGGTGCAGTGCTCTTGTGTCGGAGGGAGTGAAAGTATCCACCGATTGCCATCTGTTTGCTAGCGGTCCGTTGCAGTGTTTGCTAACGGTCCACTGCACTGATTGTCCAGCTCATTTGGTTAGCTCGGTTTGCTTCCCCAACCCTTCACTGCTATCCCCTCCTACTATATAGTCTCGATCGATTCTAGCCAATAGCTCTAAGGATCAATCAACATCTCAACCCTTCAACATCTTGCCTGTTCCAATAACACTTTCTGTCTGAACGACAGATACATCATGTAAACAGACCCTGATGGCCCGGTGAGAGAGACAGAACACTGAACAAGAAGATGTTGCAGTAAATGCAATAAGTGAAGGTGTAACCGCGCAGGGCAGTAAGTCAGGGGTAACCGCGCGAAGCAGTAAAATCAGTATATTCTGTTGTTCTGTTGTTCAGTGTTCTGTCTCTCACTCGACCCCTAGCGGGGTCTGTTTACATGACGTATCTGTCGTTCAGACAGAAAGTGCTATTGGAACAGGCAAGAGCACTGCACCAGCACACGTGGCAGACATGACCGCTTTACCCCATAAACCATCACAGAAGAACAACAATATATACCGATTTTGCTACTTCGCGCGGTTACCCCTAACTTACTACCCTGCGCGGTTACACCTTTACTTATTGCATTTACTGCAACATAAACTGATGTAAAGAGCAATTATTCCCTGTAAAGAATCTTCTAAAGGTCAAAGGCACTGACTTCTGTAATGTTGCCGTTTTTGTTTGTGGTTCCCAAGCTTTCTACTTTGTACAGTTCATCGATCTCACAGTTGTAACCAACATCAGCACTTGACAAAGAGTAGAGATGCTGTCTTGCGTGCATGTTGAGCTTTTGCGTCTTATTGATCTCAGTAGGTAACAGAAACGCCTCTGATGCATTCGTGTAGGGCGTCCTTACTGACACCTAATGTATTCCAAGTCGAGGGATCATCAAACTAGGAACTGTCGTTACAAAGAGCAGTCCTGATACCAAAAGAGCAAACAAGAGCTTACGCCATGCGCTAAAGTCCGTAGAAATGATGGCAGAAGCAAAATCTAAAAACCGCAGATAAGATAAGTTTGACGCCTGTGCAGCCCCTGAAAGAGCACATAGGGAAATGTAGCCATTGATTGCCTGAGACCGGATTAGGTAGAGAAGCATATCCACCAGCGATGCCTGCATAAGCAGCTCGTGAAACTTGGCTACAAATTGTAGGGCTGTTGCGTTATCAGAAGTTCAGGCCTAATTATCCGTCTGGAGAAGTAGTATAAGTGGTTTGCCGCTGCTTACGTGAAGCAAATGAAGTAGGCTATTGAGGGATGCCATGTATCGACTTTGGTACATGAACGACCTTGCGCTGCTCCGATGAGGATCTCCAAAGAAAAGCATTGCTGAGCAAGACACTGAACAGTAGGAGGCGGACAGTCTTCAAGAAGTCACAAACTTTTGAATTTTCTGACTACTGAGGCGCAACACAAGGCTTGTTCGCAGGCTGGAAATTTAGTAGACTGGCGCTAGAGCCATCGTTGCTATGAACGTTAGCAGATATAAGAGGTTATGCGCAGACGTCTACTAACGGCGACTGAACCATCTCAGGCTCGGACTCAGCGTTGCGGTTCATTTTGCAGACGATGCAAGTTAGAAGACTTGATGAGCTCTCAAAGTGAGCCTTCACTCTTCCACTTGAACAGATGAAGTGCAGGAGCTCTGCGGGATACTCTAGAAGTTAGTAGCGCAGAGAACACTAAAAATTAAGGATGTACACTACCTGTCTTCTAGCTGCTTACCACAAACATCCTTTGAATTAATTGCATCTAGTAGTAACCGGGCTAAAGCTCGGTGACCAAGGTCTGTGAATTGGTACTGATTTGCTCAGCGAAGAACACGGAAAGCCAAGGCAAGACAAGTTTGGACACAAGCTAAGACTTCTTACCATCTGTAGTGCTCTTTTCATGACAAGTCCAGAGCATTGGTTGTTACAGTATTCCAGAAAGTAAACTCAATTTAACCAATGCTTTCACCTCTTGTCTAATCACACTACCCCTTGTCATTGTTTCTGCTAATAATCTTCGGTTCAACATGCTTAATCAGATAATCAAGAAAGCCTAAGAACAGAGAAAAAAGAATTGAACGCGTTTTAGATAAAAGTGTATTGATTAGAGAACCCTTTAATTGGCTGTTTCCCTGTAAGCGGCATCCGGGAGCCTGACTTCCTAGCAACAGTAGTCTAGACTTAGTAATGCAGCATGCTAAATTAGAATGCAAAGTGTGGAAGAATGTATGTGGACTGCTAGGGATCGGCTGAAGACAGCCAGCTCGGAAGACTGCAGGAATAGACCCGGCACAGAGCATGAAGGCGTTCGGAGGTCTGCAGACTGGTCCTGGATTTGCGTTTCGTGAAAACAGCCAAATTGACCTAAACAAGTTAGTCAGGTGTGATGAGGGTAACGGGCTTGTGTTTACCGAGAACACAAATGCGTGCAACTAATTCCTCAAAACGGTACCACAATAGACGGCGGATCGGACAGGAGAACTTGTTTTTAACGTCCTATGGTTGTATGTGAAGAGGTGTCTCTTTTTATAAAATACATTCGAGCGAGTTGACAAGATGGCGCAAGAGTATTAACAGAAGCAAAAAGGCAAAAACATACAACAGCAGGTATTCGCTAGTGGTCACCCACCTAACTACTAATCCGCCGGTACGCTGCTTAAATAGGGCTGAGCGAACGGGAAGCCTTGTTTTCAACGTCCTATGGTCGTATGTGAATGAAATGTAGTTTTTTACAAAATATATTCTACAATCAATATAACTGCAGCCAATAGGAAGAGGCAACGAACTAGAACGCGGTTTGACAAGAATTTATGGGACTTGCTGTGCCGGTATGCGCGTAAAAGAAACCTGTGGGGTCAGAAGAACTATTGCGAAATGCTACTGTGGGTAGACGCTATTTCATCGACCAAAGCAGTCTTACAGAGCGCTATCATCAAGTCTTTTTGATGCGCACGATCTAAACCCGAGCGCAATCAGTGATTACTTGGCTGGGTGAAGCCACTGGCGACGAACGACAGGTTTTCCGGGCCCTGAAAGACTCGAAAAATTGGAGTCAATTCGTACGCAGAACGCGATCACCGATCTGTTCAACAAGCGGTACTGGTCGCGTGTCTGGATCATCCAAGAATACATCCTGCCTCCAGCTGTACGCGTCTGGTGTGGCGATTATACGGCCAACCCAGATGCCTTTGACCAACCGTGGCCAACTCAACTCCGTCCTCGTCTGAACCAGCTGGCTTTGAGGATTCTCCACTACAGAAAAATCTAGCAGAAGAGACTCTTAAAGAGTGAATCAGTACAGGTGTTTGGGCTTTGTAACTTGATACGATCTTTCCAGTCGTCACAGACTTCTGAAAGGTACGACAAAGTCTATGGATTCTTGGGGCTGGCCTCAGCATGCAAGAAGTTTGCTGCCGATGTGAATTCTGAATATTCCAAGCCAGCAATGGAGCTTCTGATAGACGTAGTACAGTTTGAGAAAGATTCTGGAGCATCACCGTCGGAACTCTTGGCAGATATGGTACTTCTAAAAGATCTGTTAGGAGTGTCGAATCTGCAGCTGCTATCGTTACTGCGCAATTTTGCGGAGAGAACAAGCTGTCACATCTTTGCATTGCTCTGTTTCGATCCGGTCGCGGTGCCTATGGGGCACTTAACGACAGTGACCGACCTTTCGAAAACCATTCGCCGACAAGGGACGGACCGCAAAGAGAGAAATCATTTGACAAAGCTGAGACCAAACGATGATTCTCAAGTCTCAACCGAGATTCCTCAACCGGGTTCGAGGAAGGCGACGTGTCGTGGGGGCTCAGAAAATTCTTGGACTCAACGCGTCAGCGAATGTTAGATCTGACTGATGATACCTGAGCGTGGAACTTTCGATTGCCGCCAGTACCTAGTATGAAACACGATACTGAGCTGATATATGAGTCCGCACTCCTGTTGCTGAGTCGTCTGATGGAAGCTTCAAAGCCCCAGCCGGACTCTGATAGTCTGGAAGAGCCTCTGAAGCTTTTCATCCACAGTTTCAATCAGGAACCTTGGGCAAAGTTGAGCGATGCGTTACCTGGACATTTTGATCGAAGAGAGACAGTCTATACAAGATTCAAGTGCTCGAATAGTGCACAGGGCGTTCTTGTGTCCGAGTCGCAGTTCCTACTCAGGTCATTAGGTATGCCTCTGGAAATTTGGACATTTGAGGCTGTCGCAGTTCCTGAACGTGGACTGCTTGTAAGACCACAAGATCACGGTTCAAAAATCGCGTGCGGCCTTGCTGTGTTTGAACACCCCGCTTCATGTAGCGAGGCCAGTTTTGATCCAGGTAGCCATCGCATTGAGCACTGGGCAATGTTGGGTCCAATGGAGCTTCTCGAATTGCAACGAATTCGAGTTCTTAACCAAAGGCAGCTTCAAGACATGTGTGCTCGATGGATGAGAGGGACAGGTCTCCGGCAGCCCAATCCCAATGAGAAATAATAGGATTGATACTTTTGGTCCGGTGTGGACATGGCGAGGCGAGCCTTAGGTACTCTGGTAGCTGTCGTAGGAACATGTTTGGTAATTGATCTCTGCTGTGGCATGCGTTTGCTACTCCTCTCGTATCAAATTGAAGTTTGACTGCTCGCCATACTGTAATTGCGTCAACGTCTTTGTCGAGGACGATCAAGGTCTGTGCGAGATTCTAGAATCGCAGCTGGAGGGAACCGTCATCTGCGTTTTCAGGCCACTTGTCGAATACACTATAACCTGCTGTATCAATATGTCAAATAACGCAGAGCTGTCGGAACCGATGGCCGAACTGGCACAGTACCAATACCGTTCGCTCATGCTAGGGATGAACTACGTTCGGTTGCTTCGCCTACTGCCAAGTGAACAGAAGGGTGCCGTTATGGAATGTCAACTCTTCGAATACACATCGGAGTCGGCCGAAGCGGTACATCTATACGAAGCTTTATCTTACGTTTTGGGGCGATCCAGAGGAAACTGTGTCGATTGTTGTAAATCAACATCGTTTCAATGCCACGAGCAACCTTCATTCAGCTCTGATACGTCTTCGAGATAACTCACTCGACCGCATTCTGTGGATAGACGCCATTTGCATCAACCAAGCTGATGACCGGGAGAAGGAGCAACAGATTCAGCTAATGCCTATAATCTATGGTCTCGCCAATACCGTAGTTGTTTGGCTTGTGTTGAAGGGTTGAGATGTTGATTGATCTGTTGAGCTATGAGAAGGATCGATTGGGACTATATAGTACAAGGGAATAGCAGTGGAGAATCAAGCTGCACTTAACCGAATGAACTGGACAATCAGTGCAGCGGACCGCTGGCAAACAGATGGCGATCGGTAGATACATCCACTCCCTCCGACAGCTTGGCAAGGCAAAGAACGCTTACGAACACGAAGACGACCAAATACTCGAAGATCTACGCGTCATTGCGGACACAGGGCGTGCAGATCACCTAGGCGACCAAATTTTGCAGTGTAGAATCCTGAGACTGCTCGACCGGCCATGGTTTCGCCGCATGTGAGTACGAGAACACTGTCTTGACAATGAATATGGATATTACTGAGTAGATATCATAGGTGCTCCAAGAAGTTGCTGCAGCCCGAGATGTTTCAATCATGTGCGGCTCTGCGGAAATAAATGGGGTTGCTTTCTCTACGGGTCTGAAATCGTTACAAAGTCTGTATGAAGCCCGTACAGAGTTGCAGGGCCCTATTCGATGCGCAATTTATTTGATGAAAGGTTGTATTTTTCGATCCAGACATATCAGGATTGGGCCGACAACAACCCCTCTTGCCCTATGTCCACCAGGCGACTTGGTCGATATGGTTCATACGCATCAAGCCTCTAGGCGTCATGACAAAGTGTATACCTAGCTTGGAATGGAATCCGACGATTTCAGCACAGCTGGCATCTTGCCAGACTACAGCCTTCCATGGAATGAGCTCCTGCAGCGGCTTGTGAAATTCCTTCTGGGTGAGCAAACATCTATCCAAACCTCGGACGACCGAGAGATGGTAATTATCAATAGCACAGTCCTTTTTCTTGGCCACATAACCACAGTAGATGTTATACAACATAACAAGCAGATGGTGGGCGTGATTCTCGGAGTCAGGGCAGATGGACAAGGGAAGGGGGTATCTAAGGCTCGCTGGACCTTGCCGATTTCCGCAAAAGCGGTAGAGACGGGCGAAATCATATGTGTCTTGGGAGGAGCTTCGAAGCCCACCATCATTCGAACGTGCAAAGATCACTTCGCTATCATCATGATCGCGACTTCCCCCATGGAAGAGCCTTCTGGAAACAGGGTGTCAAGATCCTTAGAGATCACTCAACCCAAGCCAGAGTTCCCAAGCGATCTTTTACTAATCTGGGATTGGGAGAACCCCACGCCAGAATCGCAGGCTCTTAGGGAATATGAGGATGTGGTCAAAAGGGAAGGTTGCCACCCAGACTATTCTAAAGGATCTTCAGAAGCTCATTTAGATAGGGCAACCAGAATTTGGAAGAGTGCAATGTTCTTAGAGTATGTGGAGGAGTGCAAGAAAGCTGATGAGCGGGTTCAGGAGGCAACGAGACCTTCAAAGCAGTCTTCAATGAAATGGGACCAGGTCCCAACCCGCCAGTCAGCAGTCAACACCTCCATACACCGGTTTCATGGGCTGCGGAGTTTGGGTATATTGAGGTACTAGACCTACTTTTCAAAATATATGGAGTTGACCATAATGTGAAATACCCCAGACCACGGCCTGAACGCCGTGCATAATTTGTCGCATACCAGGTAAATCGACAACTGCGCAATGCAATACCATAGCCGCGCGAGTAAACAGTTCTGCACTCACGAAGGAAGACAGCGATGGGATGAGGTCGAGGCATACCTGAAACAATCCATTGAGGAAGAAGGTTGAGTATTCGCCAGGCATCTGTTCACGGAAGTGGTTTTCCACAAGTGAAATGATGCGTTGGCAATGCACGACCCGAAGATTCTGGGTTGTAGTTTCACCAATGAGGTACGCGTGGGGACCTAAAGGCCGCAGAAGAAGAAGGGCGATCACATCGCGGTGTGTACTGTAGACTCGCGAGTTCAAGTAAATGTTTCTTTGTGGACCTATCACTACGTACACTAGATTACTTCAAGGAACCCCTAATTGCAGCACGCAGAGATCAGTATCGCAGTCCCGGATCGTAGAATGGGTTTAGGTTGAACGCCAACGACTACGTCCCTTGTACCTCTGATACGGACTGATGTAAAGAGTTTAGAAGCTTGCACACACGACCGGTCTGAGAGCGCAGTTGATCGTCTCGAGCACACGTAGATTACGACCACAGCTCCCTGAGCAGTATCTCCATCCACGCATATTCGTTACGGAACGGCTCCAGAATATTGTCAACCCAATCATTCCAGTCATCGTCCCATCGTCCGCAAGCAAAGATAGCTCGGGCGTACTCCCAGTAGCTTGGGTACCAGCCAGCAAACTCCCAATCTATGATAACCAACTCGGAGTGCGCACTGTCTGGTTGCGTCTCCCGATCGCGTATAAGAATGTTCTTCCGTTGAAAGTCTGCATGCGAGAAGGTGGGCTTGTGGCTCTGAAAAACACCAGTGAACGTGCGAGTGTAGTAATTTGCCTTGTGCTTCGAGAGACCACTCTCTGTGTATTTGAGAATCAGGGCTTTGTTAAGCTCCGCTTCCGTTTCAAAAGGTCCGGCAAATGAATTCGATGGATTGTCCGTCCAGAAAAGACCGTCTGGTAGTCCTCCATGGCCGACGCTGCAGTACCCACCAGGGGAAGCCAGCTTTCGCATCTCTCCGAAAATGTTCCGAAGCTGGAATGTAACAGCTTCCTTAGATGCAGAGTCCATCCGAGGCCACTCCAGATCCAGACCTGAACCTTTGATACGCTCTATGATGATGTATGTGGTATTTTGTGCGGAGTTTTGGAACATCGCGTAAATCTGCGGGACTGGGACCAGTGTCGATTGTGCCAGGAACAGCATCGTCTTGCCCTCGAGGGGATCAACCTGGACTCCGTACTTGACAACAAAGTGAGTGCCCACACCAACAACTTTACGTCCCGTTGTGTCGCTGAAGATCTCTTCCGCAGATTCGATCTCGTGGACGTTCGGTAGAGTTGCTGGCAGGTTCCTGGCGTCTGCAATATAAGGCAGACTACAGGAAGCCATTGTGGATGTGGTTGAGTGCGAAAGAAGCCAAAGGTGGATGGGGCACCCATTATCGCAGCTAGTCGGGATTGAATACGTCAGAGGCGAGACCGTGCACGATCAACATCGCGTTGCGTACGCTCTACGCCTTTTATCATCATATCCTGCTGGACAGACACCATACTGTTGCATTACTGTAAATTCTTCAAGTTAGAGTCTACTTGAATGCATATTTGTAGCTGCGTGTGCAGTGTCGTTCCGGAGGCTGTGGTCAGTGATTGTATTGCTATCTGTTGTTGTTTTGGTGATGTTCTTGTACAGGAGCTCTCCGCTCAGAGGTAAGTGCACTTGCCCACCGGGCAGTGCCTTCTACAATAGGATATCATGTGACCTAACCCACGTAGTTACAATATTTGATGAGGGCGTTGTGGTGTTGTTGTATTGATGCTATCAGAGCGGGGCGATATCTACAGTGCGCTAGAGCGGGAGCTAGTCAAACGGGCTGACTAATGAGAGCGCTGCCTGCGCGGACAGCAGCCTTCTGCTCGTAGATAGATCAATACAATTCATCTCATCTTCTGCACTCAGTATTGGTTCGACAAAATCAGCCAGGGGCTAAGTTAAGCACAATACTAAGGAGGAGGGAAGTCAACCAGCATAGGTAATGAGAGGTGGAACTCAGGATAGGTGGTTAGATGTTCGGCTGTGCAGCGCGCGTATGCACGAAGCCTCAGCACAGCGCTGTCGATCACGCTAAAATGTACATGTGTATTTTAGCGTCCTATCGATTGGCACCAAGAGCGCCCGTTTTGCGTGCGATTACCGGGTAATTAAGCCGACGTTGTCTCAAACCCGTCTTCTAGATGTGCGCGGTGTCGCGCGACCCACTTGACGCGACCCACTCGAACTATCACTTCTTGCTTCGTTCCCTCCTACCTTTGTCGTAGTACACAGGTTTGCCACCGACCGAATGTACAACGTCGCTAAGGTATCATGTCAGTGGCTCGTCCTCCTTTTATGAATGCCTACACAGTCGCGATCGCAGACCATTCAGTCGAAACCGATAGGCGGAGGACCAGATGGCTTCCAAAACTTATTCGACTCGGTATGCAAAGACATAGGTACTCATGGGTCTATACAAGCGTTAGATCATTTGGGGGCGAAGGTAATACAGACTGGTACTGTTGCTGAGCCGTTCTAACGCGAACGTAGAAACCCAGGATCTATTGGTTACTCTTGTCTCTACCTTGCAAGCCCTTCCTCCTGCTCAGTTCCTGAGATCTAGAAATGGAAGCAAAGCTCTCTTCCATGACCTCTTGAGGCTTAATGCAGCTGTCAGCTCTGCCGATTTCGACGTCAAACGAATACCGTGTCCGTGTACCCAACGATCGGAGTCAACCAACGATCAGGGCACCACATTTGTAGTATATTTCAACGCGTAGTAACTCAACCACCATGCCAGGAGTTCAAGATGCGCTTAAAAAGATTTGTCAATTGAAGCCAGGTGAAAAATTTGTATATACAAAGATACGTGACAAGGTTGTGGCGAGGGTCCAGGAGGCCTGTGAGTCTCTCCACGGCATGTTTCCGGTGGCCTCTTATCGTTTCTTCTCAGAGACATCAACGTCGGCTTCGAGCACGGTAGTCTTTGTTCTTTACACTTCTCGCATCGTGCTGGCCAGTACCCATCTTTGACGAGAGTGAATGAAACACCACATGCCTGTTAGTAGGTGACCGTGCATGCGCCGTTCCATGCTGACTTACAAGTAGCTTCGACTTCCTGCAGTCATCGCATCTATACTTCGTCTTGCGATTCCATGGTTTTGGCTTTTTAAAAGTTGATGTGAGTTCTGACATACTGAAAGACACCAGATCCGTAGTCAAAAATTGAGGGTGAGATTGTGGGTTGAAAGGGTGTATTTTAGTAGGCCATCGTGGTAAGGTTCGAAGACGCTTTCTGTACGACAACGGTACAGGAGAAGTTATCGACAACTGGTGCGCACGACGCGGAAGCAGGCATGTCTGCCGGTGTGCGGCGGCCGCCTTGGTGGAGATGGAGGACCAAGGCTACAAACATAGCCACTCCCCAAACAGCAATTGACGCCACCATGCATCTGAGTGCGTGCCAGCCCTGAGTTGTCGCATGTCGGGAAGGGAGAGAATTCCTACCCGGGTCTGCACTGATATTTTCCAGGGTTCTAGGATCTGGGTGCAGTCGCATCAGGAAGCTCCGTACCTCATAAATAGCTGTCGTCTACAGGTATTTTCTATATTGTCGAATTATTTCGAAGACAACTCTTTGTTGCATACAACTTTCCACGTGCCACAGCAGCCCGTACTATTGTGGTCCTCATCTTGTGGTTGCCATCCCTTCGATCCACTGATCCTCCGTTGAAAGGTCTACGCAGGACTATGAATGCCATCGTTCCTTGGGGAGAGAGCATTGAGGTCCAAAATGCCGTCACGAACGTACAGCGCTCGACTGCTGCCTCGAGCAATAGTCTGAACATGTTGGAAACGCTTTTTGCAGGACTCTCGGTACTTGTCGGAAGTCTTGCTCTAGTGATCGGTCTTCTGCAACTGCTGAAATGCCAGAGACGCCGTCGGGCGTCAAGACGCAGCAGCATACACGAGCTAGAAGCCACATTGCCTGAGGTAATTATCGCTCCATTCGTTGATCAACCCAGCTCACTGATACGGGGACAGATCTGGGTGCGCGAGAGGCACGAGACATCTGAAGAGCATGAAAGGTTTGCGGCATCGAGGTAGAGGAGGAGAGCAGCGTTCAGCTCTCAAGATCGTAGACTTGGGCCAAACGCAATTGGCGGAAGACAAGGCATTCGCTGTTCTGGATAGGTTTTTATTGCAAGAATATGCCATGCGGCAACAGAGAGGATAGCGCGAAACAAAAAGGAACGATGAAGCTTAATTAGAGTGTAAAGAGAAGGAAAGGTGTGTGGACCGGCAGGAAGCTGGCTGAAGAAAATTAGCCCTGAAGGTTGCAAGAATAGATATTATTCATGACAGCATCTAGAGGTCTGCAGACTGGTTCTGACCTTGTGTTTTACAAAGCAGACAAATTGACCTAAAAGAGTTAGTAAGATATGGTAAGGGTGACAGGCTTGTGTATACTAAAAACACGAATGTGTGCAGATGAACCCTCAAAACAGTACCTTGACGAACGGCGGATGGACAAGAGAACTTGTTTTCAACGTCTTCTGGTCGTATGTGACGTTTATGGCGGCATCTTACGTATACACTAGAGATGCGTGACATGTGTCGCTCACGCGGAACGGGTGAACCTGGGCCATCTATGCTTCTGTGTCACTACGCTGATGAGCTACCTCCAACGCGGGCCTTTTTATTATGTTGAGGAAACTCAATTCGGGAGATGTATCGAGTCCGAGTGTGTCGAGCCACTGAGGCGTTGCAAGCGTCTAATGCTGTATGAGAGACGGGGGCGTGGGGTAAGCAGCGTACAGGGGTGAGTTTAAGTGCGAGAGCTGCGTGCGCTAGCAGTGGAGCGGACCGGTGCGGGAGCAATGCAATCTACATGTTGTGATTGAGACGCGGAACTACACTCATGAACAGATCGATCGGTGCGGTTGAGATTCGCCTATTCGCAAGCGAAAGTGGTGCTCAGGTTTCTCCAAGCTAAATAATGTTTAGCGTGCCTTATGTAGAGCGTCCGTGTCCTGTGCTGAAGTTGTGTATTGACTCGTGAGTTCAAGACGGTGTTCAATCGATGTCTGTTTGATATACATAATATGGCTTGCGATCGATATCGGAAATGGTACCTCTGCATGTGGTACTGAGACAGTCGCAGTTGTTGCAAATAGTATGCTGACATACCATCCATCTATGGAGTCCTGGATGAACAGACAATTGGGATGCTGAATACGAAGCCGAGAGATGGAGAAGCAAAGGCCGCTCTCTGAGAGCCGACTATCGATGGAGTCAAATTGTCGGATGATGAAACCTGGCACCGATTGAATGGCTTCGATTATTGGAAGGACTGTAGAATACGTAATGGTCCAGCGGAGATGTTTCTCTACTGTCACTATAACCGAGTGGGCCAACTACATGCGGTATGGCAGTCAGCAAGGTTTCTTACGCTTCTGTATACTACCTGATAAATACATTTGGGTTCCAGAAGTGTTCCGGAGACAACGTCAAATCTCTTGTTCGAGAGGAACCAGTCGCATTCCATAGAAGGAGAAGTCATCGTTGATGGTGACTGTCGCAGTGACTGAACGCTTTGCGGTGTCGTTCCAGGCGTGCCACGCGAGACATCGACAATCGCATGCACGAACCGCAAGGCGTATGCACCGAATCCACGGTCCCACTTGGTGTTCGATAGTTCATTGATGCTTATCTGTGGCAATCAGCATGGTGCAGCCACCAGCACCACAAGGCTGATAGCCGCAATCCTTTGTATTCATGTCTATAGCGTATCACTCCGGCTTCTTTCGCAGACTGCCGGGCTCCTATCGCGAACTTGATCGTTCTAATTCTTCTTGAGTCGGAGTGAAAGTCTTGGGGTGGCGTCCGCAAGGATTGGAGTTGGAAACATGTGACGATTGGAGGATATTGTACGTTAAGCGCGCCACATGCGATTCGGCACGGTAGTATTTTGGTAATGGTATTCCGTGTTAATTCAGTCCGATGAGAGGAAACATATGTTTCATTATTGGTTGTGCGATGTATCGGTTGTCGTTCGTATTTGTCGCCAGGAGCAAGGCTGGCATTTCGAGGTACTATTGATCGTAATCAAATGAAGCAATGGCTTTTGGGGAAGTCGATCTTGGCGTTCATGTCCAATGTTGGCGGTGAGGACGTGGGCAGCTCGGCTTAATTGAATGTCTAGAAATGCTCCACGGTGTGTTGTACGATCCAGAGCTTCGACAACCAGTCCCATGATTCACAGCAAAACAACGCTATGTGTCAAAACCACGCGAGTTGCTGCTGCTTTCGAACCCGTGGGCACGCGCCTAGTCCCACTGCGGGGGAATTGCAAATCAGCCAAACTGGGCCTGCGTCCTCGTTGCTGCACTGCTGGAAGTCGTGCAGACAAGCTCTATCGAACCGCCACATGGCGTGTTAGCGTTCTCTAACGTTCAGTAGGAAATGTAACATCAGGCGATCTCCGCCACCTCAAGACGGCGCAATTGTCTGCAAGCGTCGATGTGATAACGGTACCCCCGCTCCCATCATCTGCAAGACTTCACACCCGCGTGCCTGATAGTAGCATCGGGCTAGCGTCGACCTGGTTATCGGAATGCTGGAGATACCCTTGGCCGAGACTAGCTTCGCTGATAACTTCGAGAAACGCGACTCGAAGCCACGAAGACCATGGCGCACAGCATTTCTTACATGGCGTTGCGTGTGCGATGCAGCTTGTCGATAGGGGCGAGGATGATGGTCCACCGGCGTCAAGCTAAAGTCATCTTTGCGCAGGATCAGCGCCGCGGTTGCCACACGCACCACCCGCACCACACAATAATGAAAAATGCTCGAGAATGCCGGAGGATGTTTTATGCCCCAGGCTTCGAGTCTCAGCCGTTGCATGCTGCAGGAAACCGCTCTTGATATTGCTCTGCTGCAGGGCACCGTCTCCTCGGGTTCACGAGCGTTCCCTCCTCGGGGTGCACGACGGTGTCCTGTCCAAGTGAAGTGCGAGCGACTCCTTCTAGAAAACGCACCTTTCCGAGAAAGGCGTCTCAGCCGAAGCCCCGCGTACTTTTGCCTCCGCTTATCACGGGCCAAGCCTTTTGACAGCACGTTTGGACCCCTTATTGGTTGAATCGCGTCTATCAGGACTGGGGAAAGATAACGATCCCAGCCAGCATTGCCAAATCGTGGTAAGACCGCCGGTGCTTTGTGAATTTGACACAAGGCCATCCGCGTGTGCAGCAGCGAGTGAGCATCTCGTGAGATGAACCTAGAGACCCTGGACCTGGCGGAGATGACCGGGGGCCAATGAACTGTCGCTCCATGACGCTCCAGCCAGATCGAAAGAGGAAGTTGCCAAGAGCAAAGCGGACGGGGAATCGAGGTTGTAGTCTGGGCCGGCTGTGGATAGGTGCCCTCCACTTTCGTGGTAGCGCAAATCACTGTGCGAAAATATAATTCCCGTCGTGGCCGACCTGTGTGAAACCTCAGCCAACAATTCCTCGCTCATTTTAACGTCGTTGACCGGAATTGCTCTTGTGCCCGTTTTCAACATGGCCCACCTGCACGAGCACAACGCGTCCGCCCAGCAGGGCGTGCCGCTCAGCAACGACCTGGCCCTTCACATCTCCCAGGAACACCAGCATGAGCACGTGCACCATAGCCCACGTGCGGCTCACGACGACAACATCACGTACACGGTTGGAACCACTGACGACAAGAGCGTCATTCCCGACCCAGGTGCGCAAGACCATGGCCTGCACCACCGGCTTCCTGAAAAGCATGGTCTGCATGAACAGGGCGCGTTTGAGAAAAACGCCGACATCGATTTTGAAGAGAAGGGCACGCGTGGTAGCTCCACAGATCCTGAGCCCGAAGTGGAGAAGAAGAGCAAATGGTCGCTGTCCGTGCTCTACAGGCAATTCAGGCTGCCGGTGCACATCTTCATTGGTGCTTTGTTCACTGGGTGAGCCACACAGTGTGATGTCAAGCTGTAGTTTCGGTTTGAACTGACAACTTTAGATGGTGGGTTGCGTCTGTCGTCGTGCATCGCCATGACAAGAACTGGGTCATTCCGTTCTTGTTCTGGTTGGCGATCATGATTCGTCTCATCACGTGTCACATCCCAATCACCATCGTCACCAAGCCCATGCACTGGGTCTGGAACAACACTGGAGTCAGGATCGGAGAGCTTGTCCCTGAGAAGCTGCGTGTCCCTGCGGGCGCTGCTCTCACCATTTCCGTTATCATTGTTGGATCCATGGCAAGCGAGGAGAGCCAGGACAACACGCGTGCCAACCGTGCCGTTTCTCTCTTCGGTCTGGCTGTGTTCATCTTCGCATTCTGGGCCACTTCCCGCAACAGGAAGATGATCAACTGGCACACCGTTATCGTTGGAATGCTGGTTCAGTTCATCGTCGCCCTTTTCGTCCTAAGAACTGGCGTTGGTTTCGACATCTTCAACTTCATCTCCGAACTTGCTCGTCTGCTTCTCGGATTTGCCAACGACGGTGTTACCTTCCTTACTGACGCGACTGTTCCCCAGAAGCCCTGGTTCTTCGTTAGTGTCATTCCGGCTATCATCTTCTTCGTGTCGTTCGTCCAGCTCCTGTACCACTGGGGTCTGATTCAGTGGTTCATTGGCAAATTCGCCGTCTTTTTCTTCTGGTCCATGCGCGTCTCCGGTGCCGAGGCTGTCGTCGCTTCCGCTTCGCCTTTCATTGGTCAGGGTGAATCCGCTATGTTGATCAAGCCTTTCGTTGCCCATCTTACGATGGCCGAGCTTCATCAGGTCATGTGCTCTGGTTTCGCCACCATCGCCGGTTCCGTCCTGGTTGCCTACATCTCCATGGGCCTGAACCCTCAGGCGCTCATTTCGTCCTGTGTCATGAGTATTCCGGCCTCGCTCGCTTTGTCCAAGCTTCGTTATCCTGAAGAGGAGGAGTCTCTTACCGCTGGACGTGTTGTCATCCCTGACGATGATGAGCACAAAGCCGCGAACGCTCTCCATGCGTTCGCTAACGGTGCTTGGCTTGGTATCAAGATCGCTGGTATGATTGTCTGCACGCTCCTCTGTATCATTGCGCTCCTGAACTTGGTCGACGGTCTTCTCACCTGGTGGGGCCGCTATATCAACCTTGATGGCGAGTACGACCTCACCCTTGAGCTCATCCTTGGATACCTCTTCTACCCCATTGCTTTCCTTCTCGGTGTATCTCGCCAGGGCAAGGACTTACTCCTCGTTGGCCGTCTCATTGGTGTCAAGGTCATCACCAACGAGTTCGTTGCCTTCACCTACCTCCAGTCGAACGACGACCCCAAATCTGAGTACCACAGCCTTTCTCCCCGATCCCGTCTCATCGCCACCTACGCGTTGTGCGGTTTCGGTAACATCGGTTCGCTCGGTACTCAGATTGGTGTGCTCAGTCAGATCAGTCCCGGTCGCAGTGGTGATGTCTCTCGTCTCGCCATGTCCGCTCTTATCTCCGGTGTCTTCTCGACATTGTCCAGTGCCAGTATTGCCGGTTTGGTCGTCACTGACCAGGAAAGGTTCTCGAGCGGTTCGTAAGCGTTGTCGAAAAGTATTGGAAGCTTGGCGTTGTGGATGTCTCTTGTTGAGGACTCAAAATGTAATGTTAGTTGCTAGTTAATGAGCGTATACCCAAGTAGAGGAGTGGACCATGAAGCAATCGTTCTACATTCACGACTCGAGTACTTTTGTGTGAATCTCGTTCGAGAGGCAGAGCACGCGCTCTTATTGATTTCATCGTGTGGAGACCATCGCAATCAGCCGCCTTTTGCACGCCATTGCCGCCCTTCCGCCTTACCAAGTCCGCCCTCAAATTTCCGAATGCAGTTAGCAACTGGACAGTGAGTAGAAAATCTTACTTGAGAATTTTCGAGGACTGTCGGAGATGACCGACAGTGGATACCACAGGAGTTCGTTTGGCATGGCCAACTGTCTGGAACACGCAGCATAGCTCAGGAGACAAGAGTTGAAGCCTGATCCACGAGAGCGGGTCACCGCACCTCGGTCCTTGCAGGTGAGATATTTGACACAATCCGGTAGTGCAACTGCATTGCCTCAATGGATGGTATGTATAACTACAGTCGAGAGTGCACACTTGACATTGAGCTGCACTACATCGTGCTGGCGTTGCATGCTGTCTGGAGGGGTTGCGGCTCCGGAAGATTCATGCCGAATCTCCAGAAGTCTGAGTGAGTTGAACATCAACTTGCCAAAGCGACAAGGTAGGCGTTCAAGTTACCATTGCTCTGAGGTCAAGTAATGTGTACGAGCCGTACGTGAATGACTTGGCTATGCCGTGGGCTCATTTCGCACTGAGCACACCTGTTCAACCGTAGCCCGCTACTTACGGCACTCTTCGGGCTGCGTCATGGTGCCGTCAAATGGTTGAAGAGGTTTGTGGGTACGAAGGTGCAGGTGCATTGAGCAAGCAGTCAGTTAAGTCACGTCAGGCTGGCAAGCGCGCTCGTGCACGGGCCAGACACCAGCGCCCTTTCCTCCAGCTTTGAGCCTCTGACCTTCACATTATCAAGTTGAGCAACACAACGTGATTCACTCAAGAACTCTCGCCGAGGAAGTACTACCTCATCAAACTGTGTTTGAAAGGAAGTGCAAGTACAAGGATCAGCCTGCCCCGTGCCTACGCCCGATGACTCTCACACTGTAGCGCGGTGGCAGAGTCCATTGCATGCATCCTCAGCATCGTTGAGCGTCCATGGGGAACAATTCTATGACTGAGCGAGTCTGCCTGGCCATGACGAGTGCGAAAAGCATATTCCTGCAATGGGCTTAGTGCTTACCTGACTTGGCTATTCTCCGGAACCTCTTTCCAGCAACTTCTACTAATCAAGGAAACGACTACTTGAACGCTCTTGTATCAACTTACTACACACCTCATAACCAGTTTTGGGTTTGCTTCCGAAATGTCGTCAACTCCACGCAAACAACATCGAAAGACTCGAACAGGGTGTCGCACGTGCAAGTAAGTGATCGCTACTTTTGCATGCCTAGTCAACTGACATCTATTAGGATCCGGCGTGTCAAGTGTGACGAGACGTTTCCAGCATGTCGACGATGTATAAAGCTGGGTGGAATCTGTGATGGATATGGGGTCTGGGGCGGTGGAGGTGCAATCAATCCAGACACAAAGTCTCCGCTACAGGCATTCGCTAGCAATTCCCTAATGACTGCAGCAAACAATCTCCGTGATGGACCTACATGGACGGGCCTACGTGTCTCCTCCGAGGAACAAATTTATCTTGAGTGGTTTATCCACGGCACAGCAGCTAAACCGCCTCGGATCTTCAACTCTCCATTTTGGGATCCTGCAATCTTACAGGCTACAATCCATGAGCCAATGATACTACAGGCGCTACTTGCTCTGAGTGCTGCGCATAAAAGACACGTACTGGACCCGGTCAATCGTGCAAGAGAAGGGCTTGTGCCTGATGGTCTCGAGGTTTTCCTTCTCAAGCACTATGGAAGCGCAATCAAGGGTCTGCAGAACCATCTAGATGGTGGCGCAAAAATACCAAAGGCGAAATGGTTTGCCGCGGTGACTATGTGCGCCATTTTCGTGCTGTTTGAGTTGATGCGCGGGCGCTTCGAGGAAGCTTGTGTACATCTCAAGACCGGAGCACATATCGCAAAGCAATTTACCAGAGAGCCTGGCCAGCCGGATCTAAGTCCGCAACTCGTTCAGTTCTTCATTCGACTGCCAGATCAGATGATACAATTCCGGCGTCGGTTGCCAAACCAACAAACTACCCCGGTTCACTCGTCCACTTCACCCATCGTCAAGCTCCGCTTCGCCTCACCTGCAGAAGCTGGGCACTACTTAGACGATCTCATCGAACAGTTGGCCTACTTGGCGCAGCAAACGAGGCAGATGCCGCGTTCCGCGACAGCGGCCCACGCAGTGCACCACGATGTATGCCGTTATCTGCTTTCATGCTTTGAGTCGTGGCTGAATGCCTGCAATGCGACCACAGCAGAACGTCGCCTGATCCTTACGCCAAGTGACGCGGCCGCATACAAAGCACTGCGTCAGCGTTACAAAGTATCGAAAAGCATTGCAGAGAAGTGCATCGGATCAAACGTCGCTGTCGAAGCTCAGGTGTTACAGTAGTTGAAAGCGGGTATTTATAGCTCTTGATCTGGCAGGATACACGGGCAAGCGGTCCTCCTTGCTTATATCCGGGTCACTTCAGTTGAAGGAGCCAGATTTCTATTGTTGCATCAACCTCACCTAAACAAGGAGCTCGAAGTTGCAAAGTCAAAATTTCGTGGAGACACCAATGGGTCACCCTTTAGGTGGCAACATCGATGATTGTGGCTGGACCTTTGCTCAAAACAATCTCGAACAACAACTGAAAATTACTTATGAACTTACGGTCCCCGGTACCGGTGAACAAAACCCTGTTTGAGTTTCACGATGCCCCCACAGATATTCGACCACGTCCTGACGCGACCTTTAGCGCACCCAGATGAAAAGGCACTACTGTATCGCTGGAACAGCCCTTTGTTATCAGAATAACCATTCATCGCAGAAATTGCCTCGCACCTCACGTCACGATGCAAAACCCAGGCTTCCTGCGTCTCCCGACAGAGCTCGTCGAAATGACTTGTTGCGCCGAAGAGTTCATCCGCGACCTGCGCTTGACCTGCCGTCATCTCCACGAGACTACACTAGGTATATTCATGAGGACATACACCAGCAGAGTCTCCACCGCGATCATTTCACTGGCGTTCCGCAATCTAGCATTTCCTCTTCACATCTCCCAAGATCCGTTCTATCAATCGAAGCTGAGGAGAATTCATCTACACAGAGCAAGGGTATTCTCCTACAAAGACAGACTCGAGTACGAAAGGCCGCCTGAGCTTGTGCATGTCCTCACTGCGGTTCTTCGGAACCTCAAGCAGGCGAGAGTTCCCATTCACCTCGAGGCTTAGGTAAGTAGCGAGGCTTTAATGGCAGCCGCGCAGGAATGCAGCTATGATCTGAGGCTCACTACCCTAGTCGTCTCACCAAGAGCTAACAGGCGCGACTTGATGCATCAGATCTAGCAAGTCCTCGGCAGCTATGGGGGGTCACATCGGTGTGTCTTGGTCACAGAAATATTTGGGGATCTGGAAATCTCTACATGCACAGTCCGGCCTGTGGAAAAGAGCAGACTGGTCTGAAGTAGTTAGTGTCTGCAGTGCTGCCAAACATGGAGGTACTCACGATCCGGCATTCCCGAGGGCCGTGCTCTCATCCACACGATGATTGTGGCAATTGCCCGCTGGACGTCGCGTTCAAGACTTACATCTGCATTCATCTGTTCCCAACACTTACCGTCTTCGCGATGAACAATATCAATTTGAACGACGCCTACCTAGCCGTCTTTCTCAAACACCACTCTCCCGGTCTCATTGACTCAAGAACGGCTGGGGCAAATATCGCCAAATGATCATGGCATAACGTGTTGTGTGCTTTAGTCGATGCTCTAAAATTGAAGACACCTGCAATTTGACGGCTTGCAGCAGCACAGCTTCCTAGGATCTAAATTGTGGCAAACTTGTGGCCATTACGATTGGCACACTCAGCTTACGCATCACCCAAGGGAACCGGTTTTTGTTGTTATTTCTGGAATTGATCGTATACGACGGTTCTTGATTGCATCTATTGTCAATTTCGACAAGTGGCTGAGAGATCAGAACTATTGTATGTATTTGCTAGGATGCCAGTACACAACAGACCACCAGTATCGGCGCATTTGCAGATTGCATCCGCTCGTGGACTCTCGGTAGAGCACCAAAACGAGGGATCTTGAACGCAGAAGTTACCTGGACGCCAGAAGTCGACCTACCTCCAGGCTGTCATTATCCAACCGACTGGCAATCCAACGCTGAAGTTACAATATCTGAAAAAAAAGGTCTCACAGCTCAAGAGTACCATACAGAAATATTGCGACCTTTGTTCAGATCTTCATTGTAGAGTGGCACCGATGTGCACTGGCATAGTTCCAAGCTTCCGTAAATCCTAGCATCACACACAATTTGACCACCCTGATCCAGATTCCGCGACGCAACGAAAGCCTCACTATCCTAGATTGCTCTCGAGCAAGCCTAGATGTCTTCAATTCGTGCTGCGTTTGAGCGCCAGCCTGCCCGAATAGCCTGAGCAGCCTCGCCCAAGGCTGGCCCCTTGATGCCCCCAGGGAATACTCCACAACTCACCTCCGCATCCGTACCGCTAACGAGAAATGTATAGTACTAACGTCACGCTACAGCGCCTGTACCTGTGCAGCCGATCTAGACGTGCAGAACAGCAGCTAGCAATACCACAAGTATGGCCACGCGAGAACAAACATGTTCGCTAGCGGCCCGTTGCAGTGTTTGCCAGCGGTCCGTTGCAGTGTCTACCAGCGGCCCGTTGCAGTGTTTGCCAACGGCCCGCTGCACTGATTGTCCAGCTCATTCGGTTAGTCTGGTTTGCTTCCCCAACCCTTCACTGCTATCCCCTTCTACTATATAGTCTCGATCGATTCCAGCCAATAGCTCAGAACACCAATCAATACTCTCAACCCTTCCACAAAACACGTCGACAATCCTACTAGCTACGAGTCCCTTGGTCCTGCTTGTCCCAAGTATGTTCAAAATGCTGCTTCGAACACATGGTCTTGTTGTCGATTTCCTTATTATGAATGACGGATGAGGAGCTTAAAGAGACCTCAGACTGCTCAAAGGGCCTTAACTAACATTGTTAAGGCCAAGGTCAAGTACCGAAAGCGTGCAAGCCATCATCGGCGCCAGAACTGCGAGGCGTTGAAATGAACAGCTGAGACTTTACGTTATGTTCTCAACCGAGCAGGGCATTTTGGTCTTTTTCGTCTAGAGATGAACACAACGGTCGAAGAGCCATGAGTACTATCCCTTTGTGTCGGCCTCGCCATTTAGAGTTCTTCGCATCATCTAGACGTGCGAGTCTTACAGGCCTACCGAGTCTGCAAGTTAAGTCGTCAGGTTCTTGCCCACAACAGTTAAGCAGGTTCTCTCCACTACAGATTTTTGAAATACTAGTGTATTACAGCAGACATGGCCCCCACGCTCCTTGAAGCTGCTGCTCTTGCACTCCGTGCATCATCTATCGTCTGCCCTACCACACCCACATGTCCTCAAGACGACAAGTGCACATATGTGTCTAAAGGCGTGACTCTACACGTTAACTGTGCAACCAACTTTTACGGAGGAGACTTGCAACTGGCACAAGTTTGTTCCATATTCGCCTGTACCTGTGTTATCTCTGACAAAGGCAGACTTTAACGCTTGCGGGATGTTTGAACGCCTGCGTTACAACAAGCTGCTGTGTTGCAGCCCGTTGGCCTGACTTGCCAGCTACGCCTGCCTCGAGAATGATGGCTGCACAACTCAGGGTGCAAACTCACGCACTTTCGCACTGTCTTGCGGAATAGACTTTTACGGCGGTGACTTCACCAACATGAAGGCGGCAAGCCTGGTTGTTTGCACCCAAGCGTGTGCAGAAACGCGCAATGTGTTGCTGCTAGCTTTTTTTGGAGGCAAGGGCTTAGGGCACTGCTATCTGAAGAACAAGAACAACGCCGCAAGTGCTAATGAAAGCATCGATGGTGAGTATGAGGGGTTTGCTTGCGCTGACCGTTTGCTGACGTACTCCAGCTATTGCTGTCGACACCCGGGTTGCAGCTCCTCCTTCTACCACTTAGTCGTCCTCTTCGCTGATCGCAGCTACGTAGCCAACCACTGCTTCGACATCAAACAATATGGTCTCCTCGACTTCGTCCGATGTCAGCTCTTCATTGTCGAACATGGCTCCTTCGTCCTCATCAAGTTCATCCGACATCGTGACATCAAGCGTGATCAGGAGGTCTTCCAGCACTTCTAGCGCGGCTTCAAGCACATTGTCCGATATTCCAAACTCGTTATCGAGTAACCCATCACCTACGCACACACCGTCGGTGTCAAGTACAGCGTCCTGGACGCCTACTCCTACGTCAACATCGGCATCTACTCCCACTCCTACATCCACTCAGATCCTTCTGAACACTGGCTTTGAGGATGGTACTCGAAGTTTACTTATTCCATGGACCTTATCTGGGGACTTTCCTCTTCCTGCCACAAATGTCGGGAGATTTAATACCGATACTCGCAGCGGCGCGTACAGCTTCCAGGCATCGCACATGTCCCCGCGTCAGTAGGTGGCAGACACAATTAAGTCAGACTGTCACTGTGGTTCCAGGCAAGGCATACGACGTACTGATCTGCGCGTAAAGAAGCGCTTAATCCATAGGTCGCGTGTCATGCATTACCTACAACACCGTTGCGGTCAGCAATACCGGAAATGGATACATTCCCATGAACGTGTACACGCAAACTGTGATAAGAATCACGGCCGATATGACAACCTCGGAATCTGGCACACTCATGTTCGTGGCTATCTGTCAATACTCTGGCCCATAAGCGAGGATCTGTTGCAGTAAATGCAATAAGTGAAGGTGTAACCGCGCAGGGCAGTAAGTCAGGGGTAACCGCGCGAAGCAGTAAAATCAGTATATTCTGTTGTTCTGTTGTTCAGTGTTCTGTCCCTCACTCGACCCCTAGCGGGGTCTGTTTACATGACGTATCTGTCGTTCAGACAGAAAGTGCTATTGGAACAGGCAAGAGCACTGCACCAGCACACGTGGCAGACATGACCGCTTCACTCCATAAACCGTCATAGGATCTGTTACGACGAAATCACCATGACACAAATAGAGCCCTAGATCGATGAAGAGATGAGTTCTGCACGTATATTCTACACTTAATGATTATCATCGATCCCCCACATGGCCCATTTCATCACTGTTCCTAAATGGGCCTGTTCTTCTCAGGTTACCATCCTCACATATGAAGAATCTCAGCGGCATCATTTCCTTGTCGTAATTTAGTTCTTGCTCTTGATCCTCTCTGACATATACTTTATAATGTATTGGCGTTGTTCGTGGAACCTGACCTGATTCTTTTTTTAAAAAAAACCCCCCAGCCCTACCTACCATAACGCCAAATATTGGGAGTTCATTGATATTTCTTCGGTTCGTTAATATCTTTCGCACCATCCATGGTTCACATCCAAACCGTATCCGCAACAAAGAGTATTCTCTCTCTAGATGATCAAGGACCCCTCAAAAGGCTACAATATTTCTTACTGTGGTTCGAATAAATATTTTTTACACCACAGTCAGAAAAGGCTCGTCTTTTTGAGATAGTTGTCCTACACTTCACCAACACCCCTATTCAACGCAAAACATCAAAAACATTTCGAGTACCTCTCCAGTGCTTCTTCAACAACACTCACATCACAAAATGGCATCCACTACAATCCAACACTTCGACACCACAGGCGTCCTGCACAGCGTCGTCCTGCCCCGCTCAATCAGTTCACAAGAAATCGAGCGCTTCCAGGAGTATCTCCAAAACACGGGGATCAACTCGCAGAATCTCTCCAACGAGCCTCAAAACTACTTGGGAAAGAAAATAAGCGGCGGACCTTACGAGTGCCTCACTCCGGAAGAGGCTGTGTTTTTGGAAGGGCTTGGATGGCAGGATATGTGGATCGAGGAAGAAAGAACGGCTGGTTACCTCGGGGTTTCTTCAGAAATTTTGGAAACTGAACGTGCTGACCGCGCTGACGGTCTCACCGTAGAGGAAGCTGAATACCTCCAGGGTTTGGGATGGTTTGACAACGAGCTCTCAAGCTCGGAAGAGGACTTCCTCCGCGAGAACGATCTGGAAGAGCTTGTCTTCAGTGTGAAAGAAGAAATCTCCCAGGTAGCTGAAGACCTCCCGGCTCTCTCAGACACCACGGGATCTGAATTTCAACACAGACCCGGCTGCCTCTGCAAATACCCCTGGACTTGCAATCCGAGGCCCGAACCACCTTCAATTTCCCGCCATCCTCAGTTCGCACCTATCGGTAAAGGTAGACTAAATCGTAAATTCATGTCCCCTTCACCCCCTTCTTCTGCATCGGCGGATTCTTCGCCTCCGACATCCATTGAAATGACGGAGGTCCGACGACCTCTTGGATCCCCGTTCTCGGATTTCTTGAAGATGGCACTCTGGGCGTGGATGCCGATGGATGGGAGGGTGCCGGAGTGATGCATCTCGTGCCGGTACGGGATCGCGAATACCTCCTGGGCACATCGCGACTGTTAAATGGGGTGGAGGGCGGTGCAAGCTATGGCACATGAGAAGCAGGCTTAGGAGCATTGTTGCTTATCGCGTTGGTTTGTTTGCCTGGTCTAGTTGTCTTGTGATGGGTCGTATTGTAGACTTTGCTTTTCGGTGCTGTGACTTTGGTGTCGGGTGGAACTCTCCAGTGCGTCGGTGTGTCATTTCAATGGTCTGTTCGTTTCTTAGAATTGTAGTTAAGAGGAATGCAGGTTCGAGTTTTAAACCTGCTGTGAATACCTCCAGAAACCTTCATATAATCACCGGATCGTCAGCATCGCAACTCCGATGTTACCGTGCAATTGAGTGCTATATCTTCGCGAGGGCCTCTAGAGTCCCTGATACTTCCCAGGGCTGTGAGATGCCAATGTTGCCAATGTGGCTGTGCAACGCAGATTTCTTAGCCCGTGGACGTTCCAAAAGGGCGGGGGGGGGGGGGCCTGCGCACACCGGCAGCCGGCTTTGGTAAGTGCTGATTGCAAATTGCTTAAGAGAAGGCAGTGCTCCCTTATTTTCGTGCCTTTTTATGTATGTGGTGTGCTGTAGACTTGTTGTTAGTGTTGCAATGATCCTTCCCAGCACAACGCGCCTTCTCCGTGCTCCTTCTACTAGTACCTTCCCCCATGACAATACTCCTCTCTTCACAACCTACCTGCTTCTCCTTCCTTCTTGTGCCCCTCACGTGATAAAATATCGCCAAGAACCAATCAGATCGACGATTCATACGTCCAGTTAGCACTTCTGCTTTGCGGCACCGAAGCCGGCTATAGATTGCTGTGCCAGTAACAGTGGAGTAGGTCAGTGTTGTGAAGACCTCCAGGGTGCTTCGTAAGACCCCAGAATCACAAAGACTAGAGTTCGAATTCTGCCATCCAGTGAATCAGAATACTGTCAGAAAACCCTCTAGAATGCTCGGAGAATTAGCGATAAAGTACAAATGCAGTGGAAGTTGGAATACCAGCACACAATCAACATGGATTTGACACCTGCTCGTCTATTTCGTACCCTGCGCACCATGAGGCGCACCAGTTCTCCTTCTCACCATGCTCTGCCCAATAGCATTGCGTACTTCTTTCTCCTGATGTACCACATTCTGCACCATGTACTTCTTCAGCGCTTCTCTAAGCTCGCCCTTCGCTCTTTCGTTGTCCCTGTATGGTGTCGACTCGAGCTCCAGCAATCGCGAGGCATCTTTATTGCACTCGGCCACAAATGCGCTCAGACGGTCGAGCTGCTGGTATTGGGTGTTCTCGGTATCGTCTGTGGGCTGCGTGGGGTGCGCAGGATCGATGCGATACAGAGGCATAAGCAAAGCCAGGAACTGGGCGGCTGATATCGAGGCCTTCTTAGCGATGGCGATGACCTGAAAGGGCAAGTAGGCGGGGCGCAGGTTGAAGGATGCCACCAAGGGGTTCAAGTATTTGGTGAGGATCGAGGGATGGTCTGGTCGCATCGCTGTGCGTACTTCGAAGGTCGCAACTGCAAGAAGCCCAAAGTAACGCCAGTATGAGCCATCTTTGAGGAAGCCGAGTGCATTTGCACCAATCAGGAAGACCAGCAGGACGCCGTAATTCGTCAGAGCACTCAGCAGAGCGCTGTCAACATAGTCCTTGACAGTCAGACATGACTGACACTGCCTGAAGATGTCTGGTCCAAATCGATCATATGCAAAGCGCTTCGCGGGGTCCAGAATGACGTCGCGTGCGTGCTTCAAGTGAATGTAGTATGCATTCGCAGCGTCCCTGTTGACGCCCGCCGCGATCTTATCAGGGTGGAATCGTATAGTGAGCTTCCTGAAACGCGAGTTCAGACCACTCTCGTCAACGTTGATCGGTACGCCGAGGTCGTTGTATGCGTTACTCGAACGTTGCAGGTTGAAGTCGACTTCGTAGATGGTGAAAGCGAAGTATGCGGCGTAGACAGCGATGAGGATCTGTCGGCGGTGCTTGATAAAGCGCGCGGAGCCAGGTTGCGGCTTGGGATCACCAGCACGAATAAAGATGCTGTAAAGAATGCTGTGCGCCCAGCCAGCAGCCTGCATGTGTTAGCTAAGTACCTATACACGTATGAATGGGCATAGTACCAGTGGTATTAAAAATTGCCACACGAGGAAAGGGCCTATAGTGTCCCATGATACACTCGCTCTCGTCATGTTGTGTGTCTACCTGCAGGCTATCTTGAGGTTATAGTCAGAGTGGAGGTACACGAACAATGAAATGCGCGCGACAAGTGGCATCCTTTCGGAAGTTCCGAGGCTGCTTAGTAATCAATCTTGCATCCTCGAAGAGAGACATTCGAAGACACTCTTGCACTAGTCAGTGACTAGCATTGGCGCAGCAATGCATCAGGATTGATGTCACAGAGAATGAATTGTGAACTCAGAAATGATTTGGTGGTCGGCATCAAAATAATATGATTCTCAGGCAAGATCATATAAGTGGAAAGATCAAGTTTCGATGGAAAAAACAGTGCGTATTGACTATGGGTATAGGGCGGTCTATCGACTGTTCTATGGTATCGAGAAGACAAACAAAAAAGAGATATCCAATCTCATCCTGCTCCAAGCTCATTACTGGAGAGGCAACGTCTACATGACGACGAAGCGTCGGGTATCTTTCCTGCACATGTATCAAGCCATGCATCGGCAAGCCGACGCTGAAGCGCACACAGTGCGCTCATTCGTAACCATAATGACCAGCGTTCAAGCTCTAAGCAGTAGGAGCTCCGCGGGGAAGCATGTCCTCCTGCGCGGAAGTGTTCTTCTCGCTACTCTTCTTCTCGTTGTAGTCACCGCCGGAGCCGGCCTCCTCGTCGGAGGTGTCGTCCATGCCGTACTCGCGGTTGTACTGGGAGATCTCAGACTCGTCCATGGCGGGAAGCTCCTTAGCGGCCAAGACGTAGCTCTTGTTCTCGAGGTAACCCTTGGCGAAAATGAGATCGATCTCCTCAAGGGAGCGACCGGAGGTCTCAGGGTACAAGAAGTAGATGACGGGGAAGAAAATGGCGTTGAGAACGGCGAAGAACAGGTAGGTGTAAGCGCTGATGCTGGAGATCAGAACGGGAGTGATCATGACAATGAAGAAGTTCCAGAGCCAGTTGGAGATGGTGGAGGTAGCGTTGGCCTTCGCACGGGTCTTGATGGGATTGATCTCAGCGGGATACAACCAGGGCAGAGGCAACCAGGTGGCACCGAAGAATGCAATGTAGGTGAAGAGACCAACGGCGGCACCCTTAGCGGCGGAAGGAGTGTCTGGTAGCAAACATCCGAAGGTGAGAATCATAGACAAGCACTGTCCGACGGTACCAATCAAGAAGAGCTTGCGGCGACCGATGCGCTCAACAAGGAACCAAGAGGTGGTAGCAAAGATGGAATAGACAACCATGTTGATACCACCGAGGAGCAGGGCCAAATTGTGGGTAGTGCCGAGAGCGTTCTGAAACAGAATGGGGAAGTAGTAGATGACAGCGTTGCAACCAGAAAGCTGCTGCATCATCTGGGAGGAAGCACCCAAAAGCATGCGGCGGAGATGCTGAGACTTGCCATTGGTGAGGACAGCGGAGAACTTGGTCTTTCCGCCACCACCAGCCAGGCGGATGGCCTCCTTGATGATGTTCATCTGAACTGTAACCTCAGGGTCGTCGCGAGGAAGACCGTTCAAACCAGCCATGACAGTAGCTGCTTCTTCCTCGCGGTGGTGGGTAAGAAGCCAGCGTGGGGACTCGGGAAGCTGGGTCATCATGATAATGACGATGATGGCGAAGACACACTGGAAAGCGATGGGGAATCGCCAGGTGAAGTTGTCAGGGCCGTAAAGACATCCGTAGTCGATCCAGTAAGCAATCAACGTGCCAACGGCAACGTTACCGCCCTCAATGCAGATGACCTTTCCACGGTTCTTCGCACGGCAGCATTCAGCCTGGTAGGTAGGGATGGTCGAGGTGTTGATGCCGTTACCGATACCAGTGATGCATCGTCCAATGATGAATTGCGCAGTAGCACCGCCGTTGGGAGGAACTGAGGCAATCTGAATGATGACACCAACGATCATAATGGAAGCACCGAGGAAGATAGAGTTGCGACGACCAAGCCTGTCTCCAAAGGCGAAGATGAAGCAGGCACCGATGAAACAACCGACAGCGTAGATAGCGACAACGAAACCTTCGTAGGTAGGATCACCGTCAACCTGGGGGAAAGCTGCAACGAATGCGGGGGCGGAGACAATACCGGACATGACACCTTGGTCATATCCGAAGAGGAGGAAGTCGGTGGTAGCAACGATGGTGATCAGGACTTGCAACATCCTGCCAGACTTGCCCCAGTAGGTGGGCACGCCCGACTCGTTTTCTCTGTGAGGTGCCATGGTGAGGACTGATCAACGAAAGCTGGAGAGAGATACTGGGGGTTGTACGGCGGGGAGAGGGTCACTCTTTAAGTGATCGTCTCAAATGCCACGAGCCAAACTTCGGCAGCGTCTGGTGTGAAGGTAACGACCAACGGTCCACATGGTTCCACATTTACCAACATCGGTCTGACACGAGAAGTACACTAGATAACGAATTTTACATTATCTCGGACTTGGCTGTGGTTGCAGTGATGTCGCTGACGGCTAAGGCGTCAGATAAAGAGTGGGTATAAGGCGAACGAAGCAGGGTCCTGAGTGGATCAAGATCCCTTGTGGCCAATCTTGGAGAGGAGCGGGAGTACGCTTGGGGTGGAACAAGAGCTCGGCAACCAGTAGCTTTCGTCTTAGACCGAGGCTCCTCCGCGTTGCGTCATAGTCTCATTACTTATATTGAGTCCCTTGGGGCTGGGGATTGCGGAGGATTATTGGGTACGGAAGTTTGCCGACTTGCTCGCAACACCAGCGAATGGTAGATTTTTCTTCGAAAAGCTTCATCGCAGCCACTCGCGTTTGGCGCCTCTGTCTATTCAGAGCACAAACAGACGTCAGTCGATGCAGGTACAAGGACTTCGTTTGGGCTTTCTCGGGCAACGTACCATAATTACTCGATAGCGTCCGAAGTTTTCACATGAGGCAGCGTTGCTCGTCTCAACATCCCCATGTTGACGTCACACACCGGTGACTAAAATCCATCCCATGCAGGGTCGAAACGACCGTGCGGTGTGCGGCTCTGCAGCCTCTTCATCTTGGCGCCGATCTTATCCAACTTGAACGTCACTGGTGGAGCCGCAAGCCTTTTACTGGCGGCCGGGAAAGACTTTCTCACGTTTGGCAACGCTACCGCACCAGCACGAGGAGTTGATGTGATGGGGAAAGCGGGCGCCAGCGACGTCATTGCGGTGAGCACCCTCAAAACGCTCAAGTGTTTGAAAGACATGATAGGAAAACTTGGTGTTGTTGTGAAGTTTCCTGGCTCGGTGACGGCAGCGTTACCGACGCAAACTGCGCGGTATTTGCGGCATGCGTACGTGTGGGTTCGAGAAACCCTTCCATCAACCACAGTTGGCATGAATCTCGCTGATCATGATCCCTTATGCACGTTGAGCGATGGAATCGCGGTGTGTGGGCAGATTCGTGTGGGGATTGTAGGTGCGACAGAGCGCTTATGTAGCTAGCGTATGCGCCGGTACTTCCTCATTCGATTATCCGGCAGGTGAGCCGCTTCACCACGCGTGCCTGTCGTGCGTGCAAGCGCTGCCTATCTTCACCACTCTCAGCACAACTTCAAAGTTTGATCTTCAAGAACCGTTTGCGCGGTGTCAACAGACATCTAGATGGACCTGGAAAAGCATTACAGGTGTCAAAACACCACAGTCCCTACAGATGGCAGGTCCCACTCTGGAAGCTCACCACGTTCTGCAGCAACATCCTGACTCCACCGGCTATGACGGCGTAACATGCGAGGATATCACGAAACCGCGTCGTGGCACCCCTGCAGAACTACTCGAGGGAACTTGTGAGCCTCTCGTTGGTGCGAATTGCTAGTGTGTTCTGCATACAGTAATTTGTTCCACTATCGTAAGCCGCATCTCTCACCGTCTTTGCCAAGTTATATCCCTTGGGAACACGTCCGCTTCCGAGCGAGGCTGTGTTGAGCCTCATGCATGCACTGACCGGAGCCAACCGTTCGGCAAGAGCAACCGGGCGTTGTCGTGATGAGCTGTTCTGAGGTGCCGTCCGCGGAATACCTCAGCGGCGCAGGATGAGACTCACTGAGCCGCTTCGGTGCAGCTGCCTCCGTCTGCTAGCATCGCAGCTACAAGTGACCATACCCAATCGCTGCCAAGGCCTCAGACGCAGGTGGCTTGCCTGCTGTATTCGTATCTCCTCGACACTGAACAATTGTCACTTGGCGACTTCGATCATTACTTCTTGTTCACAGTGGAACTTCAACAATAGGCAGCCAAGAGCGGACGAGAAATATCGAAAACCACGCACATGTAGTTTCTTGGCCTCCTCAAGGCGAATTCTTTGCAGCACATTGATACTCACGAATTGACTTACCTCGCTGCTTCATTACGACTGCCTTAAATGGGCGAAAATTCGACAAGTGACGCAAGAAACTCTCAGCGAACTGGGCTCAGGAAAATTAGTCCTTGAGTCGCAGGATGTCAACTCTCCTCATAAGTTCAACCTCACGTTGCAAGAGGACAAGCGTGAACACGAGCACAAAAACAATCACAAACACACGGACAAACAACGCACCTCATCTCCTCGCTCTCGGAAAGCCCTTTCCCCGGCCCTCGGTTTCGTTTTGCAACTTCTCCGCACCTTCTGCTATAAATTGTGGAGAGGTTCCACACCACCATACACAAACGCTACCAACCGATAGTGCGACTGTAGCACAGCCGCGCAGCACGCAACAACAAACACGCGCAGGTGATCACAATAAGCGCTCGCTTTTAGCTTTCAGGCAACCCTTCAATACTTTGGGGTTGTCGTCGAAGCGGGGAAATCTAACACCTCAGGTCCATAAGATGCGTCCACTTTTGGTCATGATGATCGGCAATGCATTACCTGGAGAGGATGGGGACTCCTTCTCCAGCAAAGCGAAACATAGTCCAAAGATCAACAGTGTCAGACCCGTGACTGTTGTGATCGATACAGCATGCAGCTCCACATTGTATTGGATTGGACACACGCTTATATCCTCAGTCACATCTCTTCCCACACCTTCCTTGCCGTATAGGCTGAACCGGATACTAAACTCCTTCATGGAAAATAGCAGAGATGCTGATTATATTATAGCCGTTCTTTTACATGTAGTATACTTTACGACTCGATCTTTCGCTCTGCCTAATCACACAGAATTCATAACTTCGCACTCGGACTCAGTGCCTTCTGCACCAACTCCAGCACCCTCTCCGCTGTCCCCCAACTAGCCTGATACCCTGCTCCAGAATGTCCATACGCATGTACAACCGCAACGTTCCACTTCTGCGTCTCCTTCTCGATCTCAATCCTTGGTCCACCCTTCCTCGAAGCTATCATCCGTATTAGCAAAGCCCCAGACACCCACAACATACACCTGTACTCACGCCGCAGCCCAATATTCCTAGCAATGATCTGCAGATCCTCCGGCTTCCCCAACTCTGGCGCGAGTTTGCATGATCTTTCGAGGATCTGCGCTTCGAGCTCAGAATCCCATTCATTGCTCCAGTCGTTGTCCTGGCGACTACCGCCCAGAATCACGCCCCCGCCGAGGGTGCGCGGGAACACGTAGGTTGTCGTTGGATCGATGCGTTTCGGCGAGCTGTAGTACCTGTCCTCGTCAGTCTTATAGCTTCCAATTATCAGCATCCTGCGAAGAGTAAGAAAGTAGCGAACAGGGAGGGGTTACGTCTGCTCGTGTTCGTACATTCTCTTCATGGGCGTCTTTGGCTCCGCGACGAGCACTGTTTGGCCGCGCGTGGGGTACATGTTCGTGTCGCGGACGTCTTCTAGTTTGAGTGCTCCCAGACCTGTCGCGTTGAGCAAGATGCTTGTGTCTGGGTGTGAGGCGAGCAGCTCTCTGATGGATGAGAGTTGGCGCCGCTCGAGCTTGACGCCTTTACTGAGGGCTTGGGATTGCAACCTACACTCTCATATCAGCGTCTCCAGAACTCCTTCGTGAGTAGGTGAGGGGACGGAAACGTACCATTGCAGATACACCTGCGTGTTGATCCGGAAAGTGCTCGGGAATTCAAGTCCAAACACTGCTCCCTCCGGGAGTTCTTCATTTGTTAAGTTTCTGAGCCCACCAACAAGCTCGTCATACCAAATCCTCCCCGTCTGTGGTGTCAGAAGATTCGTCTGTTCAATCGGCGCACCAAGCACAGCCCACATCTCCTGCCTGCCCAATCCGGCCTCATTGCCCTCCCCCTTCCTCTGCACTTTGCACCCATGCACATCTTTTCCATCCATGATTTCGCCAAAGCGATTGAAAGTGACGAGATCGTATTTTTCAAGCGGTCCGTTGTCGTTGGCCATGGACGACCAGTTTGCGCCCGCCCAGGGAGAGGTGTATTCTATGGAGCGGTCGCCGGGGAAGTGTTTGGCGATTATGGTGATTTTGGAGGAGGGGTAGGCATGGGCTAGGACTATGGAGGAGGTGAGGCCGATTACGCCGGCGCCGAGGATGGCTATGTGTTCAGGGTCTGAGGCTGTCATGCTGGCGTCGTTGTTGTTGGTGTTGTAGTAGGATTGTTGAATTGGACTGTAATGGTGGGGTTGAAGGGTCAAGTTGAATGTGTTTGGAGACTGAGACTGAGACTAAGAACAAAGAGGACCAAGAGTATATATATGGCTTCCAGAAGTATTCATTTCGTTCAATGAGTCGTCGCTATTTTCGTATCTTGATGTCTGTCCGAATACCGCGAGGTCCGACGGATAACGGAAAAGGAACACCAGCAAGCGGCGTGCACGAGTATACGGCCCTTATCCTTTGACTTCAAGACTTGAGATGACTCGAAATCTTGATATATCGAGAGGAAATGGCATAGAAGTACAAGAAAGCGAGAGAAAATGTACTTACTATCCAATAGGAATTGATAATTTAGGGTCGGTGTTCGAAGCAGTGATGTTTGGAGATCCGGAATGAAGGCACGCTTGAGAGCGTGGGGGTGACCGGCATCGGACCGCCCCCTACACTGGGCATAGCGTATGCTAGAGCCGACGAGGTACATCACCCGATATCGAAAGCCCATGTGCTCTTCTCCTGTACTGTTAGCTTCGCCAGATTCGTGTGAGTCCCAGGGCGCAGATGTTACAATCAGGAGGCAATTCAATATCTGTGGAGTGATAACAGCTCAAGTATTGATATTGTCGAGGCAATAGTAAGGGGTATCTATAGGAATGTAGAGGATTTTTGACAGCCTGGAAGCCGCCAAAGCATATACAAAATCGCAAGACGTCCCCAGAAGACCGAAGTCCAGTTTTCGCTTTTCCGGACCAATAGCTAACACCAAAACCAGACGAAATACGATGATTACGCGGAGCCTTTGATGAACCAATCTGAGCTAGCATCGACCATGTAGTTTGTGATATTGGTCTCGTTGCCGTAGCCACCCTCTGGCATTTGCATATTCCCATCTGTTGTGGGATATGTAGTCATGGTGTCCATCGAGACGGGGAGTCGCGGCATGTTGAAGAAGTCGAATACATCGAGATACTCCAGTTCGTTAGGCGCTGGAGTGCGAGCTGGCGTCACAGATGGCATGCCAGCGGCGCCGTCAAACTTCGGTTGGCGTGCGATGAGGAAGTCGAGATCGAATGCGCATCGTCGCATGTCGGCCAAGATCTTGACTGTTGAAGGTGTGACGCGCTCGCCGCCCATGCCGGCGCTATGCTGCGATTCTTGATACTCGGATAGTACTCGAGACAGGAGATTTGCATAGCGTGCGCCCACCTCCCAATATTGACCTAGGTCTTGGAGGGTGCTGACCAGGATGTTGATCGACGAATCGACGCGGTGATCAATTGTTGAGCCATGCACCAAGAGTACACGCGCTGCTACCCAGCATGAGAAAGCAAAGGGTGGACCAAGTTTTGTCAGCAAACCGCTGTCGCGCACCGAAGCGCACAGCGCTGTGATGTTCTCTACAGCACTCAGACACCGCTGGCTGGCACTGAAAGACGGCGTGAAGATGGGTGAGCGATGGGTTGGGTACGCTGCGGACGAGTGAAGACGAATGACAGTCCTGCAAACATCAGCAAAGACCGAAGTAAAGGGCTGCTTGAACTTACGTATGGAAAGCAGCGTGCAACATCACCAGGCCGCTGTTAAGGGTCTTGTTGCCTCCTGGTTTCGAGAATACCCTCGCTGAGTTACCATACTCAGCAGGTAGGTTGTACTTCCATTGCTCAATGGCATTGTCAAGCTCTCGGTACTCGCTCTGCCATTTCTCGACATCAGACAATGATGTGATATCCACCGGCTTCTTCAAGAACTTGTGAATACGAGTCAAGATCCCGAGGATCTCTACGTAGTAGGAGAACGATCCCAGGTTCTCGGGTCGGTTCATGCTGTAATCCGTCCTGGTCTTGGTATGGAACCATCTGGTCTCGATAGGCACGTTGCGAGCGTAGAGGTCATCTCGGCAAGGGAGTCGTCGGTCGATCTCGTTCTCGTCCAGCGCAAATTCAAATGCAGTTGCCACTGTCGCATAGCGATCGAGAACATAGATCATCCAAAACAGCCTGCGACGACTCTCTTCCTCGATCCAGTCTTTGGGGGTGGGTAGCACGTTCGCGCGCAATGTATAAATGGACGCATATTGTGGGGCAACCATTGGCGAGTAAGTCTCCATGGACAGCCCCAGCTGCACCACAGATCGTGTGATGAGGGCAAGCAGGTTCCACCCTGGAGGCCCGTTGGAGCACCCAACCACGTCAAGCGCGAGGATGACGAGCGCCTGCAAAGACTTGACAGAGCTGTTCTCGATGCCGTAGAGTAGGACCTTCTCTTTTGAGTTCTTGTGATATCGTGCTCGCTTGTCGGGGGTCAATCGCTGATCAGACGAGAACTTGACAGTGGTGGCCACGACTGAGTGCAGTATGATGCGATCCGCCTCGTCCAAGCTTGAATCGCCGAACAACGAGTTGAGTGTTGACTGTCGGTGCAAGATAGGGCACCAGGGGTATATGTGCTTGAAGAACAGATCGACCAGCCCATACAACAGGTCGTACGGCGGAAAGTCTGCATCAGCTTGACCTAGCGCTCTCGACATGGAAGGCGCAAACTGATCAGTGATGAAGGGCGTGTATCCATCTCGTTGCATGCCTCCCAACCCAGGCTGCGTCTCCTCAGGCTGACCACTGTAACCATTGCCTGATATCGAGGCCGATCTGGCGTCCAAAGTGTTGCCAAAGCCATTCTGTATTGCATTCTGGGAGGGAAACGTCGATTGCGGCTTCTGTATGAAGAGCGCAGTCTCGGGACGGGGGATGTGGGGCGTCTGGATGACTGGTGGGCTCCGAAAAGTGGCCACTTCTTGCGGGGATGGCCCGGACGCTGCGATCTGATTCTGCGACAGGTGGTTGATCTGCGACTGCTGCTGTACAATGAGGTTTTCGAGCTTGTCCAGGCGTGCCTCTGCTTCAAATCAGTCACCTGTTCTGAGACACTTTTGCAATATTACGGGCCTCGGTCGATTGGCAGCGGGCAATGCAGGAAGGTCTACTTACCAAGCTCACGTCCATAGCCAGCTCTCAAGCCTGGCTTCTTGCGCGGTAGGTAAATCTGCACGTAGCCGTCAGTCGGTAGTTCTTTGGTGTCGTGCGACTTGAACTTACACATGTCGAGTGATTCTTCAGGCACCAACCACCTGTAGGGTGCTGATCAGCACATGATCGAGATCATGACGTTGTATATATGATCAACTTACACGCTGGATGACCGCGATCGCATTTGACTTTGCGTTGCTTGCACGTCTCGCAGCTCACGCTCAGCTTCTCGCGTTTGCGCTTCGAGCCGCTCTGGCTTCTGCCGCCATCCTCGCCACTCTCTTCCTCGCCAGCGCTCCAAACCTCGTGATCATCGTCGCCTGGAGAGTGGTGAGACAATTTTGACGTGCCATTGGGACTCGTCTCCTGATTGTACGCAGTGTTTGCGATGTTCGCAGCCGTCGCATCCATTGTTAGACAAGGCGTTTGGAGCGAGCTCGCTGAGCGTGAACTCGGTTTCCTTTCTGCCGAGGATGTGAGCGGGGTTAAGGGTTTTGGCTGCTACCCCAGATTGTGTATTCGTCCATTAGCCTCATCTCCACGACTTCTGATTGGCAGTGAGGGTTAGCCTCGTGCTCAGATGATCCGCGAAACCTACTTAATCGCTGTATCGAATTTCGAATGATTAGATGCCGAAATACCTCCTTCTACCGCCGTCCAAGGCCGTGTTGTGTCCGGTCGCAAAGTGGACGCACCGCGTGAGTCCGGCCTGCTCGTCGCAGCTTTTCGCAGCGAGCTCGACCGAGAGAGCACTCTGGCGCATTATTTTCCGCGTGGGGGAGCATTCCACCTGATTGAGCAATGTATTTAACACTCCCACGTCCTCGGCCTTCCAAGTTTTACAGACCCCTCACTTTTGCTGCGTCCTGATCCTGCTGTCAAACCTCTATCCACCATGCCTCCCTCTACCCAAAGCAGCTCTGTGAAGTCGTTCCCTACGATCAAGCATGTGCGCACCTTTCTCACTCAGGGTCCCGGATCTGGCGGCGACTACCACAATGTGCACGGCGGCCATTGGTTGATCGACAGCAAGATCTCGACTCCCATGTCCCAGTATGAGAAGTACAGAAAGTCAAGAACCAGCTGGGGAATCAATGTCCTTGGATCTTTCTGCGTAGAGCTTGAGGCTACAGACGGCACAAAGGGTTTTGCGACTGGCTTCGGTGGCCCGCCAGCATGCTGGTAAGCATGTAATCGCATCAATTCACGAAAGTCAGCTGACATGTATAAGGTTGGTCGCAGAACACTTCGAGCGTTTCCTGGTCGGGGCCGACCCTAGAGATACCAACTACCTGTTTGAGCAGATGTACCGTGGAAGCATGTTCTACGGTCGCAAGGGTCTTCCCGTCGCTGTTATCTCCGTTATTGATCTCGCTATCTGGGATCTTTTGGGCAAGATTCGCGGCGAGCCCGTCTATAAGATGCTTGGTGGATCAACTCAGGAGAACGGCAGGCTCAACTTCTACTGCACTGGCCCTGAGCCGGCTGCAGCCAAGGCGATGGGTTTCTTCGGTGCTAAGGTCCCTCTTCCATACGGCCCTGGCGAGGGTGTTGAGGGTTTGAAGAAGAACGTCGAGTTCCTCACCAAGCATCGTGAGGCAGTTGGACCCGACTTTCCTCTCATGGTCGACTGCTACATGTCCCTTACTGTTCCCTACACAATCGAGGTTGTCAAGGCTACTGCACACCTGAACCTCAACTGGTGGGAGGAGTGCCTTAGCCCTGATGACACCGATGGCTTCGAGCAGATCAAGCGCGCACACCCCAGCCAGAAGTTCACTACTGGTGAGCACGAGTACTCGAGGTACGGCTTCCGCAAGCTAATCGAGGGCCGCAACCTCGACATCCTCCAGCCAGACGTCATGTGGGTCGGCGGTATGACAGAGCTCATCAAGATCGCTGCCATGGCATCAGCCTACGACATTCCCGTCGTTCCCCACGCTTCGGGACCATACTCATACCACTTCGTTGTCTCGCAAGCCAACTCTCCTTTCCAGGAGTACCTGGCGAACAGCCCTGACGGAAAGTCTGTCCTGCCAGTCTTCGGCAATCTCTTCACCAACGAGCCCATCCCCACCAAGGGCTACCTCGATGTCAAGGACCTCGACCTCCCCGGTTTTGGTCTCGAGCTGAACCCCAACGCTGGTCTCATTGATGCTGCACGAATCCTCAACCCTGCACCAGTCAAGGCTCTGAAGTCTGCTGAGGAGCAGGAGGCTCAGGCCAACGGTACCGCGAACGGCTACTAGAGCATTGCTTTCTTTTCCAACGGCGTTTTGGGGCGCATTGCATCTGTGACACAGCTGGCGTTGAACAAGCGCGTTGTGTTGCTGCACGTCTAGATGGTTCTGGCGTTGTGCATGAGGGGGCTTTGCATTTGCAAGCCCTGGGTCAGCAATTACGAGAGCACGACTTCATGTCGAAAGACTGTTATGTAGTTCATGAACAATCAAAAACCTTCTCAAAAGAGTCGCCTTTAGTTGTTATTTTTAGTTCAATAATGATCTCCAGGGCCCATGACTCTATTCCTGTCCCACACCGCCCTGACAGCGATGTTGGAGCAGCATTGCGAACGTTAGGTCTCGGAGTTGCCTGCATGCAAGGCACCTCAATTCGGCCTTGAAAGAACTCACAACATTGAATCATGCGTCTGAGTCGTGACGGAAGCTGTGTTGCTCGCTGAGATCTGCGTGTCTCTTGCTTCTTCTCGCGCATGTGCGGCAGGGACGCGGTGTGAGCTTTCCACGCCAAAGTGGGGCAATGCGCAACATTGAGCAGGCGCAGCCAGCTCAGTCTCTGTCAGTTTCCATATAAACAAAGCTTCCCCTGAATACATCCGCTTCACCCACACTGCTGCAATTGTAATTCCATCCCCTTGATACCCCACCATACATATTACCCCGCTTGCATCATGGAAGCCATCAAAAACACCGTCAACGAGGCTCTTGAGAAGCTCAATCTCACTGGAGGTGCACAGGCTGCCCCAGCCAAAGAGCCTACAGAGGAGCAGCTGAACGAGCTTAAGTCGAAGTACAAGAAGGCCGGCCAGGAGCAGGTCTTTGCCTTCTACGACAAGCTCTCCACAGCAGAAAAGGCTGCTCTCTTCGAGCAGCTCTCCAACTTCAACCCCGACTACATCAACGAGATCACAGAGAAGGCCCTGAAGCCTGCACAAGCCGAGTCTACTGAGACAAAACTCGAGCCCCTCCCCGAGAGCGCCACATCGTCGACCCTCGACACACAACAGGATGACTTGGACAAGTGGTATGACATCGGTCTGGACCTGATCGCTGAGAACAAGGTCGCCGTTGTCCTGATGGCTGGTGGCCAGGGCACACGATTGGGCTCTTCGGACCCTAAGGGCTGCTTCGACATCGGCCTCCCCAGCAAAAAGTCGCTGTTCCAGCTCCAGGGCGAGAGGATTGCGAAGGCCGAGCTATTAGCCAAGAAGAAGCACGGCAAGGACAGCGTTACCATCCCCTGGTACGTCATGACCTCTGGTCCTACAAGGAAGCCCACCGAGCAATTCTTTGAGAAGAACAACTACTTCGGTCTCAAGAAGGACAACGTCGTTGTTTTCGAGCAGGGCGTGTTGCCCTGCATTTCGAACGATGGCAAGATCCTGCTCGAGAGCAAGTCAAAGGTATGTTGAAAGTTCTGCATCACATGCGTTCTGCTGACAATTCTAGGTTGCCGTGGCCCCTGATGGCAACGGTGGTATTTACCAAGCTCTCATCCAGTCTGGCGTCATTCAGGACATGGGCAAGCGCGGCATCCAGCACATCCACGCTTACTGCGTCGACAACTGCCTTGTCAAGGTCGCCGATCCCCTCTTCATTGGTTTCTCGGCGTCGAAGAACGTCGACATCGCTACCAAGGTCGTCCGTAAGCGCAACGCGAAGGAGTCTGTTGGTCTCATCCTGCAGAAGAACGGCAAGCCCGATGTTGTTGAGTACTCGGAGATTGACAACGAGACAGCAGAGGCCAAGGACTCAAAGAACCCTGAGCTCCTGAAGTTCCGTGCCGCCAACATTGTCAACCACTACTACTCGTACAAGTTCCTCGAGAGCATCCCCGAGTGGGCAAAGAAGCTGCCCCACCACGTTGCCCGCAAGAAGATCCCATACGTCAACACTGAGACTGGCGAGACCGTCAAGCCTGAGAAGCCCAACGGCATCAAGCTTGAGCAGTTCGTCTTCGACTGCTTCCCCTTCCTCAGCCTCGACCAGTTTGCCAGCATGGAGGTCAAGCGTGAGGACGAGTTTTCGCCTCTCAAGAACGCACGCGGCACCGGCGAGGATGACCCGGATACATCTAGGCTGGACATCATGACCCAGGGTAAGAAGTGGGTACAGGCTGCCGGCGCAACCGTCGTCAGCGAGGAACTTAAGGCAGGCGTCGAAGTCTCGCCGTTGATCTCATACGTAAGTCTGCTCCAGAGTGTGCTGAGACCACACGCTCCACCATCAAATCCAAAACTGGGCTCGTGTTAACATCATCTACAGGGCGGCGAAGGCCTCGAGTTCCTCAAGGAGCGCACCATTGAGGCACCGGCTGTCATCGAGTCTGAGGATTAGGAAATCCAAAAGACATGGAATGATAACGCGGTCGTTCACCTGGAAGAGCACAATTGGTGCCACACTGGACCTGGTGATCTGTTGATGCCACGTCCGATGCCTCTCATCAACCCTGTCAGAGATGATGACCGACCACAGTTGACTGGTCCACCCAAAAGATGTGGGACTAAAAAAGAAATAGACATGATTGAATGAAACCAGTTGAGGACTTGACTGCCGCCAAAGGCTCCAGAAGCATGTTCGAAAGTCGCGGGGCATCACTTGACTTCCAATCGGCAGACCTACTGTAACTACCTACTGAGTCTTTCGCAAAGGTAGGGGACTTTGACTGAACTAGAACACTGTTCTAGCGCTCAGTTCTAGTTCAGCTTAGCAATCGAGTTCATCATCGGTGCACATGACAGCACAAAAGAGGATTGAATGACTCCAGGATCGCACCGTCAAATGTCTGTACAAGTCCTCCCGCCCTTGACACTGCTGACACCTGCCTACTCAATCGCAAGCCACTGAACCTCCGCATGATCCATGTTTGTGTCAGCCCAGGTGCCATACTTCCACTCCGCTCCCTGTTGTTGGAAATTGCGATGAATGTCTTGAGGGTGTTCTTGAACGGCTGGCCATAGAACGGCGCCCGGTTCGAAGCCTCCTTCTGCGCGCGAGCCACAACATTCCTGTCACCCTTGACACGCTTTCCGTCTTCCTCCGCAGGGTATGCGAGCCACTGCACGCGGACATTTGTGAACTTGCGGTTTGCCCAGGACTCGATCCCGAGGTGAAACGAGTCGGGGCTGATCTCGGTGGCGAAGCAGTTGATGAACATGAAGTTTGTTTGGTGCCACTCGAATTCTTGAATCCAGACGGCGATCTTGGGTGGCGAGTCGAAGGCTTGACTGAACCAGATATGCTGGTCGCAGTCTGGGGAATGGGCTCGGCCTGCTGAGTAGGTTTACACCGTGCCGGTCTCGAGGTGTTCGGGAGAGTTACCCAGCTCCAACCGACCTCGTATCCGTAACAGCCACTCCAAGCTGCCGCTTGGACAGTGAAGCCGCCTGCGTTTACTTCGTGGTGGCTTAGTGATAGAGCTCGTCCCTTGTTCCTTTCGGTATTGACGCAGTTTAGACCGTAGAGTAACTTTGGCGCTGATGGGTAGCGACACGGGAACTCCACTGCACATCGTGTGAAGGAGCTCCCGCCCTGTCTCCAGCCTTTGTCGAGGGCCGAGAAGGAACCGCACTGTGTCTCTAGAGTCGGCGCGCTCTCACAAACTTTCTCGAGCTCGGCGATCCGGTTGCGGCTGTCATCAAGAGCCTGGAGGCATTCAGCATACTGATCAAAAGAATGTTGGAGGTGGACTTACCTTTTGCGCGGAGGCTAACTTGTCCTGAGGAGACTTGGTGCCAGCTGTTTGGCTCTTCTGGTGTTCCGCAAAGTTCTCGACTGTCACTTCCCTCGGCGAACTTCGCTTCTGCTTCATCTGCAGTCAACTTGGACAATCGAGGCCAGATAAAGCCTAAGTGGTAGATCTTGCTGTTGGCACTGTCGTTGCTTCTTCCAAAGAAGCCCTTGATGATCCTCGAGTTAAAGGGCATGTCCACATACTGCACCCTGACATCCTCGTATGCAACACCATCGCGGGTGATGATGCTGCCCTCACCAACCTCAGAGTCCGAGGCATGGGGATCTCTCGTCGGGCTTCTCAAGGCCTTCTTCTTGCTCTACCATGCGGCACAAACCCGATTCGACTAGGCATGACGTTCCACTCACGACTTCAGTCCACATTGAATCCGTGGTCAGAAGAAACACCTTTCGTACTCTCCAACATTCACATCATTTCCAAAGAGCTACACTTCGAGTATGGTACCAACTCGACCTTCAAGAAGGCTTCCACCTCTAGACAGAGCGAAACAGGGGATCACTTGAGTCTGGGTTCCGGCGTGGATGTTAGACTTCCGTTCGTTGCGAACGTGAGTGTGAAGGGGATGTTTGGCCAGCATATACCGGAGGACAAAGATGTAGGCCCGCTTCTCTTGAACCTTGAAGTTCAGACAAGAATGGATGCTAATCGTGCCACAGTCTTACAACATCTCAATCAACTCCTCCTGCCGAGCTGGCACAATCGAGTTTCAGCGCCAGCCTTGACTGACCAAAGAAGCCATCGTTGAAATAAAATATGGTGGTGGGTACGAAGGCTTGTGTAAGAGGTATGGAGACCACTATCTCGCAGGTTATCGGCTCAGCGGTGAGACAGGCATCTTGTTGAGTGCATCTAGGCACACGAAAGAGGTGAGAGAAGAGTACAAAGTCAAGGCGACGGTCACGGTACTGTTCGTCTCTGCTAGCAAAACATGAGAGAAGGACTTCAAGACGCGCACTCTAGGACGGCAGGTGAAGTTGCTGGGCTATGATACGGTTGATAGTATGACATGGGAGACGGCTCGTGCTACTGGCGACGATCTCAAAGCACTCAAGCAAAAGTACCAGGAAGCAGTGGCCTGGGAGGCCTTTGACCTTGCTACAGATGCTCAAACGCTGCGAGCGGATGCTGATGCTATCATGGCACGATCTGAGAGTCTGCTGGAACGCGTTGGTGTGGTCTTGGAGAGGCATGGGTATAGAAACGGTGAGAACTTGACCTTCCTCCAGTGCGAGGAGCTCGTGAAAGAAGGCATCATGGTTGAGCTGCTCCTAGAACCTATGTCAAGATTGAAAGATGTCGGCGATTGGAGACGAACATCATCTGAATGTGGTCGTTGATTCTTTGCCATTTGGAAGTGTTCAAGCGATGTCTCCTGTCTCCCATTGAATGTGTCTCGTGGTCGACGTGCCGACCGAGCATTTTGGATATTCGTGTGGTGCAGACAATGACTCGAGTGCCATAGACCCGATGAGTGTGGCTCGGTGCTCTCGAACGGTTTACATGAACGGGTGTGCTTGCCGCCCAGGGTGAGGACAAGGTGTAGCGACGTTGACAGTTCTGTCACGTGGGTCATCGATGAGTAGGAAGTGCGTTCGAAGGGACGCTCATATGAAAGCTGCTTAGCGGTTACAATGACAGAAATTGTCGTAGCTGGATCTTGTGAAAGAACCGTTAAATCCTGAAATGGCTTTCTTGCTTTCCTTCCCATGATTAAGGCTAATCTTTTGTGTCGCGGCCCCACAGCGATACAAAAAGGTCGACCTTTCTGACCCTCGGGTCCTAAAGGTTATATACACCGCAACATTTTGGGTAACCGCAAGTGTATACTCGGTTTCATTGAACGTCATGTGCCGTTCATACATGCAGGAACGATCTCACGGACATGTCCGAGCACTGCTGCAGCTATGGTGTCATAACGCGGGGAGCTAGGCTGAGAAGTGACCTGCTGGGCGGCAGACGCGCAGGGTGAAATTTGACGTGAGGCCTGAGAAAAGGCTGCAGCCATACAGCGCGCGACAAAACGCTGGCTACTCCCGTGATTATGCAGTGTGACAGGAGAGAGGAAGATTCTAGAGTGAAAGCAGGCGAAGCTCCCAGATCTGGGCCCCTGTCCGGTGTTGCGCGCGTCTCACCTCGGAAGGACATGCGTAGCGCAGGGACCGCCGCGGGCAAGCAGCAGACGTCGCTTCCCGCCTGCAGCCCAAGTCTTCTCTACCCCAAGCTCTCACCACGCATACCAAAATCTTCGGAGGACGTTGAAGTTGTGTCGCTGAGGGAAGGACTGGAAGTTTGACAGTACGTTGCACCCACTCTGCACCCACCATTACGACACGCGACAGGTGGTTCCACTCGGCGCGTGCTCCTCCGCACTCCCGTACCCCTCGATGAGCTCGAAAAAACTTCGACTAACAAACACGCGCAGGTGAAGGAATCGAAGCAGTAAACGAAGCAGGTACGAACGACCCCTGTCAATATCGGGCATCGTCACACAGGCCTCGTGAACGAACGGCGCAACCACCAGTCGCGATCGCAGCACTCGAGATCACCCCTCCTTCGCTCGCTCACCCCTTTTCGCGACCCTTCACCCACCGTCCTTGTATACTTACGCCATCTCCAGAACAATCGAAAGAAACGACATTATGTCTTCCCTCTCTCGTCGTGCGTGCTTCAAGTGCGGAAATGTTGGACACTACGCTGGTAAGGCAGCCTGGCGCATCGGCTGAGGTGGGCGCTGCAGTGGGACCGCTGTCGGGAGCTCCTGTCGTGGGATGGCGCTTTCTCCAACGGTTTCTGCGTCGCGTAACCTCTAGCTGCGTGGAACAATGATATCATGGATGTGCGACTGACATAGCCCGCAGAGGTGTGCTCCTCCTCGGAGAGGCTTTGCTACAACTGTAAGACTCGGCCCTTGAACTTGTATCACGGGCGCACACTAATCTCTCTACAGGCAAGCAGCCCGGCCACGAGTCCAACGGATGTCCTCATCCCCGCACCACCGAGAGTACGTCATAGGTAGAGCCCGTAACCTCACACCTCACTGACCCGTTCGACAGCCAAGCAGTGCTACCACTGCCAGGGTCTTGGACACGTCCAGGCTGACTGTCCTACTCTGCGCCTGAGCGGCACTGGCACCAGCGGACGCTGCTACAGCTGCGGTCTGACCGGCCATCTCGCCCGCAACTGCCCCAACCCAGGAATGGGCCGTGGAGCTGGTGGCCCTCCCCGTGGCGGCTACGGAGGCTTCCGTGGTGGATTCGCTGGTCAAGGCCGTCCTGCCACTTGCTACAAGTGCGGTGGCCCCAACCACTTCGCCCGCGATTGCCAGGCCCAGGCCATGAAGTGCTACGCCTGCGGCAAGCTCGGTCACATCTCCCGCGACTGCACTGCTCCCAACGGCGGTCCTCTCAACACTGCCGGCAAGACCTGCTACCGCTGCGGCGAGACCGGCCACATCTCCCGCGATTGTACTCAGGCTGAGGTCAACGGCGACGGTGGCGCCCCTGTTCCCGCTGCTGCCGCTGCTCCTGCTCAGCCTGTTGCTCCCACCACTGCTGTCGCATAAGCATTTGTCGACTCTCAATCCACAAACGCTGCGAGTAATACCGCTTTGACTTGTGGCGAGTAGTTGGCTATGCGTTGTTTCTTTCTTAGATTTTGCATCAACACGATCGTTTCTTCGGCCTCGGCACCATTCGACAAACTTCACGCATTCACGAGTTACTACTATCGAGCAAGACAAAAGTTTTCACGAGTCCTACACTGATACCCACGAACGTTCAACCCTTACTTCAGAACCATCGCATCCCATTAGTACGAACAGACGACGGCTTGGTGAAATTGAGAACGGCGATTCTACTTCTTTGCATGTACCCCTTGCACTGGTCGCGCTTTCGGCGGAAAGACGGCTTGTGTGAGTGTATTTGGATAGACGGGGTCTCTGTGGCCTGGGGGCGGCTGTGTATGGTGGTTTGGTAGTGGAAAGTTGAGAGGGATTGGGGTGACGGAGAGGAGGAGTGAAGGAGATGTGTGTTTGTCGGAGCTGAGTCGGCATACTCGCCTTGTTTTCTATGTTCACCCCTCCCAGTTCTTGCATATGGTGGATGTATTTCATACAATCTATCATTGATCTGCATGGTTTTCCTCATGCCTGCTCTCGTTCGTCCCGCGGAAGTTCTATTGACATTAAATAAGTCATGTGACTGCACACTGTCCGCTCGAAGCATGACGCAGCAGTAAGCCTTCCTTCCACCACGAGCCGTGGTTCACGCAGCCGTCACCTGTCGATCATATCGTCCTTGCTCCTCTCACTCCTCGGCGCTTTCCTTTCCATCGTGCTGGGCAGGCTTTTCGCCATACTTGAACTTGTCGTGGTTGGCCTCGTAGATCTCTTGGTCGCCATAGATCGACTTCTACCATCAGCATGAGTCTCACTCATGCCATAATGAAAAACTTCATACCTTACGCATGAGGTGTCTGAGCACGTAGAGAGGCCAGACGATGTAGAGGAGGAAGGTTACCAAGGTAAGGAGGAGAAGACGCCAATCGAGTGGGAAGTATGGGTCTCGCTCGCCCAGGTCTTTGCAGGTCGTTCCAAGTGGGTATTGAGGAACACCGCGTTGGCTGTACGTTGTGCCGGGAGGGTGCGCTCTCTTCGGGAGGTGAGCGCCCGGCCAGTTCTTCCAAGGTGGCGTCTCCTCATAAGGACCTTGCCAGAACATGACGTTGTGCGGGCGTGCTAGACAGGTAGCGAGAATTTGTTGCAACGCTTGTGGCAGAACTGAGACCGGCGTGGAGTGGGATGAAGAAAAGATCAGGCGTTTGTACGAGAGGCAGGCAATTGTCGGTCATATTGGGTGCTGTCCAGCGCTCCTTCCTTTGTCGACACCCCTCACGTGTTTTCGCGTTTTAGCGCACCACACCACCGGACCTGAAGCTTCCACCAGAGCTGTGAAATCTCTCTTCTTCTGTCCCTCTGCTCCCTTCTCTCGCCCCTTCGTTTCGCATTGCTACGCTCATTCACTGATTTTGCATTTGTTCCTCTCGCATACACAGCGCCTTCCGTCTCATATCACTCAGCATGCCTTCATCAGTCGCCAGTGACGAGTCTGGCAACGACGTGAGTGACATCTCACCGGCGTTAGTAGTCGCGTTACTGACCCCAGCTACAGGACAGCTACATTGTCGACATTGACGCCATCCAGGCCCACGGCATCGGTGCAATCGATATCGCGAAGCTCAAGGCCAATGGCTACTACACCATTGCGTCGGTGCACGCAGCGACCCGCCGCAACCTGCTGAAGATCAAGGGTTTCAGTGAGATCAAGGTCGACAAGGTCAAGGATGCATTGGCGAAGTGTCAGGTGCGTCACTTCGTGACCTTACGTATTCGTGACCATCGCTCACCAGAACTGCAGCCCTCAGGAGGTGGCTTTCAGACTGCACATGAGCTCGGTCAGCAGCGGAAGCGTGTGCTGAAAATCTCGACGGGCAGCAAGCAGCTCGATACTGTCCTCGGCGGGTAGGACAAGCCTCGGTGTGACTGCATTCCTTACTCTGACATTTTGCAGTGGCTTCCAGACCATGAGTATCAGTGAGGTCTTCGGCGAGTTTCGATGCGGCAAGACTCAGCTGTCTCACACCATGTCGGTCATCGCACAGCTTCCGAAAGACATGGGTGGTGCTGAAGGCAAGGTGGCTTACATTGGTATGCGGTGAACCTGACCGAGTCGAGACGATGTTTGACCACTGACGCTCGCCGCAGATACTGAAGGCACCTTCAGACCGGAGAGGATTGCGCAGATAGCTGAGCGCTTTGGTGTCGATCCGGAGACTGGTATGTCACAGCTGCCATGCAAAATCATCACTAACAATCATCAGCCCAAGACAACATTACATACGCCCGCGCTGTCAACTCCGAACATCAAATGGAACTCCTGAACAAGGTCGCCGAGTTCTTCGTCGGCAACGAATACCGCCTGCTTATCATCGATAGCATCATGGCCCTGTTTCGCGTCGACTATACTGGCCGTGGTGAGCTGAATGAGCGGCAGCAGAAGCTCAACCAGTTCTTGTCAAAGCTGACACACGTCGCTGAAGGTACGTAGAAGATGGCCATTTCATTCTTCAACACTGACCATTGTCCCAGAGTTCAACGTTGCTGTTCTTATGACCAACCAGGTCCAGAGTGACCCGGGTGCCAGTGCGCTCTTCCAAGGAGCAGACGGTCGCAAGCCAGTCGGCGGTCACATCCTCGCCCATGCTTCAGCCACACGCATACTGCTCCGCAAAGGTCGAGGTGAGGAGCGAGTTGCGAAGATACAAGATTCGCCAGGTCAGTCACCTTACATCGACTCCTACGGTGTGAGCTAACATCGTAATTTAGACATGCCGGAGAAGGAGGCGACATACATCATTACGAACGGCGGTATCAATGACCCTGAAAAGGTGTGACGGGGGGCAGTGCCCTCCATCTTTCGATATCTCATGTTGTTCATCTCTGTGTGAGGGTCGATGTGGAGGTTTCCGAGCAATTTCCGCGAAGTTGAGGTTCATCTACAGGTATTAGCGGGCAGCATCATTCTTTTGCATAAAAAGCGTTTCGCAGTTACGTATTTAGCGCAATGAGATCTGTCGGACTTCTCGAGTCAGCTTCCTTCATCTAGTATTTATGGAGTTATCCGTGCCATCGTGTCATTTCATCTCCTCATCCTCCTATGCACCTCCATGAATGTGCACCAGTCCTCATCTACGCAGCAACCTCCCCTTCAGCAAAGCACCTCGCAATCTCTCTCGCAACCCCCAACCTCAACACCTTCAACAGATCGCTTCCCTTCGCCCCATTGGGGAACCCAGCGCGCCAATCCCACCCCCTCTTCGCATCTTCGACCTTCCCACCCTTAACCAGCACCGCACTCGAATTCGCACTCTGACCATCCGCCGAAAAATCCTGGCTCCCAATCATCGAGTAAGTCGACCCCGTAAGTGCAGACGTAGATTTCTGCAGAAGAGACTGTGGATTGGAAACAGCGTTGTCTCCATGCGCCGCGCCCAGCGTCGTCTTAAGCACCTCCTCACACTGGCCTTTCACCATCGCGCCGCTCGTTTCGAAATCCTCAATCGCAGCGAGAAGATCATAGAGATGTCGTAGTGAGAGTGTGCGCTTGGGCTGGTTCAGGAAGATGAGCGCTTCGCCGAGAAGCGGGAGCAGGACGTCGACTTGCACGACGGTTTCGATGGAAGGGTCGTAGAGGCCGCCTTGGATGCTGGATGCGGCGCTGGAGATGATTACCATGAGGGCGGCGGCGGCGAGGCGTTTGCGTGCCATGGGGCGGTGTGTGGGTTTCTCGCCGCCAGGAGACAGGATGGATGAGTCGCGCAGGTCGTAGAATTTCCGGATCGTCGCGTATCCGCTCAGATGCTGGCTCAAAATTTCCGCCGCCTCGGCATCCTGGGCTGCAAGTTTCGTAAGCGTTTGCTTCGGGGAAGAGATAAGCGAGGAGAGAGAGGCGTCGAGGTCTACGAGCGGCGGGTATGCGATGGACTTGATGAGGCAGTGAGCTACAAGAACGCGTAGGACTTCCTGGATCTTTGGAGCGGAGTGGGCGCGGGCGTAGTAGAGGAGCGTGGCGCCGTAGTTGTGGGTGTTGGCACGGAGGTGGTCGGCGTATTTCTGTGTGTGTCAGCTTTGAATATGGATGAGGTGGGAGAGAAGAGTGGCGTACCAGTGCGATGCTGATAGCCTGGGAATTCAGGTTCATGGCGTAGCATAGCTGGGTGATTCTGTCCACCTGGTCGGTTGAGTCTAGCGGGAGGTCGTTGATGATGTTTTCGATGCGTTGAGAAGCTGTGATGCTGTCGTCTAGTCTTGATAGAACTTGTACGGCGAGTTCCCAGCCTTCTTTTGATGTTTGGCCGTCTTGGGTGGTGATGGTGCCCTTGGTCGATAGGGCCTGGGAGTAGGTGATTTGCAGGTCGTCTTTTGTGGCGCCGGTACGGTTCTGTTCGTTGTAGCTCAAGACCATCAGGTCGCTCTGATCGAATCCACCTAGCAGACCGCCTGCGGGCTTGTACCATCCTCCAGCGCTGGCGACCTCGGCGATCGCAGCGGCTGCAGTGAGTGACCATCCACCAAGAATGAGCAAGACGCCCTCAATGTTGTCGTCCAAGACGCAAGCGAGTCCGACTTCGAAGCGATCTGTGACGTTGACACTGAACTCCTCATCGCTGTTCTGGACCACCGCTGCAAAGGAGGAGGACAGGCGCTGGCAGTAGGCGGTTACTGGAGTCACATCAACCGGACGAACGCGCTGGGATCGCATCAACGAACGGCGGCTCGCTGCAAGGCTGCCCTGTGCGATGTCATCTTCTTCGCCGTTCCACCAGATCGTCAGACCCAAGACAGCTTCGATCCAATCTGCTGAGATTGCAAGGATCTCCTCCTCGTTGCCCAAAAGAAGCTGATACAGTCTGCGAAGTTCCTCGTAGACGGTCCAAGGCACCCTGCTCTCTGCTTTCCGACTCGCTACGCTCAGCTGGAAACTAGCTTGTGACTGTGAAATGCCGAAGTGGGGTGCTTGGAAAGGCTGAGAGATGCCTTGTCGGCTTACGCTGTCGCCCTCCGCGAACTCTTGTAGATTGTTGTACACCTGATGTACACGCGAACGGAAGATGCTCCAGTCCTGACCCTTTACATCCCAATCGTCTGATGCAACAGCTGGGCATTCGCGTAGGAGGTCGATTGCTGAACGAACTGCTTCATTCGCGTATCTGAGATGCGACCCTGTGTACCCGTTGTCACCCAGGCCGTCGTTCTGCGCGGACTCTGCAACCTCCAGCTTAGCGCCCTGCAGCAGCTGCAGAGTCTGGCTGAAGTTGCCGCGCACAGCGGAAGCCTGCACAGCCTCCCAGAACGAGTGGTGCCTCGAGTATCCACGTGCTTCCTTCAGGACCAGCTCGACTTCAGAGACGCCAGAATATGTGTGGTTTAGCCAGTCGAGCAGAAGCTGTGGTACGGGTGTGTATTGTCGTGGTTCGCCGCGCGGAACGAGGGACAGGGCTGACGATCGCTGGTTCTGGCCCACAGGTGGAGGGTGGTGGATGCTGACTAGAAGGCTTGCCAGGTGGCTGGCGTTCGCAAGCCCAGCAGAGCCTCCAGAACGGCTCGATGACAAGCTTGCCTTCGAGTTGCTCTTCGACGCGGCCTGCCACAAGGACACCAGCTCTCGCGCCGCATCTCCAAGTACGCCTGCCCTTGTCTCTGGCGTGTCCGAGTGCAGCGACTCGTTCACTTTGCCCAACACCCGCTCCGTTTCCAGTATCACGTTGTCCGGCTCTTGCAGGGTTGCGCGCTCGACATTCGGCACCAGTCCTTTCGCCAAGCCCACGAGATCGAACTGTGTCTGCTTTGCGCCGGCTCGCACCAGTGTTGGTCCTGGGTCCAGATCGTTTGTACTCGCCCGCGAGACGACTGACTGCGACAGCCGGCTGTTGGTCTTTGCGCGACGCTGCGCAGAGAGCTGCTCTTCCTCATAGTAGTCGTCTCCCTCCTCGTCCTCCATCTCGTCGTCGTCGTCGTCGTCGTCGTCGTCGTCGTCCTCTCCATCCTCCTCCCCATCCTCCTCCATGTCTTCATCTTCCTCCTCCTCGTCTCTGTTCAATTGCTGCGGGGGACTGCTGGGGACGCGAGAGCTGTTGCCGAACACACCGCTGGCCGGGCGACTGTTGGGGCGGCTGCGCTGGCCGGAGCCAGGCCTGCCGAATGTGGTGGTACCTATATTTCCTGAGCCAGTTCCTTCAAATAGGCCGTGTCTCGGCGGAGAGCTCTCTGGGAAGCTACCATAGTGGGAACTGTCAAAGTTGTAGTTGCCAGGGCGGGCGAAGTTCGGTTGCGACTCGCCGAACAGGCTGTTCATGGCTGGCGGCCGCCCTGCTGGCGTGGACGTGGGGTCGTAGCCGCGGTAGGACTCGTCCGGCGGCGGTCCAGCGGGCGTCGTCGTGGGCCCGTTGAATCGAGTCGAGCGGCCGGGGGTAGAGGGGGGTGTGGACGAGGGCACTCGGAACATGGCTGCTGCGTATGCGCGACAACAAAGCTAGGTTCGAGCTTTCGAGACACCAAAAACAACGACAATGGCGGTCGCAATCTCCACGTGCTTCCTTTTTACGTGCGACGGGCGCAATGCATCTGCACCTTCCAGTTGCCAAAGCTGCGGTGAGGGTGGGTTGTGCTGATCTATCTCCTCGTCGCGCCGGACGTAAACTTCGCGATAGCTTAGCTGCAGTGACGCGCCGCAGCTGCTTGGCATTGGCTGCTCAACACGAGGCTGCATACAATCTCGGCGCTTGGAGATACTTTCACCCGCCTGCGCTCGACGACCCACTCTTGCGGCACTGTGGATCTTTGGGTGGGCTTGGCGACACGTGCGGCTGCTTCCAGCGCACCCAGTCTGCGTCCGGTGGTTTCTAGTCTTTCTTCTGCGAGTCCCTGAGGGCTGGCCGCGCAATGCAGTCGAATCATCGTACGCTGCCTCCACTTTCCCCTCGACTGCGCGCAGCCCAGATCCTGCATGAAAGCGGAAATGAAGCGTGGTACTGTCGACAATGTCCTCGGAGAGTGGCATGCCCCGCAGGGGTTGTCTTGGTCATTCGTTCTTCGTGTACATATATCAAGGTACCCGGGCAGCACTCGGCCGGTCGCTAATCAGTCCATCACCAGCCCTGCCCGCCTGCCACCTGCAAGCTGACTAGCCCTCCGCGCTTCCGGCGTGTTGATGAAGTCACACTCTGGCTGCCTCCAGCCTCTGTCAAAAACGGCGCTCCCGCCGTCAGACCTGCCCTGAACTGCTGTCGCACCTCTTTGCACTTGTCTTACTATTTGTACTCCCCGCCGTGCTACTCTTGCACTCCAATGCCTGATGTTGTAATGCCTAGTCCCCGCCCGGCTACCTGCTGAGACACCGCACTACCGCAAAACACCTCCGCCTGAGCGCGGTCCGCCGAATTCCATGTGGTCCAAGACCAAGACTTCCAGCAAGGCTGGCTTCGACAAAGTTTACACCTTGGTAGACAAGCTCGGTGCGCCTGTCAACCGGCTGTCGAACAAAGTCGGCTCCGAGGCCTTCTGGCCGACGACGCTTGATATTGAGTCTGACAAGGCTGCGCGGATACTAAAGAGCTTCTGCAGTGAGTATCTCCGGGGTCAGGTCTGCAAACAGCGCTGACAGCAGCACAGAGGATGGCTTCTATCAGGAAGAAGACCGACCCACGGGCACTGAAGGCCCCAAAGCGAAGCAGAAGGTGCTCAAGAAGATACCCTCAGAAGTAATCAAGAATGCGAAAGGCCTCTGCATATTCACAACGATGCGCACTGGGCTCTGGGTCTCGGGAAGTGGCGGAGCTGGTATTCTGGTCGGGCGCAAAGAAGACGGGACGTGGTCCCCTCCTTCGGGCATCATGATGCACACAGTTGGTGTTGGCTTCCTCGTCGGCGTGGACATCTACGATTGCGTCATCGTCATAAACTCCCAGAAGGCCTTGGAAGCGTTCCAATCCGTGCGCTACACACTGGGAGGAGAAATCAGTGCAGTTGCCGGGCCAGCCGGTGTCGGCGGCATCATTGATACGGAGGTCCACAAGCGCCAGTCGCCATTGTTCACATATATCAAGTCGCGAGGCTTCTACGCCGGACTCCAACTAGACGGCACCATCGTCATCGAGCGCACGGACGAGAACGAGCGTTTCTACGGCGAGCGCATTGGCGTCAAAGACATCCTGGCGGGCAGAGTGCGCCACCCACCCTACGAGCTGAACAGGCTCATGGAGACACTCAAATCCGCGCAAGGCGACACAGATGTCGACGAATCTCTCATCCCAGACGAAGCACCCCCTGCCGACTTCGAGGTCACAGCACCGACACAGCCAGAGGACAAGGCCTTTGGCATACCTGCTGACGATGACCCGGACCCATTTGGCCTGCTAGCACTGCAGTCAGCTGGACTGGAGATCCGAGAAGCTGGCACACACAACGTTCCAACGAGCGAACAATTTGAGTTCAGGCCTAGCCCTACAAGCCCCATCTTCTCGACATTCAGAAAGAGCACGGATAGATCCAGTATAGCAGCAAGTCTGGCACCTAGCAGGCGCTCAAGCTGGCGAAGTAGCACTTTGAGCAGTGTCTTGGGAGGATCGCGGCCCAGGAGCAATTACGCAGACTCAAGCACGCAAACAAGTTACGCCGACTCCAGTACACAGACCGAGCTGGAGCTCTCCACACCCGTCACGCCAACTACTAAAGTACCCCCGCAGCTGCCACCGCGAACGCTGCCAAGATCGAATGATGCACGCACGCCATCGCCGCCGTTGGCAGATATCCCCGAAACAAATGTGCAGGAAGCTACACCGCTAAAGAAGGTTGCGCCTGAGCCCATCGAGCAACCAAAACCGAGCAGTCCGCTGCGCAAATCCATCGAGGTCGATGATGACGAGAAGAAGTTCGAGCTTGGAAAGGACACCGAGAAGGATGCATTGAGGAAGGTCGATGACAACGAGGAGAAACTCGATGAGATCGAACTCGACTCTGAAGATGAAGAAGAGGAAGTCGTCATCCACGAAGTCCACCAGGCCGCGGCTCCTCAAGTCATCAACCGCGCCCGCATCATCCAGGTCGCGAAACCTGTCGCACCCATGCTGCCTCCTCGCAACCCCTTCCGCAACAGCCGCAACCGAAACAGCACTACTTCTGAGGCCTCGACCGAGAGGGGCATGGAGGAGAAGCCTAGCCCGACTTCGACACCAAGCTTGAGGCACGGCGATTCCACGTCTTCCCTTTCAAGCATTGAGGGCGAGGGCCTTGCACATATTAGTGCAAGATTCCAGCCTAAGTCCGCCGAGGAGCAACAGAAGAAGAGTGAGGAGAAGCATGATGACTTCCACTCGCTGCCGGAGTCACCTGTCAAGACCGTCCCCGGTGCTTTCTGAGCGACTTCACAACACTACCATCATCATCCATTGATACCCAACACCAAACTGGCGTAGCAGCGCCCAACTGCAGAGATTCGACTGTAATTGTTAATTGCCCTCTTGTTCGTCATCGCATGCGTTGCATATAGTCCCCAGTCCGCCGCGGACGGCATGTAGAAATGTTTAGTCATAGTCAGGTGCAAAGCGTCATCACGAACGCTTACGAGTTACGAATTAATCCACTCTTCATCGACCCCTTACAGGGTACTTACCTCCGGTTCTCAATGTCGATATGTGCCTGAGCGCTTTGTTTTCTAGCAGTCTTGTCCGCACACCTCATCTCATCCGATTTGCAGTCTCGATCATACTGCCTTTCTAAAGCAAAGAAGGCGAGGCCCCGGGGATGTGTGGAGTGGATCCACACTATCAGAAAACGAGCCAGGATCCACATCAACAGCCTCATCTTTCACAAGTCTTTGTACACTTCAATCTATTGACTATATAGTCATTGTAACGCCACAATAAATTTTATGTTGAAGTTCGAAAGACCTCATGGTTCAGAATGTTCATCATGTTATTTTCCACTTCGGCAGTCAACACCAGTCGTTCGAGTCCGGTCGAGATAGGTGTTTACGCATCTATTTTTCTCGGGATGTTTATTTAGCTTCGTACATCTCCATCATTCGAATGGACTCTCTGCAAATTGTTTATCCTTCTGTCATATCACTTCGTAACGTACTCGAGCACCGTATATCTTTTGCCATTTTGACTCATCGGTGGCTGAGGCAGTGATCTCAGTAAATGGTCGTGGTTGAAGGACGTGCAGGCGAAACTTTACCTGCAAAGTGGGCTTGGAAAGACGAATGTCGTTGAGAAGGTGCGGTCACGAGTTCAAGTGGACAGTTCTTCAATACTTGACACATCGGGACGCACCTCGGAGGGAAGGGTGTAAGGAAGGATGTAAGTCTAGCAGACAAAGGCAGTACTGACAACCTCTGCAGCTTGGCGGAAAGTACTTTTGGGTCGTTCGTCTGCACTGCCACGAGACAATCGCTGCATCTCCAGTCTCAATACTGTGTGTTTTTGTCCCAGCTTCTCAACCAAAGGTAGATCTTAACAAAATCGAGTGTGCAATCTTTGTGTGAAAATGTGTCGTTTGATGGAAGTGGTGCGCTAGAAGTAGTAAGTGGTCTGATGTGCGCGGCTAGAAATCACTTTACGTCAATCAGAGCATGGGAAACAGTTGGATAAGCTTCCTGGCTTTGTTGTTGGTCCAGAACGTGTGCATCATGTAAATCAGAGCAAAGAAAAGAGGCAGATATCCCAGGAGGATAAGCAGGTGCTGGGTAAAGGGAAGGGCGCCGGGAGAAGATACTGTCGGCAACCAGCAAGTCCAAGCATAGAAAGAACGCGCGGGAGAAAAAACGAAAAAGACACAAGCATTGAATACTCTATAGCTGTCACGGTTCAGGGTGCTCCTGCCTGTTGTACCTCACCTGCCATAAGAGTGACTGCCACGTCACACTAGCGTTGTTTACAGCTACTCACCTATATATACTGTTTGTAGCTTCACTCAACACAACCTCAGTACAATCTTCAAATTCTTCCCTTTGCGTACAGTTCTTCACTGAACTCTGACAATAGCAGTGTTGGGAGCTACAAAGAATGTACCATTCTATCAAACAGGCCTTGCACATATGGCAGGCGTGTTTGACTTCAGAACCGTTCACGCACCGACAGTTTCTTCGTGTGCTGTAGGTCGCACGGTTTCGATACTGGTGTAAGAGTGTCGAGTCAGAAAGCTGTGGTGACGCTATGTGTGGTGTTGTTGGAGGGAGTCGTAGGCAAGGAACTAGTGCTGAAGAAGTGATGTGTCTGGAGGAAAGAATAAAAGGTGGGAGGCAACGATAGCCATAGCACGCTCGATATTGTGTAGTCAAAGTTCCAGTGGTTGGTTAAAGTGTCGTGCAGGTGTCGTGTTTGTTTGCTGTAGTAGATTCCCAAACATTGTATTCATATCAGGTGTCAGGAAGACGATGTGTGTTGGGTCCGGACTAGGCTGTGGTTTCGTGCTGCACTGGTCAGGTTCAAATTGTTGTCAATGGATGGTGTGAGATATTCAGGCTATCAATGGGTAGTGGGGTCTGCCGTCAACCCTTTTGCATGTAACTTCCTGACCCGTGTAGGGGTTGAATGTGCTTCTGCCAATTAATTCCTGTAGTTCGAGTGTTGTATCGTCTGGAGATTGATTTTGTGAAGTGGGTGTTGGTTGCAGTCAAGCTGGGCAATGAAGTACTCGCAAGGTGTCTGACACTATCTGTAAAGAGCTCATGGAGGGGTGTACGGGCATTAGTTGCTGTTGGTATGTGAGCATCAACCAAAGATATGGTGAAAGCAGGGTTGCAAACATGAATCAGCGGATGGAGTTGCTGGAGGACTGTCGAAGAGACTCACTTGCTGCGAGTATAAGGCGTATTTGGTACAGTGCGCGACGTATATTGCTAGTACAGCAAGGCTTGATGGTATTACGCGTCGGCCGATGGGTTGATCGTCACTGCACGTGTGACGTTGTTCTGGTTGTCCATGCATGCTTCCCTATTCGGTCAGCTGGATTCGGACTGACAATGCATTCAAATTGACCTACTGCACGCTGGACCATTATGCTTGATGAATTGCCGTGCGTACCGTACTTGAAATCTGCAGATGGGTAGTATGCGAATGCGAGAACGGTATGGCACACCGCAACACGGTCAGCCTTGGGGTTGAGACAGTGTCTTTGTAAGGCGTAAGGCGATCCCCTGTGCTTATAGAGATCTGACTGGGCGAACAAGGTGGAGATCCATACTTGATGCCGTCAAGGGTTGCTTTTGGGGGCCAGTTTCTGTCGTTGATGTTGTGGCGCTGATAGTGTGGAAGTGCTGTGCACAAGACCGCCGTAGTGAGATGGGTCCCGTAACCGTAGCTTGCGCAGCATTACGTTCGATAGATGCGTATGTGACATCATATTGAAGTCCACTTGGTTGAAAAGAGCACTTCATAATACTCTTGACCGATGTACAGACCGCTGCCACGTGGGGCTTAAGTCTGGAAGGTGCATTGCATAGGGCTGCAACGGCATTACGACCTCCAGTAAGCTCACAGCTGCGTGACTAAGCGGCCGAGTTAGAAGCCTGCAGTGCCCGCTTGGACAGTTGTGTAGTAGAATAGCGGCGGATACTTACTAACCTTAGGCGAGTACCCAATGCGCAGGTTGCGGTGTCGGGGGCGGCGCCAATGGAGTGGGTGAACGACGCCTGGTGTCATGGGGCGGTGTGCCGAGTGTTCAGCCGGCAGATGTAAGTACTATTCACCCAAATGAGCATCAATGGTGGGGAGAGATCCGTTAGTACTCAATTTCATCAGCAATTCTGGTGCGTTCTGCAGGCCTTGTGCGTCAATGTGCAGATGGTAGGCAACACTTGGTTCCTCTGAATTTGATGAAGGCAGCGGACTGGCCTTTACTATGCACATGATATGACGGTGATCGCATCGACTGTAAAGTCGAAGATGATCTAGAAACTGTCATTATCGTACCAGGGCGAAAGACGATATTGACATTGCTGCTGAAAGTCAAAATGATCTTTGGGGTCGATCGTGACGGGCTGTGAATCGTTGTTGCCAATTATAACGCGGCAGTGCCCTGAAAAGGATATGTAAGCGACGACTCGTCACGCACGAGCTTCAGTTTTCAGACGACATTCCTCACACAGTCGTCATGCAACCGACCTCGGCTCCTGCCGTCGGCTTGCAAAGGTTTTCCGCTGCCATCTCCGCTGGTGATGGCCCGCGATAACCGCCACAGTGTCTGCGCCGAAATGACCCATCAAGCACGCGAGAAGTGGGTCTGAACACCTGTCCACGTCAGTTTTGACGGCCATTCGGTCCACAACTGAGTCGTCCATCCGTCAAAGTGTGGCTGATTTTCCATACTAGCAGAGCTGATTGTCGGATCCGATCTCACACCTTCGGGACATCGTGCGGTTCAGACGATAGACTCACTGCGCAACTCCGCTATGGACAAGGGGCTTTTGCACTATCACCACATCATCAGCTCCATCTTGCAGCGCGGTGCAGGGGGGCCTAGTACCGCCTTTCGCCCTTTCCAGGCACATGTCCACATGTGTCCTCTCGAGAGTTGCGCGGATCGTCTGATTACTCGACTCTACCCTTTGGAGGGATCGTGGCAGATTATACGACCTAGCGCGCGAGCCAATAGGAAGCCCAGGCTACAGCTGAAGAGCCTCTACACCGAACCACCCTATCCCTGCTACAGCAAGTAGCCCTACCAATCCGTCCACATATCTAGTAACTGATTTTAGGGCTGTGTTAGTTCTGCTTGACAATCCCATCTTAGCAGCACCCGGTGCTGACTGTGCACCCGTTCCACTAATGACTACCGTTGCCTTACGGACCTGCAGAAGTTCGAGTATGCCTTCTGTGTATGACCCACCAGGGCTTGTGCTCTCTCCTTTGTCCTTGACATCTCCATTATATATGCTAGTCTCTCACTACTCATGGGCTTGTCTCTCTATCATACTCTTCAGTTCAACCGCTCCTTCCAGTACCCTTTGTAGCACAATTGGCATTCCAGCTTCGTCATCACCGTTGCTTTTCGACCATTCTGCACCCTCGAGTCGTCCACTGTGTGGTTTTCCACTACTACAATGTGCTACCAAGTCGTCGAACGCTACTCTGTCTGCCGATGCCTCTACCACAAGCACGCCATCGACCCTTGTGCTGCTCATGGACAACGCGGCCATATGGTACAGGAGAAGACAGTCCTTGTAGGCTACGCCTGCAGTCTACACAGTGGCCATCGACCTGGAACTGTCTTCAGTCCCCAGCATGTACATCCATCTCCTGAGATCAGTTTCGATGTGTGCATGCCAGGACAGCTACGATGAACAAACGCAAGCGGGTTATTACCACACGCGTACCGTTCCACCACCAACCTCACATCCGCAGGTCATCACGAAGACTGCAGACTGTGGACGTCCTTCACTTCTTCGAGCCGGTCTCTCGCTGTAACGATGAGCAGCATCCTTGGATACAGACTTTCATTCAGGACTTCATAACGTACACGCATCAGCATGGAGTTTGGGACATGCAACTGAGCATAATGGCATGGATTTGGAATCGAGCGTGTGTAGAAGTCAAATTGAATAGATTCGAAAGACACGCTTGGCGTGTACGATCACGATGGGATATGCATAGCGGCGCATGACATGTGGTCACGGGCGTTCGCTAACATGGCGCTGGATTGGGACGGATGTTTTGTTTTCTTCCTCTCACTTCTATTATTCTTAGCGTTTCTATTCAATCATGTAGGAATGCAGCTTACTCTTTCCACAACTGCTAAAGTCTGCCTTGCAGAATCACCTCGCAAGCCCACTGCCATATTCCACCATGAGGCCATGCTCCGTCTCTCGTGATACTCTGCAAATACCTGTGCGGCCGGAACCGCGGAAAGTGAAGGCTTGAGTCACCAGCAGTTGTTTACTAGCATGCCTAACGTAGTGGATGCATGCCTGGATGTTGCATGGGCCACTATGATACGTCATCAATAACACTAAGCCGCATTCGCACTCGTGCATGCTAGTGCCTTAAAGCAACACCGCTCTTTCCACACTGCTTCCCTATACACTGCACTCAAAACCGTACAACTTCGTCGGTGAGCGCAGCTCGACTCCTACCGTTCATGTCACTCCGCCAAATGCTGTATCTGCAACCATGATCGACCTTACGCCGATGCTTCACGTACTACACGGATATCCCCATCGACGCCGGTGAACGACTTTGGAAGCCAAAGCTCGGCGATTCGGCGCAGCGTCGCGGTGCAAAACAGCTTCACGATCAGTGTGGTAACGCCCACTGTTATTCGTCCTCGTTGCTACATGCAAGCCGATTTATCCGCTACCTGGCCCGGATTTGCACGCATCGTTGCTGCCGACTATGCTCACTACCGCGATTGGATGATTTGATGTCTTTGTCAACTAGTCCCATGACTGCCACCTGATACGTCCCTCGCATACGATGCTTGCACCGCGGTTAAGAGTTGGCCTGCAGTCATGTGCACCGGATGCGGCTCTGGTGCTAGGCACCCAATGCTTCCGACAGATGGTTCGCTGGCCTCCGGACGCCTCAATTGGCTGTGAAATCGCAACACAACCTGTCTGTTGTCTTCACATGCCGGATTATTCACAGACGCTGTCCCCCATAGTTCCGCATATTGTCCAGACCGTGATTGCGTTTCAGCTTTGTGCCAATGGGATAATCATACGACTTCTCTTGCTCTTCAATGGCCCAGGATATCATTGTCGAGGCGGTCTACACCTCGCATACCCTCTGCCGATAGTATGCGGTTATATGGAGCTAACTTTGATTTTACCTTCACCGATCACAGGTACTGGGTCCTCTGCAGATACATGTCATTCACACCATCACTCGATTCCATATCACCGATCGCTGCACTACGAAGCTTTGCAATCACGTTCGGTTGATCTCAAAGAACGTACAACTGCCGCTGCAGATCGACGATCTTTGCAGATCTCCTTCGCTTCAGGCATATGCACAATCACACACTGCAGGAGCCACGGCAAGGAGCCTCGAAATCCATACTCGGAGGAGCATACCCGATGCCTAGGGCTGGCTCCGCCTCTCAAGGCGTACTCGGGCCCATTGCAAAGTCACTGTAGTAAGGTTGCTTAGACTGCTCTATTTGGTGGCGATTCTAGGCAGGGAGGTTTGGGACCCTCGAACAGTCACAGTTCCTCGTATCCACTCGGAACGATCGATGTTGCTTGTTTCCCAAGCAGAGGGGCGGCTACGGCGGAGCGAACTGAGCCCTCCTAAACATAGGTGTGTTAGGTTGCATGATCTGTGGCTAGATAAGTCGGTCAACATTGCTTTGCCTCTTCAGAAAGTTCATAGAGGCCTTCACCTTATTCATGGCAAACCCAATTTCGCTTGACTTTGATCCATTGTCGATCTTAGAGTCCTTTTCTTCCAGGGTTCTTCGAGGTGATACGGCCTATGTCATTCCAGTGTGGTAATTAAGCGCAGTTGTATCCATGACCATGGGCCACCATTCTACGATAGTGTGTTATCACAATCGAGAGGTGAAGTAGTTCACTGCCATCTTCGAACATAAGGCTAGTGCTGAGGGGCGATTTCGACGGTGATCGACACTTGGCCGCTGACCAACAACTGCAGTAGGATGTCGCGGACACTGAAGGACATTTCGCAACACGCCTTCCTCGAGAAGCTCATGGAGTGGCAAGTCTTTCCTGTCCGCCCTTCCGGAGGTTGGAACGGCGAAAGAGCGACGTGCTGCCAAGGTAACACTTAAAGCCGAGTCTGACGACAGGGGAGAGAAGAAGATGCACAGCAAGGATGACTTGATGTTTTTTAATGTCTCCAAAATCAACAGCAAGTGCTATCCATACTTTTTGAAATGTCCACTCGGAGCTCTCTTCGTCTCAGAATTTGCACATATCCTCGTCTGGGTTCGATTAGATTGACAGACTAGCATATTCCTCGCACGCCTCGATGAGCTTCTTCTTCGTTCCTGGCTCCTGCTAGGTGTCAGTAACTGCTTTTCGGTCTCATCAGGAGCGCCATTGACTTACCGTTGCGCTGTGCCCAGCATCGGAGACCCAATGCAGCTTGGATTCCGGGAAGGCCTTGTGCAGCTCCCAAGCAGTGATAGGCGGGCAGACCACATCGTAACGGCCTTGTATAATAGTCGCTGCGGTCGTTGTTAGCATCAACATTATCGTCACCGCGGCGGACATCACTTACTGGGAATGTGGCGGATCTTGTCGATGTTCTCCTTCTTCAGCAGCTGGCCGTCTTCCAACCAAGCCTTGTTCTGGAAGTAATGTGCTTCCGTCCTTGCGTGTGCCAGGTTGTACGATGCATCATCAAGCTGAGCCAGGCCCTTGATGTTTGGATACAGAGTGCTGATAGAAACTTCCCACTTGTTCCAAGCTCTCGCAGCTGGATGACTGATACTCTCGTCAGAAGATATCAAACGCTTGTGGTAAGATGCGACATGATCAGCTCTTTCCTCTTCGGGGAGGAAGTTTATAAACTCGTCGAAGCGGTCAGGGAAGAGCATGCTGGCCCCTCCTGGAACCATGGTCCACTTCAGTTCGAGGTCTCGAACTGCGAAGATGCCGCGTAGGACCAGTGAACCAACAGAAGATGGATGTGTCTGAGCGTATGCGAGTGCCAACGTCGAGCCCCAAGAGCCTCCAAAGACCACATGCCACTTGGCAATGCCCAGGTGCTCTCTGAGGGCTTCAATGTCAGAGACCAGGTGCCAAGTTGTGTTGTTGATGGTGCTCGCATTTGGTCGTGACTGTCCGCATCCACGCTGGTCAAGCAAGACTACACGGTAGTGCTCGGGGTTGAAGAATGACGTATTGCCCTTCGAAATGTGGCCTCCGGGACCACCATGCAGATAGATGACTACGTGAAGCTCAGTAATTGCAGGTCTGAACATGTCTTGAAGTCTTGTATACCTGCTTTTCCATCCTTCTTACCGTACTGTTCGTAGTAAAGCTCATGGGTCTCGTCAACCCTCAGCCAATTGGTGCCCCAGGCATCATCGTGCTCATAGCCTTCTGTTTGTGGACCTTGGACCATATTGACTAAACTACAGCTCTACAATGATTAAGACAAGACAAGGAGGAGACAAGGTAAGGAGGAGACAAGGTAAGGAGGAGACAAGGTAAGAAGGAGATAAGACAAGGAGGAGACGAGCTTTTGTATGTGACTTGGTGAGTCGTAGTGCTCCGTAAAGAGCGGGGACCAAGATGTCAGACAATCGAGTCTAGGCTATATTCAGTCTAGTGATGCCCCACTTGTGAACAACAACTTGGAGGACGAGCGCAGCCTCATCTCCATCTCCTGATCTCTTGTCAGGCTCCAACAGCCTCAAGTAATACAGACCAATTCTTTCCTATCACCACTTATTCTCCCCTTGAATTTCCCAGCCTCCAGCTCTTTCAACATGCGCGGAAAATCCTCGAGCTTTCCGTCAACAACAACCGGGTCAAGGGCGCCTTCAGCTACCAAGTCGAGCACTTCCTTGAGATCTTTTGTTTGCCCGCCATACGAGAAGACGATATCGAGCCGCTTGCGTATCCTAATCTTCATGTGCACAGTATTCTGTGGTTCAGCGTGCCAACGCACAAGAGCTTGCCTACTTGACGGACTGTTTCGGTGTCAGGACTGATCTGCAAATGATATCCAATACATACCTATGTGTTGAGCATCGCTGAACGTATGCGCGGTGCCGACGAAATCAGCAACAATCGAGACCTTGCCTGACCAGCCATTCTCCTTAACCCATTCCCTGATATCCTTCCCATCCGGTAAGATGTCTGAGTTGTTCACACCGATTTTCACCGCACCATCCAGATTCTCTTGCTTGACACCGCTCACGAAGACTCTTGCATCTATCGCTCGAATCACCTGTAACGCGTTGAATCCAAGGACTCCAAGCCCGAACAAAAAGACAGTGTCTTTCGATGTGATCTTCCCTTGACGGTGTATCGCATGGTACGCCGTCGTCACTGCGTCAGTAGCTACAGAAGCTTGGCTTGGTGTACATGAATAGCACCACGGACATCGATGACGCAGTACGACGCGTAGAACCCATCGTTCCCGATGCCTGACCGATGCGCTCTTGTGGAAAGCTGAGCAAGATCTACGCTACACTCTTCGCAGTCTTGGGCTCCACATCCGGGTACTCCGAGTAGCGCGATGACGTCCCCAATCTTGAAGCCGACAGACGAAGGGACATCAGAACAGAGTTTGACAATGCGACCGCAGCCCTCGTGATCGAGCGTGAACTCATCTTGAAACCACGCAGGTTGATTCTCATTTGTGAGCAGGTTGTGGTCAGATCGGCACACGCCTGCTGCTATGAGCTTGACGAGTAATCTGTTTGAGTGCGGTGTTGGGACACGAACTTCTTACCAGACCTAATTCATGTAAGTCGAGATGATCTTAGTAACAGAAAAGCAGAACGGCAAGGCCTCATTGTGGCTGCAACGTTCTCTTCAAATATGTTTTCCTCACTGGCCTCACTTATCAAACTTTGCACGTATTCAGGCAGTACAATGGACTTTTCATAGGTGTGTAACTACACTGCACGTCTATCAAGGTTCTCATCAATCATCAAAGGCAGGCCATGCCACGCTAAACAGACGTGCATATGCCATAAGGTGCTCCAAAGATACTCAAATGCAACGCGATCAATGCACGATGCATCAACGCTCCCGCACTCTAGTACCTGCGGCCATAGCTCTCCTCCTGGCCTCCGTAGTCACCACCTCCATAGCCACCCTGGCCGTAGCCGCCACCCTCCTGCCTGCGGCTGCCGTACTCATCGTCATCGTCGCGGCGGCGGCCGTGGTGCTCTTCGCCGAAGCCTCGCTGGCGATGCTCGTTGTCACCACCGAAACCGCCTGGCATTCTGTCGTCGCCGAAAGACTCCTCACCACCGTGGCGACGTCCTCCGCCGTAGCTGCCGCCAGCGCCATATGAATCGCCTCCATAGCCTGAGGATTCTTGACGACCGTAGCCCGAGCTCTCTTGCTGGCGACCGTATCCGGACTCTTCTTGACGACCATAGCCGGAGCTTCCAGGACGTCCACTATACCCGCCCTGGCTCTCCTCACCGTACCTGCGCTCCTGTCCATAGCCACCAGAGTCATGGGACTGGCCGTAGCTTCCAGAGTGGCGCTTGGGGGACTGGCTCTTGCTCTTCTTGCGCCTGTGCTCCTGCTCGCGAGAGCGAGAGCGGCGTCTGTACTCGCCGGAACCTGAATGACGCTTGTCAGCATCGTCATCCGAGTCTTCGTCGCCACTACCATATTTCTTCTTGTTCCTCTTCTTCTTCTCTTCTTTCTCGCGCCTCTTGCGCTCCTTCTTCTGGCGCTTCCCGTACGAATCCTCGCCGCCGGATTCATCATCGTCGTCCGAGTCGTCTTTCTTGGATTCGTGAGACTTACCGCGTCGCCTGCTCATAGATCAGTAACTTTGCGCCTGATGCGGACGAGTCCTTGGACTTACTCTTTCTCTTCATTATAGTACTGTCCTTGGCGGTCAAAGCCTTCGCGACGCTCCTCAGACTGCCACTCGTTGCCACTCTGCACACGACGCTCCTCGCGGCGCTCGTAACCACCACCGCTGCTGTAGCTGGAAGTCTCGACCTCCTGCTGGTAGCTGTAGGATCCTCCCTGCTGATCCCGCTCCTGGCGGCGGTACTCCTCACGGCGCCCACCACCGGGGTACTGCGTCTGCTGGTACTGAGCTTGACCGTAACGCTCAGAGTCGCCATATGATGATTTCTTGTGGTGACCAGTCTCGGAATAAGATTGAGTGTAGGAACCATCCTGGCCATAGCTTTGGTTGCTGCTGCTCTTCTTCTCATTGCCACCGAAAGCATCACCGAGGAGTGAGCTACCGACACCGGAGACAAGACCACCAACAAGACCACCAAGAGCACCACCTCCGGCAGCTTCACTTGCAAGCTTAGCGACATGATCGGTAGCCTGCTGAATAGGTACCTGGTTGGGTCCCTTGCCTCCCTTGACGTTGCCGAAGTCGTTAGCCATACCAAGAGGCTTGCCGCATCCGTGACCCTTGTCCTCCACTCCCGGCTTATGGTTGTCACCGTTCTGCACACCACGACGGCTGAGCTTCTGACGCAGGTCATCCTTGCTGCGTTCAGAGTTGCTGTCCCACCAGCTCTTCACGGTGCCGTACATGATGTTGCGGCACTGGTCGGAACCGCGAACATTTCCACGCAAACAAGCAGGGTGGTGGAAAACACCATCGATGATACGGCTGATGGTCTCCTCGGGATCGGCTTGGCCGTCCCAGCACTCGACAATTTGTGGCACTGCCCAGCTGAGAACAGCAGAAGCGACCTTCCCAGCGGGCTCATTCAACAGGTTGGAGAAGTGATCCTTAGACAACATGGAGTGGGTTGGGTCGGTGGACTCGTCATCGTTGAAGACGATGTGCTGCTTCTCGCGCGAGCTTGCAATGACCTCGGATGAGCCCTCCTCAAGCTCAGTCTTGACCTGGCTCAAGATGGGAAGGACGTAGGGAGCGAGCAGGCTGAAGACGAAGATAGAGACCTGATCCTGAACTTGTTCGATAAGTTCAGGGAGCACAGGGATCTTCTCGACAAACTCGTTAATAGCCTGCATGATCTCGTCGTGGAACTCCATGATAGGGTAGATCTGTTTAACCATCTCGCCGACCTGCTGAGTGAAAGCCTCAGGCTCCTTGGGTGTGACGTGCAAGTTGCCCATAGCCGCAGCATTGGCGTTCTCCTCAAGCTCGTCTGCCTTGCCAGACTGGTCTTTGCCGCCGAAGATGCCATCAGGAAGCTGGCTCAACAGGTCCTTGATCTTGCTCTTGTTCTTTGTTCTGTCGGCATTTGTGATGGCGCCTTCAAGCTCCTGCAGCTCAGACTGTGTAGTCTTATCGGTGATTTCACCGCAGACGGAGTGCAAGAAGTCCACACCACCAAAGGTACCAGTGACAATCGGGTAGACCTCTTTGCGGGCCTCGCGGACTTGGAAGCGAGCGTTGCGTCCGACGTGAGGGAAGATGTCCCGCTCTCCCATCTCAATCAGAGCCAGCTCAGTGTAGTTCGAATGCGCTGAGTAATCCTCCAAGCAGTGAGTCGCAGTGCCGAGCAGACGGAGAGCCTCGTAGAAGTCAGGGCCACGTCCGCCCGAGCGGCGACCAAGATCAATGCAGCGCCTCAGCAGGTCGCGGACCATGCCGGCCGATGTAGTGATACCCAGATCCTCAGACGCAATGTAATTCTTGAGACCGGTGCGCTCGTCAACGCTGAGCTCGCGGCGCTCATCGACGGGTCCTCGCAGGCGGCGATCGTAGTCGCGGGCATCGAGGTTGTCGGCATAGTCCTTAGGGTTCTACAAGGTCTCAGCCTTTGGTCTTCAAATCGGAGGGTAGACTTACGTCGATGTGTTCCTCAGGACGGTAGCAGCCCAGCCTATCCCTGGTAACCTCGAACTCCTTAGTACCGTATCCAAAGCTCAGGAAGCCCAGCACCCAGAGCAAGATACGAATAGCCTCAGCAGACACCATCTTGACGGTGCCGACATCGACAGCTTGCGAGTAGTCGCGCAGCCAGTTGCCAAAGTAGACTCGCTTGACATCCATCTTACTAAACTTCTTGCCTGTGCGACTCGAGATGAGCAGGGTGAGCAGTGTGTCCTCGATGTCTCCATGGCGCCAGTTCTGCCCCTCAATGGCACTCAGGCTGGCGATGTTACCAGCACCGAAGGCATGTGTTGGGCGGGCCCAGAAAACGAGAAGGAGAAGGCATGGCAGCCAGATGTCGCTAAATTGGAGCTTCGGCGGCATCGTGCTTGCTAATGTGAGATTTGTAGAACAAAATAGGTAGTGTAGGTGTCAATGTGAGAATGCTCTCAGGTGTCGGTGAGCTGCGTAGTTGACGCCAAGGGTTTCAGCTTCAGGTTGTGATGGCGGGGCAGAGCGTTGACGTCACGTGGGATTTCATATGTGATCTACTGGAGAATTACTTGACCAGAAGCTTCTTCAATGCGCTGCTGGCCTCCGTTATGTCGAGATAATGAGAAGGCAATGCAGAAGTTTGGGTGTAGTTTACCTTCTCCAGATTTCGGTTGGAGCGGGACGTTGGACGCGTCTTTGTCTATCTGGACGCTGAATTCAGCGCGCACCGAAAGTCTCGCGTGCGGCGTGACGATGCTAGCACTTATAACCAGAAGCTACCAATGGTGCTGACGTTCTTGGAAAATTGGTCGTGAAAGATAGGTGTGAGGTGTGGCATGCTATACGATTGCATTTCACTGTCCATCGTTCAGATCATACCAGTCGTGGTCTTTGGCAACTTGCATCTTTCAACAGTACAACCTGATTACTGAAGCAACTTGTGAGCTGCTGCATTCTTAGCAATTTAGATCGAAGCCCATCGACGTGCATTGAAGCTGCTCTGTTAAATCGAGGCATTAGTGTCAATCATAATCACGAAAACGAAATCATGCCTGTCACAACGGCATTGAGCTTGGTAGACTTGCTCAGATAACCTTTGATTGACAGCAGGCTCATCGGTAGGCGGTGAAGCCACTGACCGTCTCGCAAGTGAAGCTGCAATCGTGACTAAATATGAAGGAATGCATATTGGCGGCAAGTGGTCAGTCGGTGAAGCTCAACACGCCATCACCACTGTCATGGGAAACGTGAATCGCGGGATCATACGGGCAGGACGCGTCAGGAGCAATCGACGAGTAATCAGATGGGGATTGATGATGAAGTATTGTGCGCTAGTCAATGGTAGTACAGCCGACGAGGCGAGGTGCCGAGAAGGATACTGACTTTGACATGATTGTCACACTCGCACACAGCGACTGGAGCAACGGGATCGACCACTGTTTTAGTTGCATTTCGAAGATTGTGTAGCATCGACGTGGTCTGATTTGGTCACTCCCGCTGTCAGTAACGCTGTGGTTTGAGTACCCTACCTGTCAACATGTCGCTTCTGCGAGGACCCGTCAAGTGACAGGATGGTGACAGGAAGCCTACCCACGTTGCCTAAACGGCTTCGTGTAGCATACGAGGATACTCATACTGCATATGTATTGCCAATGTCGTGGGACCCGCGCCCTGCACAGTTGCTCAGAGTGGGCCGGTGTAACGAAGAAGAAGCAACGCTAGGGTAGATGCATTTTGACAGCGGTGTGCAGAGTGACATATGCAAAGTGGGCTGATTCGATGCCCAGTTCCCTCTGTTGCAGCAGATAGGGCTGTACCTGTCAATCGCGTGCAGTTGCTTGTTTTTGATGCGCCCGCTCAGCGTGCAGATCATCCAGTCCTGTTTCGATTCTTCAAACAAGGAATGTCCAGAAGCTTGGATAGACAAACTCATCTTCGAAGATGCGCCTGACCTGTTCCAGGACGAATGACTCCACCTTTCCTACGTTCTTGAGCACTTGTTTGCCGCTGCCTTGACCCCCGATTTCGCTCTCCACTTTGATGTTCTCCAGCAGACCTCCAATCTTTAAGCGCTGCGCAAGATTTGGCCCTTGTCCTTGCGAGTCTGCTTGGAGAGATTCGCGGCCAACTAGCGCATCTGCATCATCTGGTGAGAGGAAGCAAAAGTGAGCTCGCTTCTTGATGTATGCCAGAATGGCAACACCGTCGAATGTAAGTCCCGTAATGTTGAGTTTCAATGGAATGCCGACGAAGCTTGGCATGGGGTAGTCCAGGAGGATCTCGGCAGTCAATGACATCTTGATGTCTCCAGAGTACTGCACATGTGCCACAACCTGAAGGTCCTCGGGGCTCTTCTCCCGCATGCGGGGTGGTGACGCGGATGGGGTTCTCTCGTAGTCGTGCTGTGAAGACGAGTCATTTGACTCAGCAAGGGAGCTTCTCCTTTCGTCGTCGTGTTTATGCTGTGACGAAGGTCGTGTGCTGGTATCTGGGTTCGATTGCGGCGTCAATGTCAAGGAATTCAATGAGGCAGTATGATGCAGACGCTTGTTGGTCGGTGTTGTAGGCCGGCCGTGAGGGTTGTCGAGCCAGCCCTGTATATGTGCACCAGCAACAGCAGCTAGAGGTGTCGTAGCACCTGAAAGACCTGCGCCCAAAGGTAGGTGGAAATAGTTAAGGTTGGAAGTACCGCCGGGGATGCCTGGAGTGGAGACTCTTGGGAACAAATGAGCCCCCAGCTGCTCAGTGGGATGTCGGAACGCAGTTGGTCTTGTGTTGATATAGGATGGCGTTATACTTGGTTGTCTGGAAGTACGATCTTCGGGTTGGGAGGGATCTCTGCTTGCATCTCGCTCATGGCGATCTTTTGACGGATGTTTCGATTGCTCATTGGTGGCACTGTGGCCATCAGCAGGCTCATCGGCACCATTGACATCTTCTTCCTCATCAGAGCAGTCTTCATCTTCCTCGTAAAAGTCTGGCAGGGGATCGCAGATGTCTTTGATCTCGATCACTGGAGGCACGCTGCCGAAGTCGAACGAGTGAACGTGGACAGAGCGAATGAACCTCGGCAATGTCACCTGCTGAAATCTGTCGTGAATGAACGCGCGTATCTTTTCTGCGCGAGCGGAGCCATCTGCGCCGCCCGTGATCGTGTCCCAGTTGATATCAATTGACATTGCTGCGGACGCAGCGTTGGGGTTAACGAAGGAGAAACGCGTCCACTGACTGCCCAATAGGGAAGCGACCACCGAGAACAGGAAAAAAGACGACCGACCTGCCGACCACAGAGCACCAAACGCCATCGCTTCCCCATCGCACCATTCGACAAGGTCCATGTCATGCGACAGATGTGACTATGCACCTGTATCTGCATGGTCTCCCTGTCCGACATGTGTCTCCCTCTGCCGATGTCGTGAACTGCCCCGCGAGACGCACGTGCATCGTACTTCGACTACATGGAAGAACACAGAGCCTGGTGCCATATGTGAAACGGTATTATTGGAACGATATCTATATCACGGCGGAGTTAGAGCCGCATGGCGTCTCTGCATGGCTCATGTCTCAACGCCCATGCTGCAGATCACCGTTGAAGCAGCCTACCAGAGATGGACCGTAGATGACTGAGCAAGGGGCAGAGCTGGTGCATATGTAAGCTCGGGCTCGGCCTGGCGGCAGAAGACGTATGCTGCATTATCCAAATAGGCGCAAATTGATCCATTGAGCCAATCAGCACCATCCAAAAATTGTACTTCTATCAGTCTGTACCCGCTGCAGTTGCAGTACACGCCTGGACTCTGTATGCGGTAGTTTATAACGAGTCTTGTTTACTATTCTCTGCACTAAGCATCCCTGAGCACCTTACTGCATCTTTACAGAAATTGGAGAGAACCCCTTCTCGACTGTCAAAACTGCATGAGGCCAGATTGGGAAGCTTGTGCATATCAACTCCGCATGTATCTCATTCTCGGCTACGTGAAGATCATTCCAGTCCTGTATAGAGCAAGCGCCACGCCGCAGAACCACATGAAAGCCCAACGCCCTTGCTGCTTTGGACTCTGCACCGGGAAGGGTGGCTTGGAAAAAGGTTATGGCTAGCCCTGTTGCTTGGCAAATATTGGGTCATGTTTGGGCAATAGCGGAAAGGACTGAGAGGTGGGTTCGGCTCGTTCCACTTCGGTACGTAAGGGTGTTGCGAGCTGTTCCGTCACTCCTCGGACCGAGCTCAAACTGCTACTCCATGAGGCAGTTGCATTGGTGCAATGCACCTTGTTCCGTGATGGCACAAAAGATATCGATGTGTTGAGCTTAAGTGATATGATGTCGTCAGACGTGGCATTCTGACTGATATTGATGAGCGAATCAGAGCGCACGTTCAAACGGTGAGACGAAGGGTCTAGTTTCGAGTCTCGCTGGTAGTGATTGCGATTGTCGTACACAGCCTGGAGGGGCGTAAGTAACGTCGATTGGCGAAAAACGGTGGTGCATACTGTATGGCAGATCAGCTTTGCTTGATTGGTCTTGACTCAACATTCCACGGGTTGGCGCGATGCATAGGCGAGCTCAACGGTTGAAGTATGGCTGCCCAGGTCCAGAGCGGTCGAGCTCCTTCTTGGGCGCGTTTGAATTAGATGACTTGCTTGTGTCTCACTGTCTTCCTCGTCGTATAGCTCATATAGCTAGGGACCACAAATAGAGATATGGTGGTAAAAATGGTGAAGCGGTAAATGAAAAGAGACCAGCAGAGCCTGTCTGCGCATAGCGCGACCAAATTAAGAGAGTCCCGTATCCAAGTCGAGGAAAGAACTGTAAAGTAATACAAGGTGGGAAGTGCCATGCAACACCAACCTGTATTCCAAACGCCGGACTTGCAATGTCCAAGGTCCAAGTTGTCCTAATGCCCGTTGAACGCCAATACTTTTGTTCCCGTGACGCCGTGAAATGCAGCCTGTGGCTAGAGCGACGACTTAGAAGCTCGTTGTGCCCAGGAGTGAGAGGTCGAGCGACGCATGCGCGAATGGATAGCCTGCGCAGTAACAACGGACAGTGGTCTGTGTGTCACCAGCCATCATTGGGTATCGTCTGGATGAACGCTGTGGTAGGATACTGCAGGGTAGGCTTGTCAGACACGTGTGACGCGGGGAAGGCCTGAGTGAAGGGTTCGTACCTCTACCGGTCACAGCTATCACACTTCTCGTCGTGCTTGACCGTCTTGACATTCGAGACACCGCAGTTTGCACTTCTCGATGCAGCGCACGGGGCCTTGTCTGTGGTCGAGTGGCCGCAGCCGTAGGTGTGCACGACCTTGGTGCACATGTTGGCGAGAATAGGCGAGGAAGGCGCGTTGCACAGTGGGGAGCGCCTTCTGCGGGCGGCGCTGAGGGTCGTTGAAGAGGAAGGCGGGGTGGAGGGTGGGCGCGCTGATTGGTCGGGAGCTTCTTCTGAGCTCGTCGCAGACGGAAGGCACTCGTGGGACTGAGCCAAAACAATGCGGAGCGCGGCTCGACGTGCTGGAGAATGCGGGCAGGGCTGGCGTGCAGGCGCACCAGGTAGGGCGTCTGACAGGAGATGGGATGGAAGCTGGGGCTTCAAGAAGCGGATGGTGGAGCAGCAGGTCAAGGTAGCTCGCCAGTTAAGGTGCAGCTGAGCAGAGCAGTGACAACAGAAGCGTGCGGGAGAGAGTGGTAGGAGCGTTCCAAAGGGGGCAGCTGGGGCAGCAAGAGAGTTTTATAAGACAAACATCGCAGCGTGCCGGACTGACGGTACCTCTCGAAAGATGTTAGATTACTGCCGCTGCCGTTTGCAACAAGAGTGCGACAGTCGTGTACAGCCGTTGGCTCCGTCCGGAAAGGCAAGGACTGAGGTACATAGCGGAGCGTTAGCCTTTCACGCCTATGTAGGCAGGGATCGCACCTGCCAGGATCATCCTGCCAGCCAGCCAGCGTCTGCTGCACGCCGCTCCGCCCAATGGCAGTATCTGGACGTGCAGAGGCACTCTGTCTTTCGACGTCTGCCGTGCAGCGTGCTGCTGCTCCTCCCTCGTTCACCGCGTCCGCGCCCCTCGCTCGCAGCGAACTCGACCGCAACGGTCAGGGTCTGCTGAGCACGGCGGCATTCAAGCAGGAGACAGCCGTTGCGCCAGTGATCGATACTCACAACGACCGGGGATTTCAAATTGGCGCTGCCGCGCACAATCATTTCTCCAATCCATCACATGACGGTCCGCGCTTGATAGGAGTTATCGTTGATACAGACAGGCGACCAAAGGCCCAAGATTAGCCGGGCTGGCAAACGCTATGCCGCGCTCTAGCACGCAGATCAAGCGGAAGAGAGCCCGCCCACTCCTGTCACGCAGACTGACGAACCGACTGTTGCCAACGCCAGACGGCAGGGCTGATGAAACGGTGATTTAATCCATGCTGAGCAGCAAACGCTGCGGAAGCCTTGATGGATCTATGTACTGCAATGATTATATGTGGAACTGGCTCCACGCTTCTCGGGCAACAGCAGCCGCTGCTTGAAGTCCAATTGGAGCTCCTTTCAGCTTTCCATCGCCGCCTAGCAAGCTCCTGAGTGTATTCCTGCGTCCTTAATTAAGGTTGCAGCTCGAACCGCTTCACCAGATGCAGAGGATGAGGAAGCTACACTCGAAACAACTCGTCCGGCTGATGATGGAGTACACCCCTGGTCCCGCCTGCATTCACACATGGCACCCTGGTCGCTGCACTGGTCTCTTGTTGAACATGAGAAGCAGCTGTCGAATGGGGAAATCCATCACATCGATGTGTTGTGGCAGCTCCAACATGTCAACAGAGTCGGGTGCAACATTGATGGCAATAAGGGCTGTCCTTGCATAGGCTCAGCGCACGGTCTAGGGCAGCTGCATACAGCCTGGCGACGCGTGAAGCGTGACGACGGTCTCCAGAATCCTTCTCGGTGTGGCCTCTCCCAAGCAAACACCGAAATTGAGCACGGAAAGGCCAGATCATTTCCTGCCAACCCTTCATTACGGAATGAAGCTGATGCTGGCACTCACATCTGTCGAGTCACATCTGACAACCACTACAGCATTTGCTTGGTTGACAGCAGCATCACGAGGCTGCCAACTATATGTATACATCCAGGTTGCATGTTCATGAGGGTCGACGTTGCATGTTGTCGGCCAAACAAAACAGACTGACGTGTCTGCTGGACGGCTCCACATCTCTAAGGTCAGAGCGTATACAGCAGGAAAGGAGAAGGGTCATCTGCACCAATCTCATGTCTCAAGAAAACTTTTGTGGACAAAATTTCGAGATACAAACGCAGCTCGGCACATGCTGTGTCGCCTGTCACTCCTCGCTTCACGTACCTCAACGGCGGCAGGGGTATCAGACCACTTCTGAAAGCGCTCTAGCTTGTCGGCCCGGCGTGACACGAGCTGCTCGAACACAGAAGTCTCGCGCCGTCGACGACGAAAAAGAACCACCTGCATTCTCGCACTCGCGAACGCTACAAGGTCAAAAGACGGCGCATAACTAGCACCGCCGAGCTCTTGCAGCAAACGAACGAAAGCATAGCGCGGCAGCTCCAAAATGATCGACAAGTTGATCCTGGTTCCGCGTCGAGGTTCACCTGCGGTACGACGATGGGACAATTCGCAGCTTGGCTCTTTTTGCCATGCTGCAAATCCATGCGGATGTACGAAGAGGAGCTCCGTACAACTCCAGTGTTCGATCTTTTTAGGTCGCTACTCTTAATTGTTTTGAAGTTTTTCGGCAATCTGGAGTCGTCTCACAATTGTCTGGGCAATCGCAGAAACAGCGATCCTCGATTGATCTTCAAACCTTGAGTTCGCACAGCGGGGCGCCATGTTGAAACCACAAGTCCTCCAGTTGAAGGTGTTCAAGAACTAAATTAAGACGAGTGGATCTCCCGAACTAGACTCTGCACCAAAATGGTGCTTCGGTTCCACTTGCTGCTCGCGAGATTTTCAGTTCTTCTACGGACACAACCATGCTGCTTCGGTTTGTTATTTGCACCGAGACACGCAACGGGAGTGGAGAGAGTCCAGTGGCATTGACTGTCACAAGGCTCGAAGTTGACCTAGGGATTCGAATCAAAGCACGTCTCCAAAAGGCTATCGCAGAAGGCTAGATAAGGCTGCTGGTTCTGCACTGCTGTTCAGCAGGCCTATCCAGCTAACGTTGGAATATTTCTCGAGCTACCATTGACACTATGCCGATGTTCAGCATAAGATCAGAGGGTCATCTTTGGCATGATATCCAATGGCCTGACACTAATCAATCCAAAAATGACCTACACGTGCTTTTGGACAATTGTCACGACTACAGAAACGGCCCTCCACGTCCAGGCGAGCAAACGACACAATTCAACTCACATCTCTCGGCCTTTGGTGACAGCACAAGAAGAGCAATTCCATTTGTGAGTCGAATGCAACATATCCAAGATCGCTCGAAGTAAGCTTTGTGGACTCACAGATCTGCCGATCTACCCTGATGTGCATTCTACACAGACCAGCGGTCTGCCCAAGAGCAACCCAACTTCTGTATGTGAACAAGTACCGACTCGCCTCGCAACCGATTCATTGTGACGATCTAGGTTTCGAAGGTCGACCTGTCCTCATGAACACTTTCAATAGCTTTCACAGAGTCTAATTATCGCATTTCTATTCGATGCGGTGCAAGTTTGCCAGCATATCCAATTCGATCGTTGCTGCATCGCGGACACAAGCTTAGACATCAACTGCAGCTCGCGAATGCAAGCCGCCCGCGCCGCATCGTACCATGTCAAGCTATCGAAAATGCGTCCCGTTGACAACGCGGTCGATGGGGCACTCTCCACGCTAAACATTATAGCGAACGAGCGAAGAGTCTATAATCACAACTTCCTTGTTGTGTGCAAACATCGATAACTGCTGAAACAAGCAGTTTCGCGGTTTCAGGGTACAGGATCCCGTTATCGGCGAAGCATGCCAATCGAGATTTCCCGTCTCCAAAACCACCTCCATCCAATAAGAGGCTGCTATATGGTACCTTCAGCTACTGGGCGTACATTGGCAACAGTGCCGCACCTCCTCTTCAGCCATCGGCTTCTGCGCCGACATATGTCTGTCCTTTCGGTTTTGACTTCGGTACTAGATAGTATATTCTGCATGAAGCCGCTGCCTTTTCGCCTAAAGAAAGTCGAAACTTGAAACTACAAGAGAAAACGGTAAACATGGAATTTAGCGTTCAACATGGCGCATATGCTTCAGTCGTCGAACGCCCACAGGCTTAAGCTTTGCATCGGTGAGCCTTCCCCGGCAATACGTGTGGCTTGCGGCTCTCAGGGAATGGCCGACCATGGCGCACGTATAGGCCACACACGCTCTGGTTTCGTAGAGATCAGGTGATTGAAGACGAAGCGAGGCGCTCATGGCTGACGGACCACGCGGTAGGAGAAAATATGCCCACCGCCAAAAGTCCTTCACAACAGCACCCTTAGGCTGCAACAGCCCTGCTTGAATTAAAGAAGTAAACAAGCTAGATTGTAGAGGATTACACTGGCTTTCCTCTTCAAGAAAAAGTAAACCTTAATGTTTTGTTATTATTATAATATTATAGTCGTGCAACAGGAGGCAAGGTGTTGGTGTTCGCAGTTTTAGTAAGGGAAAGTAGCTGTTCGCGGTGGGCTTATTTTCCCGCACCGCGTGTGGACCTCTTCAACGGCCATCGTGAGGATTGGTTGCGCTACTGCTAGCAAGCCAGCCACCGATTGGACAGGAGTTTTGACAACAGCGACCTCGGAAGATGCCACGTGCTGCTTCAACCGCTTTCCCAGTTTCACTTGCTGTATGACACCTGTATGCGCGACCGTTGCGCTCTCCCAACAGACATAAAAAGTCACTCCACAAGCGGCAGTGGGTAGCGTTTAGATTCTGCCGACTTTCTTATCTGCTGTTTACGCGTGCAGAGGAGCTCGAGCGGGGCAAACTACACGGGCGTTCCCGTTTAGGTCTTGACGTCAGTTTCACCTCTCGAATTGACACATCAGCGTGGCTGCAGCGCACGCCAGCCTGTCACGATGAAGCCATTTGCGCAGAATCCGGAGAAAGCTTGATCTGGTGGAGCTCAGCGATTTTTCAGCATGGGGAATCCAGATTCCAATCAGACACGCAGCATGGTAATACTGTAATGGCTATGGCCATGTCGGCGTCGTTCGGCAGTCAGATCAACACGCGATTCTTTGCAATTCTACCAGATGCGCGATAGTCTTAATATCATCAAAGCTCCTATTGGATGTATGAAGCTATCCGCTCCGTTGTGCGTTGCAGAAACGCGGCTTATGAGGTCGAAGCAGCGGGAGGTTGGCCGGTAGTTCCATCGAAAAACGTCGTTATGACGTTGGTAAACACATCACTTCCATGCGCGCCACTATCCTTATAATGAACTCCCCATTGGACTCTCAGAGCCCATCTCTCCTCGGACCGCATCTACGATCTCTGGAATATCACAATGGCATCAGAAATCCTCGGAAACGTTTCAGAAAAGGTCAAGAACATGGCTGGTGAGCAGAACAAGAAGATTGCTCAATTGAGCGCAAACACCAAGGATGTCCACGACGGGAGCCACAGAATAACAAGTGACTACGGTGTCAAGCAGAATGACACCGACCACTGGCTTGCAGCCACCAGCGAGGACAAGCAGGGTCCCCAGCTCCTGGAGGATCCCTTTGGTCGCGAGAAGGTACATTCAGCACTCCCACTACGTGTGGCAAGAGGCTAACATTCACAGATCCACCGCTTCGACCACGAGCGCATCCCCGAGCGAGTCGTCCACGCCCGAGGCGCCGGCGCCTTTGGAAAGTTCACTCTGAACGAGTCCGCCGCAGATGTCAGTAAGGCTGGTATCCTGACCGACACCTCTCGCGAGACCCCGGTCTTCCTTCGATTCTCCACCGTCCTCGGTAGCCGTGGTTCAGCAGACACTGTCCGCGACGTTCGTGGATTCGCCGTCAAGTTCTACACTGAGGAGGGTAACTGGGACATTGTTGGCAACAACATTCCTGTCTTCTTCATCCAGGATGCTATGAAGTTCCCTGATGTCATCCACGCTGGCAAGCCTGAGCCTGACAGCGAGATCCCTCAGGCCCAGTCTGCTCACAACAACTTTTGGGACTTCCAGTACCTCCACCCCGAGACTACCCACATGCACTTCTGGGCCATGTCTGACCGAGCCATTCCTCGGTCCTACCGTATGATGCAGGGTTTCGGTGTCAACACTTACACACTTGTGAACGACAAGGGCGAGAGGCACTTTGTCAAGTTCCACTTCACCCCCGAGCTTGGTGTTCACAGTTTCGTCTGGGATGAGGCTCTCAAGATTGCCGGACAGGACCCTGACTTCCACCGCAAGGATCTGTGGCAAGCCATCGAGGCTGGCTCGTACCCCAAGTGGAAGTTTGGTATCCAGACCCTCAAGGAGGGCGAGGAAGATCAGTTCGACTTCGACATTCTCGACGCTACCAAGATCTGGCCTGAGGAGTTGGTCCCTATCCGATACATCGGTCAGCTTGAGCTCAACAGGAACCCCGACGAGTACTTCACACAGACTGAACAGGTTGCTTTCTGCACGTCGCACGTTGTTCCTGGTATTGGCTTTAGTGACGATCCGCTTCTGCAGGGCCGTAACTTCTCTTACCACGACACTCAGCTTTCACGTCTGGGAGTCAACTGGCAGGAGCTGCCTATCAACAAGCCTGTCTGCCCTGTCATGAACTTCAACCGCGACGGTGCTATGCGCCACACCATCACAAAGGGCAAGGTCAACTACTGGCCCAACCGCTTCGAGACTGTGCCTCCTGCCAAGGAGGAAGAGGGTGCTTATATTGACTACCCTGCCAAAGTTGCGGGTATCAAGCAGCGTCTTCACAGCAAGAAGTTCAAGGAGCACAAGAACCAGGCCGAGCTGTTCTACAACTCCATGTCCGAGCCAGAGAAGAGCCACATCAAGGCTGCTTTCGCTTTCGAGCTTGACCACTGCGACGACCCTGTTGTCTACAAGCGCATGGTTGAGCGTATTGTAGAGATCGACCTTGAGCTTGCTCAGGGCGTTGCTGAGATGGTTGGTGCCGACATTCCCCAGGAGGCAACTCGCCAGAAGCACAACAAGAAGGCCAAGGGTCTATCGCAGATGGACTTCTTGCCCACCACACCTACCATTGCCACACGCATGGTTGCCATCTTGATCGCAGACGGTTACGACAAGGTCGCATACAATGGCATCAAGGCTGCCTTGACTGCACAGGGTGCTTTGCCATTCACCATCAGCCCAAGGAGGAACAAGATCTTCGCTGACGGCGAGGACAAGAGCGGTGACGGTATTGTCGCTGACCACCACCTCGAGGGTCAGCGCTCGACCATGTACGACAGTGTCTTCATCCCCGGTGGTGAGAAGTCCGTCGCCACTCTCAGCAAAAGCGGTCGCGCTATCCATTGGGTCCGTGAGGCTTTCGGTCACCTGAAGGCCATCGGTGCTACTGGCGAGGGTGTTGCCTTCGTCAAGCAGTGCGTCGAGCTTCCTGAGATGGAGTTCTCTACCAGCACAGACGTTAAGAACAGCTACGGTGTTGTCACAGCTGCCAAGGTCTCGCCTGATGGCTTCAAGGAGGCTATCAAGATTGCTAAGGAGGCGGCTGACTTTGTTGGTCAGTACACATACGCTATCTCGTGCCACAAGAACTTTGAGCGTGAGATTGCTGGCTTGAGCACTATGGTTGCGTATTAAGCGGAGGATACCCCAGACATGACATTGCCTGCCTACACATAAGTAATGATATAATGAAATTCATGTTAGACATCATTTGTTCCATTCTTGCCATCGTCCCAGTCAATAATACTACTCTTTTCTAGCCTAGCGAACTCACCACTGCAGATATCACTTTCACATACGGCTCTCTCACCTGTCTGTAACTTCACCTTGCTCTCCGAAATCAACCAACGAACTATATAAGGCCTGTTAGACCACATCACCGTCCCCATACTCACCCCATCTTCTCTGCAAGCTGCTCAACCATGGCTTCAACCGCACCACAAGACTTCGGCACTCCGTTCCTCCTCGAGGAGTACATGCTTGTCACTCCACTAGTCACTCCAGACTCCCCACCTCTCTGCGCCGTCTGCCACACCCCCACCTCGCCCGTCCGTTGCAGCACCTGCAAGACGATCCACTACTGCTCTTCCACCTACCAGACGCTCGACTGGCCGTCGCACAAACTGCTCTGCAAACATTTCTCATACTCCTCACGTCTAAATCCGTCATATCGCCGCGCCCTCTACCTTCCAGACACGTCCTCTAAACCTCGATTCATATGGCTGCAGTACAGCGACGATGGGCTTCCTCGAGAAGTGATGAAGTGCTTCCTAGGCACGCATGCGGCGACGGTGAAGACAATCGCGTTCCACAACCGCTACCTACCATACTGGATACGGATCTCGTATGACAGCAATCCGAATGGGCACACACTGACAGAAAACAAGTGCTTGAAGCGGCTGCTTGAAGATGTGTCTGAGGCTGCGAGTGTAGCGAGATCCTCGAGCAGAACAAAGGCCTCGATATGGCGTGGCCCGTTGGTCGTAGTCACTTACAGTGCAAAGGACGGCTTGAGTAAGCCGGCGCTGGATATCGATACAAGTGTGCTGGGCCCGGTGGTGGGGTACTTGAGGTTCAGGAATGAGTATAAGCGACCGGTGTTTGTGAAGCAGCCGCAGGAGTGGTGGGCGGAGGGGAGTGGGAAAAGATTCTGGGAGCGGAGGCACAGTGAGATATTGCGCGGAGGATGAATGAGGGGAGTTTACTATAGGGTTCAGGGCTGGATTTCGCAGGTAGATTGGTGTGAAGCCGTCGGTAAGTGTAGGGCTTAGATAACTGAGGTATCTGCAAGGAATGTCATCTTCTAGGGGATCAGACATAGTTTGGAGAGTAAACCTCCGCGGCTCAACTCAATAGGTTTTGATGTTTTGAGCCTGCGAGGCATCATAAATAAATGCTACTGGCAGTCTTGAGCTACCTGGTCATACAAATTTTACGTTCTCTTCTAACGAAACACCTATGGCTTTTCCTTCCTCGCACTACTCGACTCTGTACGCTCCCACCCCGTTAGCACATCCTCACTCAAATCCAGCCCCTACTTCTCGAGCCAGCACCTCCAGAACCAGCCATTACACTCGTCTTTTGCTGCATGCACTTTGACTTCGTGATGATCCTTACCGCCCTGATGAGCTTCTCGGACGCACCTCCAGGGGAATCAATGGACCGTATTTTCGCTTAAAGAGCATGTACCAATCCAGAAATAGGTTTTCGTTACCCAGAGAAAGGTCTTTGTGCGCTGTTTCGAAGGCCAGACCGACTCTAAAGTCACAGTCGCTGTGAGAAACCTGGTGACTGTGTACTCCACATCTCTTCCATCAGCGGTCATCGCGTTGTCGCATTTGTACGTTTCCGGGACCAGTCCGGGGGACTGATGGTTCGCAGCTCTCCCAATGGCAGTGACGACTTCCAAAACAGGCACATCATCAAACACTTCCATGTGCACCACTAGATCCATAGACCAGTCCTTGCATGGCTGTGTGTCGAATTGCACCCTGAACGTGCAAGTGTCAGACGTTTTGGTGAGGATGGTAACCGAGACTGGTTTGGATTGAGGCAAGATAGCCGAGAGAATAACATTGTCAGGTACGAGATCTTGACCCATTGTTCGGTTGTTTAGATGTTGAAGGATGAAGAAGACTGCAAGCTGTGAGTAGTATTCGAATGTGTGAACAAAAGTTGGAGATTTGTCCTTCCGACGCTCGCCCTCCTCTCTGCTCATGACAACGAACGGTTCTTTGGAATGTTTGGAAGGGATGTGCGTCAAGAAAGCGCCGGCAAGGAAGGCTCCAAACAGTATAGAAGTGCCGGCATATGAAGCAATGGAGTTGAAAGCGCACAGGACCAGGATCATCAGCGTGATGTTGGACAGATGGTCGAACTTCGCAAATCTGCGCTCAATATACTTCCGGAATACAGGCGCGAAAACATACTTGGTAAGGACGAGTGTGAGGATTGCCATCGCGGCAGAAGCAACGATGGTCGTCCAATGAGCCAGCCGAGATTGACGTTACCACTAGACAGGCTGCCTAGGTCGTGGGTCGCGCTGCTCATGACTAGACCTGTGACATCGTCAATGACCGCAGCGCTGACTAGCACAGCTCCGACACGTGTTTGGCTGGGGTCTATGCTCTTCGACGCACTTGCAGTTATAGCGAATGTAATTCCTAAGCTAGTTGCGCTCAAGGCAGCTCCGATGATTAAGGTTTCCACCGCACCATAGCTGAAGCCCAGGTAAAACAGGAGGTAGCCAAAACCGATGGGGCAGATCACACCAGTTGCTGCACCCAGTTGCTGCACCGAGTATTGATAGTGTGAAGTTGTTTTTGAGGAGGCCCATACGGGTTGTCAGACCGCCCTCAAAGATAATGAGGGCAAGTACAATGTACCCAAAATATAGGAACGTCTCTTGCCAAACATAGTGAAGGATGTTTGCAAGTGTCCCACCATATATAATACCGACTATGATAGGTCCGATGAAGCCAGCTCGAGTCACTTTCGAAGATATGCATTCGGCAAGTCTCAGGAATGTGAAGAATGAAAGGAGAGTTAGGATGTCCACAACGGGGAATGATGTCAGTCTGACCCAGCCTGCTGTCGTGCGTATTGAATGGACACACTTGTAGGTTCATGGTATTGAAGGAATGGCGCTGTGCCACCAGCCGAAGAAGCTATACTACAAAAGTCGTGGTTGCAATTTTGGTCTTGTCACTGCTTATTACTTTTTGACAAGCCACTCGGCAGACTTGAGGTCGCATTGTAAGTTTTGTACGAGAATCTCTGGAACACAGTGTCGAATGAAGAGACAGGAGTGACCACGCACGACGTCATGTTTGTGCTTAGCGCTAGTTAAGCGTTGGGTCTCAACCACAACACCATGCGCATGCTATGGCCACTATCTCTGGGCACAATGTTGTTCTTGGCCGACTGCTCTCAACAACTTCAACACACACAGCACTGGAACTTGGGACTCATCTTGCGCTATTGCACTGCAGATAGAGCTCGGATTGCTCGAGCCTCACAAAGAAAGCAGAGACCGCAACTTTCGCCGTTCGCCAAGAATCATCTCTTGACGGTGCCTTGGCACGAATACTTTTGTTCAAGTTGGCGTCCACAAGTGCTTCTCGCTGAGCTTGACACTGCTCGACAGCAATCATCTGAAAGGTCTTCAATACTCTGGAAACTCATGGTCCACCGTCTCTTTCCAGGCCCGCAGGCCACCTCGTATATCCCCGATGAACCTCTTGCCGCCATAATCGAGACCCAGCTCTTTCATCTTCTTTACCGTCATCTGTGAATCATTTCCCAGTCGACACACCACGAAGATTGGTTTGTCTGGTTGTTGCCTTAAATTTTGTACCCAAAGTGGCTCCTCGATTCCCATTGAGTCGTAGTTGCCGTTGCTGGTGTTGGTACGGGTTGCAGAGACCGCAGAGAACGGCACGTTGCGGCTTCCATCGATGTTGCAAAGCTCATACTGGACGCTCTCCCTAGTGTCAACGAGGATGTGGCTGTCCCTGCTCGACACAGTGCCTGTGAATGGGTTCACTCCGGAGCGGAGCTTCGCGTAGTTCGCAGCAGATATGCGTTCTTGTGGATTGAGTGCATCGATTGGATTGATACTTCCGCAGAACTGTACGTAGTCCAAGCTTCCCGAGTTTAGTGCTTCAGATGTGACTGCTGCCTGCGCCGAGCACGCTGCACATTTTGGCTTCCGTGTACGTAAGCGTATTGACCGGAACATGGGATTTGAGTATGCTGAGAACAGCAGTAAAGTAGGTGGCTCTGTCGGTGGTGACGTTGTTGTGTTAGGCTTCTGAGTTAGAACTTTGATAGCCTCGCAAGCTTGAAGCACACCCATGACACCTACAACAGGCCCTAGAATACCTCCATCTCCGCAGGACACGACCGATTCTGGCGGTGGCGGCTTAGGAAATATGCATCGGTAGCAAGGCCCTCCTTGCGCGTCACCTGCTGGCAGGGGTGGGTTGTTTAGTACCATGAGTTGGCCGTCGATACGCAGCGCTGATGCTGAAACAAGCGTCTTACCAAGCAGGACGCAAGTGTCTGAGATGAGATATCGTGATACTGGGTTATCTGTGCAGTCGAGAACAAGATCGTAGTCCCTGAAAGCTTCAATGGCAATGTCTGGGGTAAGACGGGCTGTGTGAGGCACAAGCTTGACATTTGGATTGAGGCTGAGTATACGTCAGTGTCTCGAATGTAGGACCCTTGGACGTATACTGACGAGCTCAGCGCGACCATAGCACTTTCCACTTTGGTCATGCCTACTCTTGCAGTGGAATGAAGTATTTGGCGATGCAGGTTGGACTCCTCGACGACGTCTCCGTCTATCAGTCCCAGGATACCAACTCCTGCTCCCGCCAAGTAAGCTGCAGCTGGACATCCTAGACCGCCCATGCCCACGATGAGCACTTTGGCTTTCCTCAACTTGAGCTGCCCTGTAATTTGATGCATTAGCTTCAATAACGACCGACCAAAATTCTCAACAGTGCGAGCTTACCCTGCAACCCAATCTCAGGCATTATCAGTTGCCTTCCATACCTCTTGTATTCGTGTGGCTCGAGCGGCCATCTTCTTTCTTCAGCTGTGCTATTGTCTGCTGAAGGCTCCTGGTCCAAGATCGCAAATATCTCTGATCGGAAATCATCTGGGACCCCAAAATTCATGTCATGGTCCAAAGGGTCGTTGGAAAGCTTTGGTTTCTGACGCAGAACCTTCTCTTGTTGCTGTTGGTTGTGTTCTGCTTTTGCTAGCTGCTGTCGTAGATCCTGTAATGCGGCTTCATGATGCCCTATTTGTTGCCGTAACGATTCTATTATTTGGGTCATCATGCGTCTTGTGAATGTGCTTAAGTAGGAGACGATCTCGTTTCTGGTTGGTGAGGGGTTGGGAACACTATCGATAACGGTGGCGCTAGACTGACTCGCGTGCTCCAGCACTCTCAACCTTCAGTTTCGCTTACAAGAGATTCTGATCGATTGCCCCATGTGTGCGAGTCAGCTCTTGAGCGTGAATACATCTAATAACTTATAAGAGCTCAAGCATGTGCAAAGTCAACAATGGTCAAATGTCCAACGCGAGGCATCGACCCAAGGTCTCCGAGTCAGAGGTAGACATGAAGACGTCATGGAGCTCCCTTAACTCCAAGGCCATGCTCTGTATACACGTACTCTGCTGGCCATCTCACAAACACTCGATGAGCAAATGCGTCATCAAAGATTTGTACGCTTGCGCCGCTCTTTAGACTAGTTTATTGTGACGACACGCTCGTGACTGTTGTTGGCCGGGCATGCCCGCCTTCACTATGTATCGAAGACGGTCAATGGTCTACAGAAAGACAGGTGTAGTATGAACAGCCACCGTGGGGCTTGACACACGGCTCGTATGCAAGTCATCGCACTCCGTGCGACAGGGTGCCGTCATTTAGATTGCGTGACTGGCACAGTTTTTGGTCGCCATGGTAAGCACTTGAACGGAATCAGTCTTTTTGATACTACAGTCAAACACTCATTTGAGATGAACCAATATGCTGAAAATAAGATCTGACGACAAGGTCTAGTAGCTCAACCTAACACGCCCATAGCAGCCGTTGAAAATGAGTACGGAGAGACATGGCATTCGGGATACGGCATGTCGAACCCTGGCGCTAGGTCTGGGGTGCCTCGTGAGAGCTGCAAGTCAGAGATGGTCTGAGGCCAACATCAAATTCGCTATCTTTTGACCAATAGCAATTTTGCACGGTCCCAAGTTCGCGTTACTTGCATGCGTTTGGTGCTTTTGTCCTAGTGATCCAGCCACAAGGCTGCGTGCGGAACACTATGGCTCCCCACACAATGTCCGAAGGGAACAATTTCTTCGTTTTGATAATTCTGCTGGGCGGCGCGCTTTGCGCCTAGATCTCAGACCCAGCTAAGTTGGAACTTTGAAAGTAAGAGGATGAGATAGAGAACTTGATGAGAAAAAGGCAAACTGATGGACCAGCTGAAGGTTAGAGAGCTGTGATTATCACACGTAAGAATCCGGAAGGCTGGAATCATCTGCCCAGGCTTGCGGGAGATTGACAGACAGAGTGGGCCTCAGGCACACATCTTCGATACGAAAGTTCGATTGTTTCTCTTGGGTCAGATCCAAAGGAAGAATACTAGACACGCGTCAGTCTGCAGTGGAATTCGACATCCACGTCTCGGCCCCCAATCTTCGATTCGGTAGCCAGGCCGTAGCGGAAGACCCCGCTAAGTGCTTGCTTTCTCCACGTTTCAAGCCTCTGTATGGTCGACGTCCAGCTCTGCAAAACTTGCTCGAGACCGAGCAGCCGAAACAAAGCTCAACGTAGCGGGACAGGCGTGAGCGCGCAGGAGGGCGTTCCGTTGGCGCAAGTGTGGAAAGGGCAGTGGAGGAGCTGATACCTGTCACAAGCTCATGTGGGTCTGGACGCTTCCTACCGTCTAAACTGCCGTTCTTGGGACGCGCTCATATCTCTGCTAGTAACATGTGGCTAAGGGGCTCAAGGCAGGGCAGGATTAAATATTAATATATGTCGCAGTCAGATGGCAGGCGTACAAAACTCGCGATACCCCGCGCCTCTGCTGCAACCAAACAACCAACTACCCCTCCGCAAACCTTACCACCCTGGATACGACATACATTGACGGCACTACATTTCTTTTGTCAAGCTCGCGATGATGGTTTGCGCGACCTGCAAAGGCTTGCAAAAGCATCTGAAGACTCTTGATGGTGTTCAAAAGACAGAGACAGGCGCATTGCAGTTGGTGGATGCTTCACTACTGGACATACGTGCAAGTGCCACTGGCTGTCGCGCGTGTGCTCTGCTCCTCCAAGGTATCCTGCTGCATCATGACCGATTCAAAAACGTGAAGGAAAGCGACACCCGAATCACAGCAGAATCGTTCGAATCAGTTCAAGGACGCAACTCCCAAGACCACCTCTCGGTCGAGGCTCGATGGAAGGAGCAACACGACGATGATGAGCAGGAAAATGACGAGCACGGGCACGCAGGCTGGCCAAATCTAAAGCTCGAGTTCTTCACAGATGAGGGTAGGTTTCCGCTCCAACCCACGGGCATTACGTGCCCGTTAGATTATTGTTAAGTTGTCCGAAGGCGTGCCGATCACTCGTACATCAGGCTTAGTAAGAACGTGTATGGCTGACGCTCGCAGATGGTCAATCATCGTTCTCAGCGATTGGGCAAGGACGTCAGATCTCAAGCCAACCTCTGCAAGATGCAGGTCTCTCAACAGTGCGGAATCTGCTCAAGACCTGCCTCTCGAGTCACTCGAAATGTCGACGACCCAAGTCCACCACGCTACCGAAAAGAGTCCTAGATGTATTAGGGAACGACTCGAAAAGCGTACGTCTGCATGAATCCTACTTCAACAAGGATGAGAATAGATACGAATATGGAGAATACATTGCGTTGAGCCATGTATGGGGCGTGGCAAAGGGTCTACCAAAGACGACAACCAGGACAATACAGTCGTACAAGAAGGGTATTCCATGGACGACTTTACCAAGAGCTTTGCAGGAAGCGGTTGTGCTAACGAGGACACTGGGATTTCGCTGGCTTTGGATCGATGCTCTGTGTCTCATCCAGGACGATACTCCCTCCAAACTCGAGGAATCAATGACCATGGACCAAATCTTCGGAAATGCCTTTTTGACTATCGCTGCGACTTCTGCAACAGACAGCAGCAGTCACCCACTGTTTCCCGCTCAGGTGCAGCCTTTCAAGATCCAAGCGACTGACAGCAAAGGTTCTGCTTTCAAGATCTACGTCAGGGAACAACCGAGCCATTACAGCTTCAAGGCACCGTTCGATGAAGGTGCACATATGAACGAGTGGGAGCTACCATTCAATATCTCTGAGGATTCCAATCAGGATACCCCGTTGCTGAAACGGGCCTGGGCATTTACTGAGCGCCTACTTTCACCACGGTTACTACACTTCACAAAAAGCGAGATGATTCTCGAATGCCGAGAAGGATACCAGTGCGAGTGCGGAAGGATCGCCGACTCAACTTTCGATTCGCGTGCTACCGACTCGATTAAGCAGGAGTTTGCACGTATAATTGCTGAGACGAACAGGCGTCCATCATTTGACGGAAGCGTACACGATCAGCCAAATGGCATCGAGAGCGTCACCTCTCAACTCGCCTCTACGACTCTCACCAACGGAGCGAAGAACATCTCTCAGAAACGAGAAGAAGCGCTCCAGCTCTGGAGTTACATCATCACCGAGTTCACAGCCCGGAATATCACCTATGATTCGGACAGATTGCTGGCCATAGCTAGCATTGCAAATCAACTGTCACCTGCTCTTCATTCTGGCTACGTAGCAGGCCAGTGGACGTTCAGTACGATGGGATTGCTCTGGTATCCAAATGACAGCACCAGATGCCGGCGGTCCAAATCTTCAACTGGACACAATGTACCGAGCTGGTCTTGGGCATCGATCGAAGGTTCTCCGATTTTCTTTGACACTGCGTCAGCCATGGACCTGGCATGTCGAGTTTCCTTCGCATCATCAGACGGAGACGTCGCGAGCTGGTTGCCGCTATCTGGAAACATCATCGAGCTGTCAGCAGCCATGGCGACAGATGTGACGTTCAGCTCCACAGGATCAGCAGACAGTCCTTCGTACCTACTCTCCAAGAACGGCATTGTGGTCGACTTCACACCAGACATCATACCACCGAGAGGCGATGACTCCTTGCGCAATGGTGAGAAACTCGTATGCGTACTGGTGAGCATGACATATCGATCTTCGATCATTGGTCTGGTCTTGCAACGATCAAACAATAGCGACGTCTATCGCCGCGTTGGTCGACTAGAGTGCTACGAATGCTCGAGAGAAGGCAACGATGAGGAGATGAGCGAGGATGCGGAAGCACTCTTTGAGCACTGGTTCCCCAACATCCAAGATATGTCACAGCTCGACAACTACCCATTGCAGCGATTTGCTGTCGTGTAGACACATTTCATTCTGGGATTTTATGCATTTCAGAAGAGTATAGATGCCGCAGCGCGGCCAGCATTCGCTTGTTACGACTCCCGATACCCTTTCACGTCAGCGCACGATTTGTTTTAGTATCTTCTATGACAGGCTTCTTGAAAAAAAAAGGAAAACTCTAAGACAGCAACATCATCATTGGTTCAGGAGAAGGTTTCCTGCATAACAAGCACGTACACCTTGATCATTAGCCAAGAGTGCCTAAATCTACCAAACTCAAGTCCAGCACCCGCAATAGGCGCGCTCCAAGCCTCGCTCCGCTGAACCAAGTGCACCATTGCATATGGAAGGTCTAATGCTCAGGTATACCAATGACTAGATAGCCATAGTGACTTCACTGCGGAGGAAAGTCCGAGCCATCAAGCCATCATCTTGTTCAACAATGCCAAGACTGTACACCAGTGTCTAGGATAGTCGAGAGCCAGGGAAATGCGCATCGAGAGAAGTGCTAATGCAGGATTCCGCACTGTATTCACTTTGAAGTCGCCGACCCCGTTGCTAGCTGGAACGAGCAAATGCTTCTTGCAAGGACAGCTCACATCACAAGCCAGTCCATAATAGCTGTCCAACTATCACAGTGAATGAGACCCGATCTGTAAACACAGATGCTACACTGTAGGGTAGGCGTGAGGACTCTATCAAAGCCTACGATCGGACAGTTTTCAGTCATTTTTTGTGAAGGTTGTGCCTATAAACGGCCTTGAGAGACTCGCCACTAGTCGTCAGTGAGCTGGAGGTTGACTTCACAGCTGTTCAATCCAACGACGTCTTCAACACCAATTTACAACCCCTAATGTCTTGTATATGATTACCCTCTCCAATCTTGAATGTATTCGAGGCTGTGTCCACGTTCCTGCGTTCATGCTCGCTGATGCACATGGGCATTGTGCACGGGCCACCCATGCCCCAAGCTCCACCCAAATCTTCGGAGCGCGACATCATCGCTCAGATCCATCTTGCGCGCATCAACAACACCACACTTTCACACGACCACGATCATCACTAGTGAATCCGCCACCAGTCGAACAGCCTCGTCACCGGGTTCCAATAACGAATATACGAGATGTCTTTCCTCTTCGGCGGCCGCCCCCAGCTCTCGTCTGAGCAGAAGATCGCAGCAGCAGAGGCTGAGATCGATATGGTCTCTGATATGTACAGCCGGTATGCACCCTCTTGCACATTCTGCTCTTGCACATTCTCCTCTTGCACATTCTCCTCTTGCACATTCTCCTCTTGCACATTCTCCTCTTGCACATTCTCCTCTTGCACATTCTCTTGTTCAATGCCTTGCTACATACTTCCTCAATCGCACCCTCGGCTGTCTCAACTATACAACCATCTCTACGACCGTTCAACTCCGGTCTTCAACCATTATCGACTGAGCACTAGGCTAATTCGATGTTGTACAGTCTCCTGAAGTCCTGCTCCGCAAAATGCATCGACACATCGTACCGCGAAGCCGACCTGAACAAGGGCGAGTCCGTGTGCCTCGACCGCTGCGTATCCAAGTTCTTCGAGGTCAACGTCAAGGTCAGCGAGAAAATGCAGGGCGAGGCACAGGGCAAGCAGGGCTTCCCCGGTGGCATGTAAAGTAGGATAACAATTCTGAAAAGGAGGACGGGGGATGATGTGAGTAGAGATGGAGAAGGAGGACGAGAGGATCGAAAAGAAGCGATGGGCAGCGAAGACTGGTCGCAAAGGATCTACACTCTATCTTCAACTCGGCGCACTGCATTACGATATCGATCACGGTTTGGATGTGGGCTTGTACAATATGTATATCATATGGGTCACTTGGCGCGGGTAGCATGGAATGGAGCAATTTGCATTGCATACGTGTATTGCTTCGTTGCGAGGCAATGGAAGCTAGGATAATGCAAGACAACGCTTTTGTGTTGTAACTCTGGCGAAGTACCAAGATGCAAGCTTTAGTCCGTCCCAAGGCCTGCATTGCAATTCCACAGATGTGCAAAGCCGGCCAAAATTGCAATCAGTGGCGGTAACTTTTTGCTCTTGCCCAGCTGCTCAATGCTTACAAACCCTCCCCAGATCTCCCAAACAAATCAATCGTACATTTCAATCGTTGCAATATCATCCGTCATGACAAGCCATCAGGCTAGCAGGACGCAGGGTGAAGCCCAAGCTTCCATCTGACACTACGACAATCAGCAAGGTTCCTCCTGCAACGCAGATTTTCGATAAAACCTACGCTCCAATGCAGGTCTCAATTTCCCGTGGTCTCAGAAAGCTTGATGATGCCAGCCGCCACAATCAACTGCTTGATCGCTAGCATCGTCTCGTCATCGAAGCTAGACTCACACAGCTTCTCCAGCCGCTTCAGCTCGATACCCGCACGATCAGCATTCAGCTCTGCATCGCGCGCATGTTTCCTGGCTAGCTCAGCGCTCAGTTTTGCCTCCTTGGAGCACTCGACGGCATGTAAGACAGCCTAGGTCTGGTCAGTACAAGTTCACGAAGCACAATGGAATGAACATGGAGAGTGAGACAGACCTCTGCAATTTCGAGGCCTCGGAGACGGTCCGGAGAGCTCTCTTTCATGGACGTCACACGGTCGAGGATCTTGTGGACCACAGTCGCAGTGTTGTAGTGAGCAATATGCGTAGGTCGTGAAGCAGTCTCTGCTGAACCAGACTCGAGGGCAGACAGCGTGGCCTGACGATCGGTCTCTTTGTCTAATGCCTCGACACTGTCTGGGAAGACCACGGACTCTTGCTTAACTTCTGGCTTGACCTCAGATGGCTTTGCTAAGCTAACCTTGGAGAAGTTGGTAGAGTTCCTGATGCGCTGAGCCAGGGCACTTCCGGCGGCAGAAGAGCGCTTCGAATCTTGATTCCTGGCCGGCTGCGATGTAGCTTTGGGGTCGTGTCTGTGGAAGATGTTCCGGAAGCTGCGTTTAGCTTTGATTCTCAGAGCAGTGTCTGTTGCATCCTGCTCAACAACCTGGGTCTCCTTGCTGGAGTTGTCATTAAGGATAGAGTCAAGATCTCGCGTCGCCGACTCTGTCGCTCCCAACCTGGATGGACCTGGTCGGCGCGCACCAGCTTGCGATGGGATCGATCGTGTGAGATTAGATGAGGCGGAGCTCGGCGAACGGGTCGAGGAAGCGGACGCTCGGTTCTTAAAGCGCTCAGCTGAAAGCAGTGACGGGCTAGTCGTACTGCGCGTAACATCTGACTTCTTCAAGGTGAAGGTTGCAGATTTGGGTAGCATCCAGGTCATGGGCAGGCGCTTTCGAGTTGCCGACTGAGGAGTATCAGTATCCGTGCCGAGCGCCTGCATAGCCTTCTGCGAGGCCCCGTTCTGGAGTGTGGTCGAGTAGTTGGCGGTTCCCTGGGTATCGCATTAGCGTCGCTGAAACCGGTTCACGTACATGACATACGTAGCTGTGCTTTTGAGGCTCATTTGCCATCTGTGGTGTTGCATCCGACTTGGTCTGTGACAAAGACGTCTTCCGTGAAGCTTCGAATGAGCTGCGAACATCTGCTTGAGCCGATTCCAACGCTTCCTGGCTCTTTGCGACCTCCATCGGTGCCGGCGTGACTGGCGAAGTAGACTTCTTGGAAAGATCCCCTGTGCTCGGTTTTCGAGGTGGCTGCATGGACCTGATGGGTGTGATCTTGACAGGCTTGCTTTCAATGGTCTCTGTCTCTGTCGATGACGGCGTTGGTGTACGCGAATTGGTACTGGGAGTCATCTTGACGAGGACCTGCTTGGATACTCGCCCAGCCAAGGTGCCGAGGGAGCGCTCCTGTGGTGTCTTTCCGAGCACATGCTCTGGCAAGGCTGGAACTGCAGGGATAGAATCAGCTCGACCCAGTAGGACTGCATCTGCATCTGCAGAAATCCTTAAGGTAGGGCCTGAATCTGGGTTAGACGAGTGCCATGAGAGACGCTTGACTCGGACGGGGCCTTCATAGTTGACTTCTGCCTCATCATCAAGAGACGACCCAGCAGCCAAGCTCCATGTGGAAACACTATCGATCGAGCCGTAGTGAGACTGTGTTGTAATTGCGCCGTCGAAGGATGCAGGCTCGAAATCCTCCGGCTCAGCAATAAGATGTTGCTGATCTTTGTTAGGGTCTTCATCGGTCGCCTGCTCCCTGGTGACGTGGTCAACTGTAGCTGCAAGCACTGGCCACCTGGTAGAACCTGGTTTGACAGGTCGGGACGAAGCAGACGTAGGCTGTGTAAAGAACTCATCTGGTGTAGTGTCCGGCAAGGGCAGAGAACTACGCTTGGAGCTGATGCGGGGTGGGATGATCACGGCTGGCGAAGTTTGCTGCTTGCGAGTGAGCGGACTGTCGATTGCTACTTCGGTGTTGGTGGAGAATGCGTGGAAGGACTTTGCATATGGATTCATAGAGCTGAAGGCGCGGGGCTCTGTCATTTGCCTGAACTTCTCGTGCTTTAAATCATCCTCTTCGGGAGACGGGTTGCTTTTCTGGGGTGGCGTGCGGTTGTTGACCGAGACAAGTGTAGCAACCCGGCTCTTTAGTACAGGTATGCCATTGCGTCGAAGCGCTGAGCCTTCGGACACGCTGCGCTGTGGAAGTCCATCGCTTGCTAAGTTGGCGGGAGGTTTTGATGAGGAGACATTCTCAGGTCGTAGAATAGGCCATTCTTCTTCTGTTGGCGTGCCTGCCTCGGCGTCGACGAGCGTGCGCTGGGCTTTGGGCGGACTCGCTGGGTTCACGAACTGCGCGATAGGTGGACTAGGTAGCGGCTTGTTGCAGCTCAGTGGAGGGGTAGTTCTGATAGAGTTCTGTGGAGTTAGCGTAGTCTCTCCATAAACAGGGTTGTTGACATACTGAGCTAGGAGGCGCGGCGATAGCAGTCGGCTTGTGCCCACCTCGAGCTCGCGGTAAGCTTGTGCGCGGCGTCGCAGGCCTGCTGCCATATGTGTAGCTCTTGGAGAATGCACTCTGTGCCGGCGTCGACTTGCGCGGGAGCTTGGACGCAGGCGTGGGTGACATGACAGTCTTGGACGTTGTAGGCATGGCTGTGGAGCAGGGTGACCCAGTTGTGCTCACAGAGAAGGGACTGCGACGACCTGTACTGCCAGACTGCTGAAATTTAGGTGGACTAGGAATCTTCGAACTCTCTTTGGTGGGCTTGAAGCCAGGCTGTCGCGGGTTGGCGTCGATATCGACAAGAGGTGTCGACATCGTGGAGCTTGTTGCCTGCCTCCAGGTGGTAGTATGAAATAGGTCGGATGGTATGGATAAGTCGTGGAAGTAACGGCGACGTGCCGTTTGTTGTTGGCGGCAACGCGGGGTGGGGCGGCGCGTCTGCGCGTATGACGGTGACAGTGAAGGTGAATGTCAGAGCTTGGCGGAGCCATCGAACACAAACAATACGAAAGGCTAATAAAGAGACTACCGTTGCATGTCCAGCTGCTAGCAACGTTCTCATATTGTGGAAGTAAATCATTCGATAGTACCAATGGCCATACTGTTGTGGATGGAGAGGCAGGAGCGACCTAAATCTTTCTTTACTCCTGAAGTACCTACCTGTTTCTGTGTGTCAAAATCTCATGATGACCATTTGTAAGTGTTTGGTGAAGAAAAGCTCGTACACACTTTAGACTTTGCAAACAGCATGTATGTGAGAGGAGCGGCTGCTGGAGAATCTTCACAACTCGCCAGTACACGTATCTAACTGTTTTAAGCACCTTTTGACTAGCTCTTAACTTTCGTGTGGTCCCGCAACAAGGTAAGTTTCTACATCGGCGTGTGTTCATTGTTCTAATAACTCGAGAGTAGGCAAGCTGCAACACCGATCAGGTCTTTCTTGTCCATGAGTTGGTACTAAAACTCCTATCTAAAATGCGGAATATTCTGGCAGGATGAGAGAGCGTGGTCGATATTATCAAAAGGATTGAATGTGAAGGTTTAGGCAGAGGAGAAGGCAATGACGTGAAATTTGAGGAAGGAGCTTGGGCCAGCAACTTCAGGCCACTTAACGCGTCGAGCTCCACGCCGACCACCTCGACATCACAACGCGCAATTGGCGTCTATGAGCCAGGAAACAATGCCGGAGAAGACATACAAAGAGATGAAGGAGGCGTGGGTGACGGGTCACACCGGAAGCTCTGTCGCCGAAGTGAATAGCGTCTCCCTCGCAATGCCTGTACCGTACACGTTCTGCAACTCGCCCTGAAGGACTCAACTGACCGCATTCGATAGTTGAGCATCCTGCTGTGGTCTGTATTACAACAACGACTTCGACTATTCATCCCGTACACGTCAGCCGCCTGCTTCGTCGACTTCCTCCTCAATTGCGCCGCAACACTCTGCGCAACGACCATCTACTCCTCGTCGCCATGGGCCCTGAATTTCCTGCTGCTACTACCAGTAGTTGGCCTACTTATCCTCGAACAACCAGCTACAGCCAAACGAGACGTACCACGGCCGCTGAAGAAGGACAAGCCCGCAGAGACGAAGCTCGATGCTCTACCGGTGAAGCCTTTCATCACACATTATAGGGGTGCTATGATGGTCATGACATGTGTTGCGATCCTGGCTGTGGACTTTCCCATCTTTCCACGGCGCTTTGCGAAGGTCGAGAACTGGGGTACATCGTTGATGGACATGGGTGTAGGATCATTCGTTTTCACAGCCGGTGTGGTCTCTGCTCGATCAGCATTGAAGGAGGGTTCTGGCAGGAGGCCACCGCTATCGAAACGCTTGATCACGTCCTTCAGACATGCTATACCACTGCTGGTCCTCGGCACGATCCGTTTCATCTCTGTCAAAGGTCTCGATTATGCTGAGCATGTCACAGAATACGGAGTGCACTGGAACTTTTTCTTTACTCTCGGCTTTCTGCCCCCTTTTGCCGCTCTGCTGCAAATCATTTTCGACCTGGTACCTTCTTACACCGTGCTCTCCTGTGTCCTCGCAGGTCTGTATGAGCTGGCTCTTGACAACACATCACTCGGTGCTTTCATCCTAACTGCACCACGCACAGACCTGCTGTCCAAGAACCGCGAAGGTATCTTCTCGTTCGTTGGCTATCTTGCTATCTTCCTCGCTGGTCAATCTCTGGGTTTGTCTGCGCTGCCCAGACAGCAGCCACTATCCAAAGGTGCCTCGGCTATGACAAAGTTACGCCAAACGACACTCGGGCGACTCGCCCTCACTTCTGTCATGTGGACAGCTTTCTTCTACTTCTCGACTAGCTACTATGGTCTTGGGCTCTCCGTATCTCGACGCCTTGCCAACCTCCCCTACTTCTTATGGGTGTCCTCCTTCAACAGCTACCAGATCACGATCGTCTGCGCCATCGAAAGTGTTCTATTTCCAAACCTTTACAGGGCTTCCACAAAGGAAGAAGAAGTCCGGAGAACCAGAGACGCCACAAGCACTGTGCTGTATGCTTTCAATCGCAATGGTCTTGCAGTTTTCCTGGTTGCTAATCTGTTGACTGGCCTTGTCAATATGACGATACCGACCCTCCACATAGGCGTCCTGCAGTCGATGGCGGTACTTGTGGCATACATCGCTACTGTGACTGGACTCGCTGTGGGCTTGGACCGTAACAACGTGTCGATCAAACTGTAAAGGCCTTGTTCAAGAGCGATTGTGGCTTCTAGTGCTCTACTCCAATCGATGACTGGCTCGACGTTGCCTTCCTCTAGAATCTCCTCATAGGCTGCCACCCATCTGTTCATCAGGTATACAACCTCTCCAGGGAACCTCGCACTAAATCCGTCTTTCAACAGTCGTCAGGTCTCCTATGCGCTGGTATGCTAGCGATTGTTCAACGCCACTTCTAGCGTCTGGTCTTGGAACTTGTCTGGATCTCCAGATCACGATGGGGCGGTCGAGTCGGCGAGCTGGACGGTAATTCTCCATCCATTCGATCTGCGCCATACGCAATATCAGAATTACAAAGTCTGTAGCGACTGAGCTGTATCTCCCAGGTCCAACAGCGAATCTGGCCTAAACCGGCGTCTTGGCCACATCACTACATCTGAACTCCTAGCAATCTTCAAGAACCTGCCCTCCACTGCTATGTCGTAGTGTACGCCTGCGAAGAGCCCAGACGGCCGTATTTTCAACCATGCTGGAAGGATTTGGCCAGTCAATGTTATCAAGTCTCGGGTTGTGGTGCTACCTGCCTTGATCTGCAAATGTCCCAAGACAGCATGGACGGATTTTGCAACAACACGAGGTGGATAGCCATCATAGGATACCTGTGCTCCTGTTGAAGCCGATGACAAAGTCGGAAGGTAGGGGAGTGGAAGCGGCCTTGCTTGCGGCAGAACGTGTGAGTCAAGAAATCAGAGTAGACCCTCTACAAGGCTGTTCTGCCAAAGGCCAAGGACCCATGCCTCTCCTGCAGCTTTTTCAAGTGCTCGACGCACCCACGGATGGCGGGTACTCGATCTTCCACTCTTGTCAATTGCAACGCTGAATACTCAAACACCATCTTTCGCCACATTGCCTTGATCCACGTTGGGGCCCAACTGCTTTCAAATCTTCTGGAGAGTACCATGTCTGGATAGCCTGTCTTCAAGGTCGCAGGATACTCTCTACCTTCGTATTCACGTGCTTTACATTGACATGCCCTTATCTCACCACACTCCCAATCTATCCCACGATTGGTCAGGTGAACCACCCTACAAGATAACAGCCGCTCCTGGTAGATCCAGCCTCTGGAGAGCAGCGGGTATTGAGTCGGTACTCATCCAGGTATTGAACGAGTCCCAGATGTGCGGCAAAACTTTCCTAACATACAGTGTTCGGCTGGGATCGACTGCAAACCACATGTGCTTGCACAAGAAGATCTCTGATCTATATGGAGCTAAACTCGTCGCACTGGCGCGCGATTGTGAATAATGCTCCTCCATATATTCTCGCCATTGCTTCGGACTCGATCCGCCAGTCTTCAAGGTCATCTTGAACGATGCAGAGATTGTCAATACACAGATATTGCACCCTCATCTTTATCATGAAGAACACTGCATCCTGGTAGTTCTGCCCCAGGTCTTGAATCGCGATTTCAGACTTGCGAGCTCTATGTGTGTTCCTATCAGTGATGACAGTCTGATTGGGCGCGCTCTAACGGTGACTGCGTACCCTATGTCACGCAAGCCGCCGCTGGTTTCGACGAGCTTGATCGGCGCCTCGAGGAGACAACTCTCCTGTTTGTTATCGATGGATCCTAGACCCAAAAGCCTTGTTGGCGTAAAGCCTCCACGAACACCATGCCATGGCCGGCACTACATGTGTTTTTGATCGCTATGTCTGGGTTGTCCCAGACGAAGTTCAAGGTGTTGTCTGAAGCAAGATCGCGCTCACAGATGCTGTACTTCACCGCCGACCAAAGAAGATGTCATCGAGTAGACTTCCGAAGCCTCATCTGTTCGGAAAATGAAGAAGATTGGCGCTGAGAGAACAGCTCAATCACTTCAGACTGCTCTGTTTCCGGTAACTCGATTACAAGACAACAAGTCAACAATCCCCAGCTCCTATGTATGGTGGTCCGACCAGGAAAATCGAGGACCTGCGGCGCTCAACTCCTGATGGCATCTAGCAAGATCTGGCAGCCTCCGGAACAGCACGTAAGGGCGTTATGCTGAAATTTGCCAAAGTGACTTGAGCACCGTCCTGGAGCTCTTCAGGCTCCCACTTGGCATCTTCAGCTGTGAGGTCTGCACACAGATAGCAGACACTGTTGGGACTGGAGGACGACGCGGGCACGAACATCTTGATCGGATGTAGGAGGACCGTCTCTCAACCGTAGTATATCGTTGTACCGTAAATAAATAGTCAAACATTGAAAGTACTCTGGAGTAACTTTGAAACAGCCCGATATTCCCTTGTCACACAAGCTGAGGTTGTTACACGATCAGTGTGGCTGTATGCCAACGCCTTTCTGGCGTCTGTCTTGACACTACCACAGAATCATACATACAGCTTCCAATCGTGATATAGCACGAACGCAACCTTTCTTGGATGGGAACATGAGTATGGCACGTGATGGCGCGCTTATTTTCCGCGTTCCGTCGCCTCGCGCCTTCCCTTTTCATAATCGGTTAGCCAGGCGTCCAACAAACAAACAACTTCACCCCTCCAAACTTCCCAAATACACCTTGACAATTACACCACACCCAATGCCGCTGCGCAAGCCAGAATGTCGACGCCGCAAGCCAAACGCCGCAGACTGAACGATGCTACCAATACGCTCAAGAAACCGTTCAAATCACCCTTCCGCACGCCGCTGAGGCCCAACATTGGCTCTGACCCACCTTCCTCCGACCCTCCTGATATCAGCACGCCCGCACGATCGATACCGTATACGACCCCGCTCACAACACCTGGCACAGCTCTCAACGCTCCTGTGCAGCCGAAAGCAGCCCCAGCAACACCTGCACCTGCACCACCACGCTTCGCCAAACCACTTGCCCCACGACCAAGCTTTTCTACGCCCTCACGATCTGCGCTGAAGAAGACACCATCAAAGCCGTCCCTCACATGGGAGCTTATGCAGCTGCGCAACGAGATTCAAATTCTCACACAAGCCCATGCACTCGCTACTTCAACGAAGGATGAAGACCTACAAGTCCTGATCGATAGATGGCGAACTGCAAGTCGTGCTGCAGCCGAAGAGCTCTTCGGCAGCACGCGGGATCGAGTGAACAGGATGGGAGGTGTGGGCGCCTGGAAAGAGCGTGAGAAGGAGGCAAAGGAGCGAACACTGAAGTGGGATCTCGAGGAGAGGGAGGCTGAGAGGGAAAGAATGGAAGAAGCAAGGGGGAATGGTGAGATTGGAGATGAAGCGTACGACAAGTATGCGGAGATGGCAGACGAACAACGCCAGGAAAAGGAAGAAGACAATGTGCCTAAGGCTGCTGATGACGATGTGAGTTCACACGGTCGCAGCGCTTATGCAGCATACTGACTTTAGCAGTCATTTACGATGGACATGATGCTGAAGACGCTCAACATCGACTTGAAGCTCATCGGCTACAACAAGGAGGTACAGCGCTGGGATGGGTGAAGAGATGCTAGCAACATTTACACATTCCTCAACACAGCATCATCCAGGCAGACTGAGCTCAGCCAGCGCTTGCCCACAAATTGTAGACATCGGAACGGGTCTGCACCAAGTGCACAGCATATCACCGTAAAACGCTCTTCACGAAGGAGCTCAGCTGTAAGTTCTGACTACTTAAAATTATATGCTTATTGCTGACTCGAGCAGAATAATTGGCTACGCTTTACATATCAAGGATGTGTCAAGGTCAAGATAGCATTTAATAGCCGATACAAACTTACACTAACAGCTACAATTTTAACAATGTGACGTCAGACTTCCGGTCACGTGCTCGGGATACCACCGAGAGAACCACAAATGCTCCACTTAACACCGAAAGTTGCATGACTCGAAGTCTTGTCCCCTAAAACCACTCCTAGCATTAGAAATCAGCTCTAACTTGGGAAGAGAAAGTCACTGCATTCAAGTACTTTAAAGCAACGTCAGCACCATCCATCGTCCAAAAGATCTTTCATCCAAAAACCCTTCGAATCGGCATTCGCAATGTCTCTCAAGAACCAGAATGTTATCATCACCGGTGCCTCCATGGGCATCGGCGCCACGATCGCTAAACGCCTTGCCTCCGAATCCGCCAACTTGATCCTCTTTGCGCGCTCAGAAGACAAGCTTAAGAACATTGCCCAAGAATGTCAAAAGATCCAATCAAGCATCAAGGTTCACACAGCCAGCGTGGACGTCAGCAATCACGAGCCCCTGAGGAAGGCAATATCAAATGCAGTTAATGAGCTAGGCCCCATCGATGTCCTGATCAACAACGCAGGTCTCGCCGTCGGTGCGCCGAACAGGTTCCCCGACCTGACAATAGACCAGATCACGACCATGAGCGGCACCAACATCAACGGATTCATGTTCGCTACATACGCGGCGCTGAATGAGGGCAAGATGAAGGAGAGGAACAAGGGCACCATCCTTAATGTTACCAGTGTAACGGGTCTCGAAGTCCCTCCCTTCCCTGGCGAGGCAGTTTACCATGCTAGCAAAGCGTTTCAGGAAGCCTTCAGCAATGTGCTCAGGACTGAGTTAGTGGGAACAGATATCAAGGTGTTGGCATTGAGGCCGGGAATTGTTGCGACGAATTTCCACGAGCTGCGGTATGTCTAGGTCCTCACATCCCAACGTCCCCTCTCACTCGTCCTATGTATCGATATTGACTAACATCATTCTAGCGTTGGATACGACAAGGACGAGTACGACACCTTTATGGATGGGTTTGAGCCGCTTATCGCAGAGGACATTGCAGAAGGTGCGGTTTTCATGCTGAACCAGAAGGAAAGGGTCATGGTCAAGGCGCTGGATATCGTGCCTACGGCGCAGAGGAGTTTGCAGGTAATTGACAAGACGTGGAATGAGAGGAGTGGGGATCGGAAGAAGATGCAGATGTAAGGGCAGGTATTCAGCACATGAACCCGTAAAGAAGCCATGCAAAATGACGATAAAACACGTTTCAATTTGCCTGGTTTGCCTTGACTTTCCAAGTTGCCTCGTGCTATCCTTGTTGTGGGCGACTGCGTCAATTGAGGCAGTGGCGATGCTCAGCCCAAGAGAGGTCCTTCGCGCAAAAGACGTCATTTCAGCTAGCGTGTTGACACCGATACTTCAACCCTCCATTCAACACCACGCGACACTGCGGCCGGTCAAGGCAAATATGGTCCTTCGAGCTACAACAAGTATAAATCGGCAAAGTTTTGCCTTGTCAGGCGCACTTCAGTTGCCTTGTGACATGGCGGAACAGGCTGAAAATTTGCGCGCTCGCGCAAATCGTAGGCGCGCAAAGCTTCAAGATGGATGCGCATTCGACGAAACGGCTCAATGAAAGTCAAAATAACGCCCGTGCCGCCAAATACGCATAGGTGCGACGCAAGAATTCTTCATCCGTCCTTACTGCTGTCATCAGGTGGTCAGTATACCCGTCGTGAGAGGTGAGCCTTCCTTCCATCCCTCGCTTGTACTGTCTGGCTGCATAGTCCCCCCCACGAGTGTGTTCGAGCTCGCTTGAGTTCACGATCATTTTGTCTTTGAGCATCTATCAAGCACGAATCTATTTCGTGTGCTGAGTCTCAGGGGCACTCTCTCAGTCCATCACCAGACAAAACGAGCGTTGCAACATAAGTCGAGCGAGTCTTGAACGCACTCTTACGCTATTAGGTACTCGACGGCTAACGGCATGAAAGACGTGGACCTTCTCGCAGCAGCTTGCGAGCTGGAGGTAGTGAGACCGGTTCACGCCTCGAAGTTGGACCATCATCATCGTGTTGCAATTGACCTGATTGCTATCCTCGACCCTTTCGAAGACACCGGGACGAACGAGGTCTCCGGCCACCAGATACGGGATACCTGGCTGGGTAGATCGCTGCCCAGGGCTTTCGAAGGTGCTCGTATCCTGGCTTACAGACGCACTCGGCCGATTGGACTCGACGTCGGCTCGGAGGTAGATATCGAAGCATTCGCAACCCGGCTCTTGAACCTCCTATCAGGGTTCAGAGAACAGACAAACACGGTACGCCATCTCTATTGTGATCACTAGCTACGATCTCATTGTAACTCTGGTGTCGGCTCTGTCTAGAATGGTTGTCAACGAAGTTTAACGATCTCCCGCAGACAGACACTCCGTTCGTCTTCCTATTCCATAACAGCAGTGGTGTAGACATGCTGTCAACGTTGATTATGATCTTGCTCTCGGCCCTAGGCCATAGCTTCTCCAGTCTGGGGGCAAACGCACGAGGCATTGTGTGTATCGAAGCAAACCGGCTTGAGCAGCGTCCACGATATCGCATTTTGCCGTCGCCATCCCTGGGTCTTTCTGGTAACACCTCGGTTCATGACAAACTCGGAAACTCGCTACTGCAACATGGAAATCGTCTCCCGGTCACTGTATTCCTTGATGAGAAACTCCAACTTGAACCGAAACAAGAACCCCGTCTGAATCCATATGTCTGGAAGTTCTTCGAGCCACACGTCAAATCAGCTTCGTTGGTATTTACCGCTCTGGGTGGCACGGTATTATCAACTTATCCCCTAAATCTAGAGGTTTACTAACGTGCTACAGCCATATCCCTCATCTTCAGCCAGTACTGGAAGAGTGCTGGGCGAATTACGCAAATTTCTTACACAATACATTGAACCTTCATTCGTAGGAGTTGAAGGAGGTATATGGCGGTCTTCCCCACTTATTCGTCCAGTACACTGACTGTGCTCCCAGCTCAGTTCCGTCGTTGGCTCTTTCCTAGCAAGGCGCTGTTCCAGTATCAGGCTCCTCATGTTGCGAATGGTTTTGGTAATTGGCTGTTTCGTCACGAGTCATATCGTTCCTGGATTGGATCAGATCAAAATGAACTCCTGTGGCTCACAGGAAAGGCAGGCAGCGGAAAGTCAACATTGATGAAACACCTGCGCGATAGCATTCGCCACGAGGATGCTGTACATTTACAGGAGCCAGCAATCGCAGCTTCAATCATGTTCGACTTTCGATACGTTTTGGAACGCGAGAAAGGCAGTGCGAGGGGCCCACTCCTTCGAGCCCTTCTTTACCAAATGTTAGAGAGCGATCCATCTCTCCTATCGCGTCTCTGTCAAGACTTGAGCCCGCTTTCCTCGTTGCCTGAACGACCGGAAGACCTGGATGTCCGTTGCTATCAATCGTGTCTAGAAGCGGCTTTATCAGCCGCGACAGACAAAGCTACAGTCTTCCTCCTTATCGATGGGCTGGATGAGTGCGATTTGGACCTCCAAGATGACGTGATTGCATGTCTAGCACCCATCTTTCAAGGGCCACGGTCCATCAAGAAAGTTAGAATTATGCTTTCTTCACGCTGGGAACCTTCAATGCAACGGCTCCAGCGGCGATGTCAGACCGGCATCAGACACCTAGAGATGGAAAACACAGAAGACATCGCCACATTCTGTTCAGCGATGCTATCGCCGAGACGCACAAGTCGTGGGATCGTCCCCGGGAAAGACAATACTTGTATCCACTGGAAAGACTCCATCCAGCAGCTCGTCGAGTCCATAATTTCTAGAGCAAATGGTGTATTCTTGTGGGTAAGCCTGGTCGTTGACCTGCTGTTGAACGATTACCCTGCGCAGCAGCATCCGGACTGTGGCACTAAGAGATGGCAACAGGCGGTCGAGGAACTCCCCCTAGGACTGTATCCGTTATATGAGAATCTCGTGAGACGCATACCAACACAATCCAAGTCAGCGTCTGAGTTGCTGTTCATGTGGTGCGCATACACAGTCAGGCCTCTGGAGGAAGTCGAAGTACATTCGCTCATCCGCTTGAACCAGAAAGATCCTAAGACCGGATCTTCGTGGCACGACCTTCCAACTACCGACTTGGCTTCGAGATTGCGTCGTATGACCTACGGTCTCGTGGAGGTTGTGTCTCATCCTGGATCGAACATAACTGCTGTGCAATTTGTCCATGCTACTGTCAGGGACTTTTTCACTAGAGCCAGTCCTCATTTGGTTGTCCCTCGGTCAGGTCCATCGCGAGACCCTGTTGGTCTTGCCCATACTGCTATAGCTAGAACTTGTCTTCAGTATATCCGACAGACATTCTGCAGCGGCAAAAGTTCAACGGATCCATTTCTTAAGTACAGTGTGTTAAACTGGAGCTTCCATGCCAAAGCAGGCGAACGGCTGGCTGTATCTCAGGACTATTTGATCGAGGTCTTCCAGTGGCCGTCATCAGATATCGCATCTCTCTGGCTAGAGGAGCATGAGAGAACTCACAGTCCACAAGTTCAATCTGCAAGGATCACCTCGCTCTTGCATGTCGCAGCACACTATGGACTCTTCAGTACCATCGAGGCCTTGGCTGTACGGGAGTCCACAGATTTCTCTTTGAATCGCAAAGATTACAAGGGCCGTACGGCACTCCATCACGCTGCGGCACAAGGTCATACCAACATTGTGCGCCTCCTTTTGGACCACGGTGCCAGTGTTGACGTAGAAGACGTTCAAAAGATGGTGCCCTTGCAAGATGCTTCTCGGAAGGGTCACACCAGCGTTGTGGCAGCTCTTCTAGCGGAAGGCGCAAACGCGACCGTCAAAGATGCCACCGGGAGAACAGCTATACATCATGCTGCACGCGCAGGAGACATTGACGCTGTGAAGATGCTTATTGCAAGTGGTGCCGACTTGGATGGTCTGGATGTTTACGGACATTCTGTTCTTAGCCTAGCTGCAGCCAGTGGCAACGAAGACCTGGCCGAGTTCCTGTTGAGACTGCGGAACACAACTTGGTCAGCCGCAGTAATTGGAGTCGCTTTGGCTTTTGCTGCAGCCTTGGGTCTCAAAAGCCTGACACGCTCTTTGCTCAGCTCTAGCAGATTCAACGGTCCAGATGATACGCTTGTGCAACAGGCTTTCATTGCCTCTGTCGTCTCTGGGTCTGAAGAAATTCTGCTTTTGTTTCTCGCGCTGGGATGCCATCCTGACCTGCAGGACTCCAAGTACGGGCAGTCAGCCTTGTCGATAGCTGCTGCTGGCGGACATGACCGGGTTGTCCGCATATTACTGGAACATGGCGCCTGTGCGAATATTCAAGATGTCCGTACCGGCATCACGCCTGTGATGCATGCTATAAGCCGTGGATACCCACTCATCGTTCAGCTACTGCTAGAGTATGGAGCTGAGCTCGATTTTCCGAAAGAACGTCATGAGAATGTAGATGATGGTTGGATCTACAAGATCTTTTTGGCATTGATCCATCAGTGTCCGAATGGCGACAAGGGGCGCAGTAGTAATAGGAAGTCAACGAGCCCCTCAACCAAAGCAGTTATTGGATCACCGAATCAAGCACAGGAGACGCCATCTTCCTTCGACCAGACTCATAAGAGATCTCGTTCCAAGAAACGACTGGATGACAGCGAAGAGGGATCCGACGACGAACACGTTGCCACCAAGAAGTCCCGACATGACAAGGGGAATGACGCGCAGTTCATGTGTCCATTCCACAAGAGATATCCAGACAAACACACCTGCCCTCCCTATACTAAGGTGGCTCGTCTCAAGTAAGTTGATGTCTACCTATCATCCGAAATACGCCCTGACCAGTGTGCTAGAGAGCATATACACCGAAGACATCATAAAGTCTTTTGTGTCCATTGCTGGAAAATTTTCAAGGACGAAGCAGCTGTAGCGCGTCATCACAAAAACGACAAATGCGAAGAGCAAGATCGGACTGACTACTCAGGCGGCATCTGCAACAGCCAAGCCAGCGCTTTGAAGTCGAGAGTGGGTATTCAGAGAATCTCAGAGGAAGAGCATTGGGAAAAGGTCTTTCGCATCGTCTTCCCTGATTTTCAAGACAGGATGCCATCCCCCTCGTGTAAGTTCAACCAAACTCAAGGCTCTGGGCTTTTACTTATTGCTACTAGACTACACTACCTCAGAGACATTCACAGAGGCGGTGCAACGAATGTTCCTGGACCCCTGTCTACAGAGCGGTCTTGCGCCACTGCTTGGAGGTAACTATGAGACTGTACGCAATATCATACTCGCGTTCGCCAGCAACCAAAGAATGGCTGAAGCCGATGCATCCCTCGGTGGAGCAATACAAGTCCGCCCCAGGCAGATTCCAAGCAGTACCCTCAACGGTGGCAGAGCTGATGAGCCAGCCTTGACTGTCGCGTCTCCTTCCAATAACAACAATGGCCTGCAGAGGCGCGCTCCAGCGGCGCAACAAATCCCAGAAAGTTTGTTCTGGGCCCCACTCGACATGATGGGATCTGTGCTCACCGTGCCTAACTTACAGCACGCACACTCTGGGCCACCTTTCGCCCATGTGCCATCCGACTCTGGGGTTGGGACTCAACACAGTTCGATGTTCGAGGAGCCTCAGGGCCGTGGCATGTACCACTTTGGTAGCATGGATACGGAGGACACAACTACCTCAGATGGACCGGGCCAGACCATGCCGTATTTCTCTCGGTCCGTGGACACCTTGAGTACCTTTCCTGACAATTATTGGAACATGGAACGACAGCAGCAACTTAGCGGCCACAATGTTGGAGAAGTGGTCTTCGACAACGTGACGGATCCGCAGCTGGATCCCTCAGTTGCACCAGGCAACTGTTTGCCAACTACTCATCTGCCTGGTCATGATTGTGGCGCATCGCAGCAGGGAAAGAGGAGGGGTAAGTAACCTGTCGGTCTTGGAGGTAAAATCTCGAGGAGTGGCTCAAGTGTGCTCTGTCTAAACATTCAATCTATTGGTTATGCCTCTCACGGTCCTTGCCTATGATGCCTTCGATCCATCGTCTCACTACGCTATCATCTGAGATCCATGTAAGAAATATCAGTCGTTCATGGCTCATTTCAACGAAAGTCATGCATCTACCATTGCAAGCAGAGAAAGCAGAGCGTTGCGGAACTGTTCCTTCTAGCTAGGTGTAATTTGACGACTCATGTACCACCAAACCAACACTCGATTGTCTACCTCGTTTTCTTCTGTACGTGATAGGGTGGAATTGCCGATTCCACGTGTATGTGTGTACTTTTACCGAGTCCATCTCTGAACATGTGATATGCATCGACGGGTCTCCTGCTGGTATGCAGTGGGAATGCGCGCTTGCTGGACAGCGGAAGGCAATGATGGAGGAAGGCTCGAATAGTCCATTAGATTGTGGCGCAAGCACCGCCACACCATCAGCTACAGCTGTTCGACCCACCTTTCCTCCCGTCATCTCTGATTCGTCACAACTGCGGATCGACATGTTGACGTAGGCGCCTCAAGCAAGCAGGCGGACAGGTTGTTGCGACAAAATGAGTGCTTGGCTTGGGCTCCTACTAGGGCTACAAAACGGTAGCTGCGAGCTGACACAGCCCCCAGATTAGCCACCTGCACCTTCCTTCTTGTATATCTTCTCAATTCGCACCCAAATACCCCTCCACTACTCGCAGCAACCCCTCCGCTTCGAACACACATCTCACAAGTCCAGCCAAAATGAGCGGTCACGGTGATCCCAGACTTCTCTACACAATTGGAGGCATCAAGGCCTACCACATCCAGCAGGGCGAGGAGTCGTCCCTCACTCCCACCGGGCCACAGACGCTCTCGCTGCTCATGGTCCCTACGAATTCGCCCTTCGCCGATATCAGCAACACACGGCCGCAGAGCGAAGCACCAGAGGAAGACTTCTACCTGCACCTTAACCTGCCGCCCGAGCTCGACCTGCCGCTTCCTGCCACCACACAGATCTACCACCAGCCGCCGCGCAGCTACCTTATCCCACGATGGGACCTGGGCCCGGACAGCGGGGCGTTCACAAGGATTGAGTTTCCCGCGATCGGCAAGGGGCCTGGCGCAGTCACTCAGGAGGACATCGACACATTCGAAACTATTCTGGCACAATGTACTGCGTTCCTCGAGCGTGCGCAGAATCCCTACCCCTCAGAGAAGGGCGGTCACAAGGCCTACAACCCCCAGGACTATGCGCCTGGTCAAGGCTACGCAGGCGCAGGCGTAGCAGGCTCTAGCAAGCAGCAGCAGCACGGTGAGATTGTGCTGGTGGACGAGGAGAACGGCAGCGTGGTTGGTGAGTTGGCTGAGGGTGCTCAGATTGTCGAAGACCCCAGGCTACAGGCCGGATCGAAGAGTAAGTTATCACCCCAGTTTGTTCGTATCAAGTTCTCACCACTAACGCAGGAACAGATCCGGTCGAGATCGTTGTCTCCCCTGACGGCAAGCGCATCGATGTCAAGCCCCTCTCCGAAGACTACCTCGCCATGGCCCGCCATCCCGCGTATAAGAACTCGGCGTTGGTGCAGAACTCGGCTGCCGCCTCACGGCTCATCGTCACCGGGTCCAGCTATCTCAGCAACTTAATGGTCTCCGGCGCAGAAGGCTTCATCAACAAAACCAAGCCGAACGAGAAGCCCATGGTCTTCAAGCCCGCAACTCACGAGCGCGCCCGCAAGATCAATACCATGACTACAGGCGTAGCTGGCTTCTCAGCTAAGACAGTTGGAATGATTGGCAAGCACGCTCAGAACTTCGCTGCTGGTCTCTCCGGCCACAAAAACACCCAGCACAAGAGTCTAAACCCAGACGGCACACCCAACCAGACCTATAAGCCAGGCTTGCTCAACAAGTCCCTCATTGCGTGGTCAACCATTGGCGACGGTCTTGCACAATCCGGCAAACAGATTCTTACCTCTGGCGGCGCAGCAGCGAGTGCTGCCGTTGGTCACAAGTGGGGTGCAGAGGCCGGTGGCTTGACCGGTGAACTCGCCGGCGGTGTCAAGAACGTGGGTCTCGTCTACATCGATGTCACCGGTGTGACGCGCCGCGGTATCATCAAGAGCGTCGCCAAGGGCATGATTGTCGGCAAGGTTAAGAACAAGAAGGGCGAGGACCAGAATATCATGGTTGGTGGTGGTGATGGCGGTACCATCACACCTGGCACCGCTGCCAAGATGGATCCCATGGCGAACACAAGTAACACTGGTTTGCCATCGAACGTGTCAAGCAACGATCCTGCCGGCCAGGTCAGCTTTGGTAACCAGCCTCCGCCGAGCTACAGGACTGGTGTTGGTGAGAGCCTAGAGGGGCAGCCGGCGTACCAGGGGTACTCGAATGAGAAGAGGTAGAGCGCTTCTGCGTAGGACGCGGCAGTATGAGTGCAGGAACATTTCACGAAGTACGACGTTATGATACAGGTATGGTATCCAAGCGAGCAATATATGGAGGCACCAGTGACTCGAGACCTTTCTATAGAGATCATCTCATTGCGTACTAGCTTTATCGAATGGTATACACTTTTTCTAAACGTCAAGTTCCTTCACAATCAAGTTCTGTCCTCGGACGTGTCAGTCTGGGAGGTTTTCGCAGTGTCCTTCACTGTTGAAGGTCGACCGTATCTCATGGGAGTCGAATAGGCATCTGACAGTGGTGGAGTAAGGGCTCATATTTGCAAGTTACATACTGACGGTGTGTGCGTGTTGCAAACCTGTTCTGCTGAACTGGATGTGTAGATCATGGTTGGCGAGTCGACTTTATTTGTTGCGACGTCTCTTCAGTAGAGTTTGTTTGTCGTCTTGGATGTCAAAGGGTCTTTTGTTGACTGCCTTGCGGTTTCCGATGTGCTCGTTGGCGCTGGTGTTCTTGGGGTCAGTGTTGCGGGACCTCTTCGTCTTGACGACCTCGTCTGGCAGAACTTGAGGAGCTTCGTCGTTAGTGTCGGTGACCGATGCGCTCTCGTCTGCATCCTAGTCCTCATTATCTTCGTCGTCGGTGTCTTGATGAGTAGTGGGTGCATCAGTGCCGACATCGTCGTGCATGCCTTCGAGCTGTCTCAACATTCCTTCCTCTTTCTCTTCCGCGCGTTCCCTCTCCTGCTCCCTCTCTTCCCGATCGTCGTTTCCAATGAGAAATCAGACGTCACTCAAAGCTTGTCGTTCTCCTTGCCCCAAGAAGAACGGATCAGATCACCGACGTACAGTCTGGGTTGCCTTCTCGATCCGTGTCAATGTCGAATGTGGATGGATCCGGGAACCTGGCGAGGGCGATAGGACATCGTTCGCGTAGTTTCTTGAGTAAAGCGGTTTTTGGTCTATGCCATATATACTCTCTGCTCCGTATCAATGTCCATGCCTGATGTTTGTGATTCGATTAGCAGCCTCGAGAAGCAAGCCATTGAAGGCATACTCGCCGCTCGTACAGGAAGCCAGGAGAAGTGACGGCCAGTTAGTACGATGTAAGGTCAAGTGGCCGAAATGTTGGAACTGTGTGTAGGTGGGTCCGAGGTGAATATGAGAAAGTACGTCTCATGCTCAACAAAGCAAGTCGGAGTAAACATGATCTGGTATACATCGCGGTCTGTGCAAACGAGCTTCCACGGCCATCAAGAAAACACCTCTTTGCGGTAGAAGCATGGCATAGGGATATTCTCCTACATGTATCAGCTAAGCCCTCTCCATGCAGCTCATATTTGTTGCGGTGTATATAACCTTTAGGACCCGAGGGTCAGAAAGGTCGGTCTTTTTTTTATCACTGCGGGGTCGCAACACTATTCAATGAAAGTGGGATGAAGGCGAGATTGTCAATGTGAAGACGAATCAACAGCACTGCATCTGCAAAAAGAGAGCACCTAAGAGATGAAGAAGTTGCGGTGAAGACAGCATCTGATCTTGTGAGTTCACTGATGTTGAGAGTATATCGTGTCGCAGCAGAGATAAAAGTTGGGGCTGGAGGTTCTGCTGATGTAGAAATGCGAAGAGCTAGAGTGAATACATGCATGGGCCTACTAGGTGCGGTCCGTACCTTCACTCAAGCACGGGACAACACATGTTAGTTGATGTTCATGCCACCCGGATTAGACCATCTGAGGTGAAACTCCCAATAAAGACCAGCATGATGACATCCGCTTCTGAAATGAAGCGTCATTTCACTTCTTTCAGCTTGAGGCCCTCATGCTCTCTCACCTCTGCATGAGATCCTTTACGCTTAGAGTTTCACCTTGGTCGTTGTCGAGGTAGTGATACATTCTTGTTCTTTGAGCTGAGGAACGTTCTTTCGTACTGACTTCGTGGAACGGTTGATCATTGCTGTGAGTCTCGCTTTGAGAAGCAATGCATTATCAACTTTGGTTGATCCAACGAGAATAGTCGCTCGAGAGTGGCATCTTGACTTGTTGTCAAGTTTCCCCGGCTGGCAAGCAGGTCCACAGTGACAGCTTATGTGCAAGAGTCGTTCTTAGTTAGTCGGATGCTTCCTGGTGCAATTTGAGGTGTCGAGTAGTGGCGAGTGTCAGCTGCTACATACAGCATGATGGCTTGCACCTTGCAATATGCATGGCATGTGAGTTGCCTAGTATGAAGTAAGACGACTTGCTCGAGCGAGGACGCAGGGTGCATGAAGTGCGCTGAAGTCAACGTTCTCCATGTTCAGTGGCGTCTGTGGGGTGCAGAACGTTGACGAGGAAACATTCGTCGTGTTGTTATCGTGGTGCTTCTGCATTCGTAGTGCTTCTGCATTCGTAGTCGAACAGGTTTCTTACGTCTGGCCTGTCGGTGCCCTCTCGTATCTAACAAAAGTCGACCAGGGATATCATGTGAAGAGCTCCTACCGCATCTGTAGTGCCACGTACAGCGACTTACTCCTAACGTTCGTCACCACAACGGTGAGATCGACATACCTTCGATGATGATCTGCATGAGGCTCAAAACGTAAATCTGGGGTAAGTCTGGTACTACCATACACAACATCCAATGCCTGAGTCCCTCAATTCTCGTTTTCGTGTTTTTCACATTGCAGTGCATATGCATACAATGAGCACTGATCGGTGTGAGGTCAAATTTGATCCGCATAGTACGTCTCTTTGGTTTTAAAACATTGTCTGCGCGTGAGCTTGCATCGTTACAAAATAACAGCGCTCGAAGAAGCACCCTCCCTTGATGGTAAGGTGATATCTTCTCGCATCTAATCATGTGCGCTGCTTGGTTTAGCGTTGTGCGACCGAGGAGTATGTCGAAGAAACTTGCTTGCAACCGAGTGGAGATGTGTAAATGACTCTTTCTTCCTGGGTGGAGGTCGAGATTTCGGTTCATGTTTGAGTGATCAGGCTAGTTATAGGAGGGTCTTATGTTTCCTTTTGGAAGCTGGCTGTTGTCAAGTCAAATGCGTCGTGTCGAATGCATGCGTTGTTACTCTGTTCAGTATAGCATTTGCGCAAGCTAAACAAATGCGCTACAATCTGGATAATAAAACCTGGAAGGTCGAACAGTCCGCGGTGAGGTTCTCGAGCCTGAGTCATCGCGAGCTGCCTGTGGCGGTCAATGTGCTAGCTAGCCAGTTTAGGCTGCTGCAAGTCTTGTGCGGTCCATTTTAGGAAGTCAGTTACTTCTGGTGCAATATGCGTGCTCATATCATGGTCTGCGTCTGTCAGAATTTAGTATGGGGATCTGCAGGATCGTAGAGTCTGTGGTCGTGTAGCACAGCCATCCAATGTAGAATAGCTTCATGCCGTGACCGTCGCTCGTGGAACTCGAGGTGTTGCAAAGCGTCTGATTGTCTTTAATTTGGTGATTTGATTGCTCCTAATTGTGCTTCCGTAGTCGAATGCGGACTGAATATGCAGATGGAAATAGAGGCGTGTGCGTCTCTTTGCAATGCCCACTCATATCTGCCGAAATCTTTCTAAGTCAGCTTTTGATTGGCCAATGTTCAGAATGCTCTCTTACTTTTGTGTATAGACCCTGAATGTGGCGTGGTTGCAGGGTTAGCTCAGACGGTCAGCCTTTAGGCTCAAGAAAAGATCAGCGGCATGCTGGGGAAAGTGCACTCTTAACAGAGCCAATTCGTAGAGTGACACAGCCCTAAAAAGCCACACAGGAGCGGGTAAAGTCTTGTGAGGATCCAGAGTTGTCCACAAGTTGACACGGTCTCCAACGTTCCCGACAGTCGTCGAGCATGTCGGAATATTACAGTACCTAGGTGAAAGTGCTCGTATGACATGAGATGACTTTTACTCTTTTAGCGCAAAAGTCTTCCAATATCGATGATGGCGTCATTCCATCTTCGAAACTCTGATGCAAGTCGATATGGGTTGCTCTGCTAAAAAAGTTTTATGTCAGTATGTTGGTTCTAGACTCAAGGAACATACCGATTTTGATCCAATTCTGCAGCACACCGATTTGCACAGGAACAGACTTTAACAAGATGTTAGCTACCAGTCTCCAGGATTGGTATGCCGGCTTAGGCTAGAAGTTGTGACAGGAACTTGTGCCTTGTTAGTAGCACGAATAAGCGTCTGCTCTGGGACACACCTCCGAAATAGCGTACGCCCTTATGTACGACATCAAAGATCGTCTCAAGTCATCCATGTCGATCGCGTCGTCTCGGTAGAAGGCTGTGGCTTGATCTCGATAATGGCAGTCAGCTTCTAACCAACGCTATCTTTACTTGGTTTCCTGTAAGCCCAAAACCCTGGAGTTATCGGTAATGCTACACTGTATCCACAGCATTGTACAAGCGTGCATAAGAAAACGAAGCAGATAAGATCAGCGAGAAATTGACTACTGCAAGTGACGAAGAGAGAGTACGGATTGGCTTGCTTACCTTGCCTACCATATGGAGGATGGCTTATGCACCTAACACCTCACACCGCCCGCCAAAGACAAGCAGTGGATGAGAAGGCTGGCCAACAGGCATGATGCCATCTGTGCCTATTGAGCCTGTCGATCCTGCGATGTTGTCTGCGCATGCAGCAGGTCAGACATGGCGTCGTCTGTCCCAGCCTCAAATTAGGTCGAATCATAGAGCCGTTCTTAGCGGAGTTGCGAGACTTGATTCTTATCCCTGGAACGACGACCTGTGAGCGGCCCTGAGGTATTCGAGTCTCGCTTGGAGTACCCGCACTTGATGTACCGGAACTTAACAAGCTTTCTCGCCGCTGCATTTCTGACTACCTGCAAGAGGTGTCGTCAGACCTGGTGTCGAGCTTCTCGTGTGTGATGGGTTGTGATGTTTGAACAATTTACCGCGGGCTTACACTAGCGAACTGAAGGTGTGGAGAGTCACCAGGCCCCAGTTGGAGGCTTTCCAGAGCCACTCACAGTCCTAATCCGAAAGCATGGCGCGGCCCTAATACCTGCCTTCAAGGATAATGCCTGCCTTCCCTGGCCCCCTTTTTGCGCAAGCAGTGCGGCAGTGCTCATTGTGATCCTGAATGCATAATTGAAGAAGGACGAGGTGGTGTTCAATAGCTTCTGCATGTTTCGTCGCTGTATGCTTGGCTGTTTCGTGGTGTTTGTGACATTTTGGGTCCTGCCGGTTGAGAAAGCCAGCTTCACTGGTACGCTAGCGGTAGGCGCGGCTACAATCCTCCACTTCGTGAGTTCACTCTCACACTGCCTCCAACCTCACCAGCCTTGCGGTTGCCCATACATGCATTCTTCTGCTTTCTGCATCGTTACTTGTCCGTATTAGTGGCCATACTGGTGACAAGGCCTTTCGTTGAGGCGCGAGCCAATCGTGCAGCAGCCCCGCGCTGGCGGCGTGTTTGCTCCACCCTCAGGTGACAACACAAAGCCCAGATCGCTGTGAGCTAGTCTTCCAGATGGAGCGATACGAGCAAGTGCGCGATCTCGAAGCCGCTACCATTACGGATACACTGCGACGATGTATCAAATCAAACCGATGACCGAGTGGCACGCGACTGCCTGCGCCATACATCGAATATGACGCACCCACCGCCTTTCTTGACAAGAAGCTAACAGATAGCAGCTGACAACTGACAGCTGGCTCAGGTTTGGCCGAAACATCAGAGAAGAACTGACTGCGCAGACTGACGAGCAAAGTCCATAGCGTAAGAGCGGTAACGACAGCAGCAGCGAAGTCCAATCAACGACTCGTCGATATTCAGTTCGATGATTGAAATTAAAGGACGGTATCTCCAGTGGAGCATCACGTCCTGTCGATTTGGCAAGTGTCTTCCAGCGAGGGTTGATGCACTCCTCGTGGCTCTGAGCTTTACTCCAGTTTGATTGCACTTGAGATTCATTCGATGTCTCGGTTAAACACGGTCTCTATCGCCATGTGCTCAATGCACCGCTTCTTCTCGGTCGGTAACAAGGTATGAGCGAGATCGGTGGGTATTTGTCTCAGAACTCTATCATCAGCTTGGTCTTGCAAGAGGGTTATCCTGGATACGTACCAGAATAGCAGCCTCGAGCCCTTCCATCCGCCCTCTTGAGGACTTCGGTTCTGCCGTGGCAACGGTGGCTACGCGGTAAGGTAGGTTGTTCGCCGTTGAAACCAAGAGTCTCAGGTGGACCAGTTCGTGTGCCGAATCGTCTTCTCCATTCCAGCGAAGCAGTCTGATGATGATTGTCTACGCACTACTGTCTTAGTCGAGGCTGTGTGTGAACGCTAGTGGTGCTGTCGACAAACATACGGGTCGGAGAGGCCCTTTGAATGCAGCAAGTCAAGTCATGGAGTCTTTGTTAATTCAGCCTCCCTGCACTCGAGGCTTCAAGCCCCCAACCTATCGGATCACATCACAGTCATGCCGTGCAGAAGTGCATAGGCGTGCTTCCAGATGCAGGTATACGGCTCTGTAAACGGTTGCATGTCTCGCGAGGATACGGCAACAGATCCGCAATATGCGGAGATCACTTTGGTCCAAGCATGTACCCGTGTCCGGAGTCGAATGACGCAACGTTGACATTCACCATGAATTTGCTTTAGCAACATGCAGCTTTGCAATTGCCATGCCCTATCGATCAGCAGCAGTGATATACGTCAAAATTCAAAAACGGAATACTCCCCCAAACGAATTGCACTAGCAGTATCAAAAGGGCGGCAATAACACGGTGCATGTCACTATTTCATACGACGTTCAAAAATGACACAGAGTGAAGTCGTCTGAGACTTGGAGCATAAATGCGGATGGTTACATGCAGGGAAGGCACTAAATTCTTATGCAGGGTATTTCGCTCAGCAGAGATGGCGCACACGGAAAAGTTGTCGTTCGATCGCCCGCATAGCGGCCGCCCACCCTCCCATATAATTTATGTGTATGCACGAGCAGGCCTCGTACATACTTCACCGCAACACAATTGGAGCGCGTATGTCGTCCCGCGGGCCGGCAGCTTGATCTGCAAGAGCAAGGTACACACCCCAGTCCTACAGTATTCGAACTTCAACAAGTACTCCAGGCGAACGCGGACCATATACCTCTTCAGCCGGTGCAGGTACGTACTGATCCCAGCGGCTCAAAGAAATTGAACAGTGTCAGTCCTGAAGCACAACGGCACGGCTTTTCTGGTCCATCGCCGACTGCAACAGGCAACGTGTCTGACAGGAAAAGGCATTCGGCCGGTGTCTGGACGCAGGGCGCTGCTGCTGGCTACTACAACCGAGCACGAGCAGATGGCACGCCATATGCGCAGACTTGTCAAGCACATGGTATTGACAACATTCCATTCAGTATTTCCGCCCTTAAAAAGGCCACGTTTTGGGGATGCTCGGCTGCAGGTTCGCGGACGCCGTTAATTAATATCGACTACTCGAGGACAAAACTCTCGTTGATCGACTTGCACATCTCACGATGTTGACTGCAGTGGCTATGCGATGTTGAAGAGCCGTAATACCAATTAGCCGTGTGGACGTATGAGTGGAGTATGAAGACGCCAGCCCTGCCGCCAAAATGACCGGGGCGCCTATCGTCGCCATTACTGTGAACGCCACGCCTGCTTGAGGTCCGCTTGCAGCGGCTAGTCTATGCGCTCTAAGAGCAATGTGCAATTGAGGCCTAGAGCGACTCTCCACTGAACTCAGACGGATTGCCGCCAAGCGGGGCATATATTGACCCATCGATCATCAGCCGCATCGTCTGCCTGCCCGCGCGGCCTTTTCTCCATCTCGCGCGACAAGCTGGCGTCAAAACGAGGACCGCTTGGTGGGTGTACACAGCATACCGGCGTGGGCGTCCAGATGGCGCCATGAGGTGAGAGTGGTGCGAGCAGTCATTCGTGCAGTCTCGTGCCCCAACAGCTTCAGGACCGGAGCGAGCGCGGGGCGGTTGCACAAATGCCTGCACGACGCTTCTGCGCTGCAGTCGATCCCTGAAGGCGCAGCGGCCAGGGTGCCCGGAATATGCGAGCGATCCAACGGCTTGCGGGATCCAAGCATGACGCTCGCGCTCACCTGGCGCAGGGACTATGCCCAAACTGTCCCACACCCTGGCCCGCCTCTGGAATTTTGCGACTACCCTCATGCTCCAGCCAAATTCACACTACCCCAAAGTCTGCTAAGAGAATGTCCTGCAGCTCCATCAGCGCCGGGAAGCGAAGCATCAGTGGCCGCCGTAGCCCGCCCGCAAGCATGTGTTTAAATACTAGATAGTTCCGCTGCTTCCCCGGTGCAAGCGGATTCTCTCTCCCACCATTCGATGTGATCCTCGTTCACTGGTTGTTTGTAGTAGTTCACGTTCCGTACTACCACGCTCGCTGGTCGTCGCCATGTTTCCCTTTTCATTCGGCTTGTTCCCTAATTGGAGTTGGTTTTGTATTTTTGTCACACTCTTGTAAGTCACTATGCTCCCACCACATTCTGCCACCATGCTGCTCCCGCTTTTGAGTTTCAGCAACTGACTCGCTATTCAGCCTCTTTCGATACTTCAGACTTTGGGTCAACCTCGCAAGCAATTGGACGTATACACCCATCCAGCCTGTCGACGACCCTACCATCACATCCAAAGATGTCACAGTCATCATCCCAACTGTGGCTGAAGACCTTCAACAGTTGAAGGAAACAGTCCAAAGCGCCCACCGCCTCGAACCCTACGAGCTGATCCTCGTGACACCTGACTCAAGAATCAAGCGTGTCTACCAGTTGGTTGAAGAGCTAGGCACCCCTAAGCTTATCCAGGTGTTATCTGTCAGCCAGGCCAACAAGCGTCGCCAGCTGTGTCGGGCAATTCCGGAGGTTGAGACAAAGATCACACTACTGCTAGACGACGATGTCTGGCTGCCAGAGAAGTTCAGCAAATGGCTCCTGGCGCCTTTCGAGGACCCTCGTATGGGAGGTGTTGGAACAAACCAACAGCTTCGCCGCGTAAACCGCAACAACATCTGGGAGTTCCTCGGCGCCATGTACCTTGTCAGGAGGAACTTCGATTGCACCGCCTGCAACTGGATCGACGGTGGCCTGCCATGCCTGTCTGGCCGAGCAGTAGCGTATCGATCGGAGATCCTGCAGGACCCCAAATTCACGTACGGCTTCACACACGAGACCTGGGGTAGCGACCACTTCCTCAATGCCGACGACGACAACTTCATCACACGATGGCTCTTCAACAACAACTGGAAGATCCAGATCCAAAATCACCGCGAATGCGAAGTCGAAACAACACTCGAGAGTGACTCGAAGTACCTGCGGCAGTGTCTGCGGTGGGTGCGCTCTAATTGGAGGAGCAACCTAACGAGTCTGGCTGACATTTCAATGTGGATGTACGTGCTAAATGCCTCCTGCAATGCCGATGCCTGCATATTTTTCGCGTCGTTAGGCGCCAAGCATCTGCCCCTCCCTCCACTCATTGCGCCGACCACCTCGCTAACGCACTGCATTACAGAAGCTATCCATGGTCACTCTACGCCGTCTTCCAGACCACCATTACGCAATGGGCGTTCCTCCTTGACTGTCTCCTATTCGCTTCCTTCCACTTCGCATTATCGGAAGCAGGATACTATGCAGTGGACGGTGAGGTGCAGCCCGAGGCCGAGCAATGGCAGCTGTCGTTGTTCTGGGGGCTGTTCCTTGCACACTTCGTCTTCGCAAAGACGATCAAGCTAATTCCGCATTTGTTAAGAAACCCGGGCGACGTGCGCTTTATCCCGGTCTCGGTCGCATTTGGCTATTTCCACAACCTGATCAAGCTGTACGGCTGCATCACTGTCACAGAGGTATGTTCCCGGCCCCGCATGCACTGCTATCGACACGCGGCTGACTTTTACCCTAGACAACCTGGGGCACTCGTGAAGGTGCAGACGCCGACGACAACATCAGGATGTTGCCCATCCCAAACACACCGATGACACCTCCTATGACTCCTACTCCAGAGCAGAGTAAGCTTCGCGAGAGAAGCGCCATGTTTTCCACTGCCGCGAGTTGAGGTGCGGCATCCGCTTTGACCAGCACACATCCCGGCCAGTGGAGGCGTCTTGACCGCATGAGGACGCAGTAATTTAGACGTTCGACGATCCACACCATCGCTCCATCACCACATCCGCCTGATCGAGTCGAGCCGGTGTTTTGTTTCATTTTTCTCTTTTCAGCGAGCATCATGTCTGGGAATATATCCTCTTGGTCACCAAAACAGGACGGACCGGCTACACGGCGTTCAGGGGCATCGGCCATTGTCGATGCAAAATTGCAGCGCTTTCTTCTCGTCACTCAGGCATTTCAGGGCATCTTCGCTCATGTAGTCTACACAAAAAGTTGCTGTGGCATGTTAGCATTAGTTCACGGATACGCCTATAAAACTCTCAAGTTCGGCTCTTTCCAACAAACTGCTCGCCAATCAATGTTCGACATAGTATGTGACAATCATCAGCACCTTTCTGCTGGTCTGATATTCTCTGCCATCCTATCAGACATCTCAGGTGAGGTCGAGGGACGACTAGAACCCTAAGGGTACCATTGTTTGGCATGCCACAAGCTCATTTGATGGCTGTCGCGCCTAACCAGGAAGCTACCATTGTGTGCCGCCGTGCAAAAGGTCACAGTCGCACACAATGGCCGGTGCTATCTCCGGCACGCAGGCAGCACAAACCTAATCTGAACTCCATCTGGCGATCTACTCTATCTCAACCAAGTCTCCCGAGCAACGCATCGCTTGGCTGTTGACCTGCCTCCAGACGCTCAACTCACGCAGCACGGGCCACTCGTAGCGTGAACCATCCCCGTGTCAGGAACCTCGTCTGCTCTGATCCTTTCCGCCTTGCTCTGCGCTCCAGGCCATGTCACGAGTAATTACGGCATGATATCGAGCCATATTCGTCGCACTACAGGCATCACCAGGTCAATTCCTCCGTCGAACCATTCAAACACGGCAGGTGTGTGAATGTACCTAGGTACCCTCGGCTCACTGGATGGGGACTCAGCGAACCACCCCCCTTCACGGACTATCTCTACTTTCGGCCGTTTCCTGGATTAATTCGATGGCGGAAGGTTATCAGACTCGCGTTGAAAGTGTGCCATCGTCGATGACGCCAAACTCTAAAGTCGCTCCGCTCTCACTGCCACAACCACCACAGGTACCGTTCGGTTGAGTCGACTCTAGCTGCAGGCCTACGAATCCATGGCTTACCTAGTACCTTGCACAATACGTCCTGATAATTCTAATGGCGCTGACAGGTTGAAGTTTCATCACGGAATGCCTGTTACCGAAAGTCTTCCCACCAACACAGGTTCAGTCAAGCGGGCCTGCATCCTGCGGGTCCATCCACTTGGGGTTTGAGGATGGACCCAGCGGCGCCAGACTTCTCATGCGCTCTTGCATCGCCGTCCCATCAACCATCATGATACATTGCGGTACTTCCAGCCCCTGTCCACAACATCCTCACGATCAGTCACAGAGACTTACAATTGCTGACCCTGAACTGCAAGAACAAGCCCTGGCCCTGGATAGCGCGCGAGTAAGAGGAAGGAGACCCTTTTGTTCAAACTTTATGCCCGTCATTCCCGCTCCCGCAGGGTCAGCCATGAGCAGCTTCCAGCTCGTGCACAAGCTCGTGCGCCAGACCAGCGCCGAACGCGGCGCAACGCCAGTCCCGATCTTGCATGTCTCGTCATACTCCTCGGAAGAGGTCATGTAGCTGCTTTGTCACTGTCCAAACAACACTCGCAGCAAGAGTCGCAGATAAAGCTGCAATGTACAATGTACTTCCAGCATATGACAGCTTTGCAGCAATGTGCAAGTTTCTGGCCCGGATCCCCGATGCAAATGACCTGTTGGTTCCTGGCCGATCAAACTCACTCAAAGCGCTCGTGTGCATGCAAGAAGTGCGCCACGCTCAACTCCAATACGGTCGGTACTGCAGTCATCACGATGACACGGCTGCTATTGTTTCATACCAAATAAACAGGAGCGCAACATGCAGCAATTTTTGCACAATGCAGAGGACCCGCGGTCTCCGCAAATTGTCGTGGTCCGCCCAAGAACGGCCTCGCTTGCACGTCAAAAGTCTTGTTGCTCATCTGTTGCTTGTGAGCATCATGAATGGGTACCGTACGGCTGGGTCAAAGGTTTTGTGAAATTCTTTCAGACCTGGTCTGATGCACGAGCATCCTACCGACAGTGCTCACCGTTCAGAAATACCTTGGAAATGCGATACTTCTCCATTTTACGATTGGCCAGGCGACATCGCACGATGCATCAGGAATGAAGTTGCAGGATCTATTCATCCGGCAAAATTACTGCAGTAGCGGAAGAAGATCCATTCCTATTCTTACAATGTAATAACGAAATCCTGACGAAGTCCCTTCGTCGCTATTCTGCCGACGTCTACCTTCTTCATTGTGTTATTGGAATCATCACTGCGAGCAGGCCGAGCCTGGCACTCAACAATTCTTAGCAGCCTTCTTTGTTGCAGGTGCTTGCTTATCTCACCCTTCTTATCATCATCCCATCATCACGTCGCTTTCAGCTGATGCAGGGCCACGGCGTCGACCAGGCGAACCCCGAATGCCAAGCGCAATTCGAGGGCGATCTGTGGATCTAAGAAACACCTGGGGCTCGAGCTGCGCAAGTTGCTGGCTTTACACCTGTCAACTCTGAGCTGCCCAGATGAACAACGGTGTCCAGAGATAGTGTCGCGTGAGATTCCTGGTACGTCAAAGGGTCTGTGGACCCTGCGTGCCTTACAGCAACAAAGTTGGGTGATAAGTTGTCTATCAAACCACAGACCGTTAACCTCGGGTGCACCCTTCGGTAGCGTTCCGTGCCGGTCGACTGTGCGACCCGAGATCTGAGCGTTCAGCACGAGCTCTTTGTCGAACCGAGTCAGGAAGACCCTGGGGGGCGAAAGGTTGAACGACAACTGATCGTCGCAGATGAATTCACGACGCGCAACTTCAGACGGCACGTGAAGTCTCACGATGCACGTGCTTGAGGCTCTTCGTAACGCGGTGCGTTGTGCGACGAGCTCGACACGGCAGCTCTCCACTCTTCGGGAAGGTGTGTCGGTGCGGTGGAGGCCACGCCACGCATGCTCTAACTGAGTACGTGAGATCGCTGTCGACAACGCATGCCGTCTTCCATATATCAGGCCAGATATAACGTTACACGATGTTTTCTGAAAGGAGAGGTTGGTTGTGGGTTGAGGAAAATCACACACCAGGTCCCGCCAATGTCCGAGTTATGGGTCGCCTAATCAAGGTAACACAAATCGACCTTTCTGGGACGCTCAAGTCCACATGGCGCGAGACGCACATTAAAAATTCAATACCACCCCACTGCGCGAATGAAATGCGATTGCATACGAATGAGCAGAATCAATCGAGCATTCAGAACGAATCATGCCCTCGTCCCAAGATCATTGACGTCCTTGACGACCCGCTGAACCACGATTGCTAACATTCTTCGAATTGACAACATCACCGAACCTCGGCGAGAAATACCGGGCGAGCCGCAACTCGAAGCTGTACTCCACATTGCAAGCCACACAACGCCCTAAAATGACATGCAGCTCGCTGATGCTTGAACCTTGAAGTGGTTGCAGTTGTCAAGGGTCTTTTCTTGTTTGCTCCACACCCACAGGCGCAACTTCCTTGCACAGCTGTGCAAACTTGGTTACCCCACCATCACTTTGGTAAGAGGCCCGAATAACACTCACATTATTCCTCCCACGCAGCCATCTGAGATTGTCTGCTTATACGGCTTCATGTGCCGGACAAATCGTACAATTGCCAGCTTGCGTCACGGCACTGGGGCATTCTGCAGAACGAAATCTGGACAACGAGATCTCGTATTCGTCCCGATGGTGATGCTCACGATAGGCAAACGCTGTGGATCTTATAACGAGTAGCGCGGGATGGCGCAGTAGAGGGACCTTAGTCATAGCGCCTCCTCCTGGTGCGTGCTCTCCTACGTTGTACCGATATGGACTGCCATGGCAAACTAGCAAAGACGGTTCTCCTGTCATGAGCAGTTCAAGATGTGTTTTCCCTGCTCTGCGCGCCAGTACACCGTCGGCTACGGACGGTCGACAGCTGTGAAGTGTGGCTGACAAGCGATCTGACAGTCGGAGCGCTCCACAACAGTTTGCAGAAACTTCCGTCGACTGTATGTTGCCGATGTTTCAGTCACGGTATCCACTCCTCTCACGAGGGATATATGACGCACACGTACCCATGCTGCGAACACGTGATGCTACTTCTGTTGAGCTGCTATCGCGGCTTTTGCTTCGGCCTGCTTTCCTCCACGAATTGTCCCATCTCGATCCCTGCGATATGGGCATGCAAGTCACCGCAAGGTCCGGGGTCAGTGGACTTTCCCCACCTTTATGCTTGTCAGCTTTGGAGATTGAGTTCGAGGATTGCATTTTGACATGTGCAGTAAACCCTCGCGGGAGAGCAGATCCTGAATGTGACATTGAGTTCAGGAAGGCTCGTCTCGAGTTGCTGGGTTGACCAAGATGCAATGAAGCCTTGGAAGATACAGCTTCCTTGGACGTCCGGTGTACATGATGAATTGTCACGGCCAACTTTACAAGCGTAGACCTGAGCAAAGGTAAGCACTTGTAGTCTTGTCCCTTGAGCTGACAATGAACTTTGTGATCGTGCTATCATACGCATACACGAGTCGGATCGTTCTGCATATGATGACGTTCTAGGACAGCGTAACCGCGTTGAACTCGTACCAATATACTTTGACCAACACGAGCAGCTCTCATAGTGCAATATGATAGGCACCAACTTCAGCTGATGATCATAAGCTACTCATTTTACCTCCCAGTTCCAGAGGCAAACGTATTCGCGTTTTTGTTTAACTACATGAAATATCCGAGCAGTTTTCCGAATCGCGATACATAGCCAGAGCTCTCCATCAATGACAACAAGATGACTTTATCTCCAGCACGCGACGACCTCGGCAGCTGAGGGTTCCATCTTGCATCGGTATCTTGCAAGAAGCTACACATTCAGTCGGTACATCATCGCGACAATACGTCAAGCAAAAGTCACTCGGATCCTTTTACCCCGCAATCCGGGACAGCTCAGCTCCCCGCATCACACACCACACTGAGCGTCCGAAAAGCTCTAACACCAAGTGGCATCGCTAAAAAAACAGACGTTTTGATAAAAGTCCTTTCAGTCTTCGCCATACTAAGTATAATCGCTCGTCGCTGTCACAATGCCACCATCCCGCATCCTAGATTCACACATCCACCTCTGGCCCTCAACATCCACAACCTCTAAAGACCATGGCTGGATGACAGATCCCACGCACTTCCTCGCCAAACGCCACGGAATTTCAGACTACAAAGACGTCACCCAGACCTCTCCTGCTGGGTCCGCACTCAAGGGCTTCATCTATGTGGAAACAGATCGCTACCTCCCCTCCAAAATATCTGATATCAGCTCAGGTGCAAGTAAAGAGGAGGTTGAGGAAGTGTTCAGGGATTGGGCGAAGGCGCCACTTGAGGAGTTGAGGTTCTTGAAACGGATTGTGGAAGGGGAAGGGAAGGAGGGCGATGGGTTTGAGCTTGGTGATGGGGAGTTGATGAAGGGTGTTGTTGTGTGGGCTCCCTTCCATCTCCCAGTTTCTATATTCAACGCATACCACCAGGTTGCGGAAAAGGTTGCGGGGCCGAAGTTGTGGGAGAGGATTGTGGGGTTCAGGTATTTGTTGCAGGGGAAAGAGGAGGGCGAAGTGAAGAAGCTGGTTAGTAGTGAGGATTGGATCGAAAATATTGTCAGTCTGGGGAAGGGGAGAGGAGGGAAGGGGTGGGCGTTTGATATCGGTGTTGATATTCATCGTGATGGACCGGATCCATTGGGGGCTGTGGGTGAGATGATCCAGAGGGTGCGGGAGCGAGAGTCAACAGATAAGAATGGGACGCAACCCGTACGGTTTGTGTTGAGTGAGTCGATTGCTATTTCTTGTAGGCCATATTGAAGAACGACCGAAGGGCTGACATCATGTGCAGATCACCTTTGCAAACACGCCCTCACAACCGATTCCCCAACAGACCCCACAAAAGAATGGCTCGAGGCGCTCTCAAAACTCGGACCAGATCAGAACATCTTTATGAAGCTATCTGGTGCTTTTAATGAGTTCGAGAACGCTACACCATCATCTGCCTCTGACGTTGTCGAATCATTAAACTCGATCGTGTCTAAGGTTTTCGACGCATTTGGTAATAGAGTGATGTTTGGATCTGACTGGCCAGTGTGCAATGTTGGAGGGCCAGCAGGGGAGAAGGCGAATTGGGGTCTGTGGGTTGAGAGTGTGGAGTTGATGTTGAGGGAGGCAAAGATTGGGGAAGAGGACAGGGAGTCAGTCTGGGTGGGAGCAGGAAGTAGGGCGTATGACGTTCAATTGTGAGGATACGGCGTGCTGCTGATACAAGAAAATTCAACACGAGAACAGTCTTCAAGGCTGAAAGCTCCTTACAGATGTCGAGCCGTGTATCCATGAAAAATTTAAGATACATGCAAACTGGACGTTCTGGGATTTGCTGAACTTATGCTGGCATTGACATTCAACTTGTGTATTCGTTACTCTCCTTTATATGACGTCCACTACAAATATCATGCTCACTGCAGGTTTACGAACAGCCCTCCATCAACCAGCAGCTGAGCGCCAGTAACATAACTGCTCAAATCGCTACCCAAGAACACCGCCGGCCCAGCCAAATCATTCGGCACACCGGTCCTGCCTAGCGGTATCCTGCCCTCCATGTACTTCCTCTTCTCATCGTCCTCGAGATCTTTCTCGTTCAACTGTGTTTTGATTGTGCCTGGAAGGAGCGCATTGCACCTGATATTGTATTTGCCGAGTGCGCATGCAGACGACTGGATGAGAGACAGCACACCAGCCTTTGTGGGAGTGTAGTGGCCTTGCTGCGCGCCACCGACGAGCGCTGAGATGGACGAGATACCGATGATTGAACCGCCTGGTGGCGATTGTGTAGAGAGCTGTTTTGCGGCAGCTTGGATGGTGTTGAATGCACCCGTGAGGTTGGTGTTTACGGTCTTGCTCCAGAGCTCTGGTGAGATGCTATAAAAGTGGTAATCAGCACAAGATCTGAGGAGTATAAAATGACACCTGCTGAAAAGACGTACTCTAAGAACTCCTTGAACTCGCAGATACCCGCGTTGCTCACGAAGACATCAAGTCGGCCCCACTTCTCCACGACTGCAGACACAAGCTTCTTGCCGGTCTCTGGATCTCCAACATCGCCAGGAACCTCAATCAGCCTGTTTTCACCTTCTGATACCTCTTTTACGAGGGACTGGTATTGCGCAGAGGACTTCGGGTCGCCCAGGTGGTTGACAGCAACATTGGCGCCGTGTGAAAGGTAGCCAAGCACAATGGCACGTCCAATGCCAGTGACACCGCCAGTGATGGCCATAGATTTGCCCGCAAGAAGCTGCGCCATTTCGTCTAAAAGTCGCGATGTGTTTACAGAGCAGTGTTTTGTGGGGTAGCTTGTGAGAGGAAAGTGGGGTATGAGAAAGAGCTCAAGAGGGCGGTCGGAGCACTCAGCAGCAGTCAACCAAAAAGCAAGGGCAGAGGAGGAGTCTACAATCTAGAAGCGCCATGATAATATATGTTGCCTCAGTGCGGAGCAGATTTCGGTAGACGCGATTGTACGGACTAGAAGCGTGACCGTGTGGGGAGTAAATGCCGGGGCAACTGCGACCGAGGGCAGGTGCGACCGATGCCGATGCCAAGGCCTAGGGCGGGCTAGTCACCAATTCACGCAACAACGCGTCACAAACCATTTGCGCAATTTTGTCCGTCAACTCAATGTTTGGGAACTCAAATCGTCATGGTATACGATTGGGATGATAAAGAGGCGGAATGCTATCGACTTTATGTGGAAGAAAAGAAGAGTCTTGACGAGGTTATCTCATATTGGGATAACAGAGGCTTCACTCCAAGGTACTTATGGATCACCGTACAACGGCCACCCAGCTTTCTTCAAAGCTAACTGCGTCATCCAGTAAACGTGCTTTTCAGACACAATTCAAACGGTGGGACTTTCCCAGCAAGCAGAATCCTGCACATAAGAATCCTGCCCTTGTCGCCCGCCTACAGCAGCTATGGGAGCAGAATTACACCCAGAAGGACATGGTGGATACCCTCCAGAATGAGGGCTACCAAATTAACGACCGAGAACTGATCAGACTACGATTGAGGCTCAAACTGTTGCTCAGAGAGAGCGTGCCTAGACCGAGGAGGAAGCAGAATGCAGAGGGTAGCGTACAACAGAAGCCTAAGAAGAGGAAACCAAAGGCCTTGCCTGGCAAAGGCTTGATCAACCAGCTCGGAAACGCCATCCTGGCTGAGAGTTCTGCGAGCGAAGAAAGCTTGGAGGAAGAAGCTGCAACTTATATAACAGTGAGCGACGAACCTGCGGAAGATGTGCGACCCACCCAGCCCGAGCTCGAACCTTCCCTACTCGACGCCGAGGAGACACTACGAAGACAGCTCCGACAGGAGCATCTACAGCGAGAAAGCGATGAGAAGTGGCGGACGCGTAAACGGCGACGGCGAACACGAGGCTGGGCAGGTCTGCCAGCAGATACTCCTGGCGAGCCACCACGATTTCCCTCCGAAACCACGATCGACGAAGCAAAGGCATATCTCGGATTAGATAACAGCATGTATCGCAGGCTTCGTGAGCGATTCCAGGAGATCTGCGAAGCTGAAGGCGTGGTGAAGAAGACAGTAGCTGGCCCGGAGAAATGGGCAGAGTTAGTGCAGCGGCTTATACAGGAGGATGCGCATCTCGTCTCTGTATTCCAGCAAGAGCCTGAGGTGCTGCAGAACAATGACGCGCTATTTCGACCAAAAGGGCAGAGAGCGCTGTCGATCGACGTTATATGCATGGACGTCACAAAGCGACTGCGCACGATGGAAACCAGAATGACCCTCGCCGATGCGAAGAATGCCCTTGGCCTCAACCCGGAACAAACACGTCATGTCAGAGCCGCCTACGTTGCGAGGCTGAAGGCCGCCCATTTCACAAGCAAGCATGAGGCTGGAGAAGAGCAGTGGGCACAGCTCAAGACAGCTTGGGTCAATGAATCTGAGCACCTAACGAGAGCTCTTGCACAAGGCGAGGCCGATCCTGGATATGCGCGAAAGCTGCGGGCTGTTGAAGTACTGGCTAGAGATGTCATGAAGCGGCAGCAACAAGAGAAGTTGGCTAAAGACCCATTGAAGAAGAAGCAAATCCATCAAGGTCCTGGACCTGGACCAGCTCCGCCTGTCGTCGCACCTCAGTCGGAACGCCGCCGACAAAGCGCTGGGTTAGAGTACAGTACTTCGACGCAAACAAGCCATGCAAGTCTTCCAGCATTGTCTCCTTCGAGTGATTTGCAGATCGACCCTTCGTTGTTACTAGCTGCGAGCGATGCAGCCATACTTCCTGGTCTGGCATACCGTCAGCCTGAGCATCACTATCAATCACACCACGAACATACCCAGAACATACAGCCACAAATCTCAACTTCTCACCATGCACCGCACCATCACTACAGCCAGAATTACTACCCGGCAGCCACATCTCAGCACTCTCAGCCCATGCCTATCTATTTCCGTCTGCACCACTTATCTACTACACCTTTTCCCTCCAAGACCGTTTGGTTGTCTATACTGCATACGCACTCAGTCAATGAGATTAGCAATCTGGTCATGCGTGAGCACCCAGGGGCCGTGGTGCTGAAAGTGGAAGGCCTGGTTGTGTACAGACAAGACCAGGGTGAGCGTGAAGTTGTGGTCGAAGTCAGCGACGACGAAGAGCTCGCTGCGTATTTGGGTCATGTCAAGGGTACGGGGCAGGGGAAAGCGACCTTCGTAGTCTTGCTGGGAATGGGAAGCGGCGGGTATGCTTAGTGCTTGCCTTGTCAACTCAGAAAGCAGGGACGAGAAACCTGTATCGGTGACAATGGCGACCCCCTTGACTGTGGAAACCCCGACCCTCTACCAGGATATAGGTTCAAAGAACCAGATTGTGCGTGTGGAAAGTCTGGGTATTCGCCGGCTTACTATAGTCTAACAAATCCAGGGTCTCTCTCAACCTGGGTAACGAGACCTAGGCAATTTCTGCCAATTGCACCTGCTGCCCCGCACGTGAAATCTGGTGTGCCTGCCAATGCTGAGGGGTCCAATCGTCCATGAAGTCAATATAAGAAACGTGGTAAGTCCGACTGCCCAACAGCGCCTCTGCCTACCTGCGTTCCCAACTTCAGAAGTGACAACTACTTTCTTCGTTGTCATCATCATAATAATACGGCCAACACTACCTTATCAATACATCAGTCAACTCATCTTTACACAGCGACAAGTCTGCAAAACGACTTTGCAAGCCAACGCCGCAGTCCTGAAAATGAAGCGCCGGGCGTCGGAACACGATGACTGGGAACGGTCCCGAAGGCCTCTAAGACCTACACGAACAAGGTACGACAAAAATCGCCTCCTTCACGAACTGCAGCACCTCTGTCCGGAAGCGCTGGCCTATTTCCCCAACGCGTCGTCCTTCCATTTTTTACGGGCGGACGGCAGCGACGGCTCTGACTTTCGGACCCTCGAAATTGGCCGTGTCTGGTCCAGGAACGCCGACAAAGGGATATACGAGATGGGTCCAGAAGCTCTACTGGTCATAGACAAAGGCGCCTATCACAGCGACCCGCCTGAACTTGTTCCTTATACTGGTCGGGGTGAGAGTCAACGGCACATCGTCAACGCCGATGGTTTCACAGGCAGTGGTGTTTTCGCAGAGTTCCGCGAGTGTCACGGAAATCCATTCGTTAATCCAAGACTCGACGATCCGGTCATCAGCAGCCTCATCCAGTTCATATTCATCATCCGTGATATGAGGCGCTATTACTACTATAACCAGGCTGATGACGTGCCAAGCTCAGTTCACCTTGCTACCCTTACTCAAGCTCTACACGTGGCCACGATAAGGGCGAGGCTCGCTATGCGCGGACCAGTGCCACAACCGAGAGGCGGAGAGGCGCAAGGGATGCAACAGTTACAAGTAACAATAGAGCCATTGCTGAGAACCAAGCGAGTTGTTTTGGTCCCTGCCAGCAGGGTTGCTTCCAACAGGACCATCACCAACGGAGATACAGCCAATGTAGTCACCACGAACGGAGTCACAGCCAACGGGTTCACCACCAACGGTGCCATGACCATCGGAGCTAGAGCCAACTCTGAAGCTTCGAGTCATGCTACGGACGATCGAAGTTACAGTTAGGAGAGTAACCGTGAGACTTCGCGCACAACAAGGTCCCAAACCCCAGGCTGGGTACGGCGAGGACGAGGAGCACACCGGGATAGATTTGATATTCACGACTGGGGCAACTGAAACGGGTGTCAGGAGGGGATCGGAGCAATGAGCACAGGGATGAGTGTGAGGATACACAGGAGAAGATGGTATAAGGGTAAGCAGACCCGATAGACGAAAATCACTTACTGATCATTGTTGTAGTTTTCTTTGCCATCGTCGGCTATTGATATGAACGGCTATCTCGCGTGTTTGAAACTTATGCAGCTTTGACAAGTTGCACTGTGCACCTTCTGGGTTCGTTTATGAAACTTTTGGCTATGTGCCTTCCTTTTGCTTCTACCCTCTGTCAGACTTTGGTGAGGGAAATGCCATTGAGTGACGTGGCATCGACGCCTTCGCTTTGACTTTTGTCCGTCCATGGTTGTGTCCCCGTCAGTGCAACTCAAACCTCTCTTACTGTCGGATCGATTATTTAATATCTCACCCTCACTTAGAGTCATGTCTACGCCCGTTCAGCTCTCTCGAGATGACACCATCGTCTGCCAAGCATTGAGCAGTGTTTAGGTACGACTTTCCTACGAGGTGTCCCCATTCACTATGCTTGTACCATCTATAGCTCAGCTCTCCGCCAACATCATCCTCATTTGGTGACACAACAGAAAGAGCCCAAGATCTGGCAGCCACATATGAGATGGCATTCGAAGCCTGTTTCACAGTGGGGCTTAGCGATGTTGCATTACGTGCATCGAAAGAAGCACTGGAATGGTAGAAATCATGCGTCTCACCCCTACCAAGCTGTTTCCCCCAAGATAGTGGTAGCATGCCTAGACTTCCGTAGCCATCACAGTGCATCAACCACAATATTATATCATTCTATCGAAGAGTGCAAAGCTGAGGTGACTGAACTCATGCATTCTTTCTCCACAGGTTCACCCCTTCCCTCGACTTCAGTGATCTTCCACAGACTACTCTCTCTCATCTGTACTGAAAGGAAAGAACCAAGACGGTGTTGAGTCGCCGCCTTCTCCTCGACTGTGTGGCTCGCCTGCGACTTCCTCGCGGTCCACGCACCTTCCACCTACCTCACTATTACAAGATCGAAATTTTGCAAAACGTTTGATCCAACGCCCAGCACACATCTCACACCTTGTGTCTTGTCACGACAGGACACTGTGCAGTAAGAAACTTACGACGACTTCTCTGCGCCCAAACTGAGCACGTTGCAGTCTCGACTATGCGCCCTTACTCTACGATGTCCGTATTCTATACGACAGACGAGCTACTTGATGTGATGCGCCCTTGATGCGGAGACGTACTCGAGCTATTCCTGAACGAAAAACTGGGAGCACATCGCAGTCGAAATACACGATAGCATCCCGCGAATCTACCTTGGTGTGCTCTACCAAGGCACCTTCTAGGCAAGCTCCGGCCGTGAATTCATCTCAAAGTCCACAAAAACGCCAAGAGAAAAGCCGACCACGCTCCAGTTTCACAGCAGTGGAGTCTTCGAATACCTTGTCAACAAGGTGGATGTGGAAAGAGCCAGGCTTCGATCACGCATCAAGTTCATCTTCCTTCCTCGCGGACATGTGGACGAGTTCGAGGAGAGGCGCTACTGGGTCGATGTCAAGAAACTTGTCATAGCGCTCAGGATCATCAAGAAGGATAACGGCAAGGTGGTGTGGTCGACACTCGAACCGAGGAGAACCGTCGCAGAGAGGAGCGAGATAAACGAAGAGGTTTCCGACACCTAGAACATGGAAGAAGTACGCAGAAAGAGAGATCTAGAGATCGAGGACGACGAAGGAGACTCGGCTACAACTTACGACGAGAAAATCTTCTTCATCTCCAAGTACCTTTTCAACATTGCCAAAACCGGCACCGAACATAATATGGGACAAGGTCTGAGAGCGATATTTGAAGTTATGAAGGCTGAAGTCGCTGAGGCCGCGAAAACTCAAGCTGAAACCGTCAAAGCTCTGGCTGCAGAGAACAGAGCTTTGCACGAAGGGATGAAGAGGCGTCGCCTCTGAACCTTATTCTAGGTCTCAGTCCCCTTATCCTACGCAAGCACTTTTGAGCTTCGTTTCCATTGCGGGTCTCTCGTCACTACTGCAATACAAACATGGCTTTGGCAATTATTTGCCTGACTGTCATGAGCAAGAACATAACTGAAAAATACAAAAGGAATGGTAGGATCAGCACTGTGGCTTCCTATGGAGACGTTACGCTATGGCTATGACAGTGCTCTACAAGCGGAAAACTAACGTCGGTGCGTGTGTTTGATCAAGGAACTTCGAGAGTCTGACAAAGAAATGCATCATTCGTGAGCATGTACGCACTGAGTGATCTGTGAAACTCAGTAGGGCAGTATGCGGATATCATGCACCAAACGCCTTATCCACTTCCAGTTACCTAGAAGTGTTCCTTCCAGAACTTGAAATTAACCTCCTGACACGTCGCCTCCTTACACGCCTTCTTAATATCCCTCGCCGCCACATTCGGCCCACAAAAGTACACACCCACATCCGTCCTCAGCGTACTCTCCAACCCATTCATATACGTGCGATCCAACAACCCATCGCGCATACCACACAGCAAGCGAGGAAAATCCGGACGGCCGAAGTTCGTCCTGCTCTTGAGCTCAGTGAGCGGATCTTTGTCGGTACCGACAGAGTTAAGTACGATATTCTGCGCGGTGTTCGCGTCCATTTTCTGCGTCAGATAGGTGTGGATGCGCAGGAACTGATCGCCGTCACTTGCGCCCAGGGACTGCGCTTCAAGAGACGAAAGAAGATTCTGAAACCATTCGAACGACGAAGTGTCTTTGCAGACCCAGATGAACTCCACACGGCGCAGGCGCTTGGGCGGGTTTGGAGACAGCCGCAGGTGGTAGATGGATTTGAGGATCGAAGCCCACGGTGTCACGCCGATACCTGTGCCGATCAGGACGGCGACTTCGTTCTCGAAGACGTCTTCGGCGGGGGCGCCGTAGGGACCGTCGATGCGTAGGGCGGGCATCTTTTGGCCGTGCTGTAGCGCAATTTCGTACATACCCATGGGGTCGAGCTCGTCGTAAAGCTTGCTCTGGGACTGTCCGGCGCCTAGGGCATCGGCGAGAGCGCGGGTGAAGTCGCCCACCTGGCGGACATGGACGGAGACGTAGGGGTCGTGAGGGCAAGAAGTGATGGTGAAGGGGTGCCACTGGTGGTAGCTGACTTCGGGGCAATTGAGGAACAGCCATTGACCAGGCTTGTACTTCATACTAGGCTTGGTGAACTGAATCTCAACAGCATCGTAGGGGTGGCGAACGACTTTGACGATCTCAGTCTGCCGTCTGCAGCGGATCTCGCGGTATAGACGGTCAAAAAGATACAGCCCGCCTCCGACGAGCTCCCATCGCCAGCCCTCGTAACCGATACAGTGAGTCCAGAAGTTGTCCTTGTCGAATGGAGAGTAGGCAGGGACTGTGTCTCGGACGAAACAACTTGTTGCGTGTGTGTACATGCCGAGTAAGAATGGGATGAAAAGGTGGTGGGTGTACCAGAAAGTCTCAAACGACTGCTGTCGAATTCTGTGGTGGGCGGTGGTGTAAATCAAAAGCATGCAGAGGAGCATGAAGTGTCCAGTTATTCCACCTGCCTCGGTGTAGTGGATCTGGAGCGCGATCTGAGGTCGCACTTGTACTCGTTCGACGTTGAAGAAGCTGCGCGTCTGTTAGTCCTTGACTAGCGAAGATTGCTGATAAACCTACTTGACGTAATGCGCTGCTGTGTGCAGGACAGTGAAAAACAGCATAGCGTAAGCGACTTGTCGATGGAACCATTGCGACTCATCGAGCGGTAGCCATCTAGCCTTGGGTCGAAGCCAACGAAGAATGTTCCGGCACATAGGCATGACGATGACCATTGTGTCGACACTCAGAACCAGACCAGCACCTCGAGAGATCCATACCGAATACTGAAGACCGTTCAGCGGTGCTAAACGAGCGTCCCCAGCTTGTTTCCACCTTAATATGCGTTAGTCTTCCGGGCATTGCTCGTAGAAACTGCAGGCTTACCATCCTATCGCAAATAATGCCCAGTGGAACCCCCAAAAGAAGAAGTGAAAAGCAAATTTCTTCGGCATGAAGAGGCGCAAAAATGAGCTTCCACCCGGTGCGGCTCCCATGTTGATGGCTATGCTAATGTGTGTTGATGATCGTAGCTTCCTCTACCAATATTCCCCAAAGAAGTCGTAACCGTAACGCTTGGGTATTAGACAGCAATTAAAGAACGTAAGCGAACAGAACCTCAACTGAAGGGACGTAATCCAGTCAAAGTTCAACCCGGCCAGCCAGATACGAAGTGAAGAAAAGAATGTCTGCGTCCAGATCCGGGCGCTTGTGGAGGAATCGAAGGAACAAAGGTGGATAAACTCCAAGGCTGCAGGGCACCTAGAATATGTAAACGCAGCCCCGACCTTGGCCTGTGCTGTGAACGTAGATCAGGATCTGAGAGAAGCCGTTAGATCCTGGTGGAGCGACACGCTGCGCTGAAACTGACGGGCTCAAACTGCTAGCCCCAGTTGTAATATGTATAGCAGACGAGTTAAGGCAGATGACAGTTCGCCTAAAGCAAGAATGGTAAGGTCGTCTCCAAGATAATGGGACCTTCAAGCCTCACGGGGCCTTATGGGCGGTTATGAATTGGCGTGGGTGGTGGAGGGGTTGCCGCTATGCGTTGAACGCCAACTGTAAGAGATGTGTCTCAAACCTGAAGCGCCAGGCACAGAACCATTCTTCCTTGTAGCTTAAGCGGGTTCTTGGAGCCTTAAGAGTGCTAAAAAGGTTTAGGCTATGCGCCTTGTATCGGCGAGGCAGCAGGTGTCTCGTAGAAGTAGATCTACTATGCGTTGGATTTCGTGATGTGTGGCGGGAGACTTCTTCCGGATACAAATGTGCCTGATGGAGGCAATTCGATCTGAGATTCCAAATGTGAGTTGGGTTTTGTGCCTGAGCTGTTACAGTGCTAGTTTGACAGCTGTCACTCGATTCTCTGGGGAATTGCTGCTGTGATCGTGTCCTGCGTTGGTTTCCTGATGATGCAGGCGTTGCGCTGAGACGATCTAAGTTTGAGGCGGCACAATGTGGAGAAGCGAGGTTGGGCGCCGGGGTACACGGAAATGCTGCCTGGGTAATGCGGCGTGGTGTCTTCCAGATTTGTGGTTGCAGGTAGAAGTCCGAATTTGTGTGATCAACAGTCTTGCGAAGAGTTGGTGAAGGGTTGTGTGCAGCAAGAAGCGGGCCGTCCTCTAGCCATAACCCCCTGCAAAGAAGCGCTGCACCGAATGCGCATGGGCACAAAAGAATTGCTGGTGCGAGAATGTCATGACCTGCTTTACTGGACGCGCCGAGGCGTGAAGACGAGCACAGAGTTCAATGCACTTGAAGCCACTCGGTGATGTGGTTGGTAGCACACGGCCAGCGAGTCGGCCTCGGCGCCACTTCCCAGCGCGTAGAGCCCCAATCAGATTGGCTCACACCTTCTCCACACGATTTAAGCTGTTCTGGCTGCAGGCATACGAATGATGAGACACTATTTCTGGATAACTTTGCTGATGGCTTTCGCAAGTCTTAGCATGATGAATTGCCGGCCTCGTGGATGGCCTGCTGTTAGGATTTGTACGGGTAGCCTGCCTTAGGGCTGTGATGAGGCTGCAGTCACAATTGAAGCCGAGAAACAATTCTTGGTCTCCAGATAAGCACGGCAAGAATGGCCATGCTGAGTGATAGTGGAGGGCCAGACTTGAGTCGAACAAAGAGAGCTGGGTCTCGACAACGTTGCTGATCAAGGTACATCGGTATATGCTCGATTTGGAAGAACGAGATGCTTTTTGCTGGGCACACAGGAGCTTCCAGCCATCTGTGACCATCAAACCTTCCCTGACCATCCGTACCTTCATCGATCCCCACATCTACACCAGCCGAACTGACACTAAACACTTATCGTACGACGTTGTTTGTCTCGACAGCTGTCAAGCTTTTAGCAGAACGGCATTGACATCATTTCGACATCTGAGGTAAACTTTGTCGTATGATGTTGTTTGAAAAGCACATTCGATTCCTGAGGCTTCCCATGATCTTCCATGCAGCCCGCGTGCTACGGAGCCGGTAGCAGACCTGAGTCCTGAGGCGCAAAGAGAGATCGGAGACTAAGACATCCGTGAGGCATCCATGCAACACACCACATCGAACTCAAGCTTCAAGTGCCGAATTGGAAAAGAGCGGTACGAGAAATCGTTCACGAGATTGCGCAGTGACGACTCGAGCAATCGCATGTCCCTTGCTTCGCAACCCACATGCAAGTGAAATGCATCGAGTCCAAGGCATTGTCTACGCGACGCCACTCCAGCTAAGCAGGCCCAAACCCGTGCTCATAGGCCACACCCCATCAACGGCGCCATCCGGGAAGCCTGCACATCTGTGCATCTCGCACAGCATGCACCCAATCACAGCGGCTCACACACCTGCACGCGTCGCGGGGCCCAGCAAAAGCGGAGCGTAGCGTCGCTCGCCCAGCCCTCAGCGGCTACACGAAGTGTACATGGCCAGCACAGGCCCTCACAGCGCATAAACCGCATCTACAATTGCGGCAGCTTCCCGCTGTCTTTTAGCTCGTACTGACACACTGCCTGTATCGAAGAACCATACCTCACCCGCGCTGCCTGAACACCTAACAAGCCTGAGACATCCATCCGCCTCAGCCATCCATTCTGCAAGCCTTGTGCCTGGTTTTGCCGTGGCACCAATCCCCATCGCGTAACCGCCGAGCGTGCGCCCAAGCCTGAGAGTGTCGTTATATCAAAAGCCGTTGCCTCGTGAAGTGGGAAGGTTGTAAAGACTACTGGTGGTTCTTGGACAATAGGATTGGGATTTCTGGGTTTCTTTCGCTTTCATCGACGCCGCGGGTTCGGTTTACGACCATTTACTTTCGCTTAATCGTCTTGCCTTCTACACCATGGGCAAGTTAATCAAGAACCACTGGGCGCGTCTGGTCGTTCTGACAGCCGCTGCATGTAAGTCCATCTCATCTCTCACAACAAACCTCGCAGCCCCCTCCCCCCCCAATCTCTTATGTACTCTACATTTTGTACTTGTACTTGCACTTGCACCTGTACTAACACACCACAGACCAAATAGCCGCAGCCTTGGAATCCTTCTTCTGGCCAAAAATATTCTGGGACTTTCTCACCAAGAACCTCGATTCCGCCGTAAAGCCCTTCCCGATCCTGCAAATCCTAAACATCCTTCTCGGCCTCCTGGGGCTTTGCTGGGAATGGCCTTTACCACTACTCGCCGGCACAGGGCTGCACCGAAGCATTGAGGCACGACTTATTGTGTACCCGCTGAGTGCGCTGTGTGCGTTGCTTATTTATCAGGGCACGAATAGCGGGTTGTACTATATCATTGGAATGGGGGCGTATTTTTGGGCGTATAGTGAGGGCGAGGTATGTACACGTCAATAATGCTTTGGGTCGAAAGTGAATGAAGGCTGACCGTTGATAGGTTGTTTGCCCTGAGCCGTGGACACTACCCAAGCGAAGCTCAATGGTGCGGAAACTGGCAGCATAAGCCAGTGCGGCGAGCACATTACTTCTCTATTATCCTTAGCGTAACGACTTCACGTACGGCTGGTCCATGATGACTGCGTACACTCATCACGAAGCGCAACCAACATCTGCATCAGCATTGCATTTACTAGTTAGAACCGCGCAAGCAAATCACAATACCCAATACTAATGTCACGAATCACCGTCAACTCGAACCACTTTCATCTCGAACCACTTTCATCTCGAACCACTTTCATCTCGAACCACTTTCATCTCGAACCACTTTCATCTCGAACCACTTTCATCATGCAAGTGATCGTACGTGAACAGGACTACGTAAGGAACAAGACCTTCCAAGCCTTGTGGATGCCTCACCATAGCATGACGTTGAAGCCTGCGACTTCTTGTGCTTCAGCATGCTTGTCAGGCTCCACATCCACATCCACATACACATCCACGACACTTGACATGCATAATGACGTCCGGGGAACTCCTGGGCACTTTTGTAGTTACTCTATTTCGCACAGCATTCACCGTCGCCAGTCACCAAGTCTCAGTAAATTTCTTTGTATCAGTCAATTTCCACTACCCGGCCTTGTAGTATCTACTCCTTGGGCCCCTCAATCAGAATCTTGATCCCCTTACCCTGCTTAACGTCCGCGAACGCCTTCTCGGCCTCATCAAAGCTGACCTTCCCTGTGATGAGCTCCTTGATACTGATGCGCTCGCTCGCAACCAGGTCGACGGCGGTTTGGTAGTCGCCCGAGCCGTAGCGGAATGAGCCCTTGACGTTGAGCTCTTTGGTGCACATGGCCATGATGGGGAAGTTGATGTCGGGTTTGCCCATGCCACCCTGTCGTAGATGTTAGCTCTGTAATGTTGAGAGGGGAAGAGAAGGGTGGAGTTATACCTGTACGTATGTGCCGCCCATCCTGAGGGCGTGGATTGCAGTCTGAATGCAAGGCTCAGCACCCGAGGCGTCGATGATGACATCTGCACCAGGTCCCAACTCGCACTCCTTGATCAGGTTCTTCGCGTTCTCTTCTGCGCTAACGCGTGCGCTCTTGAAACTAGCATTCGCCGCATACTTGAGCGCGAAGTTTAATCTCTCGTCGTTGATGTCGACTGTGACGATCTTCTTCGCACCGTACGCCTTCGCAACAGCACAGCACAGCAAGCCAACCGGTCCAGCGCCGAACACAACGACCGAGTCTCCAGGCTTGATGGCCGCTTGCCTTGTGATGTGGACTGCGACAGCTGTGGGTTCGATGAGAGCGCCCTCCTCCAGGCTCATGTTTTCGGGGAGCTTGTAGCAGTAGTCCTCAGGCAGGGTGTAGTACCTCGCCAGGGTACCATCATAGGGCGGTGTGGCGGCGAAAGCCATGTCGGGGCATAGGTTGTATTTGCCCTCCTTGCAGCGAACGCAGCGGCGGCAGGGAACACCAGGTTCCATAGCGACGCGGTCGCCAACCTTCAGTGTCTTGACCTTGTCACCTACCTTCTCAATAATACCTGCGGACTCGTGGCCGAGGACCATGGGCTTCTCGACGACGAAGTGGCCGATGCGGCCTTCGACCCAGTAGTGGACATCTGAACCGCAGATACCTGTCCACTTAGGCTTCACGAGGACATCGTATGGTGAGGGAAGTTCGGGGATTGGGCGGTCTTCGTACACGACTTCATCTTTTTGCTTGAGGACGAACGAAGGATTCTGAAGGTTTGTTAGGCCTGCGCGACTGCTGTTGACACGTTCGGGGTTGTTGTTTGGGGTGGGTTCATCTGGCGCGTGGGGTGGTGGGGCATTGGAGCTCTACCTTTTGGGTGGTTGTCTGGGACATGACTGCGACTCTGAATACGTCTGACCGCGCTTTTGTGTTCCAATAAAAGATATGAGATACCGAAGAGGTTTTGAAGAAGAGAAAGGATGTATAGAGAAGTAATCTGTCAAGATGCTCACGCGCGACCAAAAAGTTGTGGATTTATGACGAAAAGAGGAGTGGAGCCGCAGCTGTATCTCGCGTTCAGCTGTCCCGCCGAGAGTTCCGCTAGTGCAATTGTGATTCTAGATGCATGTGATCACCCACATAATTTATCCGGCGTCTGAATGTCGGAGTCCGTTTTTGGTTCCTCGGCGATTCACCGAGAGCGCCACTGGTTTGATACGCCGCGGCTTCACGATGCTCCCAAGCCTAACGGAAAATAGGCCAATGAAATCGTTGAGCGGCGCCAGAGCTGGTGCTAAGCTTCAGCAGCCGGCAAATACGAGCTCGTACATGGTATCGTGATGTTCATCCAGGAATGTCGTCGCAGGCCTTCGGAGGTTCACCGCAGGCGGTGACGGAGTGGATCACTGAATCCTTCTGCCCCAGTGTGACCACCAGCAAGTCACGAGCGCTCTGTCTTCTTCTCTACCAGCTGCTCCTGATGCACCCCAGTCGTCGAAACCGTTCTCTTCCCCTTCTTCCAGGATGTAGAGTCCAATGCTTTCCATCCGTTCCCGAAACTCTTTCATTTCTTGCCGATTGAATTCTCTGTACGGAAACTCGGTAATGACTTGGGCGTTGGCATCCTCAGACAGCCATGCCGCGATAGTGTCGACTAACATGCGTGGAAGTTCTGGGGAGTATAGCGTGTCGGCTGCGAGTATGATAGGGAACTTTGATGTGGCAGCATCAAGTGTCTCGGTGACTACGCCATCCGCGAACAATTCACACGAGGCAGGCTGCATCCAGTCTAATGTCCCAGTACGTGCCGACCCGCCGTTCTGCTCGATGAGCGTAGAGTTATCTTTTGCATTGCGCGCAAGATTGTCTTGTATATTAGGCAGGTCCGTGAGAATGACAGCTGCGCCCAGAGCAGCCATGGCCAGTCCTACCAGTCCAGTGCCTGATCCCAATTCCAAAATGGGTGGCCTTGACCCTGAGTCTGAATCGACTATATCAAATTTGTGTAGACGTTTGGAGAGCATGTAGGAGGCGGCCCATGTCTTCAAGCCCAGGTCGTCGCCGGTTAGGGCAGGTTCGTGAATGGTCAAGGTGAACCAGCTCGAGGTCAAGGGTATTCGGAACTCGCGGGACAACGAGCCCATGGCCGTGCGACCCGAACGCTCGCTCATTCGAAGGCTGGCCTGATTCCAGATTTCTTCCTTGACTTCCTCATCTTGTATCCATTTCAGAGGGTTGCTCACAATGCTTGTGAGATATCGTGTAACGCCTTCTGGATTGACTTGTACTGTTCTCCGCTTGGTCTTTCGAGACTCCTGCTCACTTCTCCCATCCTTAGTATTTGTCTCTTCATCAAAGTCCCATGACTGCGGCGCGAGCGTGAGAAGTCCGAGCGTATCAAGGAGTGTCTCGGCGGAAGGTCGGGTGTAAAGCTGGGGTAGATCAAGCACTATTGACACTCGTCAGTTTTTGTTTTATTTGCAGGTATGCGCAGCCTACCGTCCAATGTCTCCATGCTTGGAGAGCCTCGTGCGAATGTTCGACGCTGCAGACGAACACTCACAAGAAGTTCAAAGTCCGTGCGTCGGCGGGGCTAGACTTGTATACACAGGCGTGGGATCAGTACCAGGACTCGCAACATCGAGTGACCATGATTGAACTCGGATCAGTCCTTCTTCAGTGTAGCCTTGAAACCGTAATAGGCCTGGTCCATGTCAAATTGGAACTGCCGCGCCTGCTCGTCATCCAGCTTCTCAGAAGCTCGCATTTGGTTCAACGTGATGAGCCACTGAACAATCTTGCCCTTGTTCTCGAACTCCTTGTCAGTGACTTGGTTGACCGACTGGATGATCTCGACCAGTAGAGGATGCAGTGTATCCTTCTCTACTAGCCCAATCTTGATAGCGTCGAGCAAGGTGATGAAGGTTTCAGTCGCGTTGACAACAAGGGTTGCGTCGGCAAAGTCGCCTTGTTGGGCTGTCGTACGTGATGGGCCCTGTTCGACGGTGATGGGGACGCCTACGCGCAGTCGTTCAGTCGCTCGTGGACAGTCAAGCTGGGTACCACGTTAGCCTGCGCATGACGTTGCACCTAGATGAGGCCGTAGAGACGGTTGACATACATCCCACTCTCTCTTGAACTGATCCAGATCGCCGAATGCTTTTGCAATAGTCTCGTCTGCAAGATTGGACTTGTACTGCTTCAGAAGCCTACTACACGTCTCAGTGTAGTCACCCTCGTTGATCGAGTCCTTCAGAAATGCTTTCTCGAGGCCATCGAGCGTAATGATGATGCTATAGATTTCTGCCAGCGAGTCGTTGAGGTCGCGCTCAGCACTGGTTGTAGACAGTTTGGCTTCCTCGTCGAGGTTGATGGTCGCATTGAGGGCAGAGCGCGGAATGTAGGGCGTCGGCGCGTATGCCAGCTGCCGGGTGCTGTACATGTTTGTCTAGCAACAATGTCGTGCGACAAAGTCGAAATTCAGCAAGTGGTGGCGGCTATGTCTACAGTGGCACTCTTGATGATGGCGCAAGCTTTGGCTGTGGTCTTGCGTCAGTTCGGCAGTGCCTGTCCAAGCATTGCGTGGGGAAGGAGCTACTGCGAGCTTGGACCCTGTCTGAAAAAAAGGCGCTAAACCGTAGGTGGGCCCGCCAAAAAAGTTCAAGACTTCTGAACAACCTCGCCGGTCGAACTCCAACAGAACGTCAAATCTGCGCAGAGCGCATACTGTTGTCACCATGCCCGTCTCCAAGTCCACGAAAAAGTTCGAAAAGAACAAGCTCGGCGATGTTCTCAAGGCACGCAAAAATGTCGCCAAGATCAAGCAGAGGAAGCAGATGGACGCGAAGAAGAAGCAGCGCAAAGCAGCCGACAATGCAAAGGCCGAGGATCTTGAAGAAGAGGGCGCGAAGAAGCCTAAGAAGTCTGCCAAGGAAGACAACTTCGGAGACATGTCCATGGACCAGTTCTTCGAAGGCGGCTTCGATATCCCCAAGATGAAGAAGACAAAACCGAAGACCGGAAAGCGCAAGCGAACACCTGTTGAGGAGGACGGCTCCGAGGGCTCATCAGACGAGGAAATGGCCGATGCGACAGCGAACGGCGAAGACTCTGCTTCAGACAGCGAATCGGGCGACGATGCTGAGACACACAAGCGCGACATCGAGGCGCTGAAGGAGAAGGACCCCGAGTTCTACAACTACCTGAAGAGCAACGATGCAGAGCTGCTGGACTTCGCCGAAGACGCCGATCTGGCCGAGATCGACGCGCTCAGCGCCAGTGAGGACGAGACCACACCAAGGAAGAAGCAGAAGAAGGCTGCGAAGGACGACTCCGATTCGGACGACGAGAGTGAGGCTGCGACCGGCAATGAGGTTACGAAACAGCTCATCCAGAAGTGGAAGTCGGCCATGGATACAAAGTCGTCGTTGAGAGCCATGAAGGAGGTTGTACTGGCCTTCCGTTCCGCAGCACATCTGAACGATGACGAAGGGAAAGCGTACAAGTACTCGATTTCAGATCCCGATGGTGCGTACTCCTACGATACGTATCAAGCCACAATACTAACATGTTACAGTCTACCACCAGGTCCTGGTATCTGCTCTCACATTCGTCCCCAAGGTCCTGCAACACCACCTGCCAGCCAAGGAGAGCGCAGGAGGAAAGATCCGCGTCCCAACAGACTCGAAGAAGTTCCGCACATTGACGCCCTTGCTAAAGTCGCATACGGTCTCGATTCAGCATCTCCTCGAGAACCTGTCAGACGCCTCGACTCTGCGCATGACCCTCGATTCGCTGTTGAACCTGCTGCCATACATCCTCTCTTTCAAGAAGGTCGTTCGCGAGATCGTCAAAACTGTGGCAGATGTTTGGTCTGACTCGTCTAACAACGAAGTCACTCGACTTGCAGCCTTCCTGGTGTTGCGACGCCTGATGGTCATTTCTGACCCCAGCCTTCGCGAAGCAGTCCTGAAGCAGGTCTACCAAGGCCTTGTCAAGGGTGCGCGGAACACCACAATCCACAACATCCAAGGCATCAACTTGATGAAGAACACTGCCTCCGAACTCTGGGGTCTTGATCCCACTGTAGGCTACACTACAGGTTTCGGCTTCATCCGCCAGCTGGCCGTTCACCTGCGTTCCAGCATTACCAACAAGACGAAAGACTCGTACAAAACAGTCTACAACTGGCAATACGTACACTCTCTCGACTTCTGGTCGCGCGTGATCGCCGCCCACTGCGAATCCCTACGCGAGGCCGAGTCTGGCAAGCCTTCTCCCCTTCGACCGTTGATCTACCCCGTCGTACAAGTCACTCTTGGAGCCATGCGCCTCATCCCCACAGCGCAATACTTCCCCCTCCGTTTCCAACTCATCCGCTCCCTCCTCCGCATCTCCTCCGCAACATCGACATACATCCCGCTCGCGCCCGCGCTCGTCGAAGTCCTGCAATCCGCCGAGATGAAGAAACCGCCCAAACCGTCCACCCTCAAGACGCTCGAATTCAGCACGCAGATCCGCGCTACAAAAGCGTATCTGCGCACGCGCATCTACCAGGACGGCGTGGGCGAGCAGGTCGCCGAGCTGTTGTCAGAGTTCTTCCTGCTCTGGACCAAGAACATCGCATTCCCCGAACTCGCCCTCCCAGTCATTGTGATGCTCAAGCGCTGGGTCAAGGCTATGACGAAGAAAAGCTCCGGCAACCGAAACGCAAAGATCAACTCGCTCTTCGCGCTGCTCATACAGAAGCTCGAGGCCAACACAAAGTGGATCGAGGAGAAGCGTACAAAGATCGACTTCGCGCCCAATGACCGCGCCGGCGTCGATAACTTCTTGAAGGGCCTTGAGTGGGAGAAGACGCCGCTTGGTGCGTATGTGGCCGGCCAGAGGAAGGTTAGGGAGCAGAAGCAGAAACAGTTCGAGGATGCGCGCAAGATGGAGGAGAAGAAGAGGAAACAGTATGAGAAGGAGGATGAGGATGCTAAGGCGGATGTTTTTGAGGAGGAGAGTGGGGAGATGGAGGAAGATGAGGATCTGGAAGATGATGTCGATGATATCGAGGAAAAGGACAGTGACGATGAGTAGATGGGTGATCGAGATTCGTGATTGTTGGTTGAATACTGTAGGACCTATATCATGGCGCGGTAGTATCACGCCCGAAATGGAGAGATGTCGCAAGTTGAATGAAGATCTGTTGTGCGCCTAAGCGCAACGCGCAAATAATGAGCGATGTTGTGCCCACGTCGACTATCTATGGTGTCCGACCAACAGGTTCATCTACATGAAGCGGCCGTACGAGGTAAATGTACCCGGTTGCTAAGCGTACCTGCATCGATCTTGCCATGCTCAACTTCGAAACCATCTCAACGAGGCAATTCATGTGCAGCATCACGCCCAGACTCTGATCCTCGGAGCAACTTCTCATACAGACACAGGTCCCCGAGACATGCATATGTAAGGTCGCGTACCTCTTAGCTTAATTTCTTGTTGTCGACCCCACAGTCTGGATGGTGTTGGAGGCTTACCTTGGTCTGCAGGTACGAGGCCCCGGGCCGAGGAAGAGACTCATTCTGAGGTAGCCCAAAAGGCTGATGCTGATGTTTCAAGGCCCAATGTTTAACACTGAAACACGCAGTCTAGATTCCGACCTTCTGCTTTTTTTTTGTGGCAATCTGTGCAATTGAAGCTGTGACGTGGTTCGGTTGTTGACTTGAGGCATGGAATCGAGCATTGGGTTGGAGCGTGTTGATTGCCGACGCTTCGTTTCCATTGCAGCACTTGATGTGTTAGACTCCAGATTTAGTACTCGTTCCAATGTTGTTGTTTGTACGCTGAGTTGGCCGCTGGATCCTTCTGGGGTTGATTGTGGGTAGTGCTTGCCCTGCAGCCCCGGGCCGAAGTGGATGTGCTGATGCTTCCATAACAGAGTATACTATCATAAGACATCCTGTTTCAAGATGTCAGTCGCTTAAGTCGGCAGTTTTCTTACCCGATGACAGTCCCTAGATCACCGATATGCGGGTAGATGAGGGTATCGTGATGTGCTGGAGTTGTGGGTAACGGATGAGGCTGTGTCCAAACGTAGTGCTTTAGGCATCCCAAATCCAATACAAATCGCAGCAAATGTGCCTAATCGGGGAGTATTTGCTGAGCCTCCACGAGCGCAAAAATCACTTCGAGTACGCAAAATGGTCAAGAAGAGTATGCTGTTGCTGGGTATGCATGCATTCGATAGATGCATGATGGAGGTATTGCCATTCAAGGATGGTAAATGTACTAGGTCGAGAGTATTCGGTTGCTTTCCTGATCAGGTGAGGCAGGTTCACAAGTCGCTCTGCCGGGCGCGCGTAGAGTTTTCATGTGAGGTTCGGTCGTAGAGGTGCCATGGTTTGTCACATTCGTGTCGATGCAAGAACGCAGCACCTACCCAGCCTCCTACATCTGCTGCCGCGATGATCAACAGACGCCTGAAAGTTCAACAGAGACTGGAATGCCATGATGCGCAGCTCAAGTCATGCAACGCAGGTCCAGACATTACAGCCCTGCACAACGTGCGTGACAGGTAGCACGACGGCCGCAGAGCCTCAACTCTCAAGGTTGGATGCGCGCCTGATTTGTCGCGCGTGCATGATGTATTCTCATTCAGTTCCGATGGCCTAGAGGATCCTAGAAGGTCGGTGAGCTTGCGCTATTGTCGCACCTTTCAGGAACCGCGCGCAGATGAGATGGGATTGGTGGTGGTGGGTGCGCATGAAGTTGGGGGCTATGGTGCAAGGCCTCGTTCGGGGACTAATGCGGGGATGGGTCAGGAATAGAAACGCGAGGCTGTTGTTAGGAGCGCGGCTCATGTTGTGGTCTGCAGAGATGGAAGATATTCCATAGAAAATATTGAGATGGAAAGTTATTGTAATGTTCGCGATATGAGCGTTCAGGGTTTGTGGTGCCTTGCTTGACCTTGCATGCTCAAAGACGACAGCGTCTTGACTCGATATCATCACAAACCAACACAGATAGCTACCCGTACCTGCCGAGAACGCTGACAGCATGCTCAATCTGAATCCCATGTATACAGGGGTACGAACTGTGGACACCAGATTTAGCCAATCGAGGCTGACGTCCAAAGTCTACACTTTTCGCTGATTGGTTTGAACATCTTGCACAGCACAAAGCTTAGCCTACCTGCAGTTCTCCCGCATGCGGCTCACCACGAAACAGGACAAAAGGTGAAAATGTAGAGCGACGGGGATCAACATGCTTGACCAGCATACTCCCGGTGTGGGCACCTCCCGTTCTAAGCAAGGCTACACGGGAATCAACGTTGGGCGAGACTATGATGTCTGAGACATGCGGGTGTGGAGCTCTAGTGCATTTGCTGTGCTGTGCTCTGGTGCTAAGTAACGAACCATGAGTTTGGCGTAGATCGACATTGATACATAAGGTAGCGCCTCTCCGTTCTGAAGATCAGACAAAAAAGTACGGAAAAGTCAGACTCAAACAAGCGGATCTTCGACATCCACACTCCGATCACAATGACAACAATGTCTTTTACAGCTCAGACACCCCAGTGGCAACCATCGCCTACCAAGTTCGACACTCAAACCTCGACTCCAGTCATGCGATCGCCTACTTCAGCACCCACATCTTCATCGAAAGTAGACCGAGAGCGACGACCTAAGCTTCGAGCTTCATGCGACGCCTGTGCTGCTTCGAAGGTCAAGTGCAGCAAGGACCACCCAATCTGCCAACGATGCTCTGCCAACGGCTTGCAATGCATCTATGGCATATCGAGGAAGCACGGCAAGCCAGGACGTACACGGAAGAGGAATCCAGATGGCACACCCTTTATCAAGGGATCGAAGCAGCGGCCATCGCCAGATGGTAGCGAGTTTGGAAAGTTCAGGGTAAGACCTGAGCCGATCACCTTGCCTCTGCCAGATTTCGATGCCGCATCAGCGTGGAACTCTAGCTGGTCATCCACACCCAGTCTGCGAAGCACACCAGAGTTCGAATTCGAGATGACGCCCGAGCCATTCGATATGACCATGACACCTGAACCAATGTACATGGACTCGTCGATGTCAATGGGCTTTCCATTCGCCGATGACTTCCTCTTGCCGACGGCTGACTTCCAGATGGATATGATGCAGTCAATTGAGCCGGAGCTTACCTTCTGTGATCCCTTCGCAAAGAAGCAGTCCGTGCAGCTTGACCTACCGGACATCCGGGCGCTCAAAGACTACATCGGTGGCGAGACTGTCAACCCTCTCGACTGCACATTTCAGGATGTTGGCCTTGGTATCTCGCTCGACGGCTCATTCACATCGTCATCAGAACCAAGCCCGAAAAGCACGACCTTCGATCAATCGCGAAGCCGCCTGAGTGTGAGTGTCTCGATGCCATCTTCGCACTGCTGCTCTACTCTCGCCCACTCGACCCTTGAGAGCCTACGCATCATCGGTCCAGACAGCACACAGCCTTGGTCTAACGTCGAGTCGAAGAGCCTCGACGCTGTCCTCTCTACTACGAAGCTGGCGGTGCAGAGCGTACTCCAACTCCTCAGCTGCCCATGCTCTTCAGACCCACATCTATCGATGCTCTACTCGAGCATCACATCGAAGATCCTGAACTGGTATCAAATCGCCGCCGGCGTCAACCCTGCTGCAGTGCCCTTGGGAACCGCGCCATCGCTCAGCAGCGGCACCTCGCCAACATCTTCTTCTGTCTACCCTTCGCCACTGTCCACACCTGGCTCCGAGCAACCAACCTTCCGCATTCAAATGCAGCCTCTGAAGTTCGGACTCTACCAGTTCGACGAGGCGGACCAGGAGCGCTTGAGGCGGCAGGTGGTGCTAAAGGAGGTGAAGAAGTGCGGACAGCTTGTTGAAACCCTGGCGCACTGGCGCGGCAATGGGCAGAGTGAACAGGCCGAGTTCTTGTACGATGTGCTCGGCGCGTGGCTGAAGAGCGAGCTGTACAAGACGCTGCAGCAGATCGAGGGGAGCGGACGTTGAGGGGCCGGCCTGTGAGTTTTCGGCGTCAAGGATTCTGCATGAAGTTGGGCGGCCACGTGATATTCCTGGCTAGTTTGACTCTGCAGTAAGGCATGCACAAAAAAGCGTGATTTGGTGAGTCTTTAGGAGATTATGTCAATGGAGAATGTGCCCATCATGAGTCGTGTGTCCAAGTGAGGCCCCACCGACCCCAGCTTCCCCAGACTGCGTTCACATGCCTCGGCTGCAGCGCACGACGCATCATCCACGCGCACATGTCAAGACGATCACACTCGATGCCAGCAACGCACACCAGAACATGAGCTTGTCGCCAGGCACGACTCGCATGGCCCACGATGGCCGCACAATCAACGCTGCGAGAGCCTCATGATCCGCTGCTCGCCCTCTACGACCACTATGCCACCCTCGTCAAGTCGCGCGTGCGCGGCGCCTCGAGGCTCACCAAGCTGCTCTCGACCATCACGCTGCTCTTCTCCATCATAGGCGCCGGCTATGGGAGCCGTCGGTGGTACAGGAGCAGACGCGCCGAGAAAGAGACGGGCAGACGGCTGCTGAGGCGCAACTCGGCGCTCAAGAACAAGGACGGCAGCAGGACCATCTATGTCCCCTACCGCGACTCGACTTCCAAAGTCGTCATCAATCCGACCAAGCCGACCACTTTCGATGCACATCGCCGACTCTTCCTCCAGCCGCCGCGGGCTGCGAGGATGCAGGACGCGACGGACCCACAAGCACCGCCGCCGCAGACCAAGCCGGGCCTGAACCTGGCCTTCCTGCATCAGTTCCTCAGTCTGCTGAACATCATGATACCGCGCTGGAACAGCAAGGAGACGGGCTTGCTAGTGAGTCACGGCGTGTTCCTTATGCTGCGGACGTACCTATCGCTGGTTGTTGCGCGACTCGACGGAGAGATCGTGCGCGACTTGGTCGCAGGCAACGGCAAAGCGTTCCTATGGGGCATCTGCAAGTGGCTCGGCGTCGGCACCTTCTCATCGTACACCAACGCCATGATCAAGTTCTTGCAGTCCAAGGTCTCGATTGCGTTCCGGACACGGCTCACGCGGTACATCCACGACTTGTATCTGAACGACCACCTCAACTACTACAAGCTGTCCAACCTGGACGGTGGCGTTGGTCAAGGCGCAGATCAGTTCATCACGCAGGATCTGACGCTGTTCTGCGCTTCGGCTGCCTCGTTGTATTCGTCGCTGGGCAAGCCGTTCGTAGACTTGTGTGTCTTCAACTACCAGCTGTTTCGATCCCTAGGACCCATCGCTTTGACTGGCCTGCTGAGCAACTACTTCCTGACTGCCACGATACTACGAAAACTATCGCCGCCATTCGGCAAGCTGAAAGCTGTTGAAGGCAGACGGGAAGGCGATTTCCGCGCCCTGCATTCCCGCCTGATCGCCAACGCCGAGGAAATTGCCTTCTATGGCGGCGACCAAATGGAAAAACACTTCCTCGAGCGAGGTTTCAAGGACCTGAAGCACTGGATGGAAGGCATCTACAGCCTGAAAATCAGGTACAACATGCTCGAAGACTTCGTCCTCAAATACTCCTGGTCCGCCTTCGGCTACCTGATCACTTCCCTCCCCGTCTTCCTCCCCGCCTGGGGCGGCCTCAACGCAACCCCCGAACTTCCAGGCAATTCCGGCATCGAGAAACAAGGCCGCGAACGAAACCGCATGAAAGATTTCATCACCAACAAACGCCTCATGCTCTCCCTCGCCGACGCAGGCGGCAGAATGATGTACAGCATCAAAGACCTCTCCGAGCTCGCCGGCTACACCTCGCGCGTGTACACACTAATCAGCACACTCCACCGCGTCCACGCAGACGCCTACTCCGCGCCCCCAGGCACCCGCCCAGAACTCTACTCCGTATCTGACATCCAAGGCACCGTGCACCGTGGCTTCGACGGCCTGCGCCTCGAACACGTGCCGGTCGTGGCTCCTGCCCTACACCCTCGTGGTGGCGACGAACTGCTCGAAAGTTTATCCTTCATCGTGCATAGTGGTGAACACCTCCTCATCACCGGGCCCAATGGCATCGGGAAATCCGCTGTGAGCCGCATCGTCGCCGGCTTGTGGCCTGTATATCGCGGGCTAGTCTCGCGCCCGCGTTCCATTGGGATGGATGGCATCATGTTCCTCCCGCAGCGCCCCTACCTATCCACTGGTACGCTGCGCGATCAGGTTATCTACCCGCACACAGCGGTCGATATGAAAGACGCGGGACGGCGCGATTCGGAACTGCATGCTGTTCTTGAGGAGGCGAAGCTGGGGTATATTCCAGATCGAGAGGGTGGGTGGGATACGAAGAAGGTGTGGAAAGATGTTTTTAGCGGCGGTGAGAAACAGCGAGTTGGTATTGCGAGGCTGTTGTACCACGAACCGCGCTACGCCTTCATCGATGAGGGGACGAGCGCAGTGTCGAGTGATGTTGAGGGTTTGTTGTATGAGCGCTGCAAGGCTAAGGGCATCAGTAAGTCGTTGTTCCTCCCCTTTCTTCTGGTTGAACGTTGTGTGAGGAAACGAACTAACGAGACCATAGCACTTATCACAATATCCACACGCGCCTCTCTCAAAAGATACCACACGCACCTCCTCTCCCTCGGCCTCGGCGAGTCTGGCGAGGAATGGGAGTTTCAGCGCATCGGCACCGCATCGGAGAAGAGCTCTGTCGAGAAAGAGTTGGCAGAATTACGAGAGCGCTTGGCCAAAGTGGAAGAGTGGAAGACACGCAGGACAAAGATTGAGGAAGAGCTGAAGAGGGTGTGGGTCGAAGGCGGGGAGGAGCTGAGTCCACCGCCGTATGCGGAGACTGTGGATGTTGGCAGTGAGGAGGGGAGTAGGGAGGAAAGTGCTGTGAGTGAGATGAGCCCTGTGAACCAAGAGGATGTAGGTCATGATGATGCTGTGGAAGAGCATGAGGGTCAGGTCATTGGGAGCGGTGGAGGCGAGGGCTTGTTCAATTCATCCAGCTCCTGGAACCCAGCACACCGGCCATTATGATATACAATCGAGCAATTCAGACATGATATCACAAGTCTCCAATGCTATGCACGCTTCAAGATCTGATGCCTCGTATTTGTGCTCACAATCAAAAGGCAGGCATCCTTAAGCTGTCTCAAGCAAGCCAGACCCACGACCAGGTTCACCAAGGTGGCGGCAACTACCTATATGAGCTTCAGCCCCCGCTTTATGAGGTTCGCGGCCACTTTCCACAAACTCCTATATTCGCTAAAGTACGCTGGGGCTCAAAATCCCTGATCCTCGTCCGCCAAGCAACATTTACCCGTTACCAAACTCTTCTTGACCTGGGCTGAGGTCTTTCAATCTATAATATAAAATGTTCGCCTCCATAGAGCACGTTGTTCCCTGATCGTCTTGCTGGCACCCTTGGACCTGGGGTTCTTGTCATTTACCCCGGATTTCGTCAGTGTTCTGGATGTAGATTATCTGCGGCTGGTCTGTCACTGCCGCCCAGTTATTCGAATACGAGAGACTTTCCAAGGTTTAGGTGGCTGCAGTCCATATGTAATCCAGGAGATGATCACCAGGTTCGCAGATGTCTCCGGGTTAGTGTTACGGTCGGTAGAAAGTGAGAGACTGGTCATTGGCCATCTCTAGTCACTACAGAAAGACATGTCGCCAACCAGGCAATCTACTCAGCTGGCTGTAGTACCGATAGATTAGGATACACAGGCTGCGAGTCTGGATTCACAACCAGGGCCGCGTATCCGGATCTGGACCTTTCAGCCGTGACGTCCTGTGTGAGATATAAGAACGATCACTGCTCGCGAACTTGTACAGATCCATAGTACAGAGAAACAGTTCAAACAACTTCGTTGTCGATTCTTAAACCAGCATGAAGTTCGCAGTCCCTGCCCTAGCCTTTGTGGCTGTAGCTTCCGCCCTCCCCCAAACAACATCCACACCCCCTCCATCTTTCGAGATCACAAACGTGGTGTCCGGCGGCACCGGCTGCCCTCAAGGAAGCATCGACGTGAACTGGACCGACAACAAGATCCTACCTATCTGTGCGTACAGTACCCGCCCCCACTCCATCAAACCTCACGACTTCCCAAGAATTCTTCACACCACCGGCCCGCCTTGCCCTCAAACAGTGCCATCCTACAACACCAATCAACTGACCCACCACCAGACTTTGGCAAAGAGTTCATCGCCGCCGTCGGCCCCAAAGCAGAAATCACCGATAGCCGCAAATTCTGCCAACTGAACCTGCAGCTGGAGTACAGCGCGGGCTACAGCTTCGCAGTGTACAGTGCCGATTACTCTGGTTTTGCGTATCTTGACAACGGAGTTACGGGTACGGTGAAGAGTACCTATTACTTCTCTGGATCGATGCTCCAGGTAAGCTCCCGTCATTATTCCCTCTATCTGTTGTGGTGTTTTGCGAGTTGCGATTGGAGAAGAGGATGTGCTGACCAGATACAGACGTCGAGTGCATTGGTTCTGAGTGGGCCGACGAAGGCGAAGTTCAATAAACAAGACGACATCGCTGTTTCGGTTTGGTCGCCCTGCAGCGGCGACGCACTCTTCAACGTCGATGCAAGCGTAGCGCTCACACCGCTCGCGAGCCCAGCGAGTGGCGTTCTCGGAATCACAAAGGAGAGCGGGAAGTTGCGTTCGAATCTTTATATCCAGTGGAAGAAGTGTTAATGATTGAAAGTACCAAAGGTGTTGGACGGTTGCTTTTGATAGGTGCTTCTTTATGCAATCTGAGATGTCGCGCCTTGAATCATCTACCACTGTCCTGCCCTTGCAGTGTGATTGATGGGCAACCTGTATTGTCAACTCTTCACCGTTTCAGTACAAGACTTCTTCTTGTCGCCCAAAATTGTGAGTTACTGAGGCCTGCCTTCGAAATTCGAGCATGCGAGTGGTCGTTATTGTATTTGTGTATCTGCACCGGCGTTGCGTATGTGTCCGTTTTATCAAGGCCTCCCGCAAGGCTCTAGACTTCGAGCAAACTTGGGGCTCAAACAAGGATTATGCAGATCATCTTGTTCCAGATTAGCGCAGCTTGCAATGGATGGAAGGATGCATGTGACGGTGCTGACATCTCAACCTTGCAGAAGTTTAATAAGACCTACCTCAACTTCTAGCTTTTATGTAACAGCACCATCACAATGAGTACAAGCTGGCTGCGCGTTTGTCGCATCGACCCTTGCCTTGGGCCAGTGCGGTGATGTTTGATTAGATCTCAGGCGGTGGGCAGACCCTTGGAGCGTTCCATGCGGAGAAGCTGCGCACGCTAATGTCAACCTTCCAGGTTCACGACCTCAAGGCCACCAACTTCACTCCTCCGCCCAGTGCGACTGAAACCGACACGTATCGGCCCACGTGCAATACCTGAGAATTCGTTCGAAAGAGATGGAGTTCTTATGCCGCCCACACTGGCCATTGACTCGATTAATGCTAGTCAACACGTTCAGGGACAATGGCAACGTATACAGCAGGTCGCTCCACAAGCTGCCGGATAACTAGGTATCCGCTAGGATCAACGCTCCATTCGGTCTTACTGTAACTGCTGTGCAATCAGCACTACGGTTGTTGACATATCAATCTGGTGCTCGGATGCTTCGCTCGGCATTCAAGGCCATTAGCAACTCGACCTAGTCAGCCCTAAACACCACAAAGTCGCCCCACAAAGGTCACGAGGCGACAAGTTACCGCGTAGATCATCGGCCTTATCCCCAATGCATGCCTGTTAAAAAAGCGTGATCCTGCGATCCACCCATCGCAATGCGGCGTGGTCGGGCTAGGGCCGCCATCTCGCTACCGCGGGGTATCGAGGTGGGGTAGATGCTGAGACAAGCCAAGAGGCGCAATTGCCCAAAAGCCAGCCTATGCGGCAATAGCATTGCCGAGGGTAAGGAAGGTGATCAGAGTCAGGCGGCAAACTTCAGAACGTGCTTGCTTAAGTAGTGGCGGTCGCCCAGCTCAAAGTCAATTCCACCTACATCACCCACAAACACTACCATCATGTCTCCCGGAAAGGTTTCCTCTCTCGACTTCGAGAAGTTCTACAACATCGTCAACGGTGAGAAGCGTGGCTCTGACCAGATCCACCACGGTATCAACCCTGCCACTGGCCAGGAGCTCTGGGACGTACCAATTGGTAGTAACCAGGACTTGAACGATGCTGTCGCTGCCGCAAAGAAGGCTTTTCCTTCGTGGAAAGCTACACCAATTGAGAAGCGCAAGGAAATTCTTGGACAGCTGATTGGTCTCTTCCAGCAGCATGAGGACGAATTCGTCTCTCTGCTCTGCAAGGAGTCTGGCAAGCCCGTAAGTTCCCTCTTTCAAGGTTAGACATGAATGATACTGACAAATCTGTAGAGGAAGTTCGCTGCTATCGAGGTCGGCGGTGTTGGCGCCTTCATTGGCTACCACACAACGCTCGACATCCCCTCCGAGAGCTTCGAGGACGACGAGAAGACAGTCTACACAGAATACTCACCTCTCGGTGTATGCGCAGCTATTTGCCCGTGGAACTTCCCTCTGCTCCTGTCGGTCGGCAAGATTGCACCTGCGGTCATGACTGGCAACACCATCATTGTGAAGCCCTCACCATTCACACCCTACACCTCATTGAAGTTCGTTGAGCTGGCTCAGGAGATCTTCCCTCCTGGTGTCATCCAGGTCGTTGGCGGTAACAACGAGCTCGGCGCAGAGATGTGCAAGCACCCCGACATTGCGAAGATCTCCTTCACTGGTTCCATCGCCACAGGAAAGAAGGTCATGGAGACAGCCTCCAAGACCCTCAAGCGCGTCACCCTCGAGCTCGGCGGCAATGACGCCTCCATCATTCTCCCCGACGTCGATGTCAAGAAGATCGCGCCCGAGGTCGTCATAGGCGCGTTTCAGAACTCCGGCCAGGTCTGCGTCGCCACAAAGCGCATCTACATCCACGAGTCCATCTACAAGGAGTTCGTACAGGAGATGGTCAACTTCACAAAGAACATCAAGGTCGGCAACCCTGACGATGGCGACAACCTGCTCGGACCCGTGCAGAACAAGATGCAGTACGACCGCGTCAAGGGCTTCTTCGAGGACAGCAAGGCCAAGGGCTACAAATTCGCTGTTGGCGAGCCCGATGTCTCTACATCAAAGGGCTACTTCATCCAGCCCACCATCATCGACAACCCGCCCAACGACTCCCGCATCATCCAGGAGGAGCCCTTCGGCCCCATTGTGCCTACCCAGCCGTGGTCCGATCTCGAGGAAGTCATTGCTCGCGCCAACGACTCAAACACCGGTCTCGGTGCCTGCGTGTGGGGTAAGGATGTAGAGAAGGCCTCGCAGATTGCGCGAAGACTGGAAGCTGGATCCGTCTTCGTCAACTCGTATGAGAAGCCGACGCCTCAGGCTACTTTTGGTGGGCATAAGGAGTCTGGTATTGGTGGTGAGTGGGGCAAGACCGGCCTGCTCGCTTACTGCAACCCTCATGTTATTCACGTGTACAAGTCTTAGATGAGCGATGTTCTGAAATGAATCGAAAGCGAAATTGATATCCCTCAACTACGTCCTCTTTGATGATCTGAGCTGTGACCGAGGCCTCAACATACAGGAAGCTTCGTTTGTTTCTACACCACGTCAAGGTGAAGGTCAAGCCAATCACCCCTTGACAACAAAAACCACAACGCGAGAATCATAATATGCTATGCTTGCGTCAGACAGATCAGCTGTTGACAGTCTTTATTCCAGTCTGTTTACACACTATAACCGTCCCCAATATAGGTACAATCGAAAAAAAGCCATCGAGGCCAGCACCTCAGCATCTAAGCAAGGGCCGTGCACAATCCGTTGTAGGCCTCCTTAGCCTGGTAGCTGTCGTCGAACAGTAGGGGTGTGCTCGTCGGCCTCCAGCTGTCCGGGTCGCGGACGCCCCAGACTGTAACACCGACGCAGTTATCGATGTCTGCGCATGCGCCTACAGCGGTCTCGTAGTCACTCGCCGCCGCACCCTTGATATCCAGCTCCGTAATCGCACACTCGTCGACGACTGCGCAGAGTGCTTTGAGTGCGCCGGGGTAGTCAGCGATCGGCCAGTTGTTCGCCAGGTGCGATTGCGAGCCGATGCCGTCGATGGGAACGCCGGCTGCGACCCATTCGGTGACTTTGCTGACCATGGCTTTTGTCTTGGCGTACGAGGCGGAGTCGAGGTTGTAGTCGTTGATGTAGAGTTTTGCGGCGGGATCGGCGGCACGGGCGGTTTCGAAGGCGGTTTTTACGAAGCCTTCGCCTAGCACGTTGTAGAATACTGAGCTGCGGAATGTGCCGTCTTCGCCGAAGATTTCGTTGACGATGTCCTGGGGTGCGTTAATACAAACACTTCGAAGAGAGAGAGGGAGGGAGGACGTACCCAGGCGTAGACTTTGCCCTTGTAGCTGCCGACGAGCTTGGTGATGTGCGCTTTCATCACGTCCTCAAGCTTGGTCTTGTCGGTGATGGAAGACACCCAGGTGGGGAGTTGGCTGTGCCAGACTGTGGTGTGGCCGCGGATGAGCTTGTCGTTTGTGGTGGCCCAGTCGACGAGGTAGTCTGCTCCGGTGAGTGTGAATGTGCCCTCGACGTTCTCGGTGGCATCCCACTTCATGCTGCGATTTGTCAGTGACGCTGTTCATATGTAAAGATAGAGAGGGGCATACCTGTTCTCAGGAGTGACCTGACCGAAGTCTGCCTTGATGATCGCGGCATTGTCACCAGTAGTAAGGCGTCCCTTGTCTGTCGCTACACCAATGTACTTCTTGCCCTTGGCCTTGAAGACTGCGTCAATGGAGCAGTCCTCGCCGTTGGCGAAAGTACCAGTGCTGTTACCAGCTCCAGCGCTAGAGGTGGCGCTTGGGGCGGCAACGCTAGTCGATACGACAACGACGGTACTGGAGGTGGAAACATCCTCAGGAATTGCGACAAGGCTCGAGGATGCGATGAGGGTCTCAAAGGTAGTGGGAACAGCAACGGGTGTCGTAGCATTGACAGATGGAGCAGGAGCAGCGGATGTAGGAATGGCAGCAGCGCTGGTAGTGGTTGGAGCAGCAGAGGTCTGAAGGGGTGCGGTGGTTGCGTTGTTGGTGGGGAGGGGTGCAGCAGAGGAAGCGGCAGAAGAAGGTGCGGAATCGCTGGCACCCTCAATGCACTGCGAGTAGTAGTCGTTCCACTGCTTGCAGCCCCAGCCGTCTGCACAAGCTGTCTCGCCTGTGTAGCCCTGGCCACCGCACTGTCCGTAGGGCTGGACAGCTGCGAGGACAGCGGTCGTGGAGGTCAGGCCAACGACCGTGAAGTAAAGGGATGATCCGCGAATATGCATCTTGGAGGTTGGGATTGGTAGAAGGAGGTATAGAAGTTAGATCTTGTCAAAAGAGTGTATAGGTGAATAAATGAATGTCAGGAAGCACGCTTCCGAGAAGGTTGGGGAAAGGTAAGTGGTGAAGGGAAGGACCGAAACGACGAATGAGTAGAGGGGGAGAGCAAGATATTAAATGAAAAGACGGGATCTGCTGGCTCTGGTTGTGTGGGCCGATAGTTCTGAAAGGATTTGTTTCATGAGGGTTGAAACGACTTCCTGGAGATCATTAGCAACCTCATTTTATAACTCCATGCGTTCTTCCAACACAGTCTGAAGATAGCATTCGCATGCAAGAAGATGCAGTAAATTGAACAGACGCGCAAGCCATGCTCTTTTTTATTATTAGACAGGTGTTATGAGGGTTGTTGAGGTGTAGTAGCGATGGAATGTTGTTGGTCGGAAAAGTGATTCATCTGGAGCCTCGGCCCAGCAGAGCCGCCGCATCTAAAACAGGTTAGAATGTATCTACATCATACTGTATTCATGCACAACTCCATCCCTAGATTGCTGCCGTTCCTGTCATCCCCTAAAGCATAAACACCTGAAACTTCGCCACCTGGATGCATAATGCGCGTCTAAATTATTGAACTAGAGGAAATGTTGATCATTGCAAGTTCACTCAAGCTACACCCAGACGCAAGCTGACAGCGCGACGGTGAGCCTCGAGCTCTTCCACGCGTGCGAGCTCCATGACCGCAGCACCAACGTTCTCGAGACCTTGTTTTGTGAGGTTCGCGCTGGTGATGTGCTTGATGTAGGAGCCCAAGTTGACTCCAGAGTACTGCTTAGCGTATCCGTAGGTGGCTGTAGTATTGTCAGCACCTGAGTAGTCATTTTCTCCTGGGATCTGACTTACGAAGGGAATGGTTGACACCGGCGCTGTAATCGCCGACAGACTCTGGTGTCCAGTGGCCAACGAAGACACTGCCAGCGTTCTCGACCAGATCAACGACCTTCTCGGCATCCTCGACCTGTAGGATCAGGTGCTCCGGCGCATAATCGTTGCTCAATCTCATAGCCTCCTGAATGTCATCGACAGCGAGTGTGATCGAGTGCTCGATAGCACCACGAACAATATCAACACGGGGAAGGGCGATAGCCTGCTTATGAAGCTCGTCTTCAATCGCGCGCAATTCAGTCTCATCCAAACCGACTGCAATCAGGATGACCTGAGAATCGACACCGTGCTCAGCCTGACTCAGCAGATCTGAAGCAACAAAGGCTGGGTCCGCCGTCTTATCCGCGACAACCAACACCTCACTGGGCCCAGCAGGCATATCAATGCTGACTCCAGCGTTGGTGTCGTTGGAAACGAACATCTTCGCTGCAGTGACGAACTGGTTACCAGGACCCAAGATCTTATCCACCTTGGGCACGCTCTCAGTACCGTAAGCCATGGCTGCAACAGCCTGTGCACCACCTGCAAGGACGATGGCCGATGCGCCGACCTTGTGCGCGGCGTAGACAACCTCCGGCGTTACCTTGCCGTTCGAGCGCGGTGGTGTAGCAAGAACCAGTGTCTTGCAGCCAGCTACCATAGCGGGCACACCCAGCATGAGTGCGGTAGAGGGCAGAACGGCGGTACCACCAGGCACGTAAAGACCGACCCTCTCGATTGGTCGTGCAAAACGTGAGCAGACGACACCTGGCATTGTCTCGACCTTCAATGGCTTGTCCTCCTTCTGTGCAGCGTGGAACTTGCGGATGTTCTCGAACGACACATCGATGGCCTTGGCTGTCTCTGGTGCCAGTTGCATCAGCTCCTGAGGGAATGGCGCTTTCAAAACCGTCGATGTCAACGAAGTTGCCTTCTCGAACTTGTGGGTGTACTCAAGCAGAGCCTTATCACCGTTTGTCTTGACGTTTTCGATGATGGGTCGGCAAATCTCAAGGATCTTGTCGGTCGATCGTTGCGAAGGTCGTTGCAGCACAGAAGCAATTGTCTCGGACGTCTCGTTTGCGGCGATGTATCTCCTCATAGCGATGCGTCCGTCCTTGATGCCAGCTGGGTCGTCCTTGCTCTTTGGCACAGAAGCTGCCTCCTTGACCTCCTCCTTCGTGGGCTTCTTAGTGCCGTTCGCACCATTCGCACTGCTGCTTGCAGCCGCCGCTTGCGCAGCAAAGGCGGGTTTGGCGTCTCCCTGACGTCTCTTCACCTTGATGCTCTTTGCATCCAAGTTGCGCTCAACATCTTCCAGTGATACTCCAGCAGCCACGCACTTGGTCAAGGCGAAGTAGAAGAGATCGGCGGCCTCAAAAGCAATGTGCTCCTTGGTGGTCGCATCGCAGAGTTCGGCGGCCTCCTCGAGGATCTTTGCTCTCAGCAGTTGCGAGTCGTTGAACAACCTGGCGGTGTATGAGCCCTCGGGCGCAGACTCTTTGCGGCCCTGGAGAGTCTTCTGCAGCTTAGACAGTCCAGTGTATTGACCGAAGCAGGTGGGCGTGGCCAAGTGGCAGAAGCCTCGTCCCTTTTGGCGGACGACAAACTGCAGACAGTCATTGTCGCAGTCCAATGCCAAAGACACAAGCTCCTGGATATCCCCGCTGCTCTCGCCCTTGTACCACAGACCGCGCTTGCGGCTCTGGTACACGCCCCTTCCCGTTCTCAAACTTTCTGCGACACTCTCCTCGCTGCTGTATACCAATCCCAGCGCAATGCCTCGCTCGTCGGTCACGAGGGTTGTGAAAAGGCCGTCCGGTCGGTCGCTGGTCGCATTGGCCATAACAAGCTTCGCGACACTTATCAATGAGGCCTCCTGCTGTGCGTCGACTGTGAGGTTTTCGGCCGGGATGATCGGGATGGCTGAGAGCTTTGCTATGCGCTGGACACTGTCAAGCTCCGGCTTCGCAAACGAGACGAAGACCTCGGGCCTGTCTGTGCCGTATTCTTTCAGCCATGCCTCGAGGAGCTCAATGTCCTCTACCTGGTGGGAGTAGATATTGACTTGTGTGCCTGCAATGGCTTCAATGATCTCCTCGCGGCTGTTTCCCGGCAGGCACAAGACTAGCCTGTCCTGGTCGATCTTCTTGGACTTCAATTCATCCAACTGAGCACGAGTGACGAAGACCTTGGCGGCGCCGGCATCCAGGAGGGAGACGATATCATCGGTCGAAGATACGTTCGCGACGCCGAGATAGTTGGCCAATCGGCCTACAGACTGTTGCAGGTGGGCGAGGGTCTGATCAACAGTGCCATCTGCGACGCGTGAGAAAACATTGCCAACATATGACAGCGCCTGGGGATTGAGGCCCTTGGAGGATTGTGTGTATGTGGTGGGGTCAATTGCGGCAAGAAGCGCGGGAGCCATGCTGGGCAAGTATGTGACTCCAAGTCACCAGATCTAAAGGTATCTGGGTATATGTGCAATCGTGTGTAAAACAGCAGTGACTCCAAGCACGGAAAAAAGTTGGGATGATGATTGACAGATGCCGAACGCCAATCAATGCGTCGAATGGATGACTGAGATCGCCCCTCTCTAGCGCGGGGTCTTTCTCTCTACCGCAATCGGCGGGAAATGACGCATGCACCCGCAACACACCTCACATCTGAAATGCAAGCTCCACCAGGGCCTCCAGTTACCAATCTTTCACGTCCAGACACAGCAGTCTTCATCAGCAGTGATCGCTACACAACGTTCATCGGCGCCAAGCAACCGCCATTTGGTACCCGCTCTGTCAACCTCGGGACCTCTGCTAGTGATGTCTATCCCCTCGCTTCCAGCACTGCCTCTCACCAGGCACTCGATCTGGCTGTCCTACGCACAGAGCTGCCTCCGTAGAAGAATATCAGCCACGAATGAGCTCAATCAGACCATTCTCAGCTGTTTCTAAACCATCTCTGCAGCGTCCCTCTTCCTACAGCACACGGAGCTGCCCGCAACTATGTTGCCGAACGACTGACTCCATAGCTCGATGTCGTAACTAACAACGTATATAGCCGGCTTCGAGACTATATCTATCAGGTGTATTCCAATACCATTTCCTTCTCTGTACTATTTCAGACTTCATTACCATTAACAAAAATACTTCCACAAACATGTCGTACTCACCACCCAGCTCCGCAAAGCCCTTCACACTCAATATTCCCGACCAAGACATCGAAGACTAGCGCCAACTCCTCAAACTCTCCAAACTCGCGCCCGGAACCTGGGAGGGCTCACAAGAAGACGGCCGCTACGGAGTAACACGCAGATGGCTCGCAGAAACAAAGGACTACTGGCTGAACACCTACTCCTGGCGTGACGAAGAGAAGCGCATAAACTCCTTCCCCAACTACCGCATGCAAATCAACGGCGTAGACCTGCACTTCATCGCCCTCTTCTCCTCGAAGAAAGACGCAGTACCCATCCAATTCCTGCACGGCTGGCCCGGCTCCTTCATCGAATTCCTGCCCATGCTCTCCCTCATCCGCAACCAATACCCCTCCGCAAAAGACCTCCCCTACCACATCATCGTCCCCTCGCTACCAGGCTACCCGCTGTCCCCCCACCCCGTCGACAAAGACTGGAGCATCGAAGACTCGTCCGCCGTGCTCAACCAGCTGATGCTGAGCCTCGGGTTCCCGAAATACATCGCTCAGGGCGGCGACATCGGGTCGTTTAATGCGAGAGCGAGCGCGCTGAACCATGATGCGTGCGTGGGCATCCATCTGAATATGATGCCGGTCAAGGATCAGCCCGACGAGTCGAAACTCACGCCGCTCGAGCAGAAAGCTATCAAATCCGCGAACAGGTGGAGACAGACCGGCAACGCGTACGCGCAGGAACACAGCACGCGACCTTCGACAGCCGGCAGCATACTGTCTTCGAATCCGCTTGCGTTGCTTGCTTGGTAGGTGCCTTATGATTTGGTCAATGATTGAGTGGACGATGTACTGACAGCAATAGGATCGGAGAGAAATTCCTCGAATGGTCCGACACCGACCCTGACATCTCGCACATCCTAACCAACATCTCGCTCTACTGGTTCACATCCAGCATCCTCACCTCGCTGTACCCGTACCGCCAGCTGCTCGGCGAGTCGGGTTTCATGCTCTCGTACGTCGAGAAGCCGGTAGGCTTCAGCTTTTTCCCGTACGAGCTGTTCCCGGGGATTAAGCATGTGCTGGAGAAGAATGGAAATATCGTTACGTATGGACAGCATGAGAGCGGCGGGCACTTCGCCGCGCTGGAGAAGCCGGAGGAGCTGTGGGGGGACGTGGAGAAGTACGTGCAGGCGGTGTGGGGAAAGGTATAAAACGTTCCGTACTTCGTATGTCACCTGTTCCAGTTGCGGGGCGTAGAGCTGACGCAGGGCAGGCAGGTGGAGGGCCGAAATTGTAGTGTACGTGAGGCGTTTAACGGTACGAAATCGCAGAGCCAAGGGTGAAGATGGAGGGGTAATGTCCTCCTTGGATATTTGGAGGGAGTGAGATTTGTCGAGCGTATATGCCATGACGTACCAGCTCTAGTAGCAATAGTAAAGCAACAGCCCGGGATATCCATCCCCCAAACGCCGTGCCGTTCTGTGACGGATATGTTCCTGAACACCAATACTCCAAGAGATCACGACGGCCCTTTTGACACTTGCAAAGAGAAAGAGACGAGTTATCTTGCTGTCGGCAGCCGCTATTCCTCCGCCTCGGTGTTCCAGATCTCCACCTCCCGACTCTCAAGCTCTTTCATCTTATCCTCGGCAAAGATAGTGTCAGTCGGTAACCCGGTTTTGCCATAGTTGACAACCGGGCCAATGGTGTTGATCCACTGTGTCCGTCGTTCCATGAGCGTCCTGATCGGTTCGCCAACACCCGGCCTTGTGATGCCCGCGTTAGCCACAGCATGCGAGCCGCCACCAGCACCACCAGGCCTCTTGTTCTGCTTCTTGCCTTTGCCGATGTTCCTGTTCCGCTTGAGGTATGCGGCGTTGAGCTGGTTGTCGAGGTCGTCGGCAATGGTGTTGTATTCCTGCTGTGCGATCCTCTCCTCCGTAAGTTCGAGGAGTCGCTGTTTCCGCGCGCCGTTTACGATGGACTGTTTGCGCAACTCCTCCTGCAAGAAGCGCAATCGCTGGGCGACTTCGTCGTCGAAGTGTGAGTCGTAGGATTGCGTCTCGGCATCGGCCTCGGAAAGGAAGCCGTAGTGCTTCAACTCCATGAGCACGCGGTCCTCGAGGGTGGCGTAATCCGCGCGGCCGCTGCTGGGTTGCGGCGCGCGACCGACCAAGTCGGGGAGCTGGGTTGCGGAGGGGAGCGCATTGGTGTTTGTTGTGTCTGCAGGGGCGCCAGCGCCCGCGCCCTCGTCAATGTCCATAGCGTCGCCGTTGATGCCGTTGGTGCCGTTGGTGCCGTTGGCGTCGTTAGAGCTGTTCTGGCTACCGCGCCCTTCTGGTCGGAGTGTGGCTAACAGTCGCGAGACCAGAGGCCCAGCGGACACCTGCTCCGTCTCGAGAACATCGTCCCCGGCGTCTTCGGCAGCGCCTCGAGGAACGTTCGGTGCTGGACGCTCGACCTTCGAGTCGATGTGCATGGCACCGTCTTCCTCCGCCCATATCTCCTTGTAGTGTCGCTGCCCTCGTCTGGGGAGCACGAAAGGCCCTACGCGATCGCCGCGCTCCTTGAGGAAGGCCACATCCTCTTCCGTCAACGGCCGTATGTAGGGCTCGACGTAGTTGGCAAAGACACCAGCATTGACCTGCGTCGCAGGCTTTGCGTTCGAGAAGTCTTTGTCTGGCGGTATGCCGGCGATCTTGTCGTGCAGATTCGAGGGTGGAAAGACAGCGACAGAGTAGATCTCCTTCCTCTCTTCATCGCCCATGCCCGGGGTGACTTCGCGGATGTGGTACACGGTGGGATCGTCGAACTTGACCGGGTCTTCGCCAAAGGTCTGGTACTGCGGCACGGCGGGTGCGGGCGCGGGCTGGTGCGAGACGTCTGACCCACTGGGCGATGCTGCGTCCTGCGGTGCGTCGGCAGCTGGCGCATGCGGCTGTGGTATGGGTGACGACAGGGTAGAGTCTTCTGCGGGCGGGAGTCAGTCATGGGCGCGCGACATGCGCATACACGCAGCAGGCGACGGCGGCCCTGGGGCAGAGTGAGAGACTCACCCTTGACTTCAACGCCATCCTGCCGGGCGAGACCGTGTGCGCCGACGGCAGGCGGGTGCTTGCTGTCTTCGTCGTGCCTCTTGCCTACTTTCTTGAGCTTGTGCTTGCGGTCGTCGTCCTTGTCGTCCTTCCTCTCGCGGGGGCCGCGGTTCTTGCGCAGGCCATGCAGCGTCCTCAGCGCGGCCTCCGCCTGTGTGCAGCGTGTCTCGATGCTCTTCAGCACTGTCTTCTCTACCTGGTCGCGCATCTTGAGCAGCGTACCCCCGGACGGGATGGTGCCGTTGCTGGCTCCCGTTTCCAGGATCTCTTCCATCGTGGTACTGCATTTCTTGAGCGCGCTGCTGAGCGGCTTCTCGAAGTAGCTGGCCGTGGACCCTGACGGCGGCTCGACGGACGGGCGGGCGTTGGGCAGCGGTGTTGTGTTGCGGCTGCGCGGTGCCGCCGATGCTTTCCCGCCGCCGGGCTTCGCCTTGCCTTTGCTGCTCGTTGTGGGCGCCATGACGGGCGGCTTCGCGTCGTCGCGGAATGCTGGGGTATGCGGGGGAGTCGCGGCCGCAGCGGACGGACAGCGTGCGTCGGTGGCTCGCTACCACACTCACTGAGCAGACGACTATGCGCGCGCGGCGGGACAGAGGAGAGAGGGAGGAACGGAGAAACGGAGAAAGGTCACCGCTATCACCGTGTCACGGCCGCGTTGTAGGTGCAGCCGGTAGTGTGGGCATTCGTTGTCCATGCAGCGACCGCGAACAACGAAGCCCGTGCGCCCTCCGCCCCGGCGGGCCAAGCTTCAAGGCCGCTCGCCAGGCTGGAGGCGCGATGCAGATACGCACCGATTGCCAACGTCATTGTGGATGATGCGACGTTGGCCGACTAAACCACCCCCGCCATGCACTCTCCCTTTCGTACTGTCACACCAGAACACTCTCCCCAGGCATCTGCAGGCCGGATGCGTCCTCCCACGCGCTACCGCTGAAAGCGCAATCTAAGCTTTCCCTGGCCTTCGATGACCGCACCTCGCTCTCCCAGTCGCCGTCCAGCCACTCTAGCCACCCGGGCTTCCGCTTCCGCTTCCAACGGCCACCCCTCTCGTCCTCGCCCTGTCTGCTGCCCTTCTGCTGTGATACCCGTGACTTTCCTTTCGCCTTCGCCTCTTTCTTCCAGTGATTCGCACCTGCTTACCTGTCGAGCATGCGTAGTGGCTGGCGCGTTGTAGCGACTCCTGTGTATTCGCCCAGCGCATAGCGCTCTCCAGCCGCCCACCATGAGTATGTAGCACAGCCGCGCCCGCCACGCTGCCCGCATTGCGCTCACGTTGCGCCCACCGACGCTGACGGTTACACAGCTGCCCGTGGCATCGGCGTCTTTACCATCGAGTTTCCCGACCCCGCCAAGATCAACTACGTGAACAACCAGTTCAACACCCTCAATGAGACAATCTCCTTCCAGTACCGCGGCCTCACAAACATCCAGACCCTCTCTACCAAGGGCGCCGACTCTGGCGCCGACCCCTACGGCATACTCTACGTCCCTGAAGTCTTCACCGAGAGCTGCAAGAGGAATGAAACACAACACGTGCCGGCGAACGCAACACGGATCGCGGATCTGCCCGCAGACAGAAACTATGCACTCATCGCATTCGCGCCCTGGTACTCGGCCCAGTGTACGATCGAGTACTTCACCGCGGCGAGGCAACAGTCAACGACGAAGGGCTTCCTTACATATCTGCCAGGGGACAGCAACGCACAGCCACCGGTGTTGAACAACCTTGCATGGGACCTGCAGGATGGCGGCATGTGGCAGCAGGACAACACTTTCCCTACCTACGCCTTGTCTTCCACGAGCGGCAACAACGTCATGGACCAGCTGAATCTGTATTCTGGCAACCTCTCGACAGTGCCCAACGGCGACGACCTTGGCAGAATATTCAACAGCACGTCCTACGTTCGACTATGGGCCACCGTCAGTACAGACTCGGACGGTACTCTCCCCAGTCTATGGGTCTTTCTGGTGATTGTCCTTGCTGTCCTGATTGCTGCGATCGGTACCACTTCGTTGTGCATGCACATTCTCCAGCGTCGCCGCCGCAACGCATTACGCCAACGCGTACTGGACGGAGAAGTTGACCTCGAAGCTCTCGGCGTCAAGCGCCTCACCGTCTCCCAAGCAGTCCTTGACAAACTCCCCATCATAACATACACTGCCGGGCCTTCTGACGCCGAAAAGCCGCCTGAAGCTCCTCCCGCCGCACTCAGCCTCGCCCCAGGTGTCGACGCAGAGACTGGGCCTAAGACATCGCCTCTCGCCCGCCGTCCTTCCGCTCCCACAGCCTCCACAACGAACAACGTCGCATTCTCGCAACCCACGTGTCCAATCTGCATCGACGATTTCGAGCCCAACGAGACACAAGTCCGCGAACTACCGTGCCGACACATGTTCCACCCAGACTGTATCGACACGTTCCTGCTCCGCAACTCCTCGCTATGTCCGATGTGCAAGCGAAGCGTCCTACCGGCTGGCGCATGCCCAGTGAAGATCACAAATATAATGGTACGGCGTGAACGACACATCGCTCGTATGCGTGCTCGTTCCGCCTGGTCTGCGGCACACGGTGGTGTCGCACCGCCAGTATCCGTCACCATGGGCGGCCAAGCTCGCGGCGCATTCGGCTCGATAGGGCGAGCAGTGACAGGACGACGGATATTCAGTGCACCGGAGCGGCCGCAAAATCGACCGGCAGATATCGAGATGGGCAGCACAACGACTGCACGGCCTGTAGCACCATCACCGCAGCCAGTGTCGAGTGTACCTACGGCTCCACACCCGGTATCGGCATCGACGAATCCTCAGGACTGCGAACCGCCACCAACACCCACACAAAACCGCAGAGAATGGGCGCGGCAAAGGGCGCTGAATTTGCTAGGCAATAGGCATGCGCCAACCGAAGTCGATGCTCTCGAACAAGAAGAGAACGCGAGGCCAAAGTGGAGACGTGCGCTTAACAAGGTGTTCCCTGGCTTCCGGTGATCTCACAACCCAATCGTTTGCGTAGTTGCGTGGGTCGATCGTACATACATACATACCTTCTTTTGATACCGTATCTTAGGGCAAGGACGGATTTTGGCGCATTGTCTTTCTGGGAAAGGCAGTTCTGGTATGTGCAAGGCGTCTGGGTGCCGTTTTTTTTTTTGTTATGCATAATTGGCGATCTACACAGCCTACATGTTCATAGTGTCTGAAATCGTAAAGTCTATCACGCTAAGCCACACGGCTCTGTGGTATCTCTGCGACGTGAGAGCGCCCGCAGACGTCATGGGTGCTGTGCTAAGTTCGCAGTAGCAAAAAGAACGCATGTTCTAGTGCTCTGAAATTTGACTCTGATAGCAAGATGCTCAAAAGGGAGAGCAAACACAATCTGCGTCACGCCGAGTTCAAGCCACTGCGAGGCGAGCCTCAACCGCCCAGCATCGCCTAGGCTTACCTGCTCGATTGGTAGAAAGGGGCCACAAGCAGACCCGTCCCGTTCAGCCTTGTGATGTGCAACACTCGTTCAGCCGGATCTGGGCTGGCGAACCATGGACCAGGCTGCGCCACGCTTCTGCAGGTCCGGGCTTGCCTTCCTCTGGGCCTGAGTCGACTGCGACTGGCAGGGAATCGAAACAACAAATCGGGCGGCCACTACGCGCAGCCACCACATCGGACAGCTTGACAAAGCATGTACAACACCACACTCAACGACACTCGGTTTCGGATCGCTTGCCTTTCTACTCCATCAAGCAAAGAACATCCCCGTCCACGTCACATTGGAGACTTATTCAGATGGCAGCCATCCTATCTCTGGGGCGGCGAAGATGGCGACAACTCTCTGCGCCGACCCATCTTCATCGGGCCATGTTGGGATGTGCTACTTCAGACTGAGAACTGTTGTCCCTGCTTTGATCCATACTTCCTCAGAGAGGCGTCAGATTTGTTTGGGTTGACGCTCTGTGTATCAACCATAAAAGTCTCGGAGAACAAGCAGTTCAGGTTGCGAAGATGCGACAGATATACAAAAAGTGCTCGAGAGTCATCGCCTACCTGGGCAATGATCGGGTTACACAGTCGACGCCTTTCCCAAGGTACCGATCACTCTACGAAGTCAACAAAGCCGGCACAGACCGCGAACTGTTTCCGATCATCGAAGAACTCCTTTTACCGGAGCGAGCTGTTTCTCGGGTAGGAAATACAGATTTTCGTGCAGATTTGGCGATCATGTCGCAACTCACACATCACCATTCGAAACTGCGGATAGAATGGTCCAGAACAGCTGCGCCCTGGGTTCAGTACGTGGCGCAGAAAATATCCCAGGCCAGAAGGCCTTCTGCGACACTAACAATCTGCTACGTTTCTCAAGAAGATGTCATCCTTCGGATCTCAGGGATCGATTGTTCGAGGTTATCGCGTTACTTCAAAACGAACGAATGCAACGACATTTCGGACCTGATTACTCGATTTCTTATCAACATTTTTGCATTGGCTTGTTCGGGCATTGGATTCTGAACAAGAGAGTGTATGGACTATTGTACGAAGCAAAGACACTCTCAAGAGCCAACGATTATACTCCTTCTTGGATACCCGAATGTACTTCATCCGCCGCGTGGAAGGAAATCTTAGCGTCGGACCGTCCCAGATGGCCCTGTCATTGTACACACGATTTTCAAATGTTCTTCACCGATGGTGACGCCTCACACGACCCCATTGCAGTTGTCGCCCTAGAGATCATCAAATTGTACGGAAGACACACATCGGACCTCTACTCTTCCACCTCGGAGCCACGGGATCGAAACACAAAGTCATGGTACCAGGACTCGTTGATCAATGCCACCACTGGCGCCCTGTCAATTACCCTGATCCATCTGTTCAAGTTCGTCAAACAACCCAAGCTTATTCAAAGACTTGAACCCTCCTCGCTCCTCTATGCCGTGGACGATGTGCACAGTGCGCGACGACAATGTCTCTACATAACATCAACCATCCGTCTTGACCAATTGGTTCGTCCGAATCATGATCATATGTTCATTCTAGATGGCGGCGAAAATGTTAAGAAAGACTCTAATGCTTCCGTTCATGGTGAACCTCGAAACAGGATTCTTTTTCTCATACTCAGGCTTCTTGCTGCTGACTCATCCCTCTTCGTCCATGTCCACGATGAGACATCTTCTTATAACTGGAATCGGCCCGGTATGGTCCGCCATTTAAACACAACTGGCGAAGGACAGAGGATGAATCTTAGATGGACCCGAAAACCAGGGAGCGTAGCAAATGCTATCCGGGAAATCGTAGAGAAGGTGGAACTCCTGAAGTATGACCACAGTCAAGATAGGAGTCGAATGACAGCAGCGCGCAGATCAACATGAAGATGTTCCAGCACTTCCACAGTACCACTTCATTTCCATCTCGTTTCCGAGTGCTCCTGCTTACTACTTCCCAACGCTCTTGCCAATGCCCTTCACATCTGAGCGTTGAGTTGGCGTGGTAGATGGCGATAGATACGCCTGGTTGGGAAGCACAGGTGCATTGGTGTTCACACATTCGTCGACAGCAGGAGCATGAACGGATGTTCGATTTGGTTTTTGGTTGGGAAACTTCTCTGACAAGGTTGTGGAACCGATGGAGCTTCGAGGAGAGTAGACAGACGTGTGCAAAGCGCTGCGGACCCCCCACCGACACTATTTGGTATATTCGGGAGAGCCCCGAGCATTGCTCTTTTCGGGGCCTGAGGTTTCGCTGCAGCTCCGACGAGTATGCAGGGCCCAGAACGGTCTATAGCCGTGTGTCTCGAGCTCCGATGGGTTCCACGGCGAAAACACCGAGCCTCTACGGCTAAGGCCCACCTCAACACCAAGCCAAACATCGTGAGTTTTTGCTGCATGACAGCCGCATGACAGCAAAAGACCAGGGTAGATTTCCCAAACCAGTATGGTTCGCGTCTCGGTAGGCAAGCCACCGAACCCGAAGGGTCGCCTACGCGGAGTTGGCGGGTTACCATTCGTGGGTTTTTCGACCCCATTCTAATCTCCTGGCGGGGCACGGGGTGTGACGCTTGGGGACAGAGGGGTACAACGCGCCGCGCGCCTCGCGCCTCGGAGCTCCACGTATAGATATGCCCCGCAACATGGGCAGCTGACGGTCTCTTTTGGACTTTTTTCTTTTCAGATTTGCTATTTCTTCTGGAATTCTTCGAGATTTCTTCGTCACTCATCTTCTCTTCCCAATCATTTGACTTGAGACACAGAGCGGCAAGATGAGCACAACAACAACAATCGCGCCTGCAAAGGCAAACATCGGTGTTTACACAAACCCAGAGCATGACCTGTGGGTTGCTGAGGCAGAGCCCAGCCTGGAGGTTGTGCAGAGGGGTGGAGATTTGGCAGTTGGTGAGGTTCTTTTGAACGTCAAGAGCACTGGTATCTGCGGAAGTGACATTCACTTCTGGCATGCTGTAAGTCTTTTCTCTACACTTGCACTTTGGAGGGTTGGTTTTGTGTCATTACGAGACGCTGGGAATGTGTTGGATTGTTTGACCTCATATTTCATTGGAGCACGAAACTAACAATCTCAGGGATGCATCGGTCCCATGATCGTAGAAGACACCCACATTCTTGGCCACGAGTCGTCCGGCGTAGTAATGGCCGTCCACGAGTCCGTCACAAACCTCAAAGTCGGCGACCGCGTCGCCATCGAGCCCAACATCATCTGCCACAAGTGCGAGCCCTGCCTGACAGGCCGCTACAACGGCTGTGAATCCGTCGAGTTCCTCTCCACACCTCCCGTCACCGGCCTGCTCCGCCGCTATCTCAAGCACCCTGCTATGTGGTGCCACAAGATGCCCGACAGCATGACCTTCGAGGACGGCGCTATGCTCGAGCCTCTCTCCGTCGCCCTTGCTGGTTTCGACCGCGCGAACGTTAAGCTCGGCGACCCTGTTCTCGTTTGTGGTGCTGGCCCCATCGGTCTTGTCACCCTCCTCTGCGCACAGGCTGCAGGCGCAGCTCCCCTCGTCATTACAGACATCGACCAGGGCCGTCTCGAATTCGCGCGCAAGCTCGTTCCCCGCGCCCTCACGCACAAGGTTGAATTCAGCCACACAGTTGACGACTTCCGCGGCGCGATCCTCAAGCTCACAAACGGCGTCGAGCCTTCCCACGCTCTCGAGTGCACCGGTGTTGAGTCCTCGATCGCTGGCGCTATCCAAACTGTCAAGTTTGGCGGCAAGGTCTTCGTTATTGGCGTCGGCAAGAACGAGATCAAGATTCCCTTCATGAGGCTGTCCACACGCGAGGTCGATCTTCAATTCCAATACCGCTACTGCAACACTTGGCCCAAGGCTATCCGGTTAGTCGAGAGCGGCGTCATTCAGCTGCGCGACTTGGTTACACACAGGTTCAACCTTGAGGACGCAGTGCAGGCTTTCAAGACAGCGAGCGACCCTAGTACCGGTGCGATCAAGGTGCAGATCCAGAGCTTGGGTGATTAAGCGGCGGAAGGGAAGGAGTTGCTGAGATGCATGAGTGGAGTTGGACACTAAATGATCAACGAATGACTTTTTTTTTATAAAAGACACATGCATGTCACATAGATACTAATGAATGATAAAAAAAAAGCTACAAACAGTTCCAGGAAGATCTTTCTTCGAAACGACTTGCTGATGTGAACCTGTGCAGAGGACCTACACTCAATGTTGGCAAATATTGCCGACCCGCATAAGGATGCCACAAATAAGCTTCCCTGCTTGACATGAACAAAGCTGATCACAAAGCCTCAACCTGGTAGGCACGCCAAACCATGCTCATGATGCTGATAGATCGGGACATTCCATTGCACATTCCATTGCAAACCGCTCCTCCGGGGCCTTCTTTCGCTATCCCACACTTAGATTCGGGATTGTCCTTTCGTCTTCCATAGTCTCAGACTCACATAGGACGTTAAACCAATCAATCAATCAATCAATCGGGATTGAGCTCGTTGCGTAGCTATGACGATGGCACTCTACTTCTCTGTCCATGTCCTCATGCTGCCTTATTTCCCATCAGCTCAACGGCCTCAGAAGATAACCGCTGCAGGGCAAAGAGCCGGGCCACCATCGCCAGATCGCGGAAGACGAGAGGATAATACCCTAGGGTCGCGAGACAATGTTACAAGCGGCCAACAGAAGGATTCCTGTCGGTGTCGGTAGCCCTCGCATATCAAGATCTTGCAACGCCGGCCCAAGTCTCCCGGTGTCTGACGTCCTCATTCACGATGGCCATTCGGTAGCGGCTCAGATCGCCAAGACATTCGATCCAAGTATCTTCGAAGTCGAGGTTCGTCTCGGAGAGACGGACCATCGTCCGGGACGACGAGTACATGGAAGTTAGCAGGTGATCAGCATCCTGACCGTCCATTGTATGCTTCGCTGCCAATCGATGAAGGGCAGGACCAGCAGATAGGTGCTGAGAGGCGAGGATGAAATCGTGACCCCCGTGCCGCAACTTTGAGCAATGGAGTGAAATGGAGCGCAATCAAAGCTTGGCAATGGTCACGCCAGTCAAGACCCCTGCCCTTAGGGTCTTGTGAAGCTGTCGTTTGTGTGCGATCGAACTGAGTACACTTGGTCTCAATTGTTGTGAGACCGGCGTATATGCTCTTGACCTCTGCTGCAAGCTGTTCCTGAGAGATCGGACGGGAGTCAGGTTGCAACAACTTCTCGGGGTGCCTCTGCGGCTCGGTAAAGCTACATCGGCGTGACATTGATCTGTAGAAGCTCTTAAAGTATGGTTCATCCTCTTCCTGAGATATGGGAGGTGTCTCAGGATAGTCGTACCGCCAGTCAACCTGTGTCCCTCAGGCTCCAATGCAATGAAGGCCTACTGCAGTTACAGCTCTTGTTCGTTCTTTTCTTCGATGCTCTTTGTCGACTCTAGGCCCCCAAAATCCGCCCAGGTCAAGTACGTTCCAATGGCAGCCTCGTACGCCAGATGCGCATTGGTCAGCTTACGCTTCCTTTCCGATTTCGACGCTTTGGACTTACTCGAGGATGGAAACGGGCGAGGCGTAGAAGTTGCAGGTGTCAGCACTTCTTTCGGAACCGGCTGAACTGCTATTGGTAATGGTAGAACCGCAGATGTCAGATCTAGAGCTTGTGCTGGGTACGCATCTGCAGCTCTGTTCGTGGCCGTTTTCTCAACGTCTGCAATCGTTTCTTCTACTTCCTCCTCAGGCAGTACCGCAGGTTTCTCATTGTCCAGCTTTGCAACCTTTGGTTTCGCGACACTTGGTACCGTAATCTCGGGGGAAGTCTCAAATTGCGTGTCTTGCTGACTCTCACTTCGATCTCGTTTCTGAGTTTCTTTGTACTTTTTCCTAGCCCTGAAGATGTGCATCATCTCAGCATCATGACGGAAGATTTGTGCTGAGCAGTGCTCGCCAAAGAGCGCTCTCATGCTGAGGTCCGGAGTCCAAGTTGCTTCGTCGACTGTGCAGGGGAAAACATCTCGAGGTTTGAAGGCAGCAATGAGTTCGCAAAGCTCAGAGTACGATGAGTGTCGTGAGTACGGAAAGCGGATCGTCTTATTTCGGTACGGCTCAGTATTGTCACTTTGCCTTTTGGAAGCATTGGATGACAGAGCGGCGACAAGTCTCTGCAAAGACACGTCGTCTTCGCTAACTTGGCTTTCCTTCTGCAACTGCAAGCCAAAATCCATTGAAGCGCTGCCCATGTTCAAAGCATGCTGCAGTAGTTTCAACACCTTTGACAACAGTTCTGGGTTGTCGATGGACTGAGCACACAACTCCATTAGCCGCCCCATCGCAGCCACGTCACCTGTTTCCAGCTCTTCCTTCTGGTCGAGGTCGCCTTTGCCGCCACCGGCGCCCAATTCGGCAATCTCGATACCGTTAGAACGAGAGATGATGGGGATGATATGGATAATCTTCGCATCGGTGTCTTTGTCCAGGACGCTACAGCCCAAGCCGCGCTCGCAGCTGTGTATACGGACATTCTCTGACGAGGTCAGACAGCCCGGCTGCACGTAGTTGCCGTTTCTGAAACCACAAAGTGCGGCTGCTTCGCGTATCTCAACTCCGGGTTCTTTCGGGAATCTGGTCTCACTCTGCACGTCAAGACCTGCTTCTCGAAGACTTCTCTTGTCCAGTGATGACAATGAGCCATAGATGCGGGTACGGTTGTCGTCAATGTGGATTCGTGAATCGAGAAATGCTGACAACGCAATCCAAACTTTCTCGTAGCCGAAAGTCCAGGAGTGAAAGTAGAATATCGTATCGTCGGGGTAGGTGCTGACTTTCTCTAGCAACTCTCTGATACCTTCCGCTTTGGACGGGAAGTTTTTGTAAGGCGTACACTTGGTTGCGAAAGTAGTATCGAGGTAGATGCAGTCCAGATGACGAAACCCAAGTGCGTAGGGAGCCAGAACAGGGCTCTGGACAATGGAGTTAACCCACCATGTCTCTGCACGGATGTCACCAGTGTACAGTACTGCTTTGCCGTCGCCTTCGATCAGAAACATCACAGCGCCAACACAATGATTGGCGTCGACAAGGGTCACGCGAATGCTGTTTCCAGGTGCTAGTTCGATCGTAGTAGGGGTATCAAGCGGAAGCGGCTTTGCCAACTTGCGCATACTCCTGTCGTAGGTGACATTGCGGCTCTCGAGGATGCCTTTGGCGAAGTTGATTCGATGATGGAACTTCTCCAGGCGTAGTAAGATCTGCCATAAGTGTCAGCCGAGTGCAAGTCAAAGCTATTGACACGTGATAGCCTTGCACCTACCTCTCGAGTGGCGGCTGAGCAGTAGACAAAAGGAGCTCTCAAGGTCTCCAGGCCCGAAAGGTGGTCCGAATGAACATGGCTGAGGAAGCACGCTAAGGGCGCCTTGTGCTCAGATTGCTGCCGGAAGTAGTCGAGCCTGATCTGGGGGAACTCTGACGCGTCGAGTCAGCACAGCAACTGCTTCATGATGAGGGTGACTGGTACCGGCTACGATGCCTTTGAAAGTGGACATGAGTGCTAGTTTTCCGACGGTCTAGTGTCATCTCCAACAATTGCTGAGGTTTGTGCAGGGGTGCAAGTGTGTTTTGCAGTAACGGAGGCGAGAGTCAAGGTTGACGCGGAAGTGGCGCGTGTGGGCGTGACTTCCTTTATCCTCACTTGTGCGCTCGTTAACCACGACCACTTTCACGGATCAACAACGGACGGCCCCCTCCCCCCCAGAAGTGTTCACTTATTCTGTTTTCTACAAACATAATGTCAGATCTCTAATCTGATTGATCGGCTGATCCAAAGCTGATTGTGTCCGTACTGTCCAGACCAGACTAGCACCAGACTGTACGCTTCTCATCTAGCAAATGGAGAGTACGTCCCTGGATCATACGCCAAGCATCGCAGCTTCAGAACATGGTAGAGTCACAGTTGGAGCAAGCAGACATCTTTCTGTCGGCATTTGACCAGCGATAATCGGCCGGCAGCTATAACCGAATGATGACATCGGCTGAAGCATCGGCCAATTCACCCCACTTGTGCTCCATCAGCTACTCCAACAGCTACTCCAACACCTTCACCATAGCTCCATAAGGGTGCTCCCCGCTGCATATACTATTCGAATCCTCTCTCTCCATTCTCTCCCCCTCCTCACATTCATTGCGTACCTCACACCCACCGCGCAACATGTCACAACTTCTCAAGAAGTCCCTCAAGCTCGCCCTGGTGCAACTCGCATCCGGCGCCGACAAAACCGCGAACCTGCACAACGCACGCACCAAAGTCCTCGAAGCCGCCAAAGCCGGCGCAAACCTCGTCGTCCTCCCCGAGTGTTTCAACTCGCCCTACGGGACAAAATATTTCGATAAATACGCCGAAACCCTCCTCCCCTCACCCCCCAGCGAATCCGCCTCCCCGACCTTCCACGCGCTCAGCAAACTCGCAAAAGAGGCCAACGTCTACCTCGTCGGCGGCTCGATCCCCGAGCGCTCAGATACAGACTCGAAAAAGCTCTACAACACATCCCTAACCTTCTCCCCCTCGGGCGACCTAATCGCAACACACCGCAAAGTCCACCTCTTCGATATCGACATCCCGGGCAAGATAAAATTCGTCGAGTCCGAAGTGCTCTCACCAGGGAACAAAATCACCATCGTCGACTTGCCCGAGTACGGCAAGATCGGTATCGCGATTTGCTATGATATACGGTTCCCAGAGCTGGCGACGATCGCGGCAAGGAAGGGCGCGTTCTTGTTGCTGTACCCGGGCGCGTTTAATTTGACGACGGGCGCGCTGCATTGGGAGTTGTTGGCCAGGGCGCGGGCGACGGATAACCAGGTGTTTGTGGGGTTGTGCAGTCCAGCGAGGGATATGAATGCAGACTACAATGCGTGGGGGCACAGTATGGTTGTTGATCCGAATGCGCACGTGCTGCAGCAGTTGGATGAGAAGGAAGGGATCGTTGTGCAAGAGTTGGAGACGGGCAAGATTGAGGAGACACGGAAGGGCATCCCGCTGTACACACAAAGGCGGTTCGACGTGTACCCAGATGTCAGTGAAGGCGGAAGATTCAAGGAGTAGAGCATCTGTGAAAGAATACAGTGCGTTGAATTGCTTCAGTGACGGTGTGCTTGCTTCTGTCCTGATACCAAAGCGTTACAAATCATCTAGCATGTAGTCCAGAATAGCTGACAGCCAACAGTTCAAGCGAGCGTGAGGACCAGTAGTAATGGTCTCCCAGTTATTCTCCCCTCAGTCGCGGCATATCCTCAGATATATCATCGTCCTCCACCATCACCTGTCGGGCTTTCTCCTTCTTCTTCACTGGACTCTTGTCTCTTTCGCCACCAAAGGTACCTTGTCTCTTCCTCTTGATCACCGGTTCGAACTCACTCACAGTTGGGTCGAGCATGGTGCTGCCGCTTAGATCGCTGTGTGTACCAGTACCGGACAAAGCTTGCGCAAGCTCATGGCCCATACCGGTCGTGTTCATCTGCTGCTCAAAGCTGCCGAGCTCTTCTCCCAGAGCACTGTACAACTGTCGCTCCAGACGTCCTGTACTGCTGATACTTGACATACTAGCCCGATGACCAGGTTTGAAGGGTGACAGCTTGGCCATGTCAGCAGTGGGTTCCGCAACCAAGCTCGGATCGATTGCATCCACATCGATAACCTCAACGTGGTTGAGAACGCTTGCAGACGTTTCGTTTGGCCTGTCGCGTGGAGTTCTGTCCGGATCGTCCGCGGTAGACATTGCTTTTGCTATCGAATTAGCGCCCACGGTTGGAAGCAAGCTCTGGTCGTGGCGAACTTCGATATCCAGATGGTCACCCGTGTCGGTTGCAAGACCTTCTTTCCGACTCTTCACATTGCCTCCGGCTGAGGGTGCATGAGCTGAGCCAATCTTGCTGCTCAAGTTTGCCGGATCTCTTTCGAACCGGGAGAGACTCGAGAAATTCGAAGAACCATCTCTCATGGAGACGTCAGAGTCCCAACGCTGTGGTCCAAGCATGAAAGGGTTGGGGGTCGGTATCCGCGAATCACGGTTCTCTTTCCTGCTGGAGTGATGCACAATTTGTGGGTTAGTCTTGGATGGCGCATTGGTGTTGAAGCTCGCCTGATCAGACGATGGTCTTTTCACACTGTTGCGCAAGGCGGCATTGAAGTCAGGGTACGCTGTTGTACGAGCAATGGCTGCCGAAGAAGGTCGGACTGGAACAGACAGGGCACCCATCTTGGGCGGACGATGAGCCTGAGTACTTGGTTGACGAGCATCCTGCCGTTGCGCAGGCAAGCCATGCGGGAGACTGCGTTGCTTCTTCGATGGACTGATAGCTTCCAAAATCTGCCCGAACTGGTCGTCGCGCAGAGCCATCATAACCTGTTGGGCGCCATTGTCTTTTCGAGACCGGTTGTTGTTCATATGCGGACCTGCACGCTGTCCTGGCAACGCAGCATTGTTTGACCAAGGAGGTGCCGCGTATGGAGGAAACGAAGGGTCGTAGAAGCCGTCCAAGCCAGACATGTGAGACGCATACCGTTGCGACGGCCATGATCCCATGCTGATATCGTCATCAGGATCACCAAAAGAACCATATGAGTTGTGCCAGATACCCAGATGACCTCCACCCCTGTGTCCCATGAAAGCTGACGGGTAAATTGCCATCGACGGCATCCGATCAGGAGGTTGTTGGTGCGGCTCCGGGTTCGCAGGTCTGATAGGTTCGGAATCGGACTCTGGTGAATGCTCAGAGTGTATGCGGGATCCTCGCTGTAGTTGACGAGCCATTGTGTTTTGTGGAAGCGACCGCTGTACGAACGTGGCTCGCTCGCCTAGAAGGGAGCGCAAGGGGTCGATGATAGGATACGCGATACCAGCCTGCTCCAGCAGTTCTGCTTTGGATCAACACGGTGCCTCGCGTCATGCAGCCGAAGTACGTACCTCTGTGGGCATGCTGGAATGAAAAGCAGACGACGTCCCAGCAGCCAACGTCAAGTGAGCCTTCTTCGTTGACGAGTCGCTCTGACAGTATGATCTTGATCCGGTTGTCTGTCCCACGCGGTTGCCATGCGGAGCTCTGCAAGAGAGCATTTTTGTCGCTTCGTGGGAACAAAAGGCGTTGCTTTGGTTGGCTTGTAGGCTGCTCGTGGGACCGGGATGACCTGAACGAGCGCTGCTCATACGCTGTTCTCCAGTCAATCTATGCCTGACGGGATGTTGTGTAGCAGATCGCATACCGATTTCTTGCGGCGAACTGTTGTTCAGCTCAAAGCTGCCATGGCTGTACCTCGTCAGGAAGCATTCTAAGGCAAGACTGGCTGAGGGCTAAGCTCACTAAAGCCTGGTGTTGTCAATGAAGACCTGCACGGTGAAGGTGATGTTCATGCCAGCCCTTCGTTGGACTTCCTGTATGAATGGCGAAGGCTTCGGCGGCCCCCAGTGATGTACAGAGATACGAAATGGCGTCTCTGGCTTCAGCGATCCGATGTACGTCCGCAATGTCGGTAGCTCATGGCCGTCTAGCAGGGGATGTCAGCCCAGATCTTCAAAATCATATGTGCATAGGCATAGGATGTGCAGTAAGAGATGGTAACTCACCTTCGTCCCGTGAGAAGTAGCAAGCCGTTCTGTACTCTGGTATGGGAATGTTCGAATCTTCGGGAAAGAGGATGATGTCCCAATTGTCGTAGCGCATGGCAGGCGAGCAACAGCAGCCGTCCAACGTTGCACAATATTTGCAAAGCCCAAAAAGTGGCAGTTGTGTTGCGTGAGGAGTGTAGGAGAGAAGGAAGAAGAGAGCGGGTTTGTTTGGGGTTCGCGAGCACCGAGAGTGCAGAGCGCTCTGGAAGCTGTTCACAGGGAAGGCGCAACTGTAGCGCCGCCCCAAGGCGGTCGTACATTGACAGAAAACGGTCGACCGGCGGTGTGAGACGGACAGGGAGCCGAGCTAGAACATAGTGCAGCACCATCGCAAGATCTTATATGTAACAGCAATGAGATGCAGGGATGAGAGGGGGGGAGGCATGAGGGGAACTCAATCCTATTTTCAAGGTCTAGTAACCTGTTGGCCCAGTCCTCCAACAAGCAGTCGCAAGCACGAACCACTTGCGACCGCCGGACAACAAGAGAAACAGAGGGGAGGCGTGGTTGCAACAGCTGTCCAACGCCAGCAACACTCACAGCTTTTTCAACAGGCTTCAACAAAGCTTTTGATGATCCAACAGTGACACCATACAGCACTTTCGCCAGACACCGTACTGAAAGTACTGAAAAGCTGTCATGTCCGTCCCGATATGATAAGAGTGCTGAGCGTTTCCCATGTTCGCATAATCATGAAAAAATATTTTCCGAGTAATGATTGGACCGTAACTCCTCGCTAAATCATGGCGCAGATGATTATGCCCAGTGACGCTGAACGCGAGACGCTTTTAGTAAGTGTTGTTGAAGTTCAGTTGCTGCGAGAACGCTTGATCGGAAGCGCCGGGTGTGCCGTTGGAGGGACTGGCAGGACCGCGAGGGGAGAGAGGGCCGAGGCCGTTCAGGCTACCGGGGCCGCCGTTCTGCGAGAGGCCTTGAGGAAGACCCGGGGGTCCTCCGTAGCCGGCGGACTGTTGCTGCTGTGGCAGCTGTGGGTAGGGGCTGAATGTTGTCGTTAGCGTAAGTAACGAATAATTGACCTTGAAGCAGAGACTCGAGCCAGCTTGCAGACTCGCACGCAACAAAAAGCTAAGCTCACAACAATGGAAGAGACGATCAAGCAAAGCACGATGACAAACAAAGAACGCATCGAAAGAACCATGTGATTGGAATGATAGCCAATCTGAATCGTAGTAGCGCACATTCGTAAGGGAAAGGCATCTGACAGAAAGCAGCACCAGACCTATGCATGACTAGCCGCATCCCAGATGCTCCTTGAGAAGTAGCCAGCTCCGAAAGAAAACCCGCGGGCAGAAAGATGACCTGTTATACAAAGACTCCCTTCTAGGCCCTCGTGCAAAATCGGGGTCGTCAAATGAACTTAGAACTTTTGGAGAACCACCCAGGTATAGAAAGGAACCAAATCGCTCGAAGGTCGTGTGACGAGTCATAAAAGGGATCATTGCAGTAACCCAACGGAGTAAACCATGGAAGAGCGCCGTGCAAGCAATACAGAGAGAAAGAATGCGCTTACTGTAAAGCGTTGTTAGCATAGTTCTTGGATGTGCCTTTGGAGTCTCTTACCTTCATGGGAGCGAAACCACCTCCGTATCCGGGGTGCTGAGGAGGCATGCCCATGCCGGGGCCGAAGACTGGTGGGGGAGGAGCCGGACGGTAAGGAGTACCAGCAGGGCCAGAGTTGTTCTGCGAACGTCCCCAGCTGAGGCGGACGCGCGAGTTGCCGATGGGATAGCCCTGCATCTGGTTGATGGCCATCTCGGCGGCGTGACGCTGCACGAACTGGACGAAACCACATCCCTTACCCGGGGGAATCTTGACGTAGGTGATCTCGCCGAAGCCCTGGAAGAAAGAGCGAAGCTCATCCTCGGTGACGTACCCACTAAGGCCGCCGACGAAGACGGTGGTGTTATTGGGGTCCGTGAACTGGTTCATGGGCTGGGGAGCGCCGTAGTAGCCCATAGGGGGAGCACCCATGGAGTACATGCCCATGCCAGGGCCGCCGCCACCCTGCTGCATGTTCATACCGCCAGGGCCACCGGGTCCACCACTCTTGTTCTTGGGGGTCGCGGTGCTGATGCGCATGGGCCTATTGCCGCAGTAGACACCCTGCATCTCGGTGAGCGCCTTCTGCTGGTCCTCCTCGTTGGCGAAGCGCACGAATCCGTAGCCGCGCGACATGCCGCTGATAGGGTCGGACATGATCTTGGCAGACTTGGTCGAGGTGTACTTGTTCTGGAAGAGCTGGACAAGGACGAACTCGGTGACCTCGGGGCCAAGGTCTCCAACGAAGATGGAGTACTCGGGACCACGCTCATCGCGGCTGTCTCAATGTTAGCCTTCTTTGGACCATGTGCGATGTTGATAGTTTATAATGCTCACCTGCGATCGGCAAGGCCACCGCCAGAGGCCCAGTTGAGCTTGAAGGGGCGGTTGGAGTTAGGGATGAGCTGGCCGTTGAGGCTAAGGGCCTTGGCCGCAGCGTCGGCGCTGGCGAAATCAACGAAGCAGTATCCAGCGTTACTGCTGCACAAATTAGTCTGCGTGACATCACCCCTCGGAATCGTGCGCTTACCCAGAGAATTTGTCGCGGATCATCTTGACATTGACGGTCTCGCCCATGTTGTACCAGATGCTGCGCACGAAGTTCTCGTCGATCCAAGGCTCGAGCTCACCCATCCTGTATTTTGTTAGCTCTAATGCTCGCTCAATTGGCCTGTCGCAAGCCATTGTTGTGCGCGACTCACCAGAGGGTGGTCTTGCCGGCGCCCTGGCCGTTGCCGTCGGGGCCAGCGCTGCCAGGAGGACCCATTTGGCCCTGGGGAGGGAAGCCGCCGGACTGGTCCATGGGCTGCCCAAGGTCGGTCTGCGAGACGTTGGGGTTGGGGCCTTGCTCGCCGGGCTGTTGGCCCTGGTACTGCTCGTACTGCTGTTGGAAGCTCATTGTCGCGGAAGGATCAAATGGTAATGATCGGGTAGTGGTTGAGGGGTCGACTAAGAGTATTGCGCTTAAGTATGATAGAGGACCGTGGTCGTTTGTATAGTCTGTGAAAGAAACGGTCGTCAGCGTCGGTGAACTGGCGCAGAATTTGGTGACGGCCAAGACGCAGGTGAGGGGTGTGAAAATGCTCTAGGCTGCACTTACCACTAGGGACCAGTAGTGCTTTCTATCACTGGAGGCGGCGTGTTGCAATCAGGCGCGAGAGCACACAGGAAGTAACAGACACAAGGACTGCGAAAGTAGGTGACAGGAAAGGTGTCGACAGACTGAACTCCGACTTGCGATCCAAAAATGGCCTGACGAAGACGGGAGGGTGAAAGAGTGGCCGTGAGGTAGACGCTCTATTGAGATCTACAGCGGCAGTCAGTAAGGTCTGTCTGACAGAGAGGTCACATGCACAGGCGTAGCAGGAGGCGACAGGTCAACAACATCAACCAGGGTGAGCAGCAGAAGCGCGTCGTCGGCGACACCACGACAGGCAGCGTGCAGACAGGTGGAGGAAAAGCAATGCCCGCCCACTGAATTCGTCCGTGCAGGTAGACGACGTCAGAAGGCTCAGCACAGCTCAGCGCCAGATGCATGCATCGCAATGCTTCATAATTGCGAGCGCACAGTCTGCACCGAAAATGTGCGTCACCCTGGGAGCATGCACCACCAGGCCGCACGCAGCGCCCGCCCGCCAAGGCGAAGGAGAAAATTATGAGGAGGGGAGTGCATACCTGAAGGCCAAAGAAACTCGCGCGAAGCAGAGAACACCGACGACGCAAAGGAACACAGAGGAGCAAAGCACAAGGACGATTGCCTGAGCAGAGATGTGAAGAGGGAGTGGGTGGGGTAGAGGAGGGAGAGCGAGCGCAGATGATGTGAAGAACGGGCCTTTCAAGAGAGAGCTTCAGTGCCGGACCAATCCGCCCAAATCTTGGACTCCGCCCAATCCGCTGGTCGTGTGTGGCGGCGGGCAGTCGGTAGCGAAAAGCTCTGGCACCCATGGCCTTACAGCCGAGCAACCTGGGGACGATGGCGCACTGGCTAGAGGGGCTGAATTCAAGCTTTGGGTGATCTTCGATACCTCGATTCCCCTCTCTCCCTAGTGGTTCCGTCACACCTCGCCTCCGACGAGTTGCGACAAGGCTGCGTGGCCGCGAGCCAATCTGGCCAGAGGAGTGCTCCTGCACGATCTAGGGCCACACGTCCACAGCATTATTAATAGAGGCCCACCCCCGGTGCGCTGTGAATGACTTGCATACTGCTGTGCCTCACGCCCGCTGGAGCGAGGGCGTCGTTCACTGCGTCTCACGTCCCCACCGGCTTTCCTTGGTCCCAACTGTGGCCGGCTGCGAGGGGCTCTGTGCTGCGCGCACAGTGCACCGGCTGCAGAGTCTGCACCAGCGTTTTCGTCGAATCACACTGCCTGAGTGAAGTTCCTTTCTTCAGGACTGGCAAGCTAGTGCGGCTAGTCCAACGGCAGACCTACAGGTGGATGGGTAAGAACACGAAGACTAAACACCATGCGCAGGAGCTGCAAAAGGCAAGCAAGGCGACGTACACCCAACACGAACTTCCATGGGAAAGGCATGCATGGCAATGTCGAAGTTCGAAGTCGATGGTCATGTGCCACCACACCACTTCCAGAATCAGCTCAGAACCAGGTCAACAACAGAGCTGCAGTGGAGAAAACATGTTATTTCGTGGTATCCTCATATCGAATACCCCCCTCACATAACGCTAACCGGACGACTGGAACTCGAAGATTTACCCCTCAGACTCTACCCTAGTTGAGATTGCTCCCTGAGATCTGCTCTGCTGGGATGCCGTTGGCCGCCTGCGCCAGGTTCTTCTCCTCTTGCTCACCGAACGAATCCCTTCCCTCCGCAAAGACCTTGTCGAAGTCGTACTCGAACCACCTGATATCTGGGTTGAGACCAGCGAACTTCCATTCGCCGTCGACCTTCTTGTACCAGTGTGTGTTTGCGCTGTGTGCGTGGCCCTTTACTGCAACAGTCGAGCGGGTCTCATCCGTGTACCTCTGGTGAGGAACGCGCAGCTGGTGGTATCCGGTGATCTCGTCCTCCGCAGTCTTCTCCCACCGTGTGCCACCGATGAAGTGTTGTGTCTTGAGGAGAGGGTTGCCGAGAACGGCGGGGTCGGAGGCCATTGTGACGAACTCCTCTGCGGGCATGGTCTCCCAGATCTTGTCCAAGAAAGAACGGTAGTCGATCCTCAATGTTGGGGCGATGCACTTGCGCAGGCGGTCCCAGTCCTATCCGTCGTCAGCGCTATGAACTGCAATGTAAGAGAGCAACGTACCTTGCTGTCGTAGCTATCTGCCCACTCGTAGACTGCGGTCTGGCAACCCATGACATCGTCAAAGGTAGGCTTCAACTTTTGTTGCGACATGATGAACTTGGTATGTGTGAGTTGGTGTGCAGTTTGCTTTGGTGTAAAACGATCGAATTGAATTTGGTATACCACTGTTCTACGAACGACTTTTATCCTCTATATATCTGTCTTGCGTGCGATTCAGATGTCGAAACATCTGCTACGCAAGGCTTCGGCTCCCCGCCTGGCGGCATCCGGCTTCGGTTCCTGAGAGGCTGCTCCGATGGAAATACTGCGGTCGAAACGGGGCCGACACCAATTTTAGGGCATGCCATCTGTGCTGTGTTTCGAAATGCCCGAACGACTTGATAGTGAGGGTCGCAGTCGCTCTTGCTTCACGCGATGGTGCCGGAAAGGGGTGGCGCACGAGCCACGCAGCGAGAGAAGCCGCACGGAAGAAAAGGATTGCCGTAACACCATCAAGCCTCTACTCACCACAACTTGCACTCACGTAGCGAGAGAAGCCGCCCGGAAGAGAAGGGTTGCCGCAACACCATCATGCCTCTACTTACCACAACTTGCACTCACGCAGCGCTCCATAGAACGCATAGAAGTCGTCATTACGGATGCGGCTTTAGGTCACGTACTAGTGCTGCCCTTCACCAATTTCGTGGGAATATCATGGCTCTTACCTACGGAGCTGAAGAGCAGCCCGCAAGTACCTGGGGGCAATCAGGGCAATGCAACTAATTCTACCAATATTAAATACAACAAAACCATTGATGTTCTGGAAAGCTCATAGCCTTGCGATGCGCGCTGCACTCGTCCGTAATTGCTTCTACAATAGCGGTACCACGATTGCGACCCTTTTTGACATTACACCTCACAGAGCAATGGAGCATGAGTTTACTCTCAATGGAGACATTGTCTACCACAGCATGGACTTCTGCCGGTCAATGAAGTCTTGAGTCTGCCACGGCTCTTAACGAGCGAATAGCGACCGCATATGTTGCACAGAACCCCTGCCATCAGCTCACCTCTGCATCCTCAGCTGCGCGCTTTCGCAACGTCAGGCTCTCATCCTTCCTCATCCTATCTCGCGAATTTCTTTCACTCACATCGAAGATGTTGCTTGTTTGGATGCTGCTGGCCTTCGCCCAAGGCGCCACTTCAACAACTCCAGTCACAGAAGTCGCGTGGTATTCGGCCCCCAATTATCGTGGAACATGGGACCTGATCGTTTCCTGCGTGCTGACGCTGGTGATTTGTGTCTGGTCAGCCTTGCACCTTAATGTTCCTGTCGAAACGTCAAGGCTCAGGGAGCGCAACAGCAGACGACTACGCTGGGTCCTACTCGGCATTTTCGCGCCTGAGGTGGTGGTCAGTACTGCATTTGCGCAATTTTTGACTGCTAGGTGGTTGAGGAACGAGATACGAGCAGACATCGAGGATCGCAATAAAGACAAGGTAAGCCTGACTTGTTGCAGGAAGACTGTGACGACTACTCGTATACTCAGGATACTGAGCTTTCACCAAAAGCCAACGATGATTAACATCCACAGGGAACAAGATCTTCCATGTCAGAGAAAGAAAGAGTCTCCGAGGGGTGGAGCATGTCACAATGCTACTTCGCTGTTATGGGTGGCATCGTAATCGAAACGGGCGATTACATCGCGGCCCCTTCACCTTTGAGCATTACAGCAGAAGGTGCACGACTCCTCTCCTTTTTGAACAAATTGCCGCAGATCAAAGAAAGCGAGGTCCGCGATAAAAGCAAGGCAGATGGCCTAGCTAAGATTCTGGTCGTTCTGCAGGCAGGCTGGATGATCATTCAGTGTATCGCGCGGGTTGCGCAGGACTTACCGGTGACTCTGTTGGAAATCAACACCATCGGCCACGTCATTTGCGCATTCGCTCTATATATATTATGGTGGAGCAAACCATTGGGCATCAAGGATCCGTACAAGATTGTGGGAGAGCATGGACTAGACAAGCACATCGCTTTGATGTACATGTGCAGTCCAATCAGCGCCGACCGAGAGGACGAGATCAGCGAGATACGTTGCCTGGCGTATGTTGCACCTGACGATCGATCACCGACAACGACAACGGCGAAACCTGACTCCAGAATCCAAGAAATCCCTGTGCCGAAATCACATTCAACAAGATTCTCAGTCGGCTCTATAGGAGCAAGAGACCCGCTCAAGTTTATTGGACCGCTGCAAAAGATTCAAGTCGGTGTAGACGCCAATCACGACGTTCAATACATGTACAAGTGTGAGAGAATAGCTCCAGAACACGAAGAATTCTTCCGATTACAAGACCGCAACCATTGTCTTCAGCACACAAGAGACTACTGCCGCAGAGGCTTCAAGGATTGCAAGGACCGTAGCAAACTTTCAGGACAAGCGAAACGACGATGGACCCTCGCAAATGACATAGTCCAAGAGCTATGGGACGAATGCGACAAACGCAAGGACTATATGAAGGTGTTCTTCACACACTCTACCTTGGGAATCTTTGTGGGCGAGCCCATCTACATCGCAGACCACATTCCCAACTTTCCTGGCTTTTCCTTCTTGGGTAGTGTGAACGTACAGCGCGATATCTTGAAGACTGTCGTTGCTTTCGCCGGCGCTGCGTACGGTGGTCTGCACCTTGCTGCTTGGAACGACTACTTCCCAACAGCAGTCGAAAGGATCATATGGATATCATGCTCCTGCGCTACAGGACTTACAGGACTTGTGCTGGCGCTTTTCTTCCTTGCAACGAACCAGCTCCCACAGCTCGAGAATGTAGAGAGCCATGTGCGCAACAGCAGAACGTTTAGATTCTTCTTGAAAAGGGTGCTCATCCCACTGTTCATGACAGCAAGAGTCTTCATTGTAGTCGAGGCATTTGTCTGCTTGAGACGCCAGCCAGAAGCCATCTACAAAACGCCGGAGTGGAGCAACTACTTTCCTCATCTATGATCGTAGGATCATATGCTCATTTCGCCCCTACTCCGTTTCGATGGATCTGCTGTTCCTCCCTCTGGCGCCTCGAACACTTGGCTATCACCCACGAGATACGGTTCTATAACTGGCGAAACCGATCTCGTACCGAAGTGTGAACGTAGCGACTCTCTAAGACTTGGTGCTGGAAGGCTTGAAGTGCCGCTCATCCTGGACTCGAGTGTGCGCCCCCTGGTATCGACCGTTTGAAGCGAGACAATGTCTTCGCCTCGCATAGCCTCGTATTTGCTCTTTACGCCCCTCTGCCCTCTCGAATAGAAGAAGACTGCAGCTGCCGCAAAGAGTAGCCCTGCGACAAACCCCCCTATGATGGAGCCTACGATGACGCCCACACTAGGTGTGGTTTCCACATATTTACCCAGCGAAAGGAAGCTGTCACAACCTAATGGCTCCAGGTCACTCTTCTCGCTTGCTTTGGGATTTCTTCTCGCCGCACCATACTCCTGCGTTACCTCGTCCCATCGCAGAACAATCGAAGCGGTGAACAATTTGCCCAGTACTGGCACGCCTTGGCCGTATGCACCCCAGCTACCAGTCTCGATTCCAAGCGGCTGTCCGCTCGGGTCTTTCACATCTTCCACTCCAGCCCTTGGTAGCATAACGTCCACTTCCAGGTCGCCCGTAAGCTTGAACCTCAGGAAGCTGCTGCTGTTCTTCGGGAGGCCTGCAGAGGTGGCAGACCATTCAAAAGCCGCTTTGACGTCTGCACCAACTACCTCAGGCAGTTTTGTGTATGCATCCGTTGGAAGAACCAAGGACATCACGCCCGGATCGATACAGGCAACAAACGCGTCATCGAGCAGTGCCACTCCCGCACTGCTACCGTCAGAATAGTAGTCGAGCGTCTCAACCTTCGCCTGCAACAGACATGGCAGCCCGCCATCTTTGTCGCGATCCGCAAGCTTGAAGTTCTGAAACTCTCCAGTATACGCATTTTCATCCACACAGCCCAAACACAAGCTGTCGTTTGACAAGCTCCAACTCTTACTAGGCACCATGCCCTCACTATACAGCGCCTCCAGCAGCCTCGAACCCGGCGTCAGACTCAGTACCGAGCTACTCAAACCACCGAACGTCGCACCCTCATCCGGCAAAATGAACGAGGTCGTTAAATTCCGCTTCTCAGGTAGTGCCGCGTTCTGCTGCACATACGCCTCCAGATAATCCGCAAACACAAACTTATCAGTCATGAAATGCCAGTCCGAGAACCTTGCTCTCTTGAACCACGCCTCGCTGACGGGGCTGTTCGTCCCATTATCAAAGAAACTCGTCGACAAAGTGGGCACGAAGCCTCCTCCATATATGCCGGCACACACTATCTTTCCGTCTCGGCCATTCCATCTCGTGGCGTTTGCAGGCCTCGATGCGTCGGCGGCGTATATGCAGGAATCTGTGTAGCGCGGGATGAATGGCGTGTCGAGTGAGAGCGAAGGAGTAAGGACGAGCTGTTGTGGTGGTATGCCTATGGAGATGGGTATGCCATGAGAGAATGTTCCAGGGGCGACTGAGATGGTGCGGAGCGGGAGGTTGAGGGGAGGTGCGGCGCATTGTACCGCTTTCACACCCGCTCTAAGGGCTGGAAGCACCCAGACCCAGTGTTTAAAACGCATCGTAACGAGCGGCAACCTCGAATGGTCGCAAGAGTTAGACAACGAGTTCATCAATCCATCTGCCCTGACACTTCCAATACCTGTCGTGCCGTGACCGTCAAAACGCTAAATTTGGGATGAAGCAGAAGGAGGAAAGTAAGTGCGGACCTCCCAGCTTTCGGGAGCCTGCATGCACACTCACCTACCCTTTCAAGCCATCATCCGCAGGCCCACGTCACCTCCGCCCAGCCAGACGTTCAGCCGCGCTGGGCATACATAGACGAGTATTGGCCTTTGTACAGTCAGCCGCTACGCTTACCACAACGTACAGAAAGCGACTGTGATAGGCGGGTGGGTCTGTGCCATCCCTGTCGCTAATTTGTGGGCGAATCGGGGGGTGCTTGGTATGCATGGATCGGTGTGAAGCTGTGCTGTGAAAGACTTTGAGAGCACAATTTGAAGTAGTTGCGTAGTCGGAATAGGCAGATTGAAGACGTATACTTGCGAGGCCGCATCGTTGCACGGAGCGTGGTCTGCTCACTGGCAGCAGAGGCGGGACATGGGTATGAAGCGAAGGATGCCGAACCTTGAGGGTGGAGATTCACGGGGTGGATTGGTGGATTAGAGATGCAGAATAGCAGGCTTTAAGTAACAACTCCAAGTGTCAGCTTCGACCTGGAGAATTGATCTTCTCTTGAAATTCCTAGATCAGTGACCGGGCTCTGGAGCTCATCGACTTGCTTCCACTCTTGTCTGTTAAACTTCGCTCCTTCTCATTCTTGTTGCGGTTTACTCTCCTGGCTGACTGGAGACCCATCAGTCCCTTTTACTTTGTCTATTTTATGGGTAATAAGGGCGTGATCGAAAGTTGATAGCGGAGTCGCACGTAAAGTAGGTACTCGACAAAGGTTTGAACATACAAAAAGGACTGAGTTCTATTAGCGAAGAGTTATGCACCCATAATTTTTCAGCAGAACAAACTGATGCTCAAAAGCCGTGCTTATTCACTCAACCTTATTTTGATCTTAATCATCACGCGCCTGTCGTCAACCTTTGTGACGGTCATCTTTCCATTCGATCTTGGTGCTCAGCAGCCAGCTCAGTTGGTGCAGACGACGCAGGCAGTTCGACCGGCGGGAAGAGCGCAGGTAGTTCCTCGACTTGAGCGCGAGAGAACTTCGCGTCATCCGCTGCCTCGTGTACCCTTGACGTGTCGTCGAGTTGGGCCTTCGTGCATATATCTGGGTCCTCATGCTCTTTAGTCTTCCTAGCCTTTTGTCGTTGTCTCCAACGCAAGATGACCCAGATTGCGATTCCGGTTATCATTAGGCCAGCTATACCACCAGCAATACTCCCTGCAATAGTGGCTGTTGGTGTTGGGGATGCTGATGCATTGCCGGAAGAGGAGTCAGCTAGTACAAGATATTAGCAAATCGCTCAATCGTACCACCGCAGATTGCATACTCGCGCCTGTCACAATCGGCCTCAGTAACTGGACTGATGCGGGTAGGAAGGCCCCTGGGCTTGCACACAAGTTTTTGCCGTTGGAATTGAAACCAGTGGAACCAGACTCGCAGCAGAAATATCCACCATTGTCGAGGAGGTCCCACGAGGAGTTGGCACAGACTTGTTTTGGAGCAGCCAGTAACTCCTCGGTACAGTTTCTGCCAGTAGGGCAGCAGTCGCTGTTGTAAATGTTCTGACACTCGTATGCAATAGGGCAGCAGGCTCGGAACGGGAACGTCTTCAGACCGCAATCACGCTCGATGTCAGCGGCGAGACAGGAGCCATTACGGCGAATGGCGAAGCCCTGTTGGATTGTCATGTTATAATGTGGTTGCAGACAAAGTCTGTCATATCTTAGACAGGAGCTGAGCATTATAACAGATTGCAGCAACCTCGAGGCTGACCGTGTCACAGCGGCGGTGATACGCGCAGTGGTGCAATACAGTGCTCAGCGAATTAGAATTCGAGAGTAACGATGCCGTACGTCAATAGTAACGATGCCGTACGTCGATAGTAATCAATACCAGGGTTCGAGCTACTGGAGAAAGAAAATGGGGAAGGCAAGACAGGTCGAGTTTCGATTGGAGCATAGGCGCTGGCTGCAGGACCTACACACATAGGTATTTGTAGTTGGTGGAGGTTGTACTAACGCCTGAGGGGTACTACACAGAAGTCCGTCCAGCTAGAAATTACCGGTAGTCAAGAATGTCGTAAAGGTACTCAAGAGGAGATGTACTGGACGTTGCAAAAAGACGGAGAAAAGCGCAAATAAGAGTGTAAAACTCATCTTGGCGTCTGGTGCTCAGCAGGGAGCTCGACCGGCGCTGATTGCGCGGGCAGCTCTCTGACATGACCATATGTAACCTTTCCAGCTCCTGCCTCATATATCCTTTATATATCTTCGAGCTGATGTGCAGTGTAAACGCCTTCGTTGCCGTTCTCGTCCATCTTCTGTACCGCAAGGTAAGAGTTCTGAGCCATGTTCTGTCGTTTCCGGCGCACAATAAGCCAGGCGATGAGCGCAAGTATTGCTAAGCCAGCGATGCCTCCCACAACGCCTCCTGCAATGGCACCGACTGGTGTTGAGGATCCGTTTTAGGGTGATGTCGACGGTTGTGCAGGCGTTGTTGTTGCTGCTGTGGTCGCGGGGGAGGTGGACGACGCAGTCGTGGCTGTGGCGGAGGAAGTGCTGGCGCAACCGATGAAGAAGATACAGCAGCTAAGGATCATTGTCAGCATATTATCCTGTGCGCCGAAACAAAACTGTCGTATTTTCACCTGCCGCGACCAGCTCCAATAATATGACCTTGGGCGAGGTTTTTGGACTTGCGCAAACATTCGTGTTGCTGTTGTTGTACACGGGCAAGCCATGCTCACAGCAGAAGTATCCTCCATTGTCGTACAGATCCCATGACGAGTTTGAGCATCTTGGAGTCTCGATTATCTCAATTGTACAGTTCTTCTCGGCAGGACAACAATCAATGTTGTGTGCTTGTGGACATTCGTAGCCATTGGGGAGGGCCCTTCTCAACCCATGGGTGACCTTATTTGGGCGCTCGTAATAGGCGCAGTAGCATCATGTCGAGGCTGGCGAATTGGCGCTCGTAAGTCGCAAAGTGTTCGGCCAACGGATACTCATGTTAAGATGCAAAAAGTTTGGAGGTGATGAAAGGAAGGCAAGGCTGACAACACGAAGTCTGGTTGCGACGCGTCACTCCGCGGATGCACGTGGGCCAACTGCGGGATCTAGCAATTAGGAAAGGAGCCACCAACATTCATACAGTTTTATTATTTGGACCTATACAAGCGTGAGTTGATATACAAGCTTTCTACCGGTTACTCTTCCTCAGAAAGAGCGCGGAGCAGAGGTACGTTTCACGAAGAAACGACTCCTAACGCCTATTTATAAACCAGCCGCCATCGTTGTCCCATTCGACCCTGCAACGCGCATCTTCCCCTAATATCCTCAAAGTCCTCTGCCTACGTGAACTTTTCGTTAATCCCTATGTCATCGTCCCATACTCCTTAACGGCTACACCACCTTCTACCCTATCATGGACATAACAAAGTCCATAATCCCGGCCCCATGTGCAGGTCGCAGCTTCCCATCGAACCCTGAATGGTCGTGCCAGCGACATCGATTCAGTAAGGTCATTGTGTACCTGTCAAGTGGACGCTTGCCCCGTTTTTGCATAAAGGTCTGCAGCACGTCATGCAAGAACTCAACCGTATGAGATTCTTTGTAGGCTCCCGAATCTTTCGTAAAAGATTCCAGTGTGTGGCTCAGGCTGATCCAGTCGATGAGAAATGCACGCAGCTTAGATCTAGGCAAGCTGTTGTCGTACACGTGCTTGATGACATGATGGGTGTTTGCCACTCAGCCACCCAACGTTCATGGAGCATATGAAGCGCACTGTTGCCCAGTCTAGGAATATCTCGGAAATCAGAGAAGACCCAAATGTCGCATAATAGTTTGGTGTCAAGATAGTGGTGTTCGAGCGGTGTTTCTGCGCTCGGTGGGTCCATGAGTCTGCCAGTGTATATCCAGCAGTAGAACGTGTCGAAAACTTTGTGCGCGCACTCTAACACCACGACTCGCACACTGCTGTTTGCGAACTAGCTGTGCTTGTCTAAAGCCGCCGTGAAGTATGAGGAATGCCAGGGAAGTAGTTGACGGGCGATGGTGTACTCTTTGGTTGATGGGCCGTCATGCACGCGAATGACGAGATCTTCGGCATTGTAACTAGAGCTAGCCCATTTAGCAACGAAAATCCTCTGGCTCCCTGAGATCCCACCTTGGAGGCGCAGGAACGGGCACTGTGCAGATTGAGAGTTTCACCGACTGGATCGCTGTCCATTGAAGTGGTGGGGCAGCTGAACCCATCACTTGAGATTATATGCGTCGCAGGTTCTTGCAGTTCGATACAAGTTGAAGTCGTGCTCGATGTATGAGTAGGAACGAGAGTGTGACGCAATGGAAGACGAGATTAAGGGGAGAACACAGCTAAGACCTTGCAGCACAATGTGAAGGTCGTGTTCTGAGACTTTCCCGCTGTGAGACACTTTCACCATCATCTTCAAGGGGTAAACCCATGCGAAGACTACGACATGATTTTCGTGATACTTAAGCTATCATCTGATGCTCACTGAATGACTCCAAAGGTTGATTGGTGGTGATTGTGCAGGCCTTTCTATAATGCGAGCACAGTGCATTGTTCTCTCGTCGGTTGCACAGTAGAGAGCGGTCCAATCGTCAAGCTGGTGATTCATGTGTAGGCCTCCAACAGCATTTTTACCGGATCTGTCTTTTGTGGCGTTGTCTCCAGAAATGTCTTCCGGAGAGGATGCATTCTCAACTTTGTTCTGTCGTTGTTGACGTAGCATGACCCAGGCGATACGCGCTAAGATGGCAATTCCAACCACATCCCCGATTATCCTGCCTACGATGGCGGCGTTCGAGGATGATGCGGAGGAGACTTCAGATTTACTTGACGATGATGATGACAACGATGGAGCAGCAGCTAGGTTCAACGTCAGTGTGTTTTTCACAAAGGTGATTCGAATCGCTTACTTTGTTCAATTGTGAGTGTAGGTAGCAGTATCACTCCACTTATCATCGGAGCTTCTGGGTTTGAGCACAAGCTGTACCCACTTTTAATGTATCCCAGCAAGCCACTCCCGCAGCAGAAATACTCTCCGTTATCGTATAAAGCCCACGAAGAGATTGCACACAGTCGTTCAGGTGCACATTTCGTCCGTGGGGAACAGCATCTGAAATTGTATGTTCCCATGTAGGAGAAAGCGCTCGGACAGCACACACTAAAGGCACCCGGTGACACACAATCATGTTCGATATCGGGGAGGCAGGAGCTATCGCGGAGGATGGCGGCGCCTTGTTGAACGAATGGTTTGTCAGATGAGAAAGGAGTTGAGGACCATGTAAGAGAAGGGCCTGATTCAATTGACGACGACGATGACGGAGCGGCGGCTACTCTGTCATGTTTGAGTAGAGGTTTGGTTCAAGACTGCTCACCTTCGCTCACAGCAAGTGTAGGCAACAAGTTTGTCAGAAACATTGTGCCGGCAGAGCCTTATTGAACAGTCATTTTTCGCGATAGCATCAACGTTCCCTCACTTACAAGACCGTCAGAGGCAGGAGGTGCTGAGCCCTATAAATAGATTGTGAGGTTGGAGAACAGTAACACCGCGACGGTGATACATGGGCAGTGCACCACGCTGCGCGACGAAACCATGAAGCTGTGTTCGATGATTAGAGATACTGCAAATGTTGAGGGAGAAGAAGAGAACGTGAGACAAGGCGCATTGAGGTCAACGCACGTGGACTAGCTGCAGAACACCTAAATGTAGAAGGTACGAACAGGACGCTAAACAACACGGATGTGCGCAACATGATACTGTATTACTCACCCGGCTAAAAATAACAAGATTGCCCTCTCTCGGCCGTCTTCATTCCTACATGTATGCTTGACCTTAAAAGTCATGCATTGCTTCCCCTGAAGTGCGCTATATCTTCAAACGACACCCGCTACACTCGACGGGTGCTCGGAATCTGCTCCGGCCATCCATTGTGTGCGTATGCTAGTATGCCTTGGTGGCTATCATAGGTAATCGGAATTAACGAGGCCGTCCGTTGGCCGGTGTGTTGTGCAGCCGGTAACGGACTGCTCATCGGTGGTCTGCAATAATGTGTTCCTTAACCTCTCGAAAGGTCAAACTCGTCGAAAATGAGGCTGTTCCTTCATGGGATCAGTCCATCGCCCTTGTCAGTCAACCCAGGTGTCGGTAGATCGGTCCTCGGCGTCGGGACTTGCGGCAACAAACTCTTCATCATGTAAACAAGGTCCGCAGCTTTGAATGGCTTCTGCATGACCCTGTCCGCACCAGCGGTCATTGCAGCATCAATCTGCTCTTTCCTGACATTGGCAGTGACGGCGATGATTGGCAATCGGTCTCCTCCTCTTGCACCCAGCTTCATAGCCTCTCCCAGCAGGCCCTCTTCGGCAACCTCTTTCTCGCGAATCTTGCGCATCGCAGCCAGGCCGTCGAGGACAGGCATTTCCAGGTCCATGAGCACGACATCAAATGTCTCTTTCTCCAGAACATGCAATGCTTCCAGACCGTGGTTTGCGACACTGACCACACAACCTGCTCTCTTGAGCTGCTTCCCAAGGACTTTCTGGTTGATCAGATTGTCCTCTACAAGAAGCACCTGCAATGCTTGCTGGACTCTCTTCTTTCCAAACTCGTTGTACAGTTCACTAATGGTCTGCGGTCTATGCTCTGCTCTTCTCGTCTTCACGTAAAAACCAAACGTAGAGCCTTGACCAAGTACAGAAGAGACACCAATCTCACCACCTTGCTTCTCAGTGAGTTCCTTTGAGATGAACAAGCCAAGACCGCTACCGCCATATTTGACATGAGTTTTGACGTTAGCTTGCTTGAAGCGCTCGAAGATGTTGTGAATTTCCTTGTCTTTGAGACCAATGCCAGAGTCCTTCACACTGAAGGCAAGGTATACTTCTTCTCCGGTGCCCCATTCTGGACTCCTTGTGACGTCGTTGTCGAGATTACTAGCTGTGGCCCAGAACATGTCGGAGGGAAAAAGATCGCGAGGGTTGTGGAGGCAGGCGCCGAAGTGGATCTCAATGCGGGGGTTGCTGGAGGGCTTTACAAACTTGATAGCATTGGTGAGAAGGTTGATGAAGACTTGTGTTACTCGTGACGGATCCAGCAGGAGATGGTCGACATTGAGCCTTGTTAAAGACTGGTCGTCAAAGACGCTGTAGTTGATTTGGTTATTCTTCAGTTCGGCTTCGAAGATATTGACGATCGAATTGGCTAACTTTGCAGGCTTGACGGGAGTTGGGGTGATCGAGAGTAACATGGAGTCGAGTTTGCTGAGCGTAAGAACGTCGTCGATGATGCGTTTTTGGTGATTGGCGCACTGTAAGATGATATTTGCTGACGCAATATTGTCGTTCAGTGCATCCATGCACGGCTCGGGAATTTTTGAGAGCTGAGCCTGGCATTCTTCAATCGCAGATGTGATGGCATCTGCGCAATGAACGATGGCGCTCAGAGGATTGCGCATCTCGTGCGATACAACATCGATAAACGCTTCCTGCTGTCGCTTAGCTTCGCGAGCTTCTGCTGCTAATCGAGCTTGAAAGCTCTGTGCCCATTTCAATCTGGAGATGTCGGTTGTACAGGCCATGATGGACTTGATCTCACCGTTCTCGCGGTAAGGGAAGGCCATGATATGGATGTGAGCTGGCTCAGAGTCGCCAACAGGTGGTTTGTATTGGCGCTTCACACGCAGTTCAGCCGTAACGTGATCTCCACCTGCTAAGAGTTTGTCCCAGACACCCACTGCCTTTGATCGGTAGCTGTCGTAGTATACATCGAGGAATGCAAAAGGCTGCGTGTGTTGAGCGGCGTTTTTCCCAGCTAGTTCGTAGTAGTGATCGTTCGCCCACAACATATCTCCTTGCAGCGATACATGGCACATGCCCACTGACGCATGACTGATCAAATGTCGAAGCTTCAGATCGCTGAAAGCCAGGTCTGCTTCGAGTTGCTCCTGACGTTTCTTGGAAGATTCGGAGTCCAAGGCCGAAGATATCATGCTCGAGATCATATGTCTGAGGTCTCGGTGAAATTGCTCGCAGTGCGTATCGTATGGCCGAAAGGGATTCGGTCCGGCGACCAAGTATCCAAAGAGACGCGTACCACTTGTCAAAGGCATAATAACAATCTGCTCTGATCGCCCACGCCAACCTTGCCATTGTAGCCCATCGAATCGCTTGTCGCAGTGGATTGTCAACATCTCAGTACCAGCGCGCCGTAAGTCTGGAGCCAATCCTTCTTCACTCTCGGTCGATATATGGTCAGCAAGTAGATCATGCCCCTCAGGTATTCCAATATGGCCTTCCAGATGCAACTTGCCTGCCTTCGTTCCATCATGTATCCTGTACAGCAGCGCCATGGGCACATCGTGGGTATTCGTCTTCAGGGTCGCGAGTATATGATCGGAAACGGCATCGACAGTAAGGATCGGTACCGATGTGAGGGCGTTGAGCATCATCGTGCGGCGTTCATCGAGCTTCTGTTGCGTGACTTCGAACATAGAGTTGTAGAAACCCTCTGGCGCATACGCAGGGCCCACTGGCACGAAGTTGCCGTTGAAAAATGTCTCTTCGCGCCACCCTTTGCGCTCTACTAGCAGTGATGCGTCTGAAGAGTAGTTTACGCCGGCAGCCGTTGTCCTGCATTGCTCGAAGAATGGTTGGATACCGCTCCATAGCTCCGGATAGCCTTGCTGGAAGGTTGATCCCATAAGTTTTGGGTGAGCTTTGCAAGCAAGCGGTGCGTAGTGTTCATTGTATACGGCGACTAAGTCTTTGCCCCTGTTCAAGTCAGTTGCGTGTGGTGTAAAATCGGTTTCACGAGCCGAAGGACAAGTACTGTGGAAGCCATCCATATACATACCACCATAGGCACGCTGCGCGCGAATCGGCCAGTACGAACCCTGTGAAGAGTCGCAAGGTTGGCGACCACGTACTCAGTGGTCCAAGACTACTCTTGCTCCAGTCGGTTTCCCTAAAGAAGCGCACATGGTCCGTCTTGGGCAGGTCTTCAGTCCAGTCGTGCTCAACAGCATGCTGAGCACTGAGCATTGTCAAGGTCGCAACATCTCCGCTCTCGGGCGGCGGAGTTTGCTGTTGGCTGCGCTGAGTGAAGCCATCCATGAGACGGTGCGGCAACACAGCAACACAGCAGAAGTGTCTGTCAAGAGCGAGGCAACACCGACATCTTCAACGCCGGCACGTTGCAAGTGGGACTGGTACTCTATCGCAGCCCATCTCGGCGCGAAACATGCGGGCTTTCGTCCGTGCAACTTGGCGTGTGCAAGGCGGTCGGTACTCAGATCGATCGACCGAGCATCGTGGGTCTCGTACCAGCGCGCTTTCTGACTGGCGGCGGAGCCTCGACACGACACCACCACTCGTCAAACTTCACTTCAAGAATCATGGACATGTAATTGTTACTGCAATCTGGTCGCGCTGCATGCTGTTCGCCTCACAAGTGCTGTCTGAATGTTGAAGGTGCCGTGTGTGGCCCAACACAACCGAATTGCCACAGCATTCATTGGGTGCGGTAAATGTTCTCAGAGCATTTCGAATGATCTGGCTCGCGAACAAAGGATGCAAGGCCCCTGAGACTGCCCTCCAACTCGCTTGCGAGAAGCTGCATTGTACGGAAGAAGTTTTGATTATTGTTCACCACTCACGGATAACGTTCGAGACAGGTTCTGTTTGCAAGCATCAGACTGCAAGTTGCACACCGCATGCAGACGTGCCCGAGCAAATACCTGATATCAGGCTCAACGACTGGCTAGCTCCAGACGTTTGAGCCTCTTCAAGTAAGTCTGTCGATGATGCAGCGCGTGAATCCGGCGAAGCTCCAAGCAGCCGGGATGGCTCTCGACGAGCAGGCATCTTGATACAGCACGATCATGCCTGTCTTTCTATCACAAATGCCACGGGATATGAACATTTCAAATTGCAAGAACGAATCGTATCGCTCGGCAGTTGCGCTCCGCCAAGCTGTACCCTCCGCGGCCCCATTCATAGTCGGGCAACCAAAGTGTCGGCAAAGCTTCTTCACCCCACAATCCACTGGTGCACTTTAGGGGTACACTTATCTACCAGAATACAAGCCGCGAGAACAAAGCAACATTGGATTGAAAGGCCTTCAAATGATTGAAGATAACGCTAACAACGCGGGCCACGGTATGCTCAATGCCAAACAGTTCATGTCCTCAAAGCGCGGACTCAATCGAAGTGAATCCTCCACATCTCCCTATCGCAATCCGACTCATATGCACTCCTAGTGTGCAGCATAGCAGTGTTGTCGCTGACCAACAGATCTCCCTCCTCCCAGCTGAACCTCAAGCAGGAGCGCCAATCATAGATACCGGCATTGATAACATCGATCAGCGCCTTGTCCTCGTTCTCAATGAAGACGTCGCAAGTCGAGTACTTCGTCTTGTTCCAGGGTTCGTGCCAGCGAAGGCAAGGCTCACCGGTAACTGGGTGCCTGACGACCAGGCTAAGTTTCTCCTGATCCTGCTTCCAAAACCCGGTATTGTGCGTGCCCCATGTCACGGGTTCAAGGCGCTCGACCGTCCAGGGAGGGGAGAGGTAGCGGAAGAAGAGACGTGATGCAGTGAAGAGAGTGTAGCCGCTTCCTTTTGGTGCTGTGGCAATGCAGGTGAAGTACTGGTAGCCAGGAGGGTTCAACACCTTTGTGATCTCGCCAGTGACCGGGTCAGCGACATCTTTGTACTTGAAGATACCATCAAAGTGCATGGGCATCGCCTCGTTGGAAGTGACGTTGTTAGCATTCTTGTCGTCCTTTCCTGCGTCTTTGACTTTGGCCATGACGCCGTACTGAGGCCATACGAGGACCTCGCCCAGGTTGTGGGCACTGTTGATGAATGTCTCTTGCTCGGTGGTGTTGGAGAAACCACGAAGAACGATTGGAGAGAACATGTTCGTCAGATTGCGGACCTTCTTCATGGGGATGGTGGTCATGGAAGGTGCACCAGTGGTAGGGCGGATGATGAGGCCAGTGGGATAGAGATGTTCAAAGGTGGCATCGCAACCATCAGCGCTCCAGTCAAAGAGTTCTGACTTGGCACGGAAGAAGTATGGCCGACCGTTATGGTGAATGAGCTCATATTTCTCCTGGTCGACAGTGTGTCTCTGCACTGAACGGTAGCTGCCGTCCAGCTCCGCAACTACGACAGAGTGCCATGGTGTGGCACCCAGCGCACCTCTCTGCTTCTGTGGAATGAGCGCCATCGAGAGCTTATCCTTGCCGCCAGAGTCGTGGATTGAAAGACGAACATAATCGGTACGGCTCGCTTCAAGCGCAGCGGCGAACGCCTTCCAGCGACCCATCATCGCCTTCGCTGTGTCCGCGATCATGACATCCTGCTCTTCTGGAGACTTTGCCAGCCAATTCTTGTTCAATAAGAGATCTGACTTTAGGAATTCGAGGTACTTGGTGTGGGTCATCTGCATATCACTGCTGGATTTGTTGGCCATGTCAGCCTCGAACTGTGGGTCTCCGTAACGTTCCTTCAGCTCTTGGCGGATGTTCGATGCGTTTGCCAGGTAGTGCTCCTTTGACCATGTTCCAGGAGTGCCGAGCAAATCCCACAGGCGCAGGAAACTCAGGTGGTGCAGGTCGTTCTCGATGGTAATCTGGCGGACGGCCTCTCCAAAGTTCCAAACATCCTCGTCAGGAACACCAAGCAAATCTAAAATCGTCAACCAATGCATATCTAAACAATCAAAGCAGGGGACCTACCGTTGTATACGAGCCCATCTGATGTAATGTGAACCTCGGCTCCATGCTCGTAAACTGCCTCGATGTTCTCACAAAGCCCGTTGAGGTGCTTCAAGGCAAGCTCCTCTCCAAGGTCAGGTAGTTTGCTAAGGACCTTGTCCCTTGAGTTGGGCGATTTGAAGGGGAAGCCAGGGAGGAGCATCTTGACAGGTTCACCGCGTGAAACCTGCCCCAACACAATGGGAAAGAACGTTTCAAAACCATCCCATGATCCTGTTCGCTCGTAGTTCAATCCGTACTGTTCGATGATTCGGAGGACTGTAGTAGCAGTTGCCTCATGCTGGCTCGATGGTACTGGAACGTCGTGCTCCGAGACTGAGAGGTCCAGGATCTCAGTCGTGACGATCTGTATGGTTGCTGTTTCAGTCGCTTTGATATCGGCCATGGTGGCGGACTGCGGTGTCTGAATTGAAGTCATGATGAAGACGGAAATTGACTAAGAAAGGGAAACAAAGAAAAGTATTTGAGAGGAAGGGCGGAATGATGTTTGAATGATGTGTTGATTGATGAGATAAACTCCATGCTCAGGAGATTTCTTCAACTAATATAACATTCGCATTGGTGGTGTTGTGGCGCGACTGCAACCTTACCCAGTCCAGCTCGCACGTAGCGGCAGGGCTGAGGCTCAGCCGCAACGCCTCGCTAATGCCCGCCTGAGAGTTGCAGTGGGGAACGCTGACCTGTCATTGTGCAGGTGCTGATGCTATGCGGAGTCTGACCGCAAGGTCTTGGGCGCTGTGTAGCAGGAACAGTTCATAGTTGCACCTGTTTGAATGGCTGTTGGGTGAGGCGCGACTTACAACGCAGTAAGAAGAACGATTGCGGCGTGGTGTCAGAAGCTTGAACAGAATCTCGAACCACATGTTGCCGTGTGTGATCTGACATTAATTCTAAACACGGTACCTAGGTACATTGCCCGCAGTGCCTCATTTGCTGAATTGGTTGGTAAATTCGTGGATGTGAACTGCGATGTTTCGACCGGGTCACACGAGAGTTCAACGAGCCTGTCACCGTTCATGATGCTTAGAGTCTGCCAGGTGATCCAGCGGTGTAGATTCGAAGAGCTGTGGGCATGTTTTCTCATGGCTTGCTGAGATGCATGTAGAGTTGTCGGAGGCTGCGCTGCTGCAGTCACTATTTTCAGGTTGCGGCTCAGCCTCGACTGATCCTTCCCCAGCTCCACGCTAGCCTCGGCTGCACTTGGCAAAACACTGTTCTCGCTCGAGCTCATATCATGATGAACCTTGAATGGAAACTACGAATTCTTACTGCTCGTTCAGCTGGACATATCGGAGCAATGCATGCGCCGGGAGCCTCTCGAGAAGAGCGAGATGGCGCGCCTGAGTCTCAGACATGGCATGGCTAGGTGAGCACGGATCAGAGTAAGCAGGCTACTGCTGTGCCTCTACGAACACATTCTCGGTCTCTCTCCATTGCCGTGTTTGCCATATACCTCACACCTCATCAAGCTATTTTGATATGGAGTCCGGTCTTTCCCAAGTACGTGTACCATTTAATGCTGGGTTGGAGGATCCTCCGGTCACAATACCAGCTTGAAGGGTACCTCAGATAGCATGACCGGAAAGAAACAGCTGGAGAGACTAACCTCGATGGAACGACAATTGCACTATGTTCGCTAGTTCAAATGCTTCACCTTGAAATACATTACGCAACCTTGTTCCGGCTGAACATGGATGGACGAACACTATCGTCATCCGCGCGGAGGAAATCCGTATCTCCATGGCGTTGTATGAGATCTTCTTGATTGAAAAGCTCATTAACGAGACCTCCGAGCTGGATTGCAATAGAGACATTTCGCTCGGATGGGAAGCATTTGGCTCATGGAGCGCAGCGACGCACTTTCGTAGTGGGCCACCACACCTTTGAAGCGATGCTGTGCTACCATGCTGCAGGTAGACAGCGGCTAGAAAAGCCAACGTCGACGTTATTCGACCTGACAGAAAGGTGCAGCTGCTGTGATTCTGTACCGTCTGCTGGGAATGGGGATCAGTCTAGAAGAAGCGGTGAGCCTCTAAGAATGTATGGCCAGCTTGGGTACTTTCATCAATTGCTTCTCCCAAGTCAGTATACCTTTGGGCAACGAGCAGTCCAGTTCTCAGAACAACACGACGAGAAATTGACAGAGCATCATTCCGCGGCATTTGTAGGAGGAGGTTGGTGTTCCGCGGTTGTCAAGACGGAAACCCCAATGAATTTGAAACAAAGCGTCAACGAACCAGCCATCATGTCTTGGGTGGCTTGAAATTGGCGAGCCGGCACACGAGCGCAATCAAGATGCCCTGCAATGCAGCGACATACCAACAGTAACGCAGGAGACATAGAACAAGGAGAAAAAGCAACGAATCGCGTACCCCGCGCTCCAATTGTCGTCAGATCGAGATTCTCCTGAGGTTCTCGGCTCGCAAGTCGGATGCGGAAAAGTGGGCCTCGGGTAGCACGAGATGCAACCAAGGAGATGCGGACCACACCGGAGGCAAGGAGAGATGTTTGCAGCCCGCCAAACGTTGGTGCGTCGCGTACCGCGAAGCTGATCGGGGATAGCGATCGTCTTGATTTGACGCTAGATTCGCGGCGGACCCATACACGTGATCGTGGTGGAACAGCGGCGGTTGTGTCGCGCCTCAGACCTCAACGTCTTCACTGACACTAATTCCACTTGCTGCTGAGCCCGCCCGTTTCGATATACCCCAGGTTCAGGTCGATTGAGTTCGCAAGTTGTTTCTGGATGTCGCCTCACGCCATGCCCATGGCCCAAACAATGCCGGGTATTCCTGCTGGCTCGGCTGGCGTAGATCCCGCTTACTGGACCCACGAGCTGTCGAACGGCTCTTTGTCCCCACGGACATTGCAACCCTCACCAGGACGTTACTCATCAGCCCGTGACAGCACACCGAGTATTACGCCTACTGCGCAGACACCACAGTCAGATAGCAGCCGAAAGAATTCATCTGTAGAGAACGGACAGCAGAATGGTCAGAAAAGCAAGCAGACTAGCGCAGACGCCAATCAAAGAGCGTCCGTCGCCGTCGCGTGTGTCCCGTGCCGCAGCAGGCATCTGAAATGCGATGGTGGTGTTCGTTGTTCAAGATGTCGAGCAGATGACGTCGATTGTACTTACATCAAGTCACGGCGTGGTTGGAAGGGCAAGAGAAAGAACAAGCCAGAGGATCAGATCTCGCCGGTTGCCATCAACGGCACCCAAGCACCTCAGGTTCCCATCAGCAATGGCCACATGGTCAGCAACGGCACCATGGTCGCTGCCAATGGCCAACTATCATCACCCAACTCCTATTACAACGGTGAAGCACCCATCATGAACCAGCTCAGCCTAACGAACGGCCTTGGCGCCCAGTCCATGCCTCCACCAGCCGCTCCTCAACAACTGAACCTCAATGGAACACAAAGGGTGAATAAATTCGGCCACCTTGGTCCTGAGACCGCGATACAAGCGTTCTACCACTACTTCTACAACTCACATCCCTTCTGCTTACCGGAGCCGAGGTTATTGGAGGTTTTCAACCAACGAAAGGCCCCGTTACTCGAGTATGCAGTACAGTACCTTGGTTCAAGTTACCTTCCTGCAATCTCCACGGACATGTATAAGGAGGCCTTGAACCGACATATCAACAGCGGTAACTACGCGAGAGATGGATGGTCGGTACAGGCATTGTTGCTCTATGCCATTGGTCTTCACGCCAACAACGAAGTACCGCGAGCAGCCCAGATTTTCGCCATTGCACAAGATCTGGCGCTCGAGGTTGGCCTCAACCGCATGGAGTATGCTTTGATTCACGGAGAGTCAAATCCACAACTTGAAGAGAGCTGGAGGAGAACATGGTGGGGAATGTACACCGCGAACGGCATGCTGTGCGCTGTCAACCCGGGTGTGCAATTCAAGCTAAAGGACATCCTAACAGACGTCCCACTACCATGCGAGAACGACCAATACTTTTCAGGCGTAAGTATACCTCCGCCTTGGCATTGTTTCCTTTCTGGTCAACGATCTCGGCCTGTTGATACCACTGCGTCGGGTTCTCGCTCTCAGCAGGACACTCTTATTCAGGGCCATTAGGCTCAGGCTGCCATAGTCGCCCATACGAATCCTCTGCTAACAACATCCAGCATATTCCCTACCCCGCCTCACTTCAAGACTATGATGACTCCGCCTTCATGCCTGCCCTCCCGGTCTACTCTTCCTACACCTATTTAATCGACGCTATCCGCATCCTGGGCAAGGTCTTTGAATGCGCCCGCCTCGACTCAACGTTCGAATACCACGCCGTCGACGTCGTTGACCAGTACTTGACAAACTGGCGCCTGCATCTTCCTGTCAACAAACTTGACATCGTCAACAATGACGGTGTGGTCGACGAAGTGCTGTTCCAAGCACATATGGTCAACGCCGGCAGTACAATCATGCTGCACCGCCCGAGGAGTAACCTGGGCTTTGGAAGAGTGGAAGGCGTGAATATCTGTGTCCAGCCGGGACAGGTTCTGCTGCCGACGCAGACTCGCGAGATCCACACCGCCAAATGCCTCACCTCCGCTGAAAACATCTCCTCCCTCATCCGTCTCCCCGGCCAACTCCTACACCATACGCCCTTCTTCACGTGCGTCGTGGTCATGGCATCCGTCGTGCACCTTTCATACTGGTCCTTCCTAGTCCCCGACGGGCAGGATGACATCGTCAAGCAGTCGATCCGTCTCGACGTGGGCACGCTGCAGCAGTACAGCAACACCTGGCCAATCGCAAGCGCAGTGCTGGGCCAGGTGAGAGGCGTGGCGTATACGCTGTTCAACAGCAAGAAGGCGATGAGCATTCATCTGTGGAGCAACATCGCCCAGGGCGATGTTATCAGGGATGTTATTGACGAGGGTGGCAGTGTGCCACCGCAGAATTATGCGCAGTTGATTGCTCCGTAAGTCTTTGATCTCTTCGTCTTGAAGACCCTGTGCTGACAACGTGCGTAGGATGTTGAAATCGTAGAAACCTTGCGATGCTACCAAATCTTGCGCTGCGCTTGTGGCGCCCTAAACTCGCAACGCGCTCACGACTACCGTTGTTCCCTTCGCTCAGTTGCATCTGCGCTCTTAGCATGCACTACCACTATACCACTCGGACGTTTTTTGGTCTTTCTAGCCAGTTGGCGAAACAAAATGTTGCAAACGAATATACACTTGATGACGTGAACGAATGTAGATGTTTGGTAATGAGGTATGATCAGTCGTTTGGCAGATGTATTTGCCTTGATAGAAGTAGAAAATATAGTTTATCGATTCGCATTCATGCTGCGCTTCGGCTGTTTCATGGACTGTGATGACGTCAAAGGAAGTCTCGCTCAGCAATACTCGCAATCAATCAGTTCACATGCAAAGGAGAGCTGCTGAAACCAAAATCGTCTAATGTATTCGTTCATCGGAAACGCCAGCTAGTCCGGCGCCCCGAATCGATACCCTCCATCATTCATTGCCCGTCTTCATTTTCGCTAAGAATGTCCGAAGCTCATGATGCTGCCCAATCGACTATCTCAGATCGCTAAATTCCGTAAACCATGTCGTGCACCCATTATTGCGTTCGAGCCATGCGGGGGACTCGATGCGAGTTGATCGTCGTATCTACAAGTCGGCATCGTCCTCATCGGGCAGAGGCATCTGAGCGGCGTCCTGCATCTCCTTCTGGTACTGCTCGAGAACAGCCTGGTCGACCTGGACTTCGGGAGGAGCCAGAGCGGGGGCGGCGACGAATTCCTGAAAATCGCGTTAGCATCGAAATGGTAGAACTTTGGTGTAGATCATCATACCAGAGTCTGGTTGCCGACAAGTTTCCTGGCAAGCCAGAGGAAGGGCTTCTCAAAGTTGTAGTTCGACTTGGCGGAGATATCGTAGTACTGGAGGTTCTTCTTGCGGTGGAAGGTGATGGACTTGGCCTTGACCTTGCGCTCCTTGACATCGACCTTGTTTCCGGTCAGGACGATGGGGATGTTCTCGCACACACGAACGAGATCACCTATACATGGTCAGCAAAAAGTTGCGCGGTTTTCGGCGCAATGACCTACGGTGCCAGTTGGGAACGTTCTTGTATGTGATACGCGAGGTAACATCGAACATGATGATACCGCACTGTCCGTTGATGTAGTATCCATCACGGAGACCACCGAACTTCTCCTGACCAGCTGTGTCCCAGACGTCGAACTGGATCTGTCCGAGGTTCTACATGTTCGTTAGTGTGCCATGTCGTGCGATCGAAGGGATCGATAAAACGTACGGTGGTGAAGCCGAGAGGGTGAACCTCGACACCGAGGGTCGCAATGTACTTCTTCTCGAACTCTCCGGTCAAATGGCGCTTGACGAAGGTGGTCTGTGGGGTGAAGCTGTTAGCTTTCGTTCTCGATCGCAGGCATATTGCCTTGTTGTTTGTCATGCTCCTAGGCGTCATTCGCCGCCCAAAGCATACCCAGCATAGTGTACAAGAACTAAACGCACCTTTCCTGTACCGCCATCACCGACAAGCACGAGCTTGAAGGTAGGAACGTCGCCGCTTGCTTCAGCCATGGTCGTGGTCTGTTGTGGTGGGGTATGTGTGATGTACTGCGCAAAACCTGGTCAAGGCGTAATGTCAGCGGCGGCCGGTGAAAGCAGTGCCAAAATTTGGCAGGGAGCTGGCGGACGCACCTCTTTAGTAGAGAGTGGAGAAGAGAGAAACGGGTTGAGTGGAGGGGCAATGAAGAGGTTGTTTTGAAGATTTGGAGTTGGCCGCGGGTGGGCGGTGAGCGCAGGGATCGCTGGTTGGCAAGTGCCACTTGCGCTCCTTCCCCAACGTCAGTTTGGTGACAGCAGGCAAAGGCAGCCCTTTAGGCACCGACCAGGCTGGCTTTGTCTTTGCAATCAAGCAGCATGTTTGTGTAAATCAGAGCACGGTTTGAAGCAGAATTCTTTGAGACTTTCTGATGCAGCAATTGAACGCCGGGTATCACGATGCTTGGTGTTCCAAACCCAATGCGCCACGCAGCAAGCACTGTTGTTCACCCATCAGCTCCAGCCCTCTCCATCGCAGGCCATCACGCGAGCCATTGACCCAACCACCGCAATGCTTTGTCAGGATGTGCAAGACCTCCACGTCATAATCGAGAATTTCGATGGCCTTGACAGCATTGTACACCTCCTCGATCGAAGATGCAGTCTATAAAGGCAGTAGGTGGCAGCCCAACAAGCCTCGTCCGCCCCAATTTCTCCGCGGCGTAAGCTGCATCTGTACAGTCTCCGACGGACCACCTAAGCTGCTGGGTCGCAAAGCTTTGACGGCGATTGGTATCTAGTAGTTGTCAGCTTCTTGACACCTTGAAGACCACGCCTTGCACGTAGCAGCCTTGCAAAGCTGTGATGCTGCCAGCACAGCGGACCTGAGCCACTCACTCCTTCATTCTGCGACACGGCCTCCGCCACTCGGCCTAGTCGTTCGTGGTTTGTCCAGTCCACCCAGCCAAACTTCGTTATGCTGTCGCCCACTTTGAGGCCTGCCTCGTCTGCCGGACTGCCAGCTACTACGCTGTTGACCTTCGCGAAAGGCGCCTCTGGGGCCGCTGGAGGTGCGCTGTGCCCTGCTTGTGCCTGGTTTGCTGCAGCTGGGACGTTCTGCGCCTGCTCTACCAATCGTGCGTGGTGCTCGTGGAGGCCCTTCTCGATGCGCGACATGAGGTCTTTGTAGTCGTTCTTGAGCCGTATTATGCGCGCTCGAGTTGTTCGTACTATTTCTTGCGGTCAGGGCTAGCTTCGTGTCTGGTGCTCACGGTGGCGCGTACTCTGAGGGACGTCGATGTCACTGCGGGGGAAGCCATCGAAGGTGGTGAGACCAGTGTTCATATTGACACCATGCTGCGTAGCGACCGTTAGCTGGTGAGTCTGTGTCACGATGTGTTGGACGCACCGAATCTAGGACTTGCCCCAGTGCTTTGAGCTCTGTCTCGACCCTGTCCCTCTCTGCGATGAGCTCCTGCAACGAGAGCCGCTCCTTTGGCACTCCATTTGTATAGCCTCCAGAAGTTGGCCCCGAATAGACGGTGGGCGCGTGAATGTCGTCCATTATGCACGTATGTGACTGCTGGTATCGCAGATCGTTGAGGTCGACACTACTGAAGACTGCAGGCGTGAGGGTGGGGAGCTCGAAGACGCGCGCTGAGGCGAACGCGGGGTTTGCGTCAAGTTGCTACCGCCTGCTTTACACTTCCTTCACCCTCAATCCATCAATTAGATGTCATTTAGGAGCTTGAGACTCGAGAAAATATCAGCACCAGATCGTTGCAGAGGTGAAACAGCTCATCAAAGCCATTGCCATCATTTCAAGCACAGCGCAGATGGTCTCTACTCGCGACTTCTTACCTCATGGTGACCTGCTCCTTCCATACTTCGTGGCCATGCGGCTCCACGCGCGTCCCACGGACCCTTCAGCAACTTCAACCATGGTCACGGCTCCTTTGCACTTGTGTAATGCTGAAGTGGCCCTTCTGTGTGTCACGGCCAAAGTTGATACCTCGACATCTACTCTTTGCGCTTTCCTATGTCATGCTCAGTGCTTTCTACTTCAGCAACCGTATACCGTAATGCTCCTCTTGTTTACACCGATGCTCCGTAGCAGTCTCGTCTCTCCTTCAGTCGTTGCAGTGCTGCAGCTCTATTCATCTCACATGCCATCCCACTCTCCCGTACTCGTCCTATAACAAGTGCTTCGTGCACTCTCGTCATCGACATGGCTTATGTGCTGTCCCTGCGACCACACAGTCCACTCAAGCGGTCCTTCAGCGATAATCCTTACCTTCAGTCATGCTCTCCCTTGAAAGAACCTTTCCTTGGGCCTCTCAGCGACGTCACCGCTCGCAATACATCCGCATGCTCTCTGTATACACTTGGCTCGAACAGATCCAATATCTGGAACCTTGGAAACGAGAACACACCGCCTCTCACGTCGCAGTCTTTGCTTAACCTCGTGCCTGAGAAGCCAGCTTACGACTTTGGCGTGCAACATGGGGACCACGTACCGCGAAAGCGTAATTGTGGAGTCAATCGAGCACCGCCATCGCTGTCGCGCACCGCAGCCCCTCCAAACTCTTTCCCGAGAAAGACGGCGGACCTACAATATGTGATGGAGTCTTCTTCGAATAGCGAGAACTCAGCAGAGGACATGGATGTTGACGACAGCCATATCGAAGAGTCAGAACTGTTTAATCTGTACGAAGCGATCCACGTACCTCTGCCTGAAGGACGATTCTCGGATCACAGTGGTAGTGAGAAACAAGATGTGCAAGATCCTACGCCGCAAGCCCTCCCAACTGAACCACAACCGTTTCGTCGATGGATGAGCACCTTACGCCGGCGGCACCTTCATCGCCGCAAGAAGCAAGAGTTGTCTTTTGATGGCGCTGAGGAAGTTTTGGCTGTTCGATCGCCCCTTTCGACGACGACAGACTCAGTACGGAGGACTTCGGAGTCGATGACATCTTCTATGGGCTTCGTCACTACCGTCAAGACTACATCGATCACGATCGCCAGCACAAGCATTGCGCCCACTTCCGAGAGAGGCCCGCATAACAAAGTCCGGCTAGGTAATAGAAGCAGTAATACCGACGCTCGTCGGTCGATGGAGAGTCACCGCGGTGGGCTGGGTCCAGTCATCGACGAGAGCGCGTGGCTCAGATCTCTGCAGCGCCGCAAGGTGGTGGAAGAACTGATTGCTTCAGAAGAAAGCTACATTGCCGACCTCAAGGTTCTCATTAACGTCAGTCAATTTCTCACAAGTCCCGCGCACCAACTAACAAATGCCACAGGACTACTTCATGATTCTTACCGCCCTTCCTGCCTTGCCTGGTCAGACTAAGTCATCCATACAGCAGAACATAGCCCAGATCTTGCAACTCCATGAAGATCTTCTTGCAGAACTTCAACAAGCTATTCCTCAAGCCGACTTCACCAAAAGCGCACAGCAAGAGACTTATCCCGTTACGAAAGCTAAGCATATCCGTTTCCATAGCGCAGATATCATACCTGGTCGCTTAGGCGAGCACAGAGCTACTCGGCGTTTGAGACATTCCCTCGAGATTGGCCGATCCCCGGACAGGAGGCCACGAGGTCTGGTAACCGACACTCAAACAGTCGGCAACATCGCAAAGATATTCAATCGACATGTCAGCTCCCCAGACACTGATCGTTTGTTCATGCTGATCGAACCCAGATGAAACGTTTCTTTACCTATGAAGAATATGGTGCGCATTGGACTACGATGTCCTCGGACCTCACTACGATGTGCAAAGGGCTGCACGGTTGGCAGGAGTACGAACGAGGAGTTGAAGCTTTGCAGAAAGTCATTGCCTCCGAGAACAACCGCGAGTCTGGCAGCAAGAAGGCGCTGAGCTTCCCTGATTTGTTGATCAAGGTAAGCATGACCTTCATGTTTCCTACAACTCGCTGACAATCACATTCATAGCCCATTCAGAGGGTCTGCAAGTACCCCCTGTTATTCGACGACCTGTGTCGCCAGACACCTGTGTGCGACGACCCAGAGGCTCACGCCGAGTTGGAGAAGGCTCTATTTCGACTCCAAGAGACTATCCGTGAGGTCAACAAGGCGAAGGATGACCCGAAGACCCGCCGACTGATTGATATCACCTGGCAGCTGCAGGACAGACTCGTGTTTCAGGAACAGGTAAGCCACTGGCCTGTCAACTGTTGAACAATATTTACGCGCCATAGGCAATCTCGCGTGCGCTTGTATTTCGTCTTCTTGGACATGTCCTTTTGTGTGGCGTCCTACATGTGGCCTACCAGACTCCCGAACGTGTGAAGGGACAGTACATGGTTTGTGTGCTATACAAATCCTGTCTCGTACTTGCAACGACAAGTCGTTTCTACACACCCTACACTGTGGTCGCCTGCATCAGCCTCGCGAATGGCAGTATCGAAGAACCGGACAACGGTCGGGGTACGCATCTACCACTGGCCGTATGTGCAGACTATGTGGCTAACGGCAACAGGCGTTCAGTGTCATACGGCCTCTCACACTTGGAAATTCGTGTTCGAACACAACCATCGACTGCACGAGGTCATTCTAAGCGCCTGTTCATCTCAAGAAGAAGAGGTGTGGAAGACACAGTTGCGCGAGCGCACTGTGTGCGAGACGCACGATTTCGTCGAAGGGCAGTCCACCATGCAAGAAATGTTCTCTTCCTTGAGCTTGGATATTAAGTCTCTTGGACCGGTATTCGGACATGCAGACAGTCTGGTCCGGCGCATGTCTGTCCATCGAGCGGCGACGCTAGGTGCGAAGACGAACCTGGCGCAAGTCATCATCAAGAATACACAGGCGCAGAAACCGCTGGACACTCCTCCCACGTTTTCGCCAGGTGTGGTGACTCGCTCGCAGTCACTCCTGTCGTCGAATCACATTCCGACCTTGGCTCCAAGGAGAGCTGAACGCATTCGCCTTGAGACAGCACTGGAGGAGGTCTGGACGAAAGACATCTTGCCTTTCCCAGGAATGTCCAATCGAAGAGTCGAGAACCAGATTCGTGCGTCAGCCAACTCAGTTATGCGAAAGCTCAGCATGGCAAGCATTGCCAGCAACTTCTCGCGCCGCTCGCCAAGCTTTTCCAGCATGAGCAATACTCGCTCAGAAGACTCATACGGTAGTAGGGCACATAGAGTATCACAAGGGAACCTGCGTGCAGCCCCTGTATCAGATCGCCGACCGGCTCCTGCAGTTGTAGACTTCCACAACGCACCAGCGGCTTTTCTACCTACGGACTTCGAGCTGCAAGACACACGACCATCGAGCCGACGACGACGCCTAGCAAATCGTGCGGGAGGAGCAGAGCGCTCGACAGAGAAGCCTACGCCGGCTAGACCGAAGCGGACACGACGACTCTCGTCGCACATCATCAGCCTTCCCCGGAGCGAGTCCAGTGCGCAGGTCACTGCGAGGTTTACATCTGATGGCTCCAATGCGACCGTTCTGCGTGGACCTGAACCTGCCGTCGACTTCGAGCAGAGACTCGAGAACGCAAAGCCAAAGCGGAAAGGAGACAGAGAGAGTGGCGGCTTAGGAAGAGGCATCTCAGGTGCAACACCATCCAAAAAGTTTTTGAAAAGCAAAAGTCGAATCTTCAAGTTTTGGGTATGAAAATGACGAAGGACTTGAGGCTCTTTGGATTCGACGCGAACATACTTACGACGACTTGTTGGATCGCAATTCTTTTGGCGCCTGTTGGACTATTGAAAGTAAAAGTTGGAGTAATGGGTGTTGTTACGATGTCACGACTGCATGCTATTCTTGCGACTGGCAGTAATGTATGGGGAAGTATGCTATCGGAATAGCGGCACTTGTGAAGAACGGGTAATGGGCCGAGATGGGAAAACGGCATCGAGTAGATCACACGACTCTCTGCAAGGCACCCGCATGCCACGTTTGAGTTTTGAGACGAGATGACGTCACGGCATCGTGAGCACGACCCTCGATGTGTTGTATCGAGACATAGATTTACATGATAGTAATTAAATCATGGTTATACTGGCACGTCGATTGCGTGATGCGGCAGTTGAATTGATTGCTACTCTCGTCATGTAGGTTGCTATCAAGCATGGCTGATGTTTACGGGTCACAGCTACAGCGTGTTGTGGTTGCGTTGCGGCTCCTAGGCTAAACCAATACGTTCTTGGCCACTCACCGCCCGTACTATTGGGTAGTTTCACGATCTAGCCAGAGCCTCATGCCACACGCAATCCTGCAAGAGAAGGTGAGAGAACGGGGTTGCTTGCGACAAGAAGGGCACGTGCTTGGCATGACGTAGTCCCCAGGCCCGAGCTCTCAAGCTCTAAATACCCCTCCAGAGCTCCCATCCGTAACCCCTCCATCATAACGATTCCTCAGCTCTCACGACTTACTACGACTCTCAACAAATATTCAAACACCTCCATCTAAAATTCAATCCAAACACATAAACACCATGGCTCGCGGCGACGCTATTCAGACCAAGGTCCACTACAAGGGCAAGGCCGAGGACTTCATCGTCTTCGTCGACAGCTCTGAGGCTGTTCAGAACTGGAAGCAGGACTCCAGCATTCCTCTCGCACAAGTCGTCAGCGGCTTCAAGATCTTGGTAACCGACAAGTAAGTCTGCTCCAGCCTAGCATCTGAAAGATCATCTCTAACGTGAGCACCAGCCACGGCACCCAGGGTATCCTGAACACAGCAAGCAAGGGCACACTCGAGAACGAGTTCGGCACCTCAAATGAGGACGAGGTCATCAAGCAGATTCTCCAGAAGGGCGACGTCCAGTCATCACAGGTACGTCATGACATCACACGATTAGACAGCATCTTGTCCATCGCTGTCCGCGACCATCGAGCAGACGCTAACATTGCTACAGAACTCGGAGCGCCAGGGTGACACCAACGATTCCAAGGGCCCCATGGCTGCCCACTAAGCGATTCGACTTGCGACTCGACTACTTAGGATTCGATGACCATGATTGGCGACTGTCGGAAAGGGCACTAGCTATCTGAGCTTTACTGCCGCGCCTGGAAGATTGGCTAGGGCATAGGCTGCACTTCCTCTGCTGGAATGCGAGGGCAGCATGAAAATTATCGAGATATCCAATGAAAGTAATTCAAGATACCAAGCTACTCTTGTCGTACATGTGTTGTGGTACATGGGTATCGACGAGGCTGACAGATACTTCAATCGAACTTGATCATGCACCGTGAGCGTCGATCTGCACACATGCACAACTTGCAGCTTCCGGATGACCAACCGCAATACCATACTGCCAGGCTGAAACATACGTTTGACTAACTACTAATCTAGTATACCCGTCGGAACCTCTCGAACATGCCGCTGCAGTAGATCGTGAACGCGTATATGCGTCAATTCCGGTCAGTTGCTGCAAGATCCAGAAACCCTGGATGTCTAGGAACCATGAGGCTCAAAGATCACGTTCTCGCGATCCAACTACAATTCCGGATATGCTTGAATCATGGTGCCCTCTTGGCACGATCGAACATACTGTCGTTGACTCAAGAAGTGACACTGCAGGTGAGATGGGATTTGCAGCTCCAGGTGGAGGAATTCACCGATTTCTAGAAGAGGTTAGAAGCTGCAGCCTGGCTGCGCACTCGCAATATGTTCCTCAGGGGCACATCTTCTTGCTGCCTAAACCGGTCAACTATTTCCTACCACTCCAATAGAGAAGTCGAGTATTACCCAACAAATACACTCCTCTCAGGCCAGCCACAGTGCTTTCTGCTATCCCACAGGAACGCATGTCTAGCATGGAGCTGCACACTGCATGCACCCCTGGACAACCTTACATAGCCTTCATCAGACCTATCACAGCTTTCCGCGTACGCGCATGTGCTTCACTTGCAACACTTGGGCAATAGAAGTTTGTCATCCGGCGATCAAGCTACCGATTCTGCTCGTTGCCTACATTCAAGCTTACGTCCGCTTTGTGAGGGGGTGTGCTGTCTACGGGATCTTTGACTGCAGATGAGTCGTACTGAAAGAGGCCGACCAGAGTAGCGTCGGCGTATCGACGTATAAAAGATGAACAGTCGTCTCGAGTCCTACCTGCAAGCAATGCTCTCTGAGTCCAACAGAGGTCTTACTTCACGCTTTACTCGCCCTGCCATTCGTTCTCGTCTCTTCATCCAATCCTGTCTTCAGCATGCCAGCTGCCAGGTCCACTCCTGCTGCCACTCAGGAGCACAGTGCCTCCATGTTCAGTAACTTCAAGTCTCACTGCGATGCCAAACGTGTCGACACCAAGACCACTACATTGACGTTGTTTCGTAATGCTTACGAAGACTACCATGTCACCGAGGTGGAAGCCAAGAAAATTGCGCTGTTCGAGTATGCTGCCACTGACAAGGCGTTGCTGAACTTCGACTCCGACGATGAGCAATTCAATGCTACGAGGGACTGGCGTGCTGTCGGGGAGGGCATTGAGAAGAAGATGCACCCTGGGAGATTGACAGATGACTTCCGGTTTGCAAGGTAAGTCTTCCTTACCAAGATCATCGGAACGACTGCTGACACTCAGAAGGTTCCAGTACATCTGGGACGACAAGGAGTTCCTCGTCTATTACGTGACCTGGCAAGATATGCTCTCCCAGCCAACGAAGCTCTTCTACATCCTGCATCCACGCTTCAAGTCACACATCGTCGACGGCCACTGTCAGGAAACCGACGCCCTTATCCTCGCAGCCGGCAACTGGACCTCACAGCTTCATGACGAGATCTTTGTCTTCGACAACGGGCACTGGGACAAATCAAAAGAGCTCTGGAAATCCGTCTCAGGAGCCTGCTGGGCCGATGTCATCCTTTCGCGTAACATGAAGCAAAACCTCATCGACGACGTGCAAGGCTTCTTCGACAACCAGGAACTGTACGCGCAGTTCGCCGTACCTTGGAAGCGCGGTGTAATCCTCCACGGCGTCCCCGGCAACGGCAAAACCGTCTCCATCAAAGCGCTCATGGCCTCGCTCTACAATCGTCCTGACCCCATTCCCTCCCTCTATGTCAAGTCCTTCGAGACAAACTGCCAGACAGAACAATACGCAATCCGTAAGATCTTCCAGCAGGCGCGTAGCATGGCGCCGTGCCTCTTGATCTTCGAAGATCTCGACTCGCTCGTCAATGATGATATCCGGAGCTACTTCCTGAACGAAGTCGATGGTCTCGAGTCCAATGACGGGATCCTGATGATTGGTTCGACCAACCATCTCGACAAGCTTGATCCTGCGATCTCGAAGCGTCCGAGTCGGTTTGATAGGAAGTACCATTTCAAGATCCCTGAGGAGGAGGAGAGGAGGCTGTACGTTGAGTACTGGCGGAAGAAGCTGCTTAAGAACGATACCGTCGAGTTCCCGGAGGAGCTGTGTGGCGTGATTGCAAAGCTATCTGAGGGCTTTAGTTTCGCGTACCTCAAGGAGCTGTTCGTCATGGCGCTCCTGAGTCTCGTGAGAGGTTTCAAGGGCGATGATTTCGAGATCGTGGATGCCGAAGAAGCTGCGAGTGCGCCTGCCTCCGCCACCCCAACACCAGCCAACGAGAAGAAAGACGAAGAAATCTGCATCTGCAAGACCAAATGCGCAACTTGCTCCAAACCACTCCCCCCATCCACATCCTCCGACGAGCAAGCAAAGAAGCAAGGCGAAGCTACCGAAGCCAAACAAGAAATCAAGAAAAACAAGATGGTCATGCCTACCGTCGATATTCCGGAAAATCTAAAGGACAATCTGCTGCTGAAAGTGGTGCAACATCAGATCAGAGTGCTGTATATAGATATGGATAACGAGAAGGATGGGGCGCCGGCGAGTGCGAAGGTCAAGGTCGAGAGTGGGATGGGGAAGGGTTTGAGGCAGAGGCAGGCGTTGGCTAGGAGGAGGGGTGGGTAGTAGTTGGGAATGGGGTGTGGTGATGGGGTGGTGGCGCGTGGGTGGTGTTGTGTAGACGTCTAAAAAGTGTGCTGCAGCCTCGTGAATCGAGGCTTCGTCAGATCGAATCTTGTACTTCGACGTTTGAGTAGAACTAGTTCTTTGGGTACTAAATTGACACTAATACGTTACAATGTCTGGTTGATTTGATTTGCTTCGTTGGCTGAACGAGTCTGATTAGTAAAGGTGTGTTCTGTTTTGTCAAATTTTCTGATTTGACGCAGGTGTGCTCCGACGTGACCCGGCGTCAGTGGAGAGGTGTGCAACTGTCTTCCCTGATGGCCTGACAGTGAGCTATCGCTGTCCTTTCAAGTTAATGAGGGGAACTTCGTCCCCTGAAAGGCGCTCCCTCGGCTAGATCAAGTCTGAACATCTTCAGATCTCATCTCAGATCCGAAGTGGAGGATCTTTCGGTGTTTCTTTGCAGCAGATTGATGGAGTTGTACTTGTTCGGTCTTTTCGGATCATCCGTTTAGCATATCGTAGAATTGTTACCGCTCGTGTGCGCAGATTGAACTGTGGGATGGTTTTGATAGCGTACGGGCCGGGTCCACTGCAAAAGTGGTTCGGATGATTTGCACCGAGGTGAAGTATGCATTTGGTCCGTGTTTGTTCGAAAGTTCCGTATGTTTGCATATTCCGGTGCTTCCGTCTTGCACTCCCTACTGCAATGCAAGACGGTACTAAGGCGCAGAGAAGGAAGCCATGATGCAGACAAAGACGGAGCTGCAATTGCGGCCGTAGATCAACAAAGACCAAATCTTTAGCGCAGCAACCTTAAAGCTACAATTCTATTCTTGTCCTTACCATCGCCTCCCCTGACGCAGGGCGAAGGCGCCGTCTCTCTGCGTTCCCCTCTTCGGTCAACCGCCGTATGCACGGCCATACAGGGACAGTCCCCACCAACTTTCGTCTCCCTCACAACCGCGCACCAACGTCATTTGCATTTCTAACCTTCCGCATCAAGCTCTGCACGTTACGAGTGGCCAATTTTGGTGGTTGACCACTGGCGATCCACCAGCGCGGCGCGGACGATCTTCCTGCCTCGGTTACGCACGAGACGCGAGCCACAGGTCGTATCGTAAAGGAGCCGCGGGTATTGAATATGAAAAGAGGATGAACGAAGAGTGGTGATTGGGCTGTCGAGGGAAGAGCTCGGGTAACTGCAGCGTTACGGCAGGAGGTGCAGAAGCCGGTTTACACAACCATACGATGAGTACTATCGAAGGATTCGAGTGACGATGATTGTTTGAGGCTGTACTTTCGGCAGCACCGCCGACTGCCTGTCTGTACTGTGACAGCCTCCTCAAGCCCTGTATGTATGTCCCTTCCTTCTATTTACTCAATCTGCATTCTTCTCATCAGCGCACCGTTTCAAAACCCGAGCTTGGACTTCAACATGATGCGATCAACACAGTGTAACCTTGCACATCGCGCTTGCCATTGCTACCCTGCCAAGGCCCATAGTCTCTCCGTATTTGGCTTTTAGCCTTGCGTAAGACGTCACCGTGACCTCGCGTGCACTTCGGTAGATTGCGAGAGTTTCCTGCCACCGGTTGCGTGCAGCGCGCTCATTGGCCGTGATGCCGTGCTATTCCATGGTTTGTGAGCTGTTAGAGGTGAAAGAGGTAAAGAGGGCAAAAGGCTTTGACAAGCGGACAAGCAAACGGTGCACGGGAAACGGGAGTGCCCCCAAAGAACCATGCAGTGCGATCATCGTTGCTGTGGGCGCGTTACCTTTTGTCTTACCTTGTGGCCCTGTTCTCTGCTGGCTTTCCTTGACTTGAGCGACCTCTCTCACTTCACCTCACCTCACCTTGCACGAGCTCGAGCACTCCAGACGCAAAAGATTTGATTGTCCCCACACCAACATTAACTTATTGATGACCACGACCAAGACGCACCATGGCTAGGTCTACACTTGCATGGGTGCGCGCTGCCGCCGTAGCTGCCCTCGCACAGCAGGTAGTCTCGCAGACGTGCTGTAAGTCAGAGTCCACAAGATATTTACGAGCAATAACTGACAGCCTTAGACTACCCCAATGGCAACACAGCTCCCAGCACAGAGAAAGCTTGCTCTTCAGCATCAGGTTCCGCTTGCTGCCCTGAGAACTGGCATTGTCTTGACAATGGCCTTTGCTACTACCCTCCCACTGGGCTTCACGGCAGATACAGTTGTACTGACAAAGACTGGAACTCACCCGGTTGCGCCTCCAACCTCTGCACATATAACATGACCGTTAGTGGTGGAGAGTCTATTACACAATGCTCAAACCACAACAGCCAATGGTGCTGTAATGGCGACGCAACGAGTGTCAACTGTTGCCAGGAAGAGCCAGAGCCACGACCATTTTTCAACCTCCAGGACGGTGTCGCGTACGCTACAATTGGCTCGAACCAGGCATCCTCGAACCCTACTATCTCGACCGTCACCGGCCTTGCAACCTCAGGTTCAAGTGGCAGCTCACCCACTTCTCAAACCAGCTCTTCAGCAGCAGCATCCTCCTCGAACGCACCCTCTTCCTCAGCAACCTCAGCACGTTCAGTCTCCGCTGTGACCTCGGTCGCAACAAGCATTAGGTCTGCATCTGGAGGCTCTGGCCCAGAGACCATTTACATCACCAACGTTATCACCCCAACCGCAACAGCCGATGCCTCAGGCGGCGGCGCATCCTTATCAGGTGGCTCTGGCACCAACATCGGCCTCATCATAGGCTGCGCAGTCGGTATACCTCTCGGCCTCGCCCTGATTGGCATCCTCATCTGGATGCTGCGGAAGCGCCACCAGGCGAAGGTCCACCCCTACAAGACCACCCCCGATGGTGGTGAGTCTCCTGACACCGCAGCTGCCGCACTCGCCTCGCCAAAGAAGCAGGAAGTGTACCGTCACTCACGACCCGGTACCTCAGAAATTGACAGCAACCCCGTTGGCCCCGGCCGCCCGACCTCGACGATCCCCGGAAAAGCAGAGCTCGAGTCTGGCGCGGGCTTCCAGCCAAGCTCAGGCGTACCGTACGCTCCGGACACTGCGTTTATTGGAGGTGGAAACGGCGATCGATCGACCTGGGGCAGCTCACCACCTGGATACTCGCCAGGACAGGGTCAGGGACCGTTCGCGCATAATCACGAGGGAGCTGTCGAGCTTGACAGTTCGATGGTCATGCCCGTCATCAACGAGAAGAGCGAGCACCAGCCAGAATACCAGGCGTATCGACCACCAGGTGATGCGGTGGAGATGAGCGCCATGAAGACTCCGCCTGAGGATTTGGAGAAGCAGCTCGGTAAATAGGCGCAGCTGTCATGGTGTTTCTTTTCGAGCAGCAATGGCGTTCCGGGGTACACAATCATGGGCAATTTACTTTCAAGGGTCGATACCATTCACAAGAGCGGGTTGTACGAAACATGGGTGTACATATATCTAAGGTCTACAAGAGGCCGTCCATCATGAACTAGATATCTTTCACTTTGTCAATAACGAACAATTGAAACTTAGGCGGGTGCCACCACCTGCGTGTCGAGCAAGAGAATGAGATGTGACCCAAAACCTGGTTTGGATGTTGACAACAAATCTGGGAATGACTTTGTCTGGAGGTCCAGGGATGGCGATACGACTCACTTTTCAGAACAGTAACCCCTGAAGCCCCTCACGGGTGAAAGCAATTGCGGCCAATCTCCCTGGTCGAATCTTCCGTGACTGCCTCAACGCTCTGTTCAGCGCCTTTGTCAGTCCATTAACAACATACCAACTCGCTGTGATGGTGTCGCAAAATGGGCTATTTGCGCTCGGTCTGCCCTCCACACGCCAGTCTTGTTGGCTACGCCAGCCACGCCAGCCACGCCATCCACGTCTAGCAAGACCACGTTGCCAGACTCAGCTCTGCTTTCGGTCTGTAAGGGCCCTACTGCCACTCCGCCAAGGTAAGCTTATCTCCAGGCACGATGATGAAGCTGGGCTAACAATGAAATAACTCTTGCTATGACCTCAAAGACATTGTCGTCATCTCTGTCAATGATGGTCAGAAGCGCAAAGAATACACTGTACTTCGTAAGTTAGCGATGTGGCACTTGTCATACTTTGCTACATTCAAAGCCTTTTGCGGCTGGATGTTCACTGGGAAACTCAAGGACTTCGCCACTGATCCGACTCTCACCGACAAGATCTTCCTCCCAGCGTGAACGTTAGTGAACATCTGGGTCTTCGCGGACCTTCGCGGCATACCAGCACTTGGCAACGCTGCGATCGACATGTTGCACGAACGCGTACTAACTGGACGTGGGCTGTCCACAGAGATGATCAAATCTCTCTTTGAAGAGACGGCTGCTGGGTCCAAGCTGCGCTCGTATGTTGTCAACCTACACAAAGCAAATGTATCTCTTGATAGTGTGATAAGTTACTCAAATTCGTACACGCCAGAATTCTTGTGCGATGTACTGCCAGCCATTCAGGCGGATGGGATAAGATGGATGCACACAGTTGATTTCCTGCACGATGTGCTGCCATCATTGACGCGCAAGACACCGGACGATCACATGGATAGGTCAAAGATGATGAAGCTCAACCGCTGTCAGTGGCATGACCATTCGGGGCCAGGAGGAAGGTGGAGGTGCATTTATTGCAGGCAAGAAAGCGTGTCTGCCGTGGACTTACTCAACGGAATGAAGATTGATGGGATGGATTGAGGTATAACCGTGGGTACGCTATTCAGCTTGAACGTGTAACCGATATCAGAGAGCCTGTCGCTGTAATGGGCAAGTGCATTTCCGTGATGAGTTCTGTGAATGTCCAATACCAAAAAGACAACCTGCCTAGGTATGATGCAATATTAAATGTTCCTGTTTCTCTAGCTTCGGCGCGGCAAGCGTCAACCACTTTGGCGAGCTTTCGTCCCACACAACTTTCCACGCAAAAATAGAGCTTCTTCTACCTCAACACCTTCAGAATAGCAAAATGCATCGGCCGGGAATCGAACCCGGGGCTAGCCGAAACTGTCCTGTGGAGGATGGCAACGGCTAATTTTACCACTAAACCACCGATGCAATCAACCCTTTTTGTTGAATCTTTTTGATTTTTAAATATTATATTCAGGAAATTCAGTCTATCACTTCTCGTTTTCATATGGTCCCTCCCAAAAGTCAAAATCTTCGCTCTTCAAACACTTTTAGAGGTTGTTGTCAGTAGGGAGACTCAGCGGTAAAATAACCAAATAAACGCAAACTAGGATTCCTTACTTGCAACGTAAGGGTCTTTGAGCCTGCTGAATGCCCTTAATGTCCAAGAACAAGTTGCAGATAACATGTATACTCGGCCAGCAGTCCATGCCACAGGCTCTTGTTGTCCAGATGCGCCCACAGAAGCAGCAGGTTCGCGGCCGCCTCGTTCCTTCTCCGGACAGCCGTGTATGATATCGCCCAGGTCGCGGTCACGCTGCCATTCGCGTAGCTCCGCAGCGGTATCCGTCTGCCGTCATGCGGCTCCATCAGCTCCTGCCACTGCTCCTTGTACAGCCGAGTATAGATGCCAAATCCCATGCCTGTCTCGCTCATGTACACAGCAGCCCGCGCCAGCGGCAGCCCGTCGAGCACCCGAAGCAGCTTGTCGCTCTCCCGACCTGTGATGGTGTTAGCGTCACTGTATCGCCTGCTGCCGCTGCGCCCATTGCAGACGCTGCAGCTACACTCCGAGATGCTCACTGACGCTTCTCCCACAACACCGACGAGAAGCTGCGCTGCTGTCGCCGGGCAAAGTTAGCCGCCAGCTGCGTCTTGCTCACGCCGGCCAGCCCGTAGGCTACCAGCAACCGGCGCATACCCCTCCCCCCCCCGGCCCAGTCTCTTTCTTGACTAATCTGAACAGAGTATTACACGGGATAAGGCTCTCTCTTGCGTCGCAGCACACCCGACCTTACAGTGGCGCAAGCATAAGGCTGACAAAAAGATAGAGGTCTTCAACCAGGTCAACGAAGGGCTTGTTGAAGAGGGAATTCATCAGGTCTATGACAGTGCCATCGACTGGAGGATGTATCAGGTCGTCCGCGACATCATCAGGGAAGAGTCAATCAGCACAGGTACCAGGACTTGCATGGAACAAAGACATCGAGATAATCGTTGCGTCAGAAACGCAAACATTGAACAGCTGCATCTGCCATACAGCCAGTCAATCATACGAGCCATCGATTTCGCGCAACTACGATCCCATTCGAGACGTGTGAAGCCATCCAATATGTTTGACCACTGTTTTTACCTATCCTCCAAGGTATCCTGCCGCTGTAGCCTCCGCTTTGCGTACACAGTGGCATACATACAACTACAATTGTGCTCCCGCACCAGGCATCTACACATGACCTGCAAATCACAAATCGCGTTAGCAACAAACGATACACAGTCATCTTGAAGCGACTGAGAGGCAGAAATGGTGGCTGTCAGTGTTTAACTATTGTAGAGGTAGACTCGCTGAATTTTGTCTGGTCTTCCTGGGGAGGAAAGGTTGGGTTGAGTGAGTCGAGGCTTCATAACTGTCACGGTTCAGGGTGCTCCTGCCTGTCGAACCTCACCTGCCATGAGAGTGACTGCCACGTCACACTAGCGTTGTTTACAGCTACTCACATATACATACTGTCCGTAGCTTCACCCAATACAACCTCAGTTCAATCCTGCAATTCTTCCCACATGCGTACGGATCACTCACGATCCCCGACAGATGACTATGAGCAAGATGAAACAGTCTATGGACAATCACCCATTCATATACGTTGCTGCGGGTACACATCTCAGCGCCTATCACGCGTGTACCCCGCCGCTGCGCCGGTTACATCAAGATTCTTAAAACAAAGTTCCTGGACTACAGGCCTTCTGATGCAAGGAGAAAACAGACAGCTGCATACCCACCATTTCTCAACTCTGAACTTCCGCGCCAAATGTCATTGGTGTGGGTCGACAAGAAGCTACCCTCAGAGCTTGCACATCCTGGCATTTGCTGACAGCTCAGATCGTTTGCAGTAAGAGGAAGGTATCTTTGCCACCTGATCACTTCTAGGGACAAGCAGTCAGTTAGACTTGGCTCCTTCACCCGCAGTGACCGGCGCCTCGTTGCCATCAGACGACTTCTCAGCTAGTCGTTTATTGACTGCTCGTCAGCAAGAAACCAATCATATCTCTGGACATACAAGCTGCATGTGCGGCGTCTGGCAACGCTCGAGACATCCGCCAGTCAAGGACGTCTTCTCGAACGCTAGGAATGTATTGCTTTTCAAGCTCTCGGTTGACACACTTTTGTGTTTCAACTTTCACCTTCCGGGGAACACAAGGCCCATCATGTATCGAGAGAATCTGGAGAGTGGAGTTAACGGAACTTGTAATGGATGAGCGCCCTGCCCTCGATATCAATACTACGTGACATCTCCAAGTTATACCAAAAGGTAAGCACAAGAAAACTTAAGCAAGTATTCTTTATGTAGTATAATATATATAGTGCCAGCCAGCTAGCTTTGCCCCTAGCTGCTGTAAGCTAGTCTGCCCCACAGCCTTGCTGTGTGCAGAGTCATTACAGAACTCAGATGCGGTAAAACATCAGCGCCTGCGCCAAACCAATCGCATCGCCCTGGTGCGGATGAGGAATCATGTATCCAGAGAATCTGGAGACTGGGAACGGAACTCACAGGTGACAAAGACATCGGCACCTGCGCTACACCAATTGCATCTACAATTTCAAGCCAGCGTTTCATGCCACAGCATCTTGTGGCCCACATGTTCCCCTATGCATGTTCACCAACTTTGTGTTCATGACATGATGTTGAACCCCTTAAGCAGTGAAGTTTGAGACCGGCGCTGCTGCATCACGATATATCTTTTGAGCCATCACACTTTGGTCATCGAATTTGGATTCACACGATTCACAGCACTTGAATTGATGCTCGCTCGAAGCTCAAGCCCACTATGAGTCCAAACAACGCCAGTCCAAAGCTTCTTGATCAACAGCCGGTCAGATGGGTTCGCCAGCCGCTTGGTCGTATTGTTACTGCAGACGGGTTCGAAATACCCTTCTATGACCCCTTGCCTGGTTAAGAATGGATGACGGACCATCTTGTGGCGAAAAGATCCCTGGAACTGCCAGCTGCTATCACGGCTCCCAGTCAGGCTGATTCTCTTACGCGCAGCCACGAACAAACCGTCCGGCGCTCCAATGTGCAGTGCGAAAACTGGTCTGATGCTCTCAATCAGGACAAAAGAGGCCTTGACGTTCTGGATCACTGGGAAAGTGCAAGCAGACTTCCAACAATACCTGGGACAACCATGCCATCAGCAACAACTGGTACGATCATCTCGACATCTGAAAACGATACTGAGCCTGATTCCACGATGTTGAACAATGCGTTGCAGCGCTTGGCAGACACACCGTCAGCTCCACCCCGGGGAACCCGCAAGCGTACGACCACTGCTTGCTGTTTCTGCAGACATCGCAAGGTAATTCCAGTTGACGCTCTCGCTCAGTATGTCTTGCTGTAAGCCCAGGGTACCTTGCATGGTCATGTGGATCATCCTGCGACCAATCAGCACACTACTCTATGTATATAAGCTTAGATCACAGACCTCTCGGTGAGGGGGGACATAGGAAAACTACACGCAATCTACGTACAACCACCGATACGATGGAATACTTTTTATATAATCTTGGCAAATATCAAAATTTGATAAAATAAAGGATTGAAAATCAATTTCTCCTCGCAATTCCACGTTGTTCAAGTTCGACTTACGACCTTCAAACAACGCTCATTGAGGTTGTTGTTAGTAAGGGGCGTCCCTAAGTGAAGAGACACACCATGTCCCGAGACAAGTTGGCGGTTCGGGCCTTCGGCGCCTCTATTGTGAGAATTTGCAGAGCTGTCGTTCACATGCAGTGTTGATGAACTGATTCTCCTTCAGGCCAACAGGCTCCGAAGAGGATCTCTGAAGTGCTGGTCGTGCTGTCGATCGTTTCGTCGATGCCGTCAAACAACCCTTCAGCAATACACCCCTGTCTACTCGCGACTTTGAGAATCTCTCTGAATATCGGAGGCTTTAGGAGGAAGAGCGGTTAACGAAGACTATGTTCCCAGGCTTTGAAGATCACTTGAACATGGGAGTGAGCTCGCCGAAAGCCCCGAAGAGTGGGGGAGGAGAGCCCTGCAGCGAGACCCCGAGCTGGCGGGACACGCCAACGAAGCTTGGCCTGCATCAGCTTGCATTAGCGCATCTACGAGCTACTTGTATTCTACTGTAATGAATTAAGCGCTATGCCTACTCTGCATTGGCCTCGAAATAGATGTGGCGTATGCTGACAGCTTTGCAAAAGTATCTACCGCTGCGTGCATAGGACCATGCCTTGTGTCCTTCCATGCGCTAATCCAAAGATGCTTACTGGGCGCCTCAAAATGCTTACCTGGAGCCTGAACAATGCTACTCGGGCTCTAACACAGGATCGTCTTCCTGATATTGACAAGCACCTGCATCAAGCAGCATCTCGACTACCTGCTTGCGGCCTTCAAGTGAAGCTGCCCGCAGTGCGTTGCCGTAGCGTCTACCCTGCGCGTTGACGTCGACGCCTTTGTCGAGCAGCATCTTGACTACCTGCTCGTGGCCTTCAAGTGAAGCTGCCCGCAGTGCGTTGCCGTACTCTCCACCCCGCGCATTGACGTCGGCGCCTTTGTCGAGCAGCATCTTGACTACCTGCTCGTGGCCTCCGTATGAAGCTGCCTGCAGTGCGTTGCCGTAGAGGCCACCCTGCGCGTTGACGTTGGCGCCTTTGTCGAGCAGCATCTTGACTACCTGCTCGTGGCCTCCGT